TACCTGCTACGGAATTTCAATGAATAATGTTTCAGTTTGTTCAGGAATGGGAAGCTGTAGTGGAATTGATACTTGCACTTGTTATCAAGGATTCAAGGGAACTCAATGTACCATTGCTCCATGTACTCTCGATTGTCAACATGGTACTTGTGTCAACACAACAGGAACTGCCTATTGTAATTGTACTGATAATTATAGCGGTTCACTCTGTGAAGTTAAACCATGCGTTTTGAATTGTGGTGCTAATGGTGAATGTACTAAGGACGCTAAGGGTAACCAACTCTGTAATTGTTTCAATAACTTTGCTGGCTCAAATTGTCAAAAGTGTAAATCTGGATTTGTTCTCTCTGATGGAAAATGTGTCTGTGATAGCTCACTTGGATTTGTTTCTGATGAAGTTTCCGGAGGATGTGTCTGTAAAGAAGGATTAACTCTAAAGGATGGTCAATGTATTACTCCTCTTGTCAAGTGTGATTTGAATTGTGGATCAAATGGTGATTGTTTCTTCAAGACTAATACCACTATTGGATATTGTGAATGTAGAAATAAGTTTATCACTGTTGACAGTACAAATCCATGTACTGCTTGTCCAGTTGGTTTGGTCAATGTTTCAAACGCTTGTGTCTGTAATGCTGATTTGGGTTACTTGCCAGACAATGAAGGATCATGCTATTGTGATACCACTCAAGGTTATCTTTCCAAGGCAGGTGTTTGTGTTTGTAATTCATTGTTAGGTTTCTCCAAGGCAACCACTGGTTGCTCTTGTTCTACATCAGCAGGTTATGTCAACAAGTTTGGTACCTGTGTAAGAACTGATCCAGTTTGTAAGAATGGTTGTGGACAAGGTGTATGTCAATATGTTGATACTACATCATCAACTACAACTTGTATCTGTAACACTGGCTATCTCACTACTAATACTAGTCAACCATGTTCATCTTGTATTTCTGGTTATTCAATGACAAGTGGTAAATGTAAGCGTGTTTGTCCTCCAGAATACTATGGTGATGAATGTAATATTTACACACTCACTCCAGCTTGTATTTCTGCTCCATCTGTATCCGTTCCATTCTGTAAGGCTCATGTCAAGTACAGTATTAAGAATACTAATTTTGCAGTAGGTGCCACTAATGCCGTTGAAGCCAAGACCATGATTGTTGCTAATTTGTTGAAATTGGATCAAACTACCAGTACTAACTACTCTGAAGTATTGAAACAAGTTGAGAGTAGAGGTCTTGAATGTGGAGACGATTGTAAAGCAGCCATTAAGAAATTCTTGTGCTATCAATCATTCACTCCATGTAATCCTTCAGCTTTGGGTGTTCCAGAAGAAAAGCAATGGTGTTCAGGTGTTTGCTCTATTATTCTCAACAATGAAGTTACTCATCCTGACTTGTTCACAACTGATTGTTCCACATTGCCAACCTCAAATTGTTACTATGGCAGTTATTTACCACCAAATACTACATGTTTTGGAAAGGAATACTCTGCAACTGGAGTTTGTTCTGGTAAGGGTTCATGTGTTGATCAAGATACTTGTTCATGTAAGCAAGGTTATACAGGAAGTTATTGTCAATCTCCAATCTGTTACGGAAAGGAAAGTACTGCTTCTGATGCTTGTTCATCAAAGGGTACCTGTGATTCTCCTAACTTGTGTAAATGTCAAAATGGTTATTCAGGTTATGACTGTTCTACACCAACTTGTAATGGTAAGACTGAAACTGAAGGTGGCTGTTCATTCCGTGGTCAATGTGTTTCACCAAATACTTGTTCTTGTTTGGGTAATTTTGCTGGTACTTATTGTGATAAATGTAAGAATGGATTTACTGGTCCAACATGTGATATTGCAATTTGTAATGGTATTACCGCAACTGATAAGAGTGTTTGTGGTGGTAGAGGTAGTTGTGTTGCTGAAAATGGTGTTCCAGTTTGTAAATGTAATGATGGTTATGATGGATCAAGTTGTCAAAACTTTAAGTGTGATGGTATTGACCGTTCCAACACTTCATTTGTTTGTTCTTCTAAGGGTAAATGTATTTCATCCGGTGTTTGTTCATGTAGTGGAAATTATGACCCTCAAAAGTATTGTTCAATTTGTACTCCTGCATACACTGGTGAAGGATGTTTAGAAAGAACATGTTCTGATGAATTTACTTGTAATAGTCATGGTACTTGTAATTCTGAATTCAAGTGTGTCTGTAGTGCTGGTAGCAATTGGGTAGGAGAATTCTGTAATACTTGTAAGGATGGTTATGTTGGTGATAATTGTCAAATTGCTTGTTCTGCTTCAGTTAATTGTAATTCAAAGGGTACTTGTAATAAGGATGGTACATGCTCATGTCAAGGTAATTCAATTGGTGCCAGCTGTGAATCTTGTTTACCAGGTTGGTACGGTGATAAGTGTGATTATAAGGTTGATGAAACAACATTTGGTTTCACTGAAAAGGGTGACTCTATTGTTGGTACAATTTTCACACCAATCAAGAAGAGAATCAAGTGTTCTAGTGTTATTGCCAATGTTGATTCATTGGGATCCAATCCTGTTTGTATCTTTAACGAAAAGAATGTATTCCAAATTGTCCTCGGTTCTATGGCTACAATTAATATTGGAGATACCTTAAAGTTCAGAAGTTATCTTGATAGTGAAGAAACAGAAGATGTTCTTGTTAATAAGAAGGAATATCAAAGTATTGCTCCTGCTGCTGTATTGACTACTGACAAGGCATCCATCTCAAAGGCTTGTGGTAGTATCTATTTGGATGCATCTGGTTCTGTATCTTTGGATAGAAGAAAGCTTCTCTTCTCTTGGACAAACATTGAAGCTCCAACCCCAGATGATGATGAAAAGGTTGATAATCTCCTCGCTTCAGTTACTAGCTCTGGTGTTTCATTCACAGCAGAAACTCTTAGTGTTGGTTCTTATTTGGTTCAAGTTACAGTAAAGAGCTCATTCTCTCAAGAGCAAACTGTCAAGACAGTCAAATTTGAAGTTACAGAAAATACTGCACCATTTGTTACACTTAAGGATGGTCTTGAATCTACATTCACAATTGGTAGCAAGGCTGTCATTACTCCAATGATTTCGACTCCAAAATGTTATAAGGGTACAGGTCCAATCACTTACAATTATCAACAAGATCCTGGCTATCCTCAAACTGCTGTTGAAATTAAGACTCAAAATGAATTGTTAGTATTTGGTAATGACTTTACCAAGATTACTGAAGAAGGTGATTACTACTTTGTCTTGACTGTTTCTCAAGAAGGTGCCTCAGACACTGTTGTTCATTTCAAGGTTGTTGCAAAGGCATTACCATTGAAGGTTGCATTCAGTGTTAAAGACTTGTCTCAATCATTTGAAAACGATGTTAAATTCTCTGTCTACAAGTCTGATCCAAGTGCTCCAAGCTCAACTGATGGTATTGTCTCATTGACATGTATGAATACTGATACAGCAGAAATGTGTAATGGTTTCCAAGCTAATGAAAATAATATTGATCAAACAAGTCTTCAGTTTGTCAATCAAATGGAACCTGGTTTGTATCTCTTCACAGCTAGCTTTGTTAAAGGAACAAGAAAGGCTCAAGCTTCTCTCCAAATAACAATCTTGGATGAACCAAAATCTAGATTGATTCGTGTCCAAATTCAACCACCAAAAGATACAGATTTAACCTCATTAGATCCATCTGTTGATTTGGTCTTGCAAACTTCTGTATTGGATAGTTTGACAAATCAAAGAGTTTTCACATGGTCATCATCAGATATGGAATTTGATTCTTCAATTGTTGTTTCCAAGAAGTATATCACAATTCCAAAATCTCTACTTGCTCCTGGTGCTACTTATAAGGTTGATGTTACAATTGTAGATGGTAAGAAGAAGGGTTCTGCCTCTATTCAATTCACTGTTAACTCTCCTCCAACTTTGGGTGAATTTGAAGTTTCTCCATCCACAGGTGTTGCATTGAAGGATGAATTCAAGATTAAATGTGGTAATGGTTGGTCTGATCCACAATCACCACTCTTCTACGAATTCCAATATAAGAAACAAAACGATTCTACATGGAATATTCTCTCACAAAAGTCAGAAACCAAGTCAATCTCTGTTACACTCCCAGCTGGTGAATTGGATATTAAGGTCATTGTCTATGACTCTATGGGTGCTGCATCAGAAACAACTCAACAAGTAGTTGTCTCTCTTCCAGATGCTATCAGTGCTCTCGATACACTCTCTTCTGATCAAGGATCTGTCTCTGTTTCATCAATGGCATCTGTCATGAGTGTTATTGGTTCTGTTTCTCCAACAAATGCTGAGCAAGCTCAACAATTCCAAGAAGCTGCTTCTAACTTTGTTAACAAATACTTTGATCAAACATCTACTGAGGAATCTCTCACTGAACAAAGCACTGAATCCACCAATTCAAAGATTTCCGTAATTTCATCCATCAGTGGTTGTGTTGGTACTTTGAATGATGACACTGTTTCAAAGGTTGTCGATAATTTGGATAATACAATTTCAGGAGCTTCTTCAAGTGGTTCTGTAAAGATGGGAGCCGATCAAATTGATTCTACCAAGGGTTCAGCAGGTGTTTTAGAAAGTCGTGTAACTTCCTCACTTTCTCAAGCTCGTAATTTGATGAGGCTTAGATCAACCAAGTCTCGTAAACTTACAACAAGTGATTTGGCCAAGTTAGATAATGTTTTCGCCAATTTGGTTGAATGTGAAATTAAGAATGTTGTTTCTGACATGCCTGCTATTAGAGGTGAAGGTATTGGATCTTATTCTTATGCCAGATTAGTCAGTGTTCCTACTCTCTCTGGATTGAATGAATTTGTCAATGATAAATCCTCATTCAAGATTAATGAAGCAGTTACTTCACTTCCTGAACTAGCTGAAATTGAAAATGTCAAGCTTTATATGAAGGTTTCTACACCAACATCAGGTTACAATCTTACAGCTGCCTCTAAATCATTTGAATTCTACGTTTTCGATTCCACAAATTCATTGAATATTGTCTCAAATGAAACTTTGGCTACATTGTCAATTGAAAGAACTCCACAAACTAGAAAGATTGTCCAATCCTATAAGTGTATGGAATTGAATGGAACTACCTATGTTGAATCATCTGATTGTACTATTGCCTCAAATGATACAAGTACATTCTCTGTTCAAGTTAAACGTACTGGTACTTTCACTATTGGTTTGTTCTCCACTGTTGAACAAGATACTGTTGAACAAGTTAAGAACACAACTGAGATTACTAATACCACTTCTGTCACTAATACTACAACAGTTACTAATACCACAACAGTTAGCAATAATACCTCTGTCACCAATACTACCACAGTTAGTAATAATACTTCAACTACAAATACTACCTCACCTACTAATTCTACTGTCAATCCAAATCACAGCTCAATTCCAAATACAGATACAAGCACAATTAGTCATCCAACAAAATCAAGTGGCTTAATTGCTATAATGAATGATGACGTTGCTATTGGTGTATCAGTTACTTTGGTGGTACTTGTTTTAATAGCCACTGCTGGTGTAGTTGTAATAGTTGCTATACGAAAGAAGAAAGAAGATAAACTAATTAAAGAAGTAGTTGCAGAGCAAGCTGCTAAGGATATTGAAATGGAAGAGGTAACCCCTACTTTAGATGATCAACAACCACAAGAAACTACACTTGAACCTTCTTCCGAGCCTTTGGTTACTATTGAACAACCAGTTGAAGAAGTACCAACAATAGTTTCTCCTCCAGAAATTGAAAAACCAGCCGAAAATATTATCACTTCTGATGAAATTGAATTGGAAGAATCCGCCACTACAAAATTGAAAACAATGAAAAGCAAGTGGTTGAAGAAGAATCAAAGGATGAAAAATCTGCTGACCAAGTTGTTAGTGCAGATGATAATGATAATAGTGGTAATGTTGATACGGTTGATGAAGGAGATGCTTCAGAAAATCAAGTTTAAATAAAATTGCTTTAATCCATTTTTTTGTTTGGTTTTGTGGTACTGGTTATCATTGGCGCGAACAAGATTGATGAAAAGTTTTGGTACTCACTTTTGGTCTCTACCCTTGCAAGCTAAACTCGCTGGTGTCTTGTTTGGGTAAGAGTATTAATAGTTAATAAATAATAAATACACTAATATAACAAAATGTAACTGTTGTTTCCCTCATACATAAACAATTTTTGAAAATACACAAGAATCCCGTGTGGTCCAATGGCTAAGATACCTGGCTCTCACCCAGGAGATCCGGGTTCAATTCCCGGCACGGGAGGGTTCATTTTACTTTTTGTCAAGTTCTAATCTTGTGCTTTTTCATCTTTGTAAGCTTGCTTCCAATATTAACAAGGCTTCGTCGATATTTCCACTATGATTGAAAAGATTTGCCAATTCTGTTGAGGCAAATTCTCTTTCGAATAGATATTCATTCCCATATTGTTGTCATTGCATTTTGGAGATCAGGTACTGAACCTGTCAAGTAAATTTCTCTGCTGGAAAGGTATAATTCGTTGCTAGTGTTGGATTTGGTGGAAAAGTATTGAGTGTTGTTTGTCTGAACATTCTACTCATAAGGAATCTTTGATAGAACAACATTTAATCTAATTTATTTCTAATCTCTAATAATTCTTCAGCAAGATTTGTAAATGAAGGTCTTTTTTCAAAATCTTCACGCCACGAAGAGCTTATCAATGAAAATACTGAATTAAGAGCTGTTAAATACTTATCAAATGGATCGACTTGTGCAATACTCATTCTCATATTTTGATTCGAATATTTCAAATCATCCATAACGAAATATTCTCTAATCCACATTTTCATTATTTGTGAATGAGAATTAATTGGCAATGTAGGAAGAGGCAAACGTAATCCTTCAGATATTAGTTTTGGAACTAGTAGGAGAGAAGTCTGATTGGCAAGTTGAGCAAATGTGTCAATTTCCTGTTTTGACATGATTGTGGAAAACTTTTGATTAGTTCCATAATTGTGTTGGAATAATAAATTCTCATCAAACATTAATTGCCACATGATGATTGCAAAACTATAGACATCTGATTTTTCATTGTAATGTTTACCTAATAGAATTTCTGGACTCATGAAAAGCAATGTGCCAACGTGTCCTGTTTTGGTAGTGTTTGAACTCTCATTGGAAAGTTTTGATAATCCAAAATCGCAAACTTTTGGTGATAAATCATTAGAAAGTAAAATATTTCCAGGTTTTAAATCTCTGAATCACTTCTATTAGTATAATTTACATTTTCAATAACTCACCTATGAATAATCATACAATTATCCTTTCCTCCATGTAAATAACTCATTCCATTTGAAATTCCAATAAGAATTGAAATTTTTTGTTTCAAAGTGAGATGCTTCTTCTTCATTTTACATTCGTATATCAACTTTTCCAAACAACCTCCATTCATATATTCAGTTACCATAAATTTGGATTGTTCAGAAAGAACAACTCCATAAAAGTTTACAATATTTGGATGTCTCATTGATGAAAGCATTGAAGATTCATGTTCAAATTCAGTAGTATCCATTTCATCATCGTCTATTTTGATACTCTTCAAAGCAACTTCAACATTCTTCCAACTTTGATATGTCAGAAATCACTCTTTAAATGAAATACTAAAACTTACTATGCTAAATAGACAACACCCATGCCTCCTTCTCCAATTTTCTTTATAACCTTAATATCTTCAAGCTTGATTAACCAATTCTTGATTGAGTGTTTACTCTCCAATTCTGAAGCATACAGAGATTGCAAATCTAACAATTTTTGAGTTAATTCCACTTCTGCTTGTTCTTTCTTATGGAGAATTTTAATCTTACTCCTCATTCCTTGAAATTTAACACAACCAAATGTGATTACAATGCAAGCCAAACAACTAATGATAAAGAAAGCAATAAATATAAATGGAATAATAAGAGGAGTGTTAAATTGGCATGAATATGCAAAATCTCCTTTTACAATCTTTTGTTCACGTTGCAAACTAAACCAAGGTCTACACCGAGTTGCTCTAATTGGAATGGAAATACTTGAAGAATAACTTTCTTTAGTAAATAATGTTGTTTTGATCGTAAAGGTTAAAGTGGAATTTCTATCAGATAGTTCCTTTTCAGATCTGGAATATAGAATTCCATTCAAAACATTGGAAGAAATTTTCTGAAACTCTACTACATGGTTACTATTTGAGACAAAGACTTCAATATCATATTCTGTCAATGAATTGACAGTTGGATCAATTATTTGATCAAATATATCAATATTTAGGGTAACTTTCTCACCGAATGATATTTCGAATTGTGGAATACTAGTATTTCCCATATGATTAGTGTAATTCAATTGTTTTTCTGGAATTGTTAAAGAAATAAACTCTGGAAAGGATGCATAATTTGAAAGTGTTCCATTTCCACAATAGTTATTCGAGTAGGCATTGCCTGTTGTTGTAGATCTAGTTCCAATAGTATATAATCCACCTCCCAATATGGAAGCATAATTTTCAGAAACTGAACTTTCTAGCCCTAAAAAAAGTGAAGATTTCAGTGTGAAAATCGCACCACCATATTTGCTGGCCTTATTCCAATTAAAATAAGAATATTCCAGCTTTATATTTGTTGTATATAATGAATCAATGGCAGCATAGGCACCTCCATAAACAGCTGTATTATTTTCAAACATCTTTGGGCATTAGAATTTTCAATTAAAACTTGGTAATACTCACATTGCTTGAAGATTGAAATTGTTTTGCGTATTGAGAAAAAATAGCACCACCTATTAATGCTGAATTATTAAAAAAATAGCACCGAACAACCTGAAGCATGGATTGATATTGAAAAATAGAACCACCACCCACACCTTCATCTGGTTTTAGATTGTTCGATTCGAATAACTGATTATTGTTTTCGAATAATGTTGCACGAACATGTAACTTGTAAATATCTTTTACAGTTATTGCAGATCCTCCCCTTCTGTTTGAGTTTCCACTAAATATTGTATTTTGAATATTTGCATAAATTCCTACACCTTCCAAATATAAAGCTCCAACAATGTCACATCCTGTAAATTTGCTTTCATCAATCTTTACATTGAGAATAGATAGAGATGATAAATACAGGGCAGGATATTCTGTTTTAGCGTTAAAGGTTGCAAATACCTTTCCAATATGAGTTGGAAGATTGTTGGTGAAAAGACTATTCGAAATGGTAACACTTTTGGCTTCAACGAATTGAAAAGATGATTTTGAGAAATTAGATCTACTAACTACAAAATCAGGTCTTCCAAGGTCATTATTTCCTGTTGCATAGATTTGGCCAGACTCGAATTGAATTAAAGAATAATCAAATGAACAATTCTCAATTTGCAAATTACCATCCCAATAGTAAAGTGCACTCATAGCCACTCCCATAAATCTAGAATTCCTAATCAAAATCTTACCCTCTCTTTTTTCAATAGCACCAGAATTAATATGTATCTTTGTTCCCCATTTTTCAATAGTTTCTGAACTAGTCAATACAGTTGACTGTTGCAAAGCATTCAATATAAATTCACTTCCAACAGTAACATTATCCAGAGTCAAACTACCATTATATATAGCATAAAAATAATAAAGCAAACAATCGACAACCTCTAATTCACTTCCTTTAAAAACTCCTGAAAGCCTCAAATTCAAATTTTGAAATCTGACAAATGGCACAATCGTCGCCTCTACTCCAATAGAACAACTAAAACTTCTCTTATTCGATGAAGATATTAACAATTTTGTAATATTTGAATTTTTAAATTTCCAATCACAAGGAACATAATCATCCAATAAATTAATTCGAATATTGGTATTATTTGATGATGATAATAAATCGAGAGCATAATCAATACTTCTACATGGATGAAGCAATGAAGAACATGATGGAGAATCCTTTCCGTTTCTATATTCAAGGAAAATATCAAGAAATTCTTCTTCTGCTTGCTGATGTGCTAGTAGAATGAAGCTGAGCAACAACAAAAGGAGAAGGAGATGTTGGAACCTCCATGTCAGAGCAGGTTGATGGATGAGTCGTGTCATTGGCCAATTTTTTGTGATTATTTTTGGATTTGTTGTGTTAAAGATTACGTCGTGTGCTATGAGATTTCATTCGAAATGGAACGCCAATGGATTGCATTTTACTTAGAGGAGCAAGACCTTACCTACTTCAAGGTTTTGACATTTTTTAAAGTAAGGATTCAGATTTAGTAATCAACAGCGAAAAATAGATTACCATGTGAAATAATTCAGAAAATGTTGTTTTTAAGCTGTTGTAATTAAAATTGTAATTTTTCATAATGGCACATTGATTATTATCTCGTGAAATACCGTTTGAAAACATTACAATTCATGAATAGTAGTTTTATATAGACTGTCGCGTACTGTTAATTTTATGTGGTGTTATTATATATCATTAGAAGTCAACTTGGCCAGTTTCAGGCTATTTTAAAACTAAACATGACTGGCTGACGTATATTTAGAACTGTTAAGTGTTTCATTTCCTCTATACATTTTACTCCTTCATTGCTAATGCTATTGTTGGAAATATCAAGATTGGTCAATTGTTTCATTTCACTAATGTATTTAGCTCCTTCATCACCAATATTATTGTGAGAAGCAGAAAGAATGGTTAATTGATTCATTTCCGCTATGTATTGAACTCCTTTAGCACCAATTTGATTGATAGAAATATCGAGATCGGTCAATTGTTTCAATTCGCTAATGTATTTAGCTCCTTCAACATCAATATTATTGTAAGAAATATTAAGATCGGTCAATTGTTTCATTTCACTAATGTATTTAGCTCCTTCAACATCAATATTGTTGTTAAAAATAGTAAGACATGTCAATTGTTTCAATTTGCCAATATATTTAGCTCCTTCATAGCCAATATTATTGGTGGAAATATTAAGAATGGTTAATTGATTCATTTCTGCTATGTGTTGAGCTCCTTCAGCACCAATGTGATTGACAGAGATATCAAGATTGGTCAATTGTTTCAATTCACTGATGTATTTAGCACCTTCAACACCAATATTATTGTAAGAAATATCAAGACTGACCAATTGGTTCAATTCACTTATATATTTTGCTCCTTCATCATCAATTTCGTTGTTAAGAATATAAAGATGAGTTAATTGTTTCAATTTGCTAATATATTTAGCTCCTTCATTACCAATATTATTGTTACAACCAATAAGTTCAGTTAGTGATTTCATCAAGACAAGTTTTTTGTAATTATCAAAAGTGGTATTAATCTCTAGAGTTGCAATATTTTGTAAAAATTGGCCATTCAGTTCGACTTTTCTTCCACATTCCAATGAAAGATGACGACATGATGATAAAACAACATTCAACCACTGCTTGGACACCAATGCACAATTCATTACAATAAATTTAAAATCATTAAAAAAAGACAAAATTTCATAAATTGTATCATCATTAAAATCTTGTTTCTTCCTTGTTTCCAATGATTCCGATAAATGTTGTGTTGAGTGTTTTTCCATTTTTTTCGTTTGAGTTCCGATTATCCCGCTAAACCCTTTTCGCAAATGCTGGCTTGACTGTTAACGATTTTTTGTTAATGGATTTTTGCGATGTGAGCGAAATGTAGAATTGCCCAAGCTCGACTTGTAAATTTTTTCGAAACTATTTGAAATTTCGCCAAGTCTTGAAATTAATCAAGTCATATATTAAATGTATTGATTGTTGTAATGAACTGGAATATACTTGTTAGGCCTGTTTGGAAGGGTCAAGAATAACACACGGAACCTTTTTTCCTTGATATCTCAATGATACGTTTTGGATCTTCAATAGCAAGCTGTATTGAATAAAAGTCATTAGAAAAGGACTCAACCTGACAAACCTTCTTTGTTTTTGTATCAAAGCATCTCGTTTCTTACTCACTACATAGTTGCCAGCAATACATTGTCCTGAATTTAAGGGTTCATTCAGATCAAGAAAATCACATAATTGACACGTATCTTAATACGTAATGGATTCTATTGAACTTGTTCTGCAGGTGTTAAAGGATTAGCAAGATTTGTTTCCGTAAAGAAGGCACCTCCAAATTTTCTGTGAACTGAACTTGTAAAATGCTGTTGATTGTACTGCCCTTTAGCAATGAATTCTGCCTTTTTGGAGAAGGATGGCCATGATTCCAGTTCTTTATCATAGCAACAAATTTGAGAGAGTTGCCTTTCAATCTTGATTTAAAATTGGAGATTTTGATTTCATGCCCTGATCAGATTCGGATTCAGATTCAGATAATACCTAAGCTGGTTCACCAAAGTCCAAAATCAAGATATCATCCGATTATCGCACTTGACTATTCAACATTACGTTATTCAAGATTATTTTCGAATGTATGGGCAAAAGTATTGAGAGAAATAAGAACAAGCTTACCAAGTACAAGAATGTTTTTAGAACAATCAAGAGCAAAGCTAAAGCAAAATTGGAGGGTGAGAATTCAAATAGTGAATCCACTGTAAATGAAGTTGAAGAGATCTCTAAGAAGAAATCGAAGAAAGGTGATAATGAATCAAAGAAGAAGAATGAAAAGAACAACAGTAAGAAGAGAGTTAGAGAGGAAATTTCAACAGATTCAAACAGTTCTACTGATTCTGATAATTAATTGTAAACAATCACGTCCTTTCGGAATTTAATTTAATAAAAAAAATGGGAAGACACACATTTTAACTTCCTTGCAACAATTTCGGTTAGTTGTTTTATTAGATTATTCACTCTGAATTCATCATCATTTTAGTTTCTTCATGTAATTGTGTTGGTAATTGTTATTATGTAAAATTGAATGTAAAGAGGGCCCAAAGTAATGGTAATTTGTTATTTAATTTATTTATGTAGGTTGATTTGATGAAGATTTTAATGCAATAGGTGAGTCGGAGTACTACAATAATTTAATGGTAATTTGTTTAATTTGTTTAATTTATTTACAATTATTCAATTTAAATACAATAATATTAATTGATATTCAACAGTTTAATTAATCAGCAATGGTATTTGCAGAGGTTGATTTGATGAAGATTTTAATTCAATCGAGTGAGTCACGAGTATTACAATAATTTAATGGTAATTTGTTTAATTTATTTAATTTATTTACAGTTATTCAATTTAAATGCAATAGATTTATTGGATAATGATGAATAATTTAATGGTAAGTAGCTTGTTGGTGTTTCATTTCTGATGAATTAGATGAGAGGAAGTGAACGCTTTTAGTTGGAAGCAGGAAGTGAGTGAGTATATTTTTTTTCAGATGGATTTAGTCGGAATTTCGGAACTTGGATTGACGACAACTCGACTTGGAATTTTATTAGAGTTGTGTGTAAATCATTAACAGTTTTTCGTTAATGATTGATGACAATTATGAGTCAAATTTTATTGTGAAATATTGACGATTTTTCGCTAATGATTAACGTTTTTTGATAACAATTTTTCAATAATATTTAACGTTAAACATTATTGAAAAATCGTCAATAATTTACGATAAAATTTAGCGTTAATTTACCTGTAAATTTGAAATTTTTTTCCCAACAAACGTTTACGTTTTTATTTCGTTTTTTTTGTTAATTATTAACGAAAATCAATAAAGTTTGACTTGAATTTTTGTTAACAAAAGTGCGAAAAAATTTATGAAAAAATAAAAATATTTACGTGGAAATATTTTAGCGGGTTACCAACAACATCATTCTATTTTGCAGAAAATCAAAAGATCAATTAAATAATTAATGTTTTTTATGGTACGCAGTTCCTTATTTCCTTCAGATAAATATAAATCCCATATTAATACAGCAATATCAAAATGAATTTGCGTTTACATATTTACCATCTTCTATTTCCTCTAACTTTTTGGAATCAGGATTAGAGCAAGTATCCATTCCCCAACTCTCTCCTTTAGTTGAGCAGATTTCATCAATTGAATAGTTAATTGTATTAAGAATTCTTCTCATTTTCATATAGATTATTGAATAGAACACCATCGAGATAGTTTCCAGATCATATAAGTCAAGATGCTTGGGAAGAAATTGTTGAAAGGTGAATGATAACAGAACAGGGAGTTCCATGTTGGTTCTTCTTTAATGATGGCATCGTTTTTTGTCTCTACCTGAATTTTTTAGTCGTTGGTCTTTTGGTTTTTTTTAAGGACTAATTTTTAAGGGATATCACCAACATCTGGACGTGTTTTTTCAATGTAGCATCAAAACAAGATTGTTTAATTATTGATATTTAATACAGTAGTAATATATATTATTTACAAGTAGAAGAGTTTGTCGTTAAGCACATCTTTAAAGTCTGCTGATTTGGTGTATTGTCCAACTAAGGAAGCAATCTTGTGTGCATACATACATGGAGATGGCACTCTGATAGTTCCAAACCAATTATAATAATTGTGGCAAAGTCTGAATGAAAGTGTCTCCAAATATTGTTTAGACAGAGAGCTTTCGTTAAAGATGGAGTGGTATTTGGTTGGAGTAGCTGTTCCTTGACCATTATCAACCTTTTGAGCAACCAAATAAAATTCAATGGCCAAAGGATCTTCTCTTTGACTGGTAACTCCATAATCCAAAACTGTTCCAGGTTGTGGATTGGTGAAATCAGTTGGCTTGGTTGGATCTGTTTGAGCAAATATTCTAGTATTAATTCTCTTGGAAACTACAATATAATTGAGTTTGCAACTTGGAGCAATATTCATAATAGCTTTCTTACAAGCCATTACTTCCCTCTCCAATACAGCCTCTTTCTGGCCTTCTCCAACACCATCTCTATAGAAAATAACATGTTTTGGTAATATCTTATTCTTTTCCTTGAATTTGTTGAGGGCAGCAGTCATACATTCTTCCAACTCATCTACAATTTCCTTTCCAGCTTCTTGAATTATACACTTTGTAAAGTATGTAGAAATTTTTGCATCAATACTTGCTACAAATCCAGCTACACTAGCCTTTTTTCTTTTGTAAATTTCTCCTGAGTGGTATACATCCATTCCAATAATCATAGTTGGTTCCTTGTTTGGAAAAGCAAGAGGAACTGTCCATGGTGCACCTCCCATTTTAGAACAAATTTGCACTATTACCTTGGTTGCCTTAGATGCTAATCCCTTTTCGTTAGTAATGGTACTCAATTTAACACATTGGCTAATTATACCAACTTGATTGCACAATACCTCCTTGACTCTCGAATATCTTTGCTTTTGATCATTAAATAAAACCACCAGAGCAAAAGAAGGCTTATTACCGCTCATATATTCTTCAATTTCAGATGCATATGTTTCCTCATTGTTTCCACTAAGTTCAACTAGTTTAGGAGTTCCTAAAATCATTCCTATTGGCTTGGAAACATCATTCAATGATTTGATAAAGTTTGTAGTGTCTTGTTTTGTTCCATTTGGATGGAAAACACACCAATTGTCGATCTTAACTGGTTTGAAGAGTTTTTCTCTCTTTACCTCCCAAGATGCTCCAGTGGCAGTTTTTTGCAAATTATCACCAAATTCCACTTTCTCGCATGGAAGAACAGTGGTCTCCACCTCCAATAACTTATCATTAATTTCCAATCCCCAAAGACCTAATTGGTCGGTATATTCCTCATTTTGAAGACATTCTTGTTGTGAGTGTACAATTTGTCTAATTCTTTGATTTGGAGTGAGACCTGTGGCATCCTTGAGAGCCTTCATTAATTGGTGATTCTTTCTCATATCATCAGTCAATCCAGTAAGCAAACACAATTCAGGTAGATAATATTCAATTTTTTGAGGGTCTTTTCTATCTACATGCTTTAACAATGGTTGATTCATATCCTTAACCTTAATTTTGTATTGTTCTTGATAATATTTGGCAAATGTAATCTTTTCACCAGTTTTCTTTACAAATGTAGATTTTGGGGTCTTTTCAAAATCTACATCATCAATATGTACAGTTCGTTGATTGTAGGTGCATAATACAATGGTATTTCTGAATTCATTTGCAATTCTGTCATGACTATCAAACTTGTCCATTAGATCCATAAGCATAGAATACACAGTGTCTGTTCTTAAAGTTTTGTAGATCATGTCCACATTCAACATCAGCCCCTTGCTGCCTAAGAATGTTGTTGATAATGCACCAGGTAATATCTTAATATGATGATTTTCAATATTGGCAACGACTTTTTCGTTAGTATTATAGTAATGTCTGCCAATTCTTTGTAAATGCAAGCTGTTTTGAGCCTTTCTCAAAATGATATTCATAAATTGGAGAGTGGTTGCATCTATTACTTTAGAGGTTATACTTCTAGCAAAATTAATTGTAACCTTGTAGACTTTCTTATCCTTAACTAAAGTTTTCTCAAAAGTTTCCTTATTCTTGGTGAGTGGATTTTTAGTGTAGAGAACTGTTGTTCCATCAAAAAGATAAATCTCATTGATTGGCATGACTTGTTTGACTAAGTTCCCAGCAAAATACTTGCTGTCAACATCAGGATTAATCTTTACATCATAGAGATAGAAAGGTCCCTCAGGAGCTTTTACAGGGAAATAGTTGACTACAGCACGTGAGGTAGTGCTTTCTGCTGGTCTTTCTGTTTGTGCACTCGAAGAGCCAACATTTGAGAGATCTTCAATCTTGATAGTTCTGATGGAAACTTCCTCAATGGCTTTTCTATTACCAAATGATAGTTGAGAAGGCTGTTGGTTGAAACCAGTTCCACGACCACCATGGGAAGGTGTCTTTGAACCATAAGAACCACGACTGCTACTGCTACTACTACTAGCTCCACCTGATGATGATGATGACGAAGGTCTACTTGAATGGAATTGACCACTGCTACTTCCTCCAGAATGATGATCCACCACTGCTCTGCTACTACCACTTCCCCTACCAGCACCTCCACCTCCTCTACTGCCACCTCTATAAGTGCCACCTCCTCTCTCTCCTCCTCTACTATTACCTCCACCTCCTCTATTTGAACTCATTGTGTGTGATTATTGTTTTGTGATTGCTAAAGCCTTTCCGAAGCCTTTTTTCAACAGACGAAAATATATTTGCTGATGTGCTTTGTGTGTTTTGTTATTTTTTTCTAGTTGAAATTGAATTATTTGAAGGCTTTTAAAGGTTCAAAGGCACAATAAGTTGAGAATTCCCAACACTCAAAAAAACACAACATTTTGTACAATTTGCAAGAAAGTTTGTTTTGTATAAAACACTTTCCGAGACACAATGTGCTTGAAGTTAATAATTATCATTTGGATGGCATTCATATTATAAATTGATAAAAAATTTATAGTTTGAAAAAGTTACTAGTTGCTGGACTTTTGACCTTGATGATGCAATCTTCATTGATTTCTTCCCAATTCTTTTGGGATTGAACAGAGATTTTTGTTTGAAGAAATTCTCTCAGGTGAGGATACTTGTCGAAAGGATTAATATCTGCATCAATGTGGGTTAGTAAGACATTTTTGAGTTGATTGGCAAGTTTCTTGTCTTGGTCTGATAACAGGGACATTTTGTCGATATTAATTTCAAGAATTTTGCAGTTTCCTCTCTTTTTTGTATGAACCTTGATGAAAATAATACCATCATTGATGAGCGAGTTGATTTCTGGAGTATTTGTGTTGTTGGATTGACCAGATGACATTGTTAGAGGTAAGAATGCATTGGCAACCTTCTTATTTGGATCTGATTCCATTTCTCGAGGTGAAATCTTAATATGACTAGAGGTTCCAACAAGTTGTGGGGAAGAGTTAGAAGCATTATTAACAGTGAGTTGAGACTTTTTGGAGAGAGTTGACCATGAAGAAGATGGATTTGGGCTTTCTGCAGGATGTCTCTTTCCTAAAATCCAATTTTTGAATTTGCTCAATGATTGATTCTTGTGTTGTTCATTCTTGAATGGACTCTTTGGAGATGTGTCATTAAGTACTGGTTGCTCCATTGTTGGATTATTATGATTTTGGGATGGCGCATGGTTATTTCCAAAGAGGGCAGCCAACGATTTCTTAGGTCTACTCTTCTTGGCTGTTGGGTCATTGATAGTAGAATAGTGATGATGTTGTGAATGCTGTGGTTGTTGCATTTGTTGTTGTTGCTGCTGTTGCTTGCCAAGTCCAACAGTTGTTCCATTAACATAGAATGAATAATCCTTAGCACTCTCTGGTATGTAATAACCCAGCATTCTTTGGATTTTCTTTCCTCTCAAATTAGAAACTGTATTATCTTGAATGTGTTTCTGCACAAGATAATTTTCAAATCGTGAACTCTCAAGGAAAAGTGGAAGAATGTGATTTTTCAAGCTAATCTTGACCTCTGTTGTGGCTGCCTCGAAAGTATCTGGAGAAATCCACCTCGAAAGATGTAAATCGCCAACACCCTTATGTCTCGATATCACTGGTGGAATCAATAAAGCACTGACTCTATTCTCGACTTTGAGTCTGGTTTCGTTTGATAAATTAAGCTCGCTATTTGATCCTGGTTTAATATATGTCTCGAAAATTTGTTTAATCCTTTCCATTTTGATTTCATACTCTATCATTAACTTTCCAATATTTGAAGCAATGCAGTTCTGGCACTCTGATCTGAATTCTTCTTCTTCCTGTAAGAAGAGAACTAGCTCCGAATTGTGATGTTCATTTAGAAAGTCGAAAAATAATGGCTTGAGTTGTGGATCTCCTAGAATTGATGAAACTGTATAACTGTTGGCTCGTGGTTGTTTTTTAATTCCAGAATTACTCCTCATATGACCAATTCCATGATTAGACATTTTCCTAGAATGATGAGAAGATACCTTGCCAGGAGAACAAGCAATAGAAGAAGTGGTTGGTGATAAAGCTCTGGCAGGAGAACAAGCCCCCTGAAAAAGTTGTTGTTGTTGTGGAGATGAAATTTGAAGAAACTTGTTGAATTCCTCTGAAGGCACGGATCCGTGTCTCACCTTGGATTTTCTCGATGTATCTATTGGACTACCTGTAACACAAGTATTCTCATTCGAAATGGTTGCTGTGTTCAGAGATGGTGAATCCCCAGTAAAAACATCCAATTCATCTGATGCCACCAGAAGTGTATTGTTGTTCAAATTATTTGTCGTTCTTGATGATGAAGGTGAATTAATTCCACCACTTGTAGAGGATTTTCTTGGCTTGGTCAATTCAGAGCTTGTTGCAGACATGAGTGGTGATACTGGCTGTAAGGAGAGGTAAATTGGTCTCTGTGGAGGAGGTGTTTGTTCAATAAAGAAGGATGATTCGTCCATGTAATCTTCCATTGTTGGAGTCTTATCGTTATTATTAAATTCATCAAGATCTCCATATGTATCACAATCACCATAGTCAAGTAATTCATCATCGTCGAGTATGAGTTTTTCAAAAGGTGATGAGTCTGTTGTTGCTTGATGATTATCGTCATCGAACATGAGAGAGGATTCATCATCAGTGTGAAACATTGGATAGGAATAGTCAGTTGCAGAGGAAGTTGCCTGCAGATACTCGCTTTCATTCATCATGGAATGTGTTGTGTAGAAAGGTTTCGAATAGTTAAAAGTATTCTCGTTATTATTACCGATCAGTAAATGATTGCTTTCTGCACCGCTAAAGGAAGATGATGCAAAAGTATTAGCGTAGGTGTTATTGTTGAAATTGTAATGATTACTCGAATATTGTTGTTGTTGACCTCTTCTCTGCTCTTCCAATGTTGAAGATACAGAAGTAGTGTTATTATTGTTTTTTAGTTTCTTGTTGTTGAGACCATCATGATGTGATTCGAAAAGATCCGATTCAGTAGACGAGCCGTTATTATTGAGGGTGAAAGTAGACATCTGGCAGTACTTGTCTGGAAGGTGGTGTAGCGTTGTAGCTTCTCGGGAGGCATTGAGTTGCCTTACCTGTTGCTTCCACTCAAATTCCTCCTTTTGGAAATGTTCCATCAATACACGAGGAATGTCTGAGTGTCTGCATGAGTTGTTATTATGTTGATGAGGATGATGATTATTCTTCATTGTTGATATTTCATTGTTATCATTAATATTACCATTAATATTATCATTATGTGGATAATGAGGAACATTATCAGTATTTAAATTATTATTATTACTAATAGCGGGATCGGAGGAAGAAGACTTAAATTACTATTTGTTGTTCTACCTTGCAAGGCATTCAGAAAGTTATTAAATTGCGTCTCCAAATCTTGTCCCTCCAAATTATCAAATAGCTTTGAAAAATCATTATCTCCCATAACATTTTTCATCATCACCCCAGAAGAAGAATTCACCTCCTCTTCATCATAAAAGCTTCCTTCATCATCATCTTCATTATCGTAATTTTCTTTTTGGCGGGAATTTACAGTCATTGAAGAAGAGTAGATAAACCTCGATTTCCTCTTCAACATCATGAGTCTTCGATATTCTTCTTCGGAGAGTGGATTTTCACCATCTTGTGAGTGGATGGGTTTTTTCCTTCTCGATTTACGAACTGTGGGAAGGTTTAAATCTCGGATTGTTGGTGTTGTTGTTGAGGTGTGCTGGTGATTTGGGTCTTGTTGAGTAGTCGTATTCGAAAGTTGGCTTGATGAAGATGAAGAATTATTGGAAAGTAAAGATGTTGGAGGGAGATGAGGACTGATTGTTGCCGAACTCACACTTCTAAATCGTTCCTTGGAGACAATGAAAGGTTTAGGAGAGTACTTGTTGTGGGTAGGATTCGAATAATTATTAGAATTATTAATCATTTCATTGTGATCAGTGGAAGATGAAGAGGATGATGTGAGAAGGTGTCTACCAGTAGTATTCGTTGTTGTTGTGGTACTTGCTGTTGTTGCAACCATTGAATTTAATGAAGGTCTCTCACTATTCGAAAGACTCACAAATTAAGATTCTTTTTTCAGAAATGAATGTTTGTGGGCTTGTCAGTCTTGTTTTTGGACCTTTGAATAAATATTGATGAAGATTTCACTGAAGATTATTTCTATCCAATTCGCAAATTCTCAAGTTTCGAATAGAACCTATTGATGATCAAATGTGAGAAAGTGAACCACTGAGAACAGCACTCTAGAATGTAATGATGAAGGATGCTTGTTCGTTTTTTTGAAGGTTTTTATTTCTTCTAGAAGGTGCATTAATTTGCTATACATTTGACATGTCACTTTTAGCAAATCAGTAAATTGTACGTTTTTGTTTGAGGACGCCCACATGTGGGGTTTCATTTTGACAGAACTGTTGGGTGTGATTCGTGTTTTAATAGATGAAACAATAACTAAACTTGAGTTGTTATTAGTTGTAATTCGAAAGTTGGAAATGTTCAAGTTGTTTGGGTTAATATTCGAATCATTGGAATAAATTGTATTTGTTATTCTTCAGTCTCAAGTTCACAAGACGTTTGACCAAAGTCAACTGTCCATTTTTATGTTGAGAAAAATTCCAATTTAGGATGTTTGTTACAGGACAATAAGTTTGAAGAAGAATAAACGCAATTCATATATTTACAATTCAAAAAATACAATTTTCATTTCATCATAATCAAGATTCCAAACAATATTCTAGTAGATTTACAACATCTTGTACATGTCCAATTTTCTCTTGAGTTCAACACTGTATACCACCTCGTGAATATTCTTAAAGGACTTTCTAACATCTTCCTTATCAAATGTATTAACAAACGAATAGTGGAATCTTCTTCTTCTCTTATGTTTGCTATTGAAAAGTTCAAATGTTTCTTCCAAATATTTGATTGGTGGTTTTTTAGGGCTTGGGGAATATTTAGGGAAAACCTTGGTGAGTAGGGATGGATCTTGAGAAAGTTTTTGATTCTGTTAAAAAGGGTTTCAGATGGAAATTGTTAATATTTGATTGAGGAATGTTAAATCTACTTACAAATATATCGAGATGTGTGAAAATAAAGCAAATTTGAGTGTCTGCAAACTCTTCTGCCATCAATAATTTTTCCAAAATTTTGAAAATGTTTACAATGGATGCACTTGATTTTCCATTGACAATTACTTGTTTCTTTAAAAAGTTTAGAGTTGGTATTGAACTTGATCCGACCACTGAATTATTTTGTTGATCAATATCTTCCAGGGAAACAGTAATGACAATGGCATCGATAGAGAGCTCTTTAATTGCAGAGGTGACCTTCTTCTCATCTACACTGGTTCTTGTTGAGAAGATGGTATACGGTGTTCTTCTGAACATGAATTCGAGAGGCGCCTTTTCAGTACTCATATTCAAACTTTCGTAATTATTTCTGTATTGTGAAAGGTCTTCGGTGAACATGTCATCACTAATGCTTTGTGAAGATGTGGTCTTGATAGAGGATCTTCTAACTTCTTCTGTCATTTCCCTGCTGGCCAATTCATTTTCAATTATGTTCAATGGATGGAAATGAGTCTTTTCTGGATAGGCAACAATATCAAACTCTGTTGGTAAGTAATTTTCTTGGAGAATTCTTGGAGCTTCATTCAAAAAGCTACAATAATAATATATGTTAAAAACAATGAGAAAATAAAAGCACTTACTATGCAATGTTGGCAGTAAAGAACAATTTGTGAATGTCGTGTGGAAGTGACGTGAAATAATACTTGTTAGAAAGCTTTCCATAGATTGAGGATAAATTTGTAAAGATCTTGACAAATTCCTTATTGGTGGACAAGGCAACAATGGAATCTCTCACTTGTGGAATGAGGAATGTGCAGGCATGCTTATCAGAATTATCCAAAATATCAAAAAGGGCTTCGCAATTCTTTGACAAATCAGGTGAAAGTACAATAAGTGGTTCTTCCTTATCTAAAGCTTGCAACAATTGTTTCAAACTAATAAATTGATGGAACAACCAGGCAGTGAATGCTTGAATATGTTGCTTGTAGGTTTTGGCTTCCTGTAAACTGACACTCTGTCTGAACATGGTTCTTATTTGTTGTAAATATGATGTCAATCCACTCTTATCTTCACCTATAAAGAGTAATGAGAACGGTTCGGCAATTGAAGTATTCAACTCGTCATTTGTCTTATTCTCTGCTTCCAAGTCAACATAACGTGCAAAATTTGGCTCGAAAATATAATCATCAATGTGTGAAGCATAGTAAGCTTGAGAAGCTCTACTTTCTCTGGCACCAGATGTCTTGTTCTTGTTTTCAGTGCTAGACTCGTAATGTTCCATAATTTGTCTCATAACATCGAGGAGAACAGATTGTTCATCTTGGTTGACTTGTTGCTTGATGGTTTGAAGAATGGTTGATGCAGTTCGATATTGTCCCATTCTAAGGTAGCAATGGGCCTTGATGAGATCGTACGTTTGATCGGTGCATTTCTCAATACTACTAAAATCTTCAATACATTCCAAATGTTCACCAATCATGTAGCTACAGACAGCTCTCTTCTCTCTGGCTTCTACATTCTTTGGACTGATTGAGCAAGCTTTGGAGAAACATTCTCTAGCCAAAGAATACTCCCTAATAGAAAGTAAGATGGATCCAGCATCTAACAAATCCTTGACATTATCCAACGATTGAATGTGTGAGGAGGCAGATCTCGTAGAATCATCCAAATCGAGATTAAATTTCTTTTTTAGAACAGACTTGAAATCCTCCACATCACACTGCTCATCATTCATCAATGTGTGGAGAAGTGACTTCTTATCAATCAATTCAAAATCACCAAGCTTGCCTCGTTTTCTAGAGACACCGCCAATCAGAGCAATATATTCATCAGAGATACTTGTCATGGTGTGAGATTTTCTAGAGCATGGCAACTCTTTTCTTGGCAAATCAGAGCAATCAATGTATTCCATCTTTTGCAAGTCTATAATTACAAAATCTTTACAGAATCTTCTGTTAGAATAGCCACCATGCACCATAAGGTAGCCATTACCAAGAGAAATGAAAGTGTGTCCAGTTCTTGGTTGAGGAATTACCATATTCTTGGTGTCAGAGCTTGATGGCTTCTTTCCAAAAACAGAATTGGTGGCAACTTGAACAGCATGTGAAGCACCACTATCACTCATTTTGAATGAGAGTCCTGGATTATTTAACACACTATTCCACAGAGTGATGGGTGTGAAAACTCGAGATGAAATATCAAACATCCACAAATCATTCAATTGATGACTACCATTAGTACCACCATAGAATAGCATTACATTTGGATTTTCGTAGAGTGTAGTTGCTGCGTGAGAGTGACGTTCACTTGGTACCAATGTCTTGTTAATATCAATTTGAATATGATCCCATTCATAACTTTCCAAATCAAAACTCCACAAATCTCCCAAAACCTCACCACCACATTTACCTCCATGAATAAGCATTTTCTTATATTTTGGTAAAACTACTGCAGTGTGATTACTTCTCTTACATGGAAACTTGATCAGTGACTCAAAGCTAATTTGTTCTCTGACAGTTCTTCCAATGGGTGGAGAATTTGATGGTGAATTACTTGATGATTGTTTCTTGAAATCCTTGATGAGTTTGGTACTGAATTTTTGGAGTGAAACAATATGACTCCATTCCCAAGTTTCACAATTCAGTGACTAATTTTTCAATCAAATTTAGAAAAATTGTGAAATTTATGAAAAACAGTTCAATATTTAAATCAATCTGAAAAACTTACATATAATTGATCAAAATATCTCAAATTATTCTTTCCTCCAAATACATACATTCTTCCTTCAAAATAAACAGCCGAATGATAACGAAGTTTAGGTGGAGATTGAGCAATATTCTTCACAGCTGGACAGAAACAATGCCAATCACCATGTTCTGCAGATTTCTTGAGAAGGAAGAGTGAATTTTCAATACCATTCAAGTTTTCAGCAATACTATTTGTAGATAAAGATGATTTTGAGCTTTCCATATTTGATTGTCCTCCAAAAATTAAAATACAAGGTTCTTGTTTAGAATTTGTAAACGAAACTGTTGTGTGTTTAGCTCTTGCACCAAAAGATCCTGTCATGGTTTGTTTGGAGACCCAGTCAAGAGTGGACAAGTGAATGGAATGATCATTTGGTGTCATGTTTGGTGGTGTTGGATATGAAGAGGACACATCCTTTGTTTCGTCTGCTTTCTTATCAGATATTTCCTGATCATTAAAGGTTACACTTTTCACATTGTGTCCATCGTCAATTGTTGATGAAGATTCTTCTTGTTGATTATAATTTTCTTCAACAACACCACCTTCAACTGATGACTTATCATCATTGTTATGATCTTTAATCATCTTGTCAATGATGTTAGTAACCACATCAGAAATAACTCTCTCATGTTGATGATTGCCTTCTGATGCTTCACCAATCGTTTCGTTATTATTGTTATTCGAATCAAAATTTAACAGAATGCCTTCCGTTGATTGTCCTTCATTCTTTGGAGCTGTTGTTGTGGTGTTTAATTGTTGTGAAGTTGTAGATGAAGAAGATGCTACTACCATCATCGGTTCATGTTGAGAAGCTGTGTTATTATTATTCGATTCTTGTTGTTGTACAACTTGCATCATGACGAAATTAGATTGTCACACCACAGAGTTTCGTCTTGCTATTTTTTCCACTTGTTTCTTCTCTCGATGTGAAATGAGACGATTTTCATCCACAGTGATACCTGCAATGTTTGGCGAATAATGGAAGGATTAGTTTCTAATGGTTTACCTGAGTGATTAAGAATGGAAAGGATTGAGTTCAGACGTTGGAATTTCTCTCTTTGTTAAGTGATCATCTATACCTCAATGATTTATTCTTCTGATGATCATCAATAGAGAAAAAGAGTGGAATACCGAAAGAAGTATCTGTATAATTCAATCGTTGATTGGTGGCAATATTGACAACTCTTTTCAATTCTTCGTTGGTAGCTCGTGGTTCAGTATTTGGGAATCCATTCTGGTTAAGAATATTGATCCAATAATTTAAATCTTGATTATCTTTGGAGTGAATGTCAGCATTGGAGAAGTAGTAGAATCCTGCAATGACGTCACTGGCTGCGTATTCCAAGTGGTGCATTCCATTGCCAGTGTATGGATCTAATTGATCCAAATTCCAAATGTGAAAATTGTAATTGTTTTTTTGTTTTCCAACAAGTGGTACAATTTCTCTTCCCTTAACAACTCCAAATTTTAGTAAATTAGTGAGACCAAATTTGAGAGGATCAGCATCTAGAATTCCAATACTCGAAAGGTTGCTCATTTCTGGGAGGGGATTCAATTTCTTGTAGTTGAACCAATTTGATAAACGTTTCACATCTGGACTAATGTCATATCCAAACTTTGTAATTTTCTTATCCCAGAAGAGATCATGAATTTTCCCACTTGATACTTGTATTGAATCCACGTAAATGATTAGAGTGAGCCATCCATTCGATAGTTGAATCACTTTAGGTCCATCAGTTGACCTCGAATGAAAATTCCACTCACAATCAAAGCAAATCGTCTTGTTATGACTCACCAGCAAATCAATCCATGGTCCACATGATTGAATATCAGTGAAAATAATTCTCTTCCTTTCAGGTTCCTTAATTGTCATTTCATTAAAAACTGGCTGCTCAATAGGACTCATGAGTGAAACCTGCCTCGAAACAATTTCTGGATTGGCTCTATCTCCAATAAACACATCCTTATTGAAATATTTCAGCAGGAATGTCATATCCTTCATTTGTATTGAAGTGGTGAGAAAATTCTTCAGCCAAGGAAGTGTAATCTTCAATAGACCAATCAATTGGCCTGCTTCTCTCTTTCCTTTTCCTAATTCCAATCTTGTTAATTGTTTTTTAATTTCATGTAAAATGATACCCGTCTCCTTTGGATAATTATCCAATAATTTAAATACTCTATTACATTCTTCTTGTTCCAAAAGTGCTTTTTCTTGTTCATTGTTAGTGGGAGAAATTATTTGTTGTTGTTGAAATTGTTTTGATGAAAGAATTGAAAAGTATCTATTGTTTATTCCGAATAATTTGTGCTTGTTAATAGAATGAGTGATGGCAAATCGACTCCGTAATTGATTGGATTTCATCAACATGGATAATGATGAAGATGACGGAATTAATTTGAACATTTTTTAAAATTTCTGAAAATAGTTGATGATATTAAATTTAAATTAAATAGTAATTATGATTAAGAATTTAATATAATTAACAAAAGAATAGGATATGGTACAACTCGCAGCTATAGTATTGTAAAAACTTCATTCTCGAATAGATGACTCTACAATGAATAAGATAATGATACAAGGACGGAATGAAATAAAGCCTTGACACTCACAACCCATAAGATGGTAAATACCATCAACAAGGCATACATGATACAATTCAGCATAGGACTCAAATTTTCTCTGAGTATTCCTTCCTTATCATCAGTAAGAGATAAACAAAATTGAGGATTGCTCACCAAAATCAATGAGAATACCAATGATGTAGTAGACAGCATGAAATAGAGGATATTCAATAAGAGAATTTGTGATACTTCATATTGAAAAGGCTGACTTGAAAAAGTATCATCGATGAATATTGTCAAAATCAGTACCATAAAGACACCAACACACCACCCCAGCGATAATGATCGATTCGGCTTTTCACTTTTATAATACAAGTCTTGGACAGGATCTTCTACCTCACTACAAGGCTTCTTTTCCAAACAATTCATTCTTGCTAGATGTTCCATCATGGTGTTACAGATTTTTTTTGTATTTGTTTTTAAGGCAGAAGTGTTCTTGCGAAAATCCCAATTCGCTCAACGAACGAATAAAGCAACAATCATCCTTAATAAAAAATTGTGCTCGCCGTAAGCTTTCCAATTGCCGTTTTGATAGCGAGAATTTATTTGGTGTTATAGAAATTGGAGAACTCTAACTTTACGGCGTAGTAATATTGACGTTACTGTAAGCCTCTCAAAAAGTAGGACCAATTCCTATTTACTAAGATTTAGCTTCTCTATATGCACATTTCTCATAATTTCACATGAACATGATTTTGAACCCTTAATACAACATAATTCACATCAATGTGTTTATTTTATTCTATTGTTTCCAATCTATTGGTGAAGTTGGGCTAAAACTTGGACTTGACGGAGAGTATGGAGATGTTGGACTATAGATTGGACTAGTTGGTGAATAAATATTAGGACTTGATGGAGAGCTAGGGCTGTATCTTCCAGGACTGGATGGTGAATAAACATTTGGACTCAGAGGTGAGAATGCAGGAGAGCTAGGGCTATATCTTCCAGGACTATTCATTGGAGTGTAGGCAGGTGAAGAAGGACTATAGATTGGTGACATTGGACCATTAATTAATGGAGATGTTGGACTATAGTCTCTATAATTTGGACTACTTGGTGAATAAGATCCTAATGGTGAGCTTGGGCTATAATTGGCTGGGCTGCTTGGTGAATAATTATGATTTGCACTTGGTGAATAGCTTGCATTATGACTTGTTGGAGAACTTGCAATGGATGTAATTGGTGAAAATGCAGAAGTGTATGGAGAATATTGTGGAGTCCAAGGACTAGATGGTGATGAAGAGAATGGTGTTGAACAGGAAGGTGTAGAGAAAGTTGAGTGATAAGGAGTCATGACAGCATGAGGAGAGCTTATTGAAATATTTGTCAAATGAGAAGCCTTCATAAAGGTTGGTTGAATGGTTTCCTTCAATAATTGCTCATCTAGGACTAGATCAAAAGTTCCTGTTCCAATCGGAGCCAATTTACCAACCATAACATTGGCTGAAACTCCTTTCAAGGTATCAACATCTGAAAATTGAGCTGCTTCCACAAGTACTTCAACTGTTTGCTCGAATGAACATCTCATAAGTGGTCCATTATCACTTCTGGCCAAACCGTGACGAGTGACAGCTGTAATAACACCTCCTTGAGTCATTACATCACATAAAATAGCCAAATGTCTATAATTGACATAGGAACCATCAAACTCAATAACCTTTCTCAATTCTTTCATTAATAAATTTCTACAAGCTTCAATTCCCAACACTTTCTCAACTTCAATAACATCATTTGACAAGGTATTTCTAAAATCAACTTGTGGATGAGACATGACTGAAAGTAAATCACAACCTTCTGTTTCTAATGACCATCTTGTCTTCTTTTCAACTCCCTTATTGGAAAAGAATTTAATATTTTCATCTTTTCTGTAGAAAACCTTCTTGAGATTGTTGTGACCTTTAAGGGAGAGTTGACTAAGCATGTTGGACTCGAGTCTTTTAAGGAATTCAACAATCATGGAAGAATCCTCTTCATCGTCCTCAGTTTCAGATTTGGATTTCTCACTGTTTCGAATACGAATTATCAAGATTAACTCCTCTGAATTATCATCCGAATAGAAACATGAAATGTCATTTTGAAATTCTTGTTTGATAATATTTGCAATCTGAGACATGTTCAAATGTTCACTCATCATTTCTCTATCTAATACGAATCTCAATGACCATGGACTAAACGTATTAGGATCAATGGTTTTTTCTTCCAGCATTTCTCTAATGAAAAATTGATCACTTTCAATAACTGAATTGAAAATATCTGGATCGTAGATAATCTGAGTAGATCTAGTAATGGAACCTAAATTAGAATATTCCAATTCTTCCTTAACCATTTTGGCAATTTCACAATCATTATCATTTTTGAGATAAATGGTCAACCCAGGAGTTTTGATATTTCTTGAAACATCGAGGAGTTCTTTCAATCGAGGAACACCCAAAGTAACATTCTTAGACGAAACACCAGCATTGTGAAAGGTATTCAAAGTCATTTGAGTAGCAGGTTCACCAATTGACTGAGCTGCAATGCAACCAACCATTTCACCAGGTTGAACCAAACCATTCAAGAATGTGTACTTGACCTCTCCCAATAAATATTCAAGAGATTCTCGAGTCAAATTCAATTCATTCATAACAACCTTGGATGCCAATGAAAATTTCAAGAAAATTGAAAAAAGCAAAATTGCATTTCTTTGAGCTTCTTCTGATAATTTATCTTTTCCCTTAATGATGAGTAGCTCTTCACATGTAGAGTTGACCTTCTTGATAACGTAGAGTGGATTCAAATCTGAGGAGTTGTTGAAAGTAGAGTGCTTTCTACCATATTCTCTTTGAACTCTCTTGATCAATCTGGACAAGTTGACTGGAAAGACAATCTTTGAATCTACTGATTGTAATATTTCATCTCTTACCAAGTGACGATATTCTTGCAATTTTTTATATTCATCATTCAGTTTCATCAAATAATTGGCAAAATCTAAGGAAATTTCATTCAAATCACTTTCTGGAATGTTGTGGTCTTCCAACTTGGTTGACCATTTGTACTTTTCTTCAAATATCTCATCACTCAAACTTAACATTTCAAACGATTGGCTTTCCAACTTGATTGGATCCATTCCATCTTCACCATACAAGAACTGGATAATATTTCCAGAAGCATCTCTCACAGTTCCGTCATAGTTGACCTTAACATCTTCCATGGCCTTCACCAATCTTCTCTGAATATAACCAGTCTCAGCTGTCTTGACAGCTGTATCAATCAACCCTTCACGACCTCCCATTGTGTGGAAGAAGAATTCCTGAGGTGTAAGTCCTCTGAGGTAACTGTTGGCAACAAAACCACGACTCTCAGGTCCATGATCATCTGTACTAAAGTGAGGGAGTGTTCTGTTCTTGAATCCGAAAGGTACTCTCTTACCTTCAACGTTTTGTTGACCGACACAGGCAATGATTTGTGAAATGTTAAGGTAGGAACCCTTACTTCCTGAAGTAACCATTGATTTGATGCTATTCGAATCTTTGAGTGACTTTTTGACATGCATACCAGCATCCTCTCTGGCGGCATTTAATGTTGAATTGATTGATCTTTCAAATGATTGCTCAACTGTTCTTCCAGGTTCAGCTGTCACCAATCCATTATGAGCTTGTTTGACAATTTTCTTAACTTCTCTCTCAGCATTATTAATGATTTCTTCAATTTTCTTAACAGTTTCCCCATCTGCAATTGTATCTCCAATACCAACACTGAATCCGTGTTGAAGCAACCAATAGTTCAGTACATGTTGACATTGTCCAAGGAATTTCTTTCCTTCCTGAGTTCCCTTATCATTAACAATGATGTGAATTAAGGAGCCATGGGATGACCCTAAAGATTTCTTATCTAAAATACCTGTTAAGAGTTCTCCATTAGAAATGATTATTCCAGTATCGAATTCAGGTAAATGATCATCCAAATGTTTCAAATCTCCAACTTCATCATCGTGTGTGGAAGAAATTCCATAATAGTCAATTGAGGGTAATAGAAGTGAAAATAATTGTTTTCCAGTCCACAATGGTTTTGGCTTTAAAATTGCTGGAACTGGCAATTGACCATTAAAATCTTGCAAATACATTAGACAATTCATCATGACATCCTTCTCAATATAGACATCTCTTCTTGTACATTTTGAACCTGCCAGTAATGTATCCTGAACTAGTGCAATGAGAGGACGATGACTTTGAGGAGTGATGATATTCTTTGGAACCATCATGAGCTCTAACAATTCAGTTTTGGTTTGCAAAGATTGAGGCAAATGCAAATTCATTTCATCTCCGTCAAAATCGGCATTGTACGGAGTTACTACGGAGAGATTTAATCTGAAAGTGCTGTAAGGCATAACCTTAACTCTGTGACCCATCATGGACATTTTGTGAAGGGAAGGTTGTCTATTGAAGAGAACGACATCACCATCTTGTAAATGACGTTCAATTGTGTAACCGTATTGTAATTGAACTTGATCTGTTGATCTATCTGAAAGAAATTTCAAATCAATTCGAGTACCATCATCACGAAGGACGTATTTAGCACCTGGATAGGTTTCTGGACCATTCATGACCAATTCATTCATTCTCTCAAAGTTGAAAGGTGTCACTTTTTCTGGAACTGTCATATTTCTTGCAATTGTTCTTGGAACACCAACCTGATCTATTTCAATGGTTGGATCTGGAGTAATCACAGTTCTTGCTGAGAAATCTACACGTTTACCCATCAAATTACCTCTGACACGTCCTTCCTTGCCCTTCAATCTTTGTCTCAAACTTTTTAACATTCTTCCATTCTTGGTAGTTGACATTGGCACTCCAGAAATTTCATTATTCATATAAGTAGCACAATGATATTGCAAAATCTTGATCATGTCATCAAGATAATGTTGTGGAGATCCAGATTTGCTCAATTTCTGAATTGTGGCATTTGACTTGATAATGTCAGCAAGTTTATGAGTCAAATCATCTTCTGCCTTATCATTCAAGCCATGCATCACAGAAGGACGAACATGTGGAGGTGGCACTGGAAGACAAGTTAATATCATCCATTCTGGATTCGAATTAATTGAATCAAAACCAAGTAATTCCAAATCTTGTGTTGAAATTCTCTTGAAAATCTGCAAGACACTTTCAGCTTTGATTTCTTGCTTGATTTCATTGGAATTTGGAAATATTTGAGTGATGGACAGTTGATTCTTCGATATTTTAGGTTGAATACCACCACAACCTGTATAATCATCAATCATGCACTTGTCCATTGGTTTCAGTTTCATCAATTCGTTAAATCTTTTTCGTTTGTTGGCGATTTGTTGGATTCTCTTGAATTCTGGAGTGTTTCTATTGAAGAGCAATCTACTGCAATGGACACATGTACATTTCAATATCTTGACAATTGTCTTTAGGAATAATATATTAAATGTTGGATGAATATTGACATGTCCAAAGTGTCCTGGACATTCACTCACTCCACAGCCACATGTCATACAGGAGAGTGCACTATTTACAGTTCCCATACGAAGATCCATCAAACCACCTTCCTTTGGAAGACCTTTCTCCTCAGTTTCGGCATGAATTATTTCACATGCAGACATTTTCTCAACCACATGTGGATTCAAAATGCCAAACTGAATTCTATCAATGGAAGACAAATCCACTGGTGAGTAGGTAAAGGCACCGTTCATTTTCTCGTTATTGTTGTTGTTCTATTTTTTTATAATTATGAAATCAAAGGCCGTTGCTTGTTTTTTGTTTAAATAGCAAAGGTGAATTCTTGTTGTAAAAATAGAACTTTTTGAAAAAGATGAAGTTGGTGAATGAAAAATTGAAAATTGGAGAGAATAGAGAAGCAGTACTATGGCACTTTAGAAAAAGAACTGTAGATCAAATTTTGTCATTCAATAATACTCTTTGTAATTGATCCAATTTCTTTGTTGTAACAAAATTGTAAAGAGAATATTAGAAAAAAATGTCTCAACATTACTTTAGAGAAAATATCACGATTGCACTGATAGGAGATCACTCGGATCATTCCGAGCGATTTTACCGATATTTCAAACTATATAATTTTACATGGAGAAGAACCATCAATTACAATGTAATGAATGATCCGAATTCAATGAATGATGATGATGTTGATAGGAAATTAATTATTCAATTGGTGGGGATAGGCGCTAGACAGTGCACCATCACAAATATGAACAAGGCATTGATGGTTTCGGATTATGCAATTATCATTGTTGAAAGTACTGATGATGAAATTATGTATCAACGATTGAGAGATTGTATTCGAATGGTGAATTATTCTTTAATTGATAGGATTTTATTGTTGGTGGATAATAATCGGAATGTTAAAAGTAATGATCAAGTTTATGATTGGATTAGAAAAGTAATTAGAAAAGAATCAGTGGTTGAATTGACTTGTGAATTTTTAAATTGGAATTCAATTGACAAAGTTAAGGATTGGATTCACTCGTTGCCTATTAAAATAGATTTTGATCGATTGGCTGCTCAACCTGTCAGAATACAAATGTTACAAACTGTTTATTCTTGTAGATTGTATGCCACTTGTCATTTTAAAGTATTAAGTGGAATAGTTCATCAAGGAGAGGAAATTTATTTTAATACGAATAATGGAGAACGAAAGTTTAAAGTAGAGGGTGCCGATTACTTGGCAACTTTTAGTTATGAAAAACCTAAAGTATTTCTTCCTGGTAATATATTCTTTGCTCCTTTTATGAAAGAATTGATTCCACGCTCTTATTCTCATAAGTATAAACACTTTTTAAGTGGAAATTACTATTCGGAAAAGATTAAAATGATTAAGGTAGATTCGTTTTGGATTGATTATACTCATTTCAACTCAGATAACATCAATAAGGATATATATATTAATCAAACATGTTGGATTTTTTGCAAATCCAAACTATTTGGGAAAATTGAAAGAATACAGGGCTCTGGAAACAAACTAAGAATTGGAATTAAGATATCCCACAGGTTTCAAACGGGGCATGACAGCTTAATGTCTCAAAATGGTTTCCTTACAACATTTGAAAGGGATCCTCAATTTGGAAGAGTTTTATTAGCAAGAACAAGAAGGGAAATGTTTGGATTTGGAAATGTTGTATCAGTAGTTTATCAAGATAAGAATACTAATGCCCTTCTGATTCAACATCCTATTAGCTTATTCTCAAAAATTCCAAAACACAATTATGATATTTATTTCTAAGATATTAGCTCTATAACCTTAAGTGATTGCCTTTTATTTGAAGAATTTATTGTGTCTTCCTCTACTTCCACTTTCTGAATATGGATTAACAGATTTTGTTGGATATTTCTTACTCAATTCATAGGTAATATTGAACTTTTTCATTACTTGAATGATTAGCTCCAAACCTTCATAAGTCGGACAACAATCTTTGAATAAATAGCAAAGTGCTTCTGATAAATCTTGTTTCTCCTCTTCATTGAACTCGAGATTGCTTTCTAAGTGTTTCTTTAGCTCTGTATTACATTCATTGTAATCTCCATAGAATCCCAAGGTTAACAATAAGTCACATAGTTCACTATTGTTAATTTATGGAGCTGTAATTTCATCATTGGATGATTATTAGTTGTGGAAATGCCATGAGGTTTTAGTACCTTTCTGAAGCATTGAGAATATTATTTTCTGATTGTATTTCCAAAGAGGATTTGGAAAAAGCAAATATATATCAGTATTGGAGTACGATGAATTGAACCCTCCAGAATATTTGTCCTTAAATGTTCATCATCTTATTCATTTAACCGAAATTGAGAGACATGGTCTCCTATGTTTTCCATATGAATCCTATAATAAGATATTCAAGAAATTTATTCATGGCACATATCAAGTTGAAACTACCTCGCAGAATCAATTAATATTTCAAGGGAAGTGTCTATTCGTATCTCTAAAGAAGAAAATTCATCATTACTCCAACTTATTGATAAGAATTATGTAAGTATCATTGAAACAAATCATTCATAATTAATACTCAAACATAGGAATTTCATGTTAACACTACGGCTAATGATGTCATGGTGGTGAAGAAAGATTGTTTAGGTAAAATTCTTAGTTTCAATATCAATATTCCAAGAATCTCAATTTGCAATCACAGTTAGTGGAAAGTAAGTTCTCAAATCCAAATAATGCTACCTTTACAAATTAGAAATATTGTTATTAAGAAATTTATTGAAAAAGATTTGATGATTGGATTTATTGTCATGGTGTCTTTACATCATCTTGGCGACTTGATTTTTATCAAGGCTTTGTTGTGGGTAACTATTCAATAAATATTCAGTAACCATTCAGTTATTATATGGTAAACATTCAGTGACTATTCGGTGAACATTCAGTTTCTATGCGGCTTTTAGTGTGTTGGTATTTGACTGAAAGTTGCCCTTAATTTACTCTGCTGAAAATTAATTTGAAGTAAAACTGATTAATTTATTTACAATTGTTGTGCTTCTTATTTCCCAATTCAAATTAGCTACAAAACTAGTTGAAGAGTTGAATGAAATTAATGGAAAATCAATTGATGTTTATAACTCTTACACTGATTCAATTGAAAAGATTGGAATTCTAATAGGTCCTTGGATTTGGGATTCTGTACAAAGATGGCTATCATTATTTCTTGAAAGCTATACATGTTCTAAATGTAAATGCCAAAAAGGAGATTATTGTAAATGTCAATACAATGACAATACCCTACTGATGGTGCACTCCTGGTTGCCCCATTCTTTATAGAAGCGAAGCTTTTTATATCCATGAACCTAATAAAGCTTCAACAACTCCCCAGATGCCACCTTCAAAAAATTAATTATAGATTGAGAACATACTACAACTCCAAATATTTCTGGAATTTTATTGTAAACAAGTTTAAAATAAAATGTCATCCCTTGATCATACTCAATCATCAAGTAATGATCAACAATCCGAATTTCTGTCACTAAGTGAGGTAATTCCAAATATCCATACTATTTTTGATCGAACTGATATTGAAATAACAACCCAAAATGAAGAAAAATACATTAATATTACAAAATTATTAAAGAAATATAGTACAACTCCAAGAAAGCCAAAATATTTTAAACCTAATAAATCCAATTGGAAAGGAATGATGATTGAAAAAAATAAATTTGTTGAACCGGTTTGGGCCTTATCATTTCTATTGAGTCCATCCTGTAAATGTAAAGAATCTGTTTTGGAATTAATTTCCAAATATTTAGTCCAAGATTTAACACCCATTGTAATAAGAAATAATGTTGAGCAGTCAGGAATTAATTTGAAATTCGTAGGAGGTTGCTGTTCTGCTTGTGGTAATGAAAGTATCACATGTTCCACAAAGTATAGAAAGAAAATTACAGAAATGACAGATGCTACCTATAGAAACAAAATTGTAAATAATGTTATGAATATTTTGTATGGTATTTGTACAGCTTGTGGATTAAACTTACTGTTAATGTTAGCTCTCTACTTTCAAAGAAATATCCCAGAATTTGTGAAGATGTTAAGGTGTATGAGAATTAATCCATCCACAGGTAAAGAAAACGAATCATTATGGTTACAAATCAAGAATGCTGTTTCTACAGTCAAAAGTAAATTAGATATAAGCAAGAAACTAATTCAATATGTGAAAGATTTCATTCTACTAAGTGATGAGAAATATCAAACATTCATTGAATATACAGGTTTGAAATGTATTCTTCCTTGTTCTAGAACATTGTGTAGATTGAGAAGTGCCATTCATGAATGCACCCAAGCTAGATATAACGTGTTTGTTAATGGTGTAGCCGTTTGTTGTAATTTTGTGAAAGTATTGGGTGACATGTTAAATATTCACAAATCAATTTGTAGCAAGAATAATATTAGCAATAGCCTTTCTAGTGTAGACTTGAAACTTTCATTAGATAAGGGAACTGAGACTTATTTGGTGGGATCTGTTGCTCCTTTAAATTTACAAGTGGCAGCACAATCCAGATTCTCTCAAATTATTTGTGCCATTCTAGATTATGATGAAAATATGGAAGCATCTAATGCCATTTTAAGGTTCATTACTTCAATATTAGAGGAAAGTTACAATTCTTTAACTGGTTTCTTTGAAATAATGTATAATGATACTTCCATTCCAATCAAAATATTCATGGTACATGATTTGAAGATGTTTGGATTAATATCTGACTTGAATGATGAAGAATGTTTTTGTCCTTATTGTAAATGTAAGAAATCACAACGTCATCTTTATGAACATGATAATGATCCAAGAACATTATTTTTCAGAATGATGCCTAATGTCCTAGTCCATAATATTATTTGTTCCTTGCATATGAAGATGAGAATTGTTTCTTGTTTGGTGGTACAGATTTTACTCCAACACGGAAAAGATGTATGGGATGTAATTGAATCAAGAATGAAAAGATTACCACATCTATCTCAATTCAAATACAGAAACGAGAGACAAGAGGATGAAGATGAAGGTGTGAGTGATCAACATTATCCAAAAATTCCATATTTAAATGGTGATCAAGTTGATGAAATCCTCCGCAACTTTGAGAAAATATTTGATGGCTATTTGGATTACAAAGGAGTGATGTTGTGGGAGTTGGTTCGAGTTATTTTTTTTGATTTTATTGAAGGTCCTGATTCGCTAATTGGTGATGTGGACAAGAAGGACACTTTACAATTAATGTGCAAGTACGTTGGCCGTTTATTGAGAGAGATTTATCCAACATCAAAATTTGCATATTACTTCCACATTTTGATTAAGCATGTTCCAGATTTGATTTTCATTTATGGTCCATTAGTGAAATTTGCTAATGAAGGAAGTGAAAACATCCATGCTGGCCATCGGTTAGCTCTAGAAAGAAGCACAGCTTCAGGTGGAAAAGCAAATAAGTTAGAAACTCTCCAACTGTTACAACAAGAGCACAGACGTATTTATTTAGCAAGTGTAAATGGTTTCCCATGGCTAGGAAAACACACTGAACTGAAAGAAGTTGAACAAAGTGATCACTCATTCCTTCACTCCAAATTACTAATTATGGAACTTGGTGAAATGAATGATGAAAATTGGTTGGTCTCTTTAACCAATTTACACAGAGATGAAGAAGGAAATGTTCCAATGCCTGAAGCAATGATAGCACCAGAAAGAATGCCACCTCAAAGAATAGGAGGTTTTGAAATAAATTAATTGGATTTATTTAAAATTGAAACTTGACGTAATTTTTGAAATTGGCATATTTATTGAAACTTAACAAACACGAAGATATTTCTTGAGAATTGGACAAAAGCTTTGTGTTACTTGAGAGTAATGACAGAAGACTCGATTATCTGGTTTGATGATAATTACTAGCTCATTATAAAAAGATTCGATCTGTTTAAAATTGAAATCTTCCGTAATTGGATGTTGCTTAAATTCCCATTCAAACTCTCCTGTTAATAAATCTGGCATAGATCCACAAAAATAGAAGAAGGTTTGAGTCTTCTTGATAACTTGTCCGTTTTCTTTTGATGTAAAAGGAGCGTCCCAAGTCAAACAATCTTGATGAGAGAACAGTTTGTTCAATAATTCCTTTGTACAAGATCCTAGAAAATTCCACGTTCCGAACTTGCTGAAATTTGGTTGCAATCTTGTGTGCAAAATGTTTGCAGCCTCCATTGTAAATTCTTTTAGTCTTCTGTTTTGATAGTAGAGTTCCAATATATCTTGATCATAAGTGGCAATAACAGATCTCCAATCAACACCACCAAATTGACAAGGTGTAGGCTTGGTTGCTTTCTTTGGAATGTTGATGAGTGTGTTCTTGCTTGTTTTCTTGGTGGTAGTGCTCTAATTGTATTATTTAATTCAATTCAATTATAATACATATATAATAATAATAAATAAAAAACTTACCTTTCTTTTCTTGGCAACCTTCTTCTCGATTGAGTCAAAGATCTTCTCTACCTTTGGCTTGCTTTTTGACGTAAAGCAATCATTGGTATAAGTAACGAAATCTATTAATTTATTTGCTGATTTAGTCATATTTAAAAGTAAAAGTTGTGTTGTTTTTTTGTTGTTGGATCTCTATAGAGTGATCAAAGGATGAGATAGTATCATGTTGTTGTTTGATCATTTTTTTTTAATTGTTGAATCACGGACGCTGGCCGGAGACGTTTTCTCAAGAATTTTTACCAGTGTCGTTGTATTGCTAATGACATTTCAACATTTTTAGTCTATCCTTTAAGAACTGTTACTGAAGCAATTGAAATGCAACAAAAATTATAAATTGATACCTCATGTAATGGCTACAAGTTTATTACAGTCGCTGATATTCAAATCAAAGATATGCAGATTGATTCCAAGTCTAAAAAATCCAAACCTGTTTCTAAAAACTAGACTAAAAATAAAAAATGAAACAACAACTTTTTCCTTACCATTTGCTTTCTGAAATTATTGCCTTCTCTCCGTCAATCAAATACAACTTGATGATGACTTGCAAACATTTTAACAACGCTGTAATATTCAATAGTGATGTAAATAGAAGGCCTAAAATTTCCAAATTAACGGCTATTCATTTAGTAGAAAACAAGACAAAAAACTTTGGAAAATCGGAAAATATTACAATTTATTCCCGAATTAGTAAAAATAAAGACATTAACGGATCAAAGACAAACTACAACACTCTCTTGCAAGATTTTAAACTTGATGGTGGTATTCGCAGATGTGGTGATAATTTAATAGATGTTGTTTTTCAATGTAACAGAGACAAAGCAACTAATATTATTTCTCAACTATTCAATCTTGCTGAAAAGTTGAACGACAGTATTAAAGACTTCAACGTTGTTTCAAGTGATGAACAGTATGGTCCGACCAAAATATACCCTCCAACATATCCACTTTCTCCAAGAAATGACAGATCGTCTGCTTCCACTATAAGTTCTTCGGACACCATAACATCAATCAGCAACAGTCATGAAACTTGTCGCAAAATTGAAAAACTCAAAAAGAGGATATCAAATTTGAAGAGTCAGGTTACGTTAGTTGAAAAAACTGTGGAGCATGGGTTTGCAAATATGGAATCTATTTTACTTAGCAAGGAAAGAAAAGAAGTTATTGATTTATTTAAAGCCATCACAATTATCATAATGTTTGCTTTTTTGGTTATTTATTATTACAAATAAATATTACTTATTACTTACAAAACAATAATTTACTTTTGTTGCTTTTGTTTAAGCAATTGCTTTTTCTTTTCTAATAATAGTTTCTTCTTTTCTTCCTCAGATAAACCACCCTTCTCTGCAGAGTAAACAACTGTTGGTAAAGTTACAATATCAGAGTTGGTTGTACTGTTGAGATCCATAGCCAAAACTCCCAAGTTGAAAACTGTCTTGCTCTTTTCTGATTTGAAAATGGCATTCAAAAGTTGATCGAGTGGACGAGCCATTCTCTTTTCCTTAGTTTCATCAGCCATAAAACAGGTGTACAGTATGGCACCTTCGTAAGTAACACTGGTGACTGTCAACTTGGTTGTTGATTGAATGTGTTCGATGAGCTCACCCAGAGTTCCAACATTATCCTTGGTCTTTGAAATATTGATAGTTTCCCAAATATCGTACAAACCATTGGCAACATCTTTCTTGCATGGAACTGGTTCGGATTGAGTAATGAATGGAATTCCAATATTTACATAGGAATTGCTAAATCTTTCCAAAAACTTTTCCTTATCTCCTTCAGTCTTGAGTTTTTCTTTGAGTTCATTAAAGTTCAAATCCAAAACCTTATAGAGCTCAAGAACAACAAGACCAGTAATGAGTGCAGTGGTGGTAATCATGGCTGGAATGATACTTCCAGCAATACCCTTAGTTTCATAAACATCAATTTCAGGAATATTGTAACATCTGGCTCTTAAATTACTAGCACTGGTGATAAATTCCATATGCATGTCATCATCTTTTTCAAAGTCGATATCAGTCAAAAAGAAGGCTGTTTCCAATAAGGCACGGTCGCTATCAATTTTCTCTGCTACAGTGGTGAGATCATTTCTAAGCTTGGTGGTATATTCATTCATTTGTCTTTGTTGACGTTCAATTTCTTCTTCAGATAGCTCCTTTGGCTTTTCAGAAGATCCTTCCTTTGAAGAGTCCTTAGCATCGTCATCGTCTCTGCTAATTGGATTTGGAATGTATTTTGGAATGACTGTTCTAGAAACCACATCAATAAGATATTGTTTGTTAGCTTCGAAGAACTTGGCATGGTTAGATCTGCAATCGGCTGGACCTTCAATATTAAAGAGTGAGGCATAAAGTAAAGCGCCATAAAATACAAATTTCAAATGAGTTTCGTCTTCAACAGAAAATTCGATCGGCTTTGGACATTTCTTGGAACCACTCCAAAATCTGGCACCAGAACTTGTTGTGAAAGCTTCTGGGTAAGTGAGTAAAATATTTTTGATTGAGTGATTGTAAAGCTCTTCAAATCTAATTACACTCCAGCTCAAGCAGTCTTCAAAACTTTGAGGTCTTTGACACAAGTACATTGTTACAGAGTCCAAAGTAACCATATTGTTTCCCTTCTCTTCAAAGAATGCTTGCGGTGATTTCAAGAAGAGTTTTGCTTCTTCAACAGATTTGGTGAATGAAGATTGGAAGAAAGCTTTAGCCCAAGAAATAGTGTGTTGAATCATGTTTGGATATCTGTGAATGGTACATTCAGGGAATTGCTTTTGAGGTGGATCCTTATGTTTACCATAATTGTTGGTGACGAATGGTAAAATGACTTCACTATTAGCCTTAGCTCCAAGAGTACCACTTTCCAATAATGGTTTTTGATTGTAGACACACTTGGAGTCAACATAGAGTCTTGCTTCCAAATTATCCAGAGCATTGACAACAAGGTCAAGCTCACCCCAGAAAGAAGAATCAAAAACATTTTCAGTTTCCTTTCCAACTCTATCAGCCATAGCTCTAATATTGAGTGATGGATTCATCTTTTGAGCAGCCTTGGCAGCACATTCACTCTTCATCTTTCCCACATGTTCCTCTCTGAACAAGAATTGTCTACTCAAATTGGATACTTCAATAGAATCCATATCAGTCACAGAGAGTGTACCTCTTGGTCCTGAACCCAAACCAATCATGGCAAAATTCTTCAAATACTCACATCCCAAAGCACCAGCTCCTACAAGGAAAACTTTTTGATTGGTCAAATGTTGTTGGAAATCAGCACCAAATATCATATTTTGTGCATCATATCTATTATTCTTTGGCTCGACATCAATATTCAATTTGGAGAGGGTTGGTCGAATGTCAGCATTAACATTTTCCTTGATAGCATTGGTAATAATATCTGGAATTGAATTAACAGATTCCAAGTAACACCATTGGAAGAGAGGAGAGAATTTTCCAGTACATGCCTTTTGAGCTTCTTGTGCAAGCAAACCACCCAACATGGTACACATTGGATTCAATGGACCTGACATGGTATAAGACAAGAGGGAGAATAAAATTTCATCAACAAAGTATGGAGCCTTTCTTTCAGTAGATTCCAAAATATTTGAAGCAATAGAGATTATTTCCTTAGCTTCTTCAGTGTTATAATTTTGAGGAAGTCTGCCTTTTTGTGAAATGAATCTATTGAGAGCAAGGGAATAATAGTGCAATTTGATAGGATAATCCATCTTGGCAAAATTGTACAATAGGAATGCAGAAATATCATCAAACAATCCAGCATCGATATCAACAAGAGATTGCTTCAAACTCTTGAAATCCAAGACTTTCTCTTGTTTAACCTGTCTAAAGTAACCTCCTTGTGTGTATGATCCAAACTCTGAAACATCCAATCCTATAAGTTCAAATCTGTAAACATCTACTACCTTGACTTGGAAAGGTTTTTCAGTATTGTTCAATTGGACCATTCCTTCAATAGAGTGGAATTTAACATAGTCATCATTGGACAAGTTGTGTGGCTCTGGTTGTGTTTCATCCTTTGTATTGATGATGGCAACAGAGATTCCATCTTTTTGAACAATTTCAATTCCGGATACAATACCATGTGAAGGAGCCTCACCATCTGCATCCTTGACAACAAATCCCTCTCCAAAATCAACAAAACTCGATGAAAACAAGCCGATGGTATAGCCTGCAATAAACTTGATACCATTGGTGTGACAAATTTCTGAAATATTAATTACATAATCCGAAACAATCAACTCATCACTACTGATGACAATGTTAAATTTCTTGATGATATCTTCAGTCAAAGTTTCGGCCTCTAACTTTTCTAATTTACAATATGGATTCAATTCGTACAAGCTATCAATCACAGAATCGAGTCTATTCAATCCAACATGATCTTCATTCAAGTAGAAATGACTGTTCAAATCCAAATATGATACAATCTTCTTGTTATCAAAAACTGTAATAGACTTGAATCCCATCAACATTAAATTCTTGACAATTTCAACACCTAAACCACCACATCCAATCACCAAAATTCTTGCCGATCCAATCTGTGTCATGGCCTCCTTACCAATTGCTCTCATTTGTCTATCATATCTCTTTCTTTCCATTTCATTTTCACTTGTTGCTGATGTTGTTGTATTCTTCTCTTCCGAATTTTCATCTGATGCAGAAGAATTGATCACAAATGACAAGGGCTTGGAGCTGATCATTTTTTTTTGTGTTTGTAAATTTTGAAAACTCATGTTCATCATCGGACTCGAGTTCATCTTGTTCCAATTATTATTTTTACAATCACTAATTAACATATGTGATGACCGCCTATTGATTGTTGAATTGTTTACAAAAAGTGTACACTTGATGACAAAAAGATTATTGAACCATGTGCTTTAAATAGGATTTTGGAATGAGAAAGAATAGATCAAGTGTGCAATTTGGATAAACTATCATCGGAACACACTTTCTATGAAATTCTTCGACAGAACACTTGGTCCAATCATTTGATTCCATTGTAACATCAATTGTTCATATCAACAAACACAACCTTTCTATCTATTTACATTTGAAAAATTGAAATAAATTGAATAATTAATTGAAAAAGTTCTTCGTCAACAAAAAAAATGAGCCAACAAGAAGAAATCTCAACCGATAAACACAATTTCAACGATCCAGCCGATGAATTTGCTGCCTTCACAGATGACGAATTGAAACAATTATTGTCCAATGATGACATTCCAGTCAGTAGACGTTCACGTATGCTTTATTATTTAAAGCAATGGACTGAATCCGAAGATAAAATTAAAAGAGCCATTGATGTTCTTTCAAGTGGTTTTGTCAGTAAGAGTGCTCTCTTGAGACACGAAATTGGTTATGTGATGGGTCAAATTCACTCTGAGCATGCCATTCCTATTCTTGTCAAGATTTTAAGTGATCTTTCCGAAGATTGCATGGTTCGTCACGAAGCTGGTGAAGCTTTGGGTGCTATCGGATCACCTCTTGCTCTCCCTGCACTTGAAGAACACAGCAAGGATTCCCTCAGAGAAGTTAGAGAAACTTGTGAATTGGCTATTTTGAATATTGAATATCAACAAGAACAATTAAAGAAGAAACAAAGTGACGAAGAGACTATCTATTCACCATTCTCAAGTGTCGATCCTGCTCCAGCTTGTGAAAATGATAAGAAACTCCAATTTGATGATATTAAGAATACTTTCCTCGATATGAGCAAGCCACTTTTTGAAAGATATAAGGCTATGTTTACTTTGAGAAACATTGCTGGTCAATATTTGGAATTGGACAAGCATGATTATGCTTTGTGTTATAAGAGAAAGGGACAAGCTATTGAAGTTTTGTGTCAAGGTTTGACTAATCCAGAAGAAGGTGCTCTTTTCAAACATGAAGTTGCCTTTGTTTTGGGTCAAATTCAAGAAAGAGCTGCTGCTGAAGCTCTCGAAAGTACATTGCGTGATAAGAATCAACATGCTATGGTCCGTCACGAAGCTGCTGAAGCTTTGGGATCAATTTCTGAACCAGAATCACTCAAATTATTAGAAGAATTCCAAGCTGATGAAGTTGAAGCTGTTAAGGATTCATGTGTTGTTGCTATTGATATGCACAACTATTGGTCTGCATTCTTGAATTTACATAAATCTTCAGAAGAAGATCAAGAATAAATCAAGTTGTAAATAGAAAAATATTTATTAATACAGTTGAGTGAAATTATTCTAATCTTTCTGGTTGTGCAAAGCTTTCCTTACACGCACAACAAGAGGCAACAAAGAAGGCAACCATACTCACAAAAGCTAACACCAAGAAACTGCCACAAACAGTGTAAGTAATCCACAAAAATTCAATAGCAAAGGATTTAACTTCAGAATAGCATTTGCCACCTTGTCTAATTTCAAACATATGTGAGGTGACACACATCATGTAGTGAGTGTAGCTTTCAATATCAGGGTATTTGTATTTAAGAGCTGAAACAAATGACTCTGGACTATAGTAGGCACTATCTGTAACATTACTCAAAGAAGTAACATTGATAGTCTTGATATAATTTCTGTCACTGAATTCCTTAGCAACAAGTTTGTAAGGAACTGGGAATTTAGAAGCTCCATGAATGAGAATATTCCTCACCTTAACACGTGGATGAACTCTAATGAAAAATTTCTGTTGTTCTTGATATGGATAATTTGTAGAAATTACAAGACTGAAATTAGTATTTGTTGGTCCAATAAGTTCAAAAACAACTTGATCAATTTTTTGTCTTGGTGCATAGAGACGTTCACCGTGATGGAATGCAATCACAAATACCTTCTTTGCAGGCTCCCAATTTTGATACCAATTTTCACCTAGTGTAGAAATCCTGTTTTGGATTTCCTGACTTCTAACTCCATAGAAAGAGCAATTCTGTTCACTGACACATGGAGGAGAAATTGAGTATTGACTCAACATATCCAATGTTGCAAATGGTCTATAATAACACTCAGCACATAATGATACATTTCCATACAATTTAATTCCATAATCTGCATCCTGTACAGTCACAGCTTGTGTTGAGTTTGAAACAGAATATGGAATACTAGATGGAATAGAATTTACACTGGTTACATAACTAGGAATTGGTGTATCCAACATGGCTTGAGCCCAATCTGATGATGAAGCCTTCCAAATAATAGCCACAACGGCAATGAAAATTATACTCAATGAAAATACAAGCGAATACAATCCAATAGCAATATCCCTCATTAAACAACATGAATATCGTCCTTCTTGGTTTGAAAGATCCGATCTCTTTGATGTACTAATATTTGTATTGTTGTGCTTTTTCAATAGTTGAACTTCGTCCGACTCCTCCGTATGGACATGTGTTGTATCCACTATCGATGTTGAATGGTGTGTGATTATGGATGATGACATTTTTTTAGTGTATTCCTTTCAGAACATGTTCATCTTTCAACGGCAATTAGATGCTGTTCTTTGACCAGAGCGAAATGTTCCAATTTGAAAGAATTGAGGAAACATGGAAGATGAAGAGAATTTCAATTTTTATTTGATAATAATAATTCAATGAGTGTATTTCACGTTCAAGAGACTAAATGTTCATCTCTCCAAGTGTATTGAAGTGAGAAAGAATTTCCGCGCCTTGTTTTTATCAACTTGATGGATGTGATCGCCAACCGAAATATTCTCAAGTCTTCATGTTGCAACTTTTTTTAAATCTTAAAAAATTTAAAGATTAAAAAAATAAGAAATCACTATCCGGGATTGATACAACAAATCAAAAGTACCTTCCACCATCTATCAATAAGTTTTATTCAAGGAGAGGGTTATCAATAACGTAATAATTCTCTCTACATGGGGGTCCGCTCATAATCTGTTTTGCTATAATTTAAATTCATCATTCTGTATTAATATAATCACCATGCTAAATAATAATTCCACCAAGAGAAAACGGTAAGTGGCTACTGATGACAATATAATATTAATCAAATACCTTTTTTTAATATTATTTATCAATGATGATGTCTTGTGTTTGGATGATATTTACTATTATTTTGTTATTATATTATTTTACATCATCACGTTTATTACAAATTAATGTTGGATTGTTTTGATCTATTTTATTATCAACAATAATTTAGAAACACAGAGAATACTACATCATCAACTTCCAAGGGAAATTCGGGACAAAACAACAAAAAGAAGCAAAAGCAAAATGTCAAACAAGACGAGTCGACAGATATTATGAGCCTGTTCAGCTCTTCGCAACCAACACAGGAGGAAATTATGAAGGAAATTCAAAAGATGGAGAGTCTAGTTAAAACCTACGAAGAACAACTTGAGGCAGTCAACAATAGGACACTTCCGAGCACAGAGCAGAGCACTAAAACCGAACCTTTTGTTCCAAAGAATAGAATCCAAGCTGTGTACTACCAAAACATGAAAAACAGTCTATATGCCGACAGAAAGTTTGATTCCTTGCTCTACAAGGATGACGAAAAGATGGAAAAGACTCTCAGAAAACCACAAGATTATGATTTTTGTGAGAAGAATGAAGAGATTTTCCAGGAAATTCTTCCCGATCTTACAAAGATCGTCAAGGGCAGACTAGAAAAGCTTGAAAAGAAAAATATCGAGAATGGCAATCTTTTCAAGAAGCTAAGATATGAATGGTGGGCTAAAAACAGGATTACCATTGATGACGTTAGAAACGAGAATACCAGATTCAAGGATCAACTTGCTGTTGTGCCACCAATGCTCAACGATGAGGAGAAGAGAAACTGCTTTATTAGTACTAACCACTTGACTGCAAGCGAAAAAGTTCTTCAACAGTATCAAGAAACTAGAATTCTCGAAGAGATTTGGACAGAGGAAGAAAAGAAAACATTTGTTGATAAGTTTACAAAAACACCTAAGGATATGAGAGTAATTGCATCATACTTGCCAAATAAGACAACTGGTGATGTTGTTACTTTCTATTATAATTACAAATTGACTGAGGATTTTAAAAAGATGAAAAACGAGTTAAAACTAAGCCAAAAATATAGGAAAAGGTTTGTAGATGAAGGTAAACGAAAGGATTATAATGAACCAGAATCTCCTATGACTCCCCTTGAGCCAATCTTTACAAAGGATGCTAAAGTTGCAGCTGCTGAAAATAGAGCTAATGTGGCAGCTAGAAATAAGAAGAAGGAGGAAGAAGAATTATTAGCAGAATGGTCTCAAGCTGAAATTACCAAATTTAAAAATCATTTCACCAAATTTGGTGCAGATTTCTCCAAGATTGCTCAAAAACTTAAAACTAGAGATGAAGCTCAATGTAAACAATTTTTCGAGGACAATAAGGTCAAACTTAAACTTGTAGCTGCAAATACCAATACTAAAGATGCCAACAAGAAGAAGAAGACACAAGCAGCTTCCACTGTTGCTAGTACAACTAATACTACACCTGCTGTTATCTCATCTTCATCGACTGCTATTCCACCACCTAGTACCACTTCTCCAGCAACTAAAAAGATAACAAAGGAAGTTCCAGAGAAGAAGGAAGTTACTCCAGTATTGCCTCCATCTACACCTCCTGCAGGAATCACCAAACCAAACAAGACTAAAAAGATTCTCAAAATTGTTTCTATTTGGACTGTCAGCGAAAGAGATGCATTCCTTGAATATTTCAGAGAGTATGGACGTGACTGGAAAACTATTGCTGAACTCATTCCAACCAAAACTGAAACTCAAATTAGAAATCTCTTTTTGAATTACAAGATCAAATTGGGCCTTACTTTACCAACAAAACGTAGAAAGAAAAAGAAGAGCCCTATTCCATATGTTGAATCTAATCCAGAGGTTGCCACCCCTGATTTGTTCACTCTATCAGTGTTGGCTGGAGAAGTTCAAGATAAGGGTTCACCACTCGATGAATCTCCAACAAGTTCAATAGAAAATAGACCTCAACGATCACTTTCTACCTCACTTCAAGTCAGTAACAATTCCCAATTACGTAAAAACAAAAAAGCAAAGAAAGGAGCTCAATCACCAAGCAGTATTGATGTTTTGGCTTCTGTCAGTTGCAACCAATACATTCCTTCCCTCCAAGATCTAATTCAATCCTATCAAACATCAGCATCTAATGCACCTTCCTCCCAAACTCCTAATGACCTGTATCTTCCACCAGTTCAACAACAATCATCTAGTTCACACTATGCTTATCCTCAACACCAATCTCCTCCAACTATGCATTCCAATATTCCAGAGGAACATAAGTATTCTCGATCAATGGTAGCTCCAACTAACATTCCTCAACAATCATACAGATCCCAACCAGAAACTGATTCCAGGGATGGTATCATAATGAGAACTCTTGTAAATCAAGGTACATCACATGTTACTAATAGTCACACCATTTCATTGGACTCGACGCATCACATTGTAAATGATATCAATCTGACGTCCACAGAGATACTAACTCCAACCCCTTATCAAGGATTCCAGGAAAGATTGGCCAGATTACCTCCAATGGATGGTCCTATGACATCTTCTCATTTCGTTCCTGAGCCAAAGAAAAATGATACTACAGAAATAGTTCTGGAAGAGGGAGGATTTGGTGATTCTTATCCTGCTTTTGACCAACAACAACAACAGCCACCACAACATTTACCTCCAATCAACAATATGTCTCTTCGACATAATTCAATGCAAGACATTCAACAACCTTTCATGAACATGCCTCCACAACACAATTCTTCTTTACAGCACCATCCTTATGGTCATCAACAATAAACTTTTTATCTTTTTTTAACATTAAATCAAACATTTACATCATCTTTGTTCTTTCCTTTTGAATTCATTTCCCACCTTGTTTCTGTTAAATTCACGCGCCAAAAAAATGCATAAACTTCCAACCGTTTCAAAACTCATTGAAAAAATCAAAACAGTTTTATCTTGGGATTCACATCCACAAGCCATCACGCTCTACAGACAATCCATAGAGGAAGATTATCTATTAAATGCAGGATACATTCGCTATGACATTTTAATGTACATGTTGAACAAATACTTTGTTCCTAGTTATTTTCCTGATGAAGTAAACAATGCTCTCCGATTGCCTTTGGACAGTAATGATCACAAAGAACAATGTAAGTGTTATTCATCCAATACTAGTATTATTTAATTTAACTAGCCATTCTCCGAGCTTTCTCTTGGTTGGGAATTATTGAATTTTGTGATATGGAAATTGTAAGAGGAGAATGTACATTGGAGAGAAATATTAAATTCATAATGGATATTTTGGATTTGATCTATTCAGTGAAAGGGTAGGTTTCTTTATGTGACAATATTCTAAAAGAAATAATTACTAAATCTCTATTCCAAATTGAACAGATTCAATAATACAGAGGAATTGAAACAACAATTTACAAAGGATCACAATTTTATCAATCACATATGTCACAATAAGGATTCAGTTTTGGCCAATGATATGAAACTCTTCTCAAATGAAATGAGTTCTAAATTCAAGAGGAAGAAACTTCCAGATGCTGCCTCATTCAAAACAGATGTGGAAAAGGCAAATCTTCACATTCAAAGATATCAGGATATTATTGAGGAATTACAGACAAATATTGATGAGCAACATAGAGGACAATCAGTTGTTTTGAATGAACAGACCTTACATACGGGAGGAAATTATTATATCATGTCCAATCTCTCAGTGGAACACAATGAAAAGATACAACTATTGGGTGAAGCCATCGGTCGATTCAGCACCTTAGTTGACCAATTTATGCACGTCTATCATGAGGAATTTACACAATGGATCAATCCAAAACCTGTAGAAGAGAAATCCCAACTCGAAGAATTATCAGTCTCCATTCCAGAAGTTTTGACTACTTTAGAGACAGTAAGTTATTCTTTTTATATCGATCTTTCACTAAAAACTCTAATAGTTTGTCAAAAACGTAAATCAAATCAAAGATTCCTATCAAAAGATCATTCAAGATGGCTCCACACTCAAAACCATCACTCAATCTTTCAACCAAGATATTCAACCCAAATTAGATCTTATTGAACAATCCACAAGATCACTCCGATAATTTTTTAACATTATCTGATCTGTTTCACACCTATTATATTCATGTTATCCTGTAAATCAAAGTATTACAACAAATACCAAAATATAATTACCATTATCATATCAGCGGACCAATCAGAAGAAGTAATCACACACATTTCATTCTTATTATTGGCCAACCGACAAGACAAACTTTTACAATAAAAAAAAGTAACCTCTTGAGTGGTCCATCCTGTTGCTACTTTCTGTTTGTGCAGTGAAATTAATAGTGTGTGCGTGTAATATATTGAGTGAGTGAGAGGATACTGTATTATACTGTATTATTATAGAGTGTAAATATTATCAATATATCATCATACCATTGGAAAAGGAAAAATTGTTGTTGATGAATATCAAGGTAATACGATACGAACTTCATCATCAAACAGATGATTCCAAACCATTTGTATTATACACGATACAAATTGAAAATAGGAGAAAAAGGAAGCAACTTGGAGTCTCGTCATCACACTTGGAGAATGCAGAGTTGAGTGGTGATGTTGTGCCACTCAATTATTCATCACCTTTTGATAGAGAGTACAAGTATTCATATGTGGAGGAGTTTGATGATGATGGGATTTCTACGTCATCACATTCAGAGACTACTTCTAATGGTGGTGGAGGAGGAGCCTCTCCTAATCAACATCATCATCATCACCACCATCACAATCACAATAATCAACATCATCATGAATCACCTCGAGAGACTTGTGGATTTATGAATCACTCCGATTGGACAGTTACTAAAAGATATAGTGAATTGTATGATTATCATCAACGTTTCATTGAAATTACTACTACTACTACTACCTCCCTACAGAACAGTAAGGATATGAAATCACTCTTTCCGAAAAAGCTAATTATTGGAAATTTAAAAAAGGAAAATATTGAAAAGAGAGTTGAACAATTTAACGAGTATTTCAAAAAGATGGTTGATATTATATTGAAGGAGGATAATTCAGAGTTGCAAAAGCTAGTTACGCACTTCTTTTCAGCTAAACCACCACTAGTTTTATCAGAATCAAATCCTTCGAAACATCCCAATAAGAATATTGATTGGATGATTCACAAACCAAATTCCAGAAATAATTGGTTCTTTTCGGCACCATTAGGTTTTGAAAAGTTCAGTACTTCATTCGATAGGAGAGCAGAGTATATTTCACCCATTTTCCAAAACATTAGTATTGAAACTCTGATTAATTTATGGGAAAAGTTTATTTCAAAACTGGAGAAGGTAGAATTGGTCGATTCGAATCATGATATTTGCTTGTATACCTATATGCAGAAAGCATCATTTATTAATGACTTTATAACTGTGCAATTTGTTCAGGAAATTCCACCAAAATCACCTGAAACTAATACTGAAACAACAGCAGAAGTTACCTCACCCAACAAAAACGAAGAGCTAGATGATACCTTATCAAATATGTCACCACCAAATTTTGAGAGCAATGTTGGTGATATTTTGAAAAGATTTAGTATTAGAAGAACGACAGATTTTGATATTAGAGATTTACTGTCCGATACTTCTAATAATCTTTATGACGATACTCAATCCACCGAAGAAGTTAGAAAACCAAAGTTTTCAATTGTAATTTATTCTAGATCAAAGTTTGATCTCAAAGATACCAATGAAAAACGTGTAAAGTCATGGTTGAATGATTTTAAAAAGTTTGTGTTAACACAGGCACCAACAGTTCAACTTTGTAATTCATTCCAATGGGAATAGTAAATTCACAAATTATTTATTTCACTAAATCAGTTTCAATATTTATTTAAAGTTTCAACTTGATTCTTCACTATGATTGATTGCTTTTCCTCTTCGATAATTTGCTCTTTCTTTTCCTCATTCAAGAAAATTAACATTAAGCTTTCAATAAAGATTGGTATCAATTGACTGACAATTAAGAAAACAGCAGCCCATTCTCCAGCAAGATTTCCACTCTTCCACTGAACCATTCAATGATGGCACCAATAACCAATCCAACGTTACAGAGTATTGACAATGTAAACAAGATACACAAGATCCAGTTTGGTAAACTCCTACTCCAGGTACAAAATCTTACAATCCAAAATCTTCCAAAGAATAATCTAACAATTCTAATACCATTCAAAACACAATTAAGGAATCCATAAACAAGCAACAATCCCATCCCAGCAATAGCAACTCCCAAATGAAGCATTCCCAAATCAGATGTATCTGGAATTATAGCCATTACCAATAGTAAGGGCATACTCAACACCATCGGAATGAAATGCAACACTAAAAACCAAAAGTAAATACTCTTGAATTGTGGCTTTATCGTGCCATAGGTTGAATAATGAAGTGATATCAATCTGCTCGGACAGAAAAGAAGAACCAAACAGGTTCCGACAGCAAAACATGCAATGAATAGAGCTCTATTGGGTGAATTATTTCTTCCACATGCTGAAACAGGTTCTTCTGTTCCTGTGGTTTGATAGCAAGTCCCCAGAGTAACCAACACTATTATAATGCACAATAACACAAGAATACTTGCAAAGATTCCACTCACTATTTGTCCCTTTGAAGGTTGTTGTGACATTTTTTCTATTCTTTTTCACCATTTAAAATTGCGATGGAATTTGAAGTGTTTGATTTGTGTTTGGACGTTCCAATAAACTTCTAAATGGTATGGCAACTAACACATTATGTTTTTATCGTTTTTTCTTTTTTGACACTTTATGTGGAATGACCTTCTTTGAAATATCACTACGGAAAGCACTGGCAATGGACATGAGTAAGGGTATGTCTGAAATATTAACATGTAATAGATGAGACAATTGCTCGTAGGTGATTCTCTCAGATCCATTCTTCTTAGGTTTGGATACAAGTATCTTTTTGAGTTGTTCTGATAAACTCTTTGTTGGTGTTTGTTTGGAATCAGAGCGCCAATGAACGGCGTTTGTTGGTATAATTCTATTCGTTTCCGAATCTATCGAGTCCACAATTGAAAACATAAGCTTGGTCTTTAGAACTAGTCCATAAAGTGTATCTTTAAATATCTGCTCACATGCTTTTTCACCTTCTGATGTCTGATCTACTGATCTAAGGAATAAAAGTTCGTGCAATAACTTGGAGATTATGCTAGAGTTATGACCTTCTTCGAATTTAGCTGTCTTGTGCTTACTCGTTACAACATTGCAAGACCTTCCTTCAATATCAATTATAATGCAACTGGCTACATCTGGTAATCTTGGATCTCCATCAATGCTTTCTGTTTGAATGAATTCCAAGTCTTCTATGAGCTCCTTTTGGAAATTGACATACCTAGGCAAGCCAGATATTACGAATCCACCACAATACCACGTACAAACGTCAGCAAAAAGTGAATTTCCAAACTTGTTGAATTTCATTTTCAAATTCATTTCCTCAACGTTATTGTCATAAGCTGCAAGTGTGAAATTAGGTTTTGGAACTAAAACTACAGGTTTGATATGATATTCAGAATCTTCATCTGAATCACTCTCTATTGTATGAATAGCTATATTTGGATTCGTTGTGTCGTGGGAGTGTTTTTGTCGTGGCTTAGTTTTAAGTGGAGGTTTCATTTCAACAAATTGCATTGGAGTTAGGGTTAAAAGAGTTTCTGGAAGGAATTTAGAATCGAGATTGGAGGATTGTTGAGGCTTGTCAATGGAAAATTCTTTTTCTAAAAGTAGAGTTGATTGAAGGAGGAACGTAATCATGGATATACAATATCTAATATCTTTGTTATTACTTCCAACAACAATTATTTTACAAAACTTTTTCAGACCTTTCTTGTCTTGTTCACCAGATGTCAATGTTGGAAGGTAGCCACTTCCATACAGAGATTTTAGATATTTCTGAATGAGTAGTGAAGGATTATCATCACAGTCACTCCTTTCAGATTGTATGAATTGTGAAACCCATGAAAGGTGGTTTGATAAAATGGTAGTCAACACTAGAGAAAAGAATGAAAGATGTTGTTCGTCTTTCCTCGTTAGCAAGGCAAGATCAGTTAAAAAGGTAGAGAAATTGTTAGATTTTTCAAGAGGCAAAAGTGATTGTGATTGCCAAATTGGTTCCTAAAAAGATAAGTGAGAAAATAAATACATATCAGACACTTACATTGAAACGAGGCGCATGTAGGAAAGAGATAATAAACTTGTTGAAATCTATGGATGCATTAGAAATTTCTTCAGAATCTTGAAGACATCCATGGAATGATTTGATATTGAAAGTAAAACCACTGAAAATTTCGTCTAGCTTGTCTGATTCTCGAGCTTCATCAACTTTCTTCTTCAGGTAGTTTTGAATTGAGTTTTTACAAGAGTTGAGCAATTTTCTCAGTTTGTGTTCAAATATTGGGAAGTGAGAGAATATGAGTCTTTGCAACTGACTTGGATTTTGAAGCTCATCCTTATCTTCTCCACAGTCATGGAAAACCAATAAGACAGCTATTCCAAATGAAGATTTGCACATGAATGAAATATCCTGATCTTTGTGTAGCTTCTTTTTTCTGTCTTTCTTCTTGTGAGCTTGCTTTGTATCTTCAGTGGTAGTAGAGGCAGCAGCTGCTTTTTCAGTGAAATTATCTCTAATGGCATCTGTAACAGATGTGGAATAGCTTCTATTACGAGTACCCAAGGTGTTTGGACTATAAGCAGTTGCTGATACTTGGTTTGCATTTGGTTGTTGAATTATACTGACAGCTCTATTTCTCACAGTTGGTGATGGTGTTGGTGATGTGCTAACGGGGTTTGGATTTGGTTCTGTATTTGGTGGAATATCCTTTGATGTTGAGCTAGAGTCATCTCCATGATCACTCTGTACGTCTGTCTTAATTATTGTACTGACTGGCAAACCAACTCTGAACACCTTACTGAGACAGGTTTGTTTGTGCTGTGAAAGAGTGTGAATTTTAGTATTTTGTCCAAGTATCTGTATTGGAATAGATCCAAATAATATTTCACCTAGAATACTAGTATCGTTCATTCCCACTGATTGTTTGTTATTAATATTATTATTACTCGAAGTATTATTTGTTTGTGATTGGAAGGATTGATTCAAATTATTTTGAGATAAACCTCCCAATAGTGGTTTCAAAGATGGTGAGCTGGTCTTAATCTTGTTGACAGCTCTTGTACTCTTCAACATTTGCATTTTTCTAAATCTTTCATTAACCTCCTTTGTATTTTGATTTAATTTGGCTTTAAATTGTTTAAAGTTATTATCATGATGAGTATCGTACATGAGTGTATTGCCATTCATTCCACTTTGCATTATCAAAATTCTCACACTACAAAACTTATCGGGAAGTGATCGAAATTGTATTTGATCAATAATTTGATGTTGTGTAATATATGACTTGTAACTCTGCAAATCGTCTTGATAATTTGTTGATGATGAAGCTGATGGGGATACCTCTTCTTCATATAAACTCCTAGTAGGGGCCTCCCGATCATTACTGGCTGATTTAATATTATTTCCCATATTTCAAAAAATCCACTTTTCCGCTCTTTATGTACAATATATAATTTTCTTGTTATATTTGTTCTATTTAAATTATTATTATTAATTTTCTATATTAACTGATATGATGGTGTGATGAAAATCTTAACGCTGATGAAATTTGACCAAAATTCAGAGTTGCAGATTTTTCATTTTTTTTAAAAGTCCGAGAGCTTTTTGACAAATCTCCGTAGCAAGCACTTTGCACATTATTGTTTGTGAACCATTAGGAGGAGATTGGTAAGTAATTGAATGTTTCAGGAGTTGCTTTATAAATCTTCCTTTCCATTGCCCAAATACTTTACAAAATATTGTAATTTTATTGTTTACAAAATATTCTTAAAGAATGTTAAAAACAACATTCAAAAAAAATGAGTTCGTCATCGTCTGACGATGAATATGACGCTGCACTTTTAGATGAGACATCGGAATCTTCGGAAGATGAAGCTAAAATGATCAGTGGTATGATTCGTGATGGAATTAATATTTTGGAACGAACCAACACTTCATCATCAATGAGTGCTAATACAACAAGAATTAATTCTTCTTCTTATGGTTCGGGTTATCCATTTATCAATCCTATCGATAATAGAATGATTAGTATGGAGGATGATGACGAATCACAGAGTAGTAGTTATGCGAGTATTCAGAAAAATCATCATCAACATCGTCGTCAGCCAAATTTTAATAATATTTATTTTAGGCTTGATGAAGAGAATTTGGAAAATAGGCTGGGGGTAGGATCATCAGCAATGCATAGTCGTATGGGTAGCAGTAGTATGATTAATGATAGTGCTAGTTATAATGGATCAATGATGGCAAATCGTTCCGAAGGTGTGATTTCGTCTTCGGATGAAGATTCTTCATCGGAAATGGACGAAAGTGACACTACAGAGGATGATGAGGAGATGGAAGATGAGGAGGATGAGGAAAATGTGGATTTGAGAGAATGGCAGATTTGTTATCCAACAAATACATCTACTCTCTATACTTCTTCGAATAATTTTGGATCCAGCTCTGCACCAATTGAAATTTCACACGAAGAGAATTCATTTATCAATGAGACAATATTTTCACTCATGGCCAAAAATCAAAAACTCATCGAGTTAATTGGATCAGAATCTCCAATAATTGATTATTCATATGTCTTGCAAACTAGAAGTGATGATCCAACTCCTTACATTCCAGAAAATTTGTACACATCTCTTGTTTACCAATTTCATCAAACAGTACTATTCCATGAGAAAATTAGGAGAAATTACGAAAAGATTATTGCTGATATTAAATTGGCATTCCGTGATACTGGAGAGGAAGTTCAAAAAATAGTTCAGGTTGTAGAAATGAATCAAATACCAGTTCCTGCAAATTTAATTCCAGAAAAACAAGGAGGAGTCACTAAGGATGTTATTGCCGGTGATATTAGAGGATTGGAATTGATGAAGCCACTCTCACAGAGAGAAGATCCCAACTCAATTATGGAAAATAGAACAAAATTTAACATTGATGTAGTGTCGGCTCACTACAAAAATCGAGCATTTACCATTCAAATAAGATACTACTTCCCTGAGGATTATTATGAAGATGATTTACCATTTTGCATTGTACAGGGAGCTCCTTTTCTTACCTCTGCTAGAAGGAAGAAGCCACAAAGAACAGCCGAAAGCAAAAAGAGGAAAAAGATTCAGAGATTAATTGATGAAAAGAGGGCTAGGCTACAGGAAATTCATGGATCCAATACAGCCATTCAAGTTCCAGTACCTCAATCTACTCAACCAGTATCTACCCTTGAGGATTTCTCTAATGGTTTAAGAGAGCTCATCTATTTTGTAGCTCTCCTTCCACAAGAGGACAAGCAACGTGCTATTGACATGGCTCTCAGAACACTAGTTCAAAATGATAAGGACATTTAAGATGCAAAATAATATCTTTTCACAAGATTCAATACTTCAAAAGAGGCAGGGACGTTCTCTTAATTTGTAGATGAGTGTTTCTATTTTTCAATTCATCAACTCTAATACTTTCTATCGCAATCACTGTAAATTTTATTCAACAGCACGGTTGACCATCAATACTTCCAAAAAAGTTGATTGACAGACATTCATCTCTTTCACACCCTTTACAGATGGAATTCTTTAAATTTGCGAAGAGTTTCCATCTCTTACTCTCAATCTCAAAGGCACTATTTTGATAATTCTAGAAGAGATGTCAGTATCTTTACATGCATTTAATTCTCTACATTCTTGCCGATTGTATTTACCATCAATAAATTGAAAGGTTTTGAAAGAGAGAAAAGTGTAACGGTGAATAAAAGCGGGAAAAGATTTGAAAAATCATTCATAAAAAAAAGCAAAAACAATGCCATCCTACACTGTCTATGAAGATGTATGCTCCGTTGATGAGGTACAAACTCTGAGCCGTACATCTTGTTCAAAGTCTACACCCATGTTGTCATCAAGGATGTCCTCGAATAAATCCATGATGATGCTAGCAGTGACTAATAACAATAACTACAACCAACAATATAATAATAATATTAACAATGGAAAGATAATATCATCTACCAAACAAAATACAAAAGCAGCAATGGGATATGTTGACCTGAATGTAAATCCTCATCTGCTAACATGTGGTATTAACAAGGAAAACATTGACCCATTAACTGGTAGGGTCTATCCAATGTCCTCCTCATCAAATCTCTTCAATAATAATTCTAACTCAAAGTCTAACTGTACAACAACACCTAACAACAATATTAGAGATCCACTCAAAGATATTACATTATCTGTGCTGGGTCAAACCTCGACACAACCTTCAAGAATTAAGAAGTTGACAAGCTCTTCATTGCAAACTCCACAAAAGAACAAACTGAGAAATGCATCTGCTTCAACAGGTTCTCTCAACCCACTTTCTCCTTCAACTTTGTACCTTCGTTAAATATCTATGATAAGAGATGTGTAAGAACATTCTCTTACTTTGTGAAATTGGTTGAAGCAAATTGCAAAATTGCTTAGTTTTCAATAAAGTTTATTTCATTTTGAATGAAACAATTTGAATTTGTAAATCATGATTTTCTACCCATCTAAATTCCACTACAAAAAACTCTCTAATTTGGGCAACATATCTGATTTTAATTGATAGACTAAAGATAATCTTATCAAATTAATACCACGTTTTGATACACTCTCAATCTCTCTAATGTAAGCTTTTTGGTTTACAATCCCATCACGTTACCTGAATACTAATGCATGGTTGAATTACTCCAAATTTGTTAAGATTCACATCTTATTTGGAATATTTGGCATGTAGTGCCGAAACATGGATTTTGTAATTCATTTCAAACAATATCAATCTCTCTTACATTACTATTATTCGAAACAAAAAAAAACAATGACACGAGTTAAACCCACCTCCTCTCCTGAAAAATCCTATCCCATTGAAGAGCAAAATCAATTATTGGAAAGTACTAGTCAATCAAGTTTTGAAAAGGACGAATCCAAACCTTCCTTCTTTTCCTCAATCAAATTTCTTTTGATGCTCATGATTTCCTTATTGGTGTTGATTTCTGTTATTGTCTTGTCAGTTATTTGGATAAGTACATTTAGTTCTTCAATTGCAGAGCAAAGTACAAAAGTGAGGGAGGAAGATTTCTCAAAAATTGTTTCGTTCATTGAGAGAACACTTCAGGATGTGTTACTTGTTGTGGAATCTGTCAAAGCTCAACTTTACAATGACTTTAATTATCTGGATCCCATTTCTCTAGAGAGACACACCTATAAAACGTTCAAGGTTGTAAAGAACTATCTCAGGCAAGTGGTTCTAGCTGTATATATTGGTTATCCAGATGGTTCTAATTATGGAATGGTCAATTTGGGTGATTCAGCTCAATACTTTAATACTACACTTGGTTTGGATCAATATTTTTGGGAATGTAGAGATATTGCTTCAAATGAGTATTGCAATAGAACTGTTGAGCCGAATGTTGTGATTCCACCATTCACCTCAAACTATGTAGCTCAGTTTGCTTCGACTAATCCTGGCAATCCAGTTGTCACACTGTCATATGCCGATCCAACAATGCCACAATTCGTCTTTTTGACTACAGTTTCGAGTTTTACAAATGTTGGAACAATCAAACCAGGAGATAATTTCTCATTCCATTTTGCTTTTGATATGAGTGTTGCAACAGTTTCGAATTTTTTGATTGAGATTACAAAATCAGTGAGAGGATCTACTGCTTTTGTAATTGAAAAAAAGACAGATTTCATTATTGCAAGTGATGATCCAGATGCTGTTGTGGCCACCTGGGATAATCAGGGAGTAATTCATCGAAAGACAGCTCTAGATTTTGGTGGTGACATTTCAGTGACGGGTAACATTATTTACAATAGATTTAAAACGTTTAATGAAATTGCATGTAATACCAAGCAGGATTTAACTACACTCATTGATTTCATATCCATTCAAAGATTGTGTACAAATGAAGGTATTGATTGGTAAGTTTTCAATACAGAATTTCAGAATTTATATTGATTTGTAACTTTTAGGATTCTGGTGTTTAAAGTTCCACAATGGAATTATATGGGCTCTATGGTTATTGCTATAATTTGTGCTCTATTGGGAGCAATTATAATTGTTGGGGCTAGTATAAGTATGGCTATCTTGTTCTCTCTCAAAATTGTTAGGCCATTCAATAACCTCATACAAGCATTTGAGATGGTTTCGAATATGGAACTTGAAAATCTACACCTTTACAAGACTCGATTCTCTGAGGTTAAATCCCTTCAAACTCACTTTAAGAGTATGATTGGAAGAATTAAGCTCTACAGAAGATTCATTCCACCTCACTTGTTAATGCAATTGGATGGAAATTCTCAAAAAGAAAGTACTCAAGAATCGAATAATGAAAATCATGAAAGTTCCACAGCTGTGTCCAACTCCAAGCGTGAAGAATCCATGTACAGTAAATCTAGTCGCTCTCACAGCGATCTTCGTCAATCTGGAAAGTTTGGAAAACAGCCAACAGGGAATATGTTTTCTCTCTATTTGGAGAAAAGGAAAGTTACTTTTGTGAATACTTACATGCAAGGGTTGAATCAATGGTTGCTCAGCATCAATCCCAATGAATGTGTTAATATTTTGAGTGATATTTTCGAAAGTGTTGGCCAGATAGCAAGAGCAAATAATGGGCAAATTGGTAAATTCGAAAATGAAACACTTAGCATTCATTTTAATGCAACTAATGATCAATCAAATCACCAGTTGAAAGGTGTTCAAATGAGCTCAATTGTTCTTGCCAAGTTAAATTCTATTAAGGAAGGAAAGTTGTCGAAAAATTCAATTTTGAAATCACATCAAGCTCTATTGAATGATTTCAAGTTTAGAATAGTTGCACATTGTCAGAGTAATTTGTGTGGAAATGTTGGATCCAAGCAAGTGATGAACTTTTCTGTTCTGGGAAGTCATCAGTACAATACTGAAGTGATGATTGAGATCGCCAACCGTTTCGATTTGGATATTGTCATTTCAGAAGAATTATTCGAAAAGAATAACAATCAATTCCAAGCAAGATATGTCGACACTAAGGATATGATTGAGGATGACTATTATTCATCACCTCTTTTGGCCTCAACACAGCAAGTTGCCTATCACGCAAGAAAAATATACGAATTGGGAGAAAGTAATGATGTTACAGCAGATGGTAAGTAATAATTTTTTAGTATTAGTAATAATATAATCTTTAATCAAATAATAGAATGGATGTATGAATTGGAAGCCAAAGAAAAGAAAAATCGTTGGTTAAAGTATCATCAAGCTTGTGAGCTATTCTTTGCCTCTCAATACCCACAAGCAGTTCAGGTATTGGAAGAGTACCTGACTGAAAAAAAGACAAGTGATTCTGTTGCAGAGAGCTTTTTAGATCGTATTAAACATTTGTTATAAATCTACCTGTATTTAACTTAATAATTGAATTAATTTTTATTATTTTGAAGTGTTAATACCAAGATAGATAGATGCCAAGTCTCCAATTCCATGTTTACGCCAGCCCTCATCATTAGAGATTGCTGCCCATTCCAATCTAAAGACACTCCAACTACATCTTCTCATCAACTCGACACTACCAAAGAGAATGGCTAAAAATTCCTTATTTTGCTTAAAGTAAGTTGAGATGGTACCAGCCCATGCAAATCTAGCAATCAAATTGAAAGCAATTGCCAAACGATAGACAAGTTTTCTTCTACCATAAATTCTTCTGCTACGCATTACAAATTTGTAGCCCATAATTGTTTGTGAGGTGAAAAATTTCTTAATTGCTTCCAATTTCGTCTTGGCTCTTTCCTCTTCCTTAACTTGTTTGAATTTGAATAAGCCCCAATCCATCAGAATATCCCAAGTGAAAGCATAGGCAGTACTGACTGGTGTCAGAATAATCCAAATATATCTGAAAGGTCCCCAAGCATCGTTATCTTCCAAATTGACGTGCAAGGTGTTGAATAAAATCACAGAGAGAGCAGCAACGTATTTGAGAGCATTGAGAAGCTGACTCTTTTGTGATCTGTCATCGTAAAATCTTCTGCAACACTGTAACATTCTCCACAAGAAAGGAAGGAAAGTAAGGCAAGGACCCAAGAATTTGTTAAATTCATGACATTGATTTTCACCACTACTCCAAGAGAAATAAAAGCACAACATGTAAGCTGTATCAGTTATTGGAATAACCATACTTGTTAAAACATCAGCAACAAAGAATTCTCTGAATCTAATGTGACCAAATGGTGTGATCAACAATTTACCCAAGACCTTAAGGAGAGTATATCTTGCACTCAAGTGAACAAAGTGCATTGGTAAAATGGCAATAAAGACCATCATCAAGCTCATAATTAATGGATACCATGAAGCATCTAATATTGTTAAATAACCTTTCACTGTTATCATGTAAAGGAAAAAGAAAAAGAACCAAAAAACTGTCAAAACACTAGTTGTCTTCCAAATTTTGATAGCTTTCAAGTGATTCACTGGATCAAATTCAAAAAGATAGGCAAAGTTGACCTTGTATCTTTCCCAAACAAACAAATTCAATCCATAGAGCCAACCATAGAGAATGTATAACATGATAGAACGGAAAATTGGAAGTACATCAAAGAAACCTGGAATATCATTAATTGATGGCTCCTTAAAGAACCACACAGCAACCAGAAGGACAAACAATGGCACAATGGAACCAATAGCCAGAGCCAATTTGAAAGTGTCACCGTGGGTGTGGTGAGTGGAAGGTTCACGAAGGAATGACAAGGCTCTACTCTGATCTGAGGATGTGAAATATTTGGCAAATATCTGTTCGACATTTTCCATACTTTGTTTCAATTGATTGGTGCTAAAGTCAGCATTTGGTAAATCTTCATACCAATGTTTTAAATCTCTTGAATGTTCACCACAAAATTCAAATTTAGTCAATAAATTATTACTAGCAATTCTGTTGGCATGCAAAAAGCTGTAGAGAAATTCCAACTCTCTGTAAATTTCAACAAATTTCTCTTTCAGTACTGGACCAGTTTCACTATTGAAAAATGGTTTCATTCTTGCTTCTGACAATTCCTTTTGTGTTCTCAATGTTATTTCATTGACTTTCTTCAATTCAAAATTGTACTTTTTAAAAACAGTCTCTACGTCCTTTTTAAACATGTTTTTGAAATTTTCAATATGCATATTCAAACTTTCTCCAATTTCCAATCTGAAAAAGTAATCATCAACAATGGTTCCTCCTATTTTCTCTCCATCATTCTCCTGAATTGATGAATCTTGTTCTGAATAGACTCTCCGCAGTGATAATCCAAAGTTTTCAATTGGATTCAATGCACCACTGCTATTAGCAGGCAACAGTGATGATGATGACGATGATACTATTGTTGTATTATTATTATTATTACTATCTCCACTTGTTACAGCCTGTTGCTGATAGGACAATAGGGCAGAATTTTCTGAGGTTTTCCTCTCCTCTTCTTGTTGTTGTTGCAATCTTCGTTTCCGATGCTCCTTTTGTTCTTGTTTCATTTGTGTGAGTTCCTCTCTAATGTGATGGAGTGCATTCTTAAGTTCTGGGTATGAAATGTAGTAGGTCTTCCAGGCTGGCCGTAAATTTGCCTGATAGCTAAAGTAAGCGGTGAAGGACATTTTTTTAAATTCGTTGCAAATGAAAATTCATTGTAAAAATCTGCTCAGATATTTAATTGGGACTCGAATTATTTGGAAGGAGAGAACGTGTCAACTGTAACATGTGAAAAGATATTAAGAATTTGAAAGAAGGTAATGTTTAATGATGATTGTATAAAATATTATTATTATACTTGATAGTATTTACAACATGTACAAATTTTGCATGAGGACCTCTTTGAGGTACTGACGTGAGGTCTCGTCCTGTGTCTCAATGGTGGTGTCTTCTGCGTTAAAGATAATTTTACCAAGTTGTGGAATGACGATTGTGTAGGTACCATAATCTGTTGGAGATGTCAGTACTGTGATATTATCAAATCCTTCAACTTGTAAATGTTTAACAATTTTCTCCACACTAATGTCACCAAATACCATTAGATCCTTATCGTGTTTTCTCTTCTTGGAGGATGATTCTTCAGATTGTGAATCATCTTCTGATGTCACATCCAATATATGTTTTCCATCCTTAGATGTTAATTCAGCAGAGACACGTGAGACGTAAACACCCTTAACTACCTTTGGATAAATGGTTTGAGCAAGGTTGTGTGAGAGAGTTGCCATTTCGTATTTCCTCTTCATGTGATGTCTCTTGATTGAGAGAATATCATCACCATCAATGCCATATCTTATACTTGAGCCAGGAGTGGAAATTGTATGAATCTTTTCTGAAACAAACTTAGAAATTGTTCGCATATCCAAACTGTTCAAGAGGGTACTGGCAGTTGAAGCAGAGTAGCTATTCAAAGCAATTTGTAATTCTGTACTTGGTGAACAATTCTTCAGGTTATAAGGTGGAATGTCTACAGCAACATTGGTCAAAATCAAATGTTGAGGAGCTACTTGTTTTACCATGTGTACAACATCTGAATTTTTCAAACGAAGATCAATAGGGCAATGAATAAACTTCATTGATTGCTGTCCAGGTGGAGGTAAAAATGGTTCAATTGTATCGAGGAAGGAATATTCTGGTTCAATCATTATCATGGCATTGTTGCTATTTCTTTGGAAGATTGGAATGAGTTGGAGAATATCTCCCATTCTCAAAGAAGGATGACCAGCAAAAATAACACACGGATTGGAAACTCTGTGACTCTGATAATAACTCATAAATTTAGAGTTTACACTATCAAAAACTACTAAGGATTTGTTTTGAAGCAAATTGACGTGGGCAAATGGACTTTCTGCTGTCAGAGTTTTATCCATTTTTGAGTCACACAACCATTCAGCGCTGATGTTAGCATATTGAATAGCATGATCTGCCACTGGTGATACTAAATAAATGAGAGTATTACCCAAATGTACAGAGTTGAAGAATGTAGATAAAAAGTCAATCAAATCATAAATAAGCCCAGTAGTATGGCAAGGAATGAGAACATCTCCTCCTGATTCAATAGTTTTTCCTATTATTCTACAAATATCATTTAAAGTTGCTTCTGGATAGTAATGACATAATGGTTTTACAATTTTGATATTTTCAGTATCGATAGCATATAATTGACTCTTAGATATTGGTCCTAGTGTTGAGGCAAGTTGTTGATATACTTGCTCAAAATATTGTAAGTTTCTGTCACTCTTTGGACAAATATTTGATACAATCATGACAGTATTTACCATAGATCCACTGACTCCTGATTGAATTGTTGCTACAGTTCCAGATGATGATCCAGGGGCCTGCACGATAGATGTCACAGTTGAGAGATCCATTTCTGCAGGATGACGTACTTGAACTCCAGATCTACTACTATGACTAACATAAAATATTTTCTCATATTCTGTTCTAATTAACCAATTACAATATCCTAGACTGTAACCACTACTGAGTGCAGATATTTCGAATACTCCACCAAATACTGCAACTCTTTCCTGATAACTGACACTCTTCATTGACTCTACAACTCTTAATACATCATCATTAGAATAAATAAACTTTTCGGATAAGAGTGGTGATAATTTGTTCATGAAAATATTTTCCTCCGGTTTGAATATTTGACTTGCTCTAGATAATTCCAAATGTTCACTTTGTTTCACATAGGCAATTAATTCTTGCATCATTTTCTTTCCGAGTTGTACTGTTGGTTCGGTGGCATAAATAGTAGGCATTTTGACCTTGTCTGAATTTTGATCCTTAGCAATTTCCTTTAAATGCTGATATAAGAATGGTAGAGCTAATAAATTATGTGGATTTGTGATGAGGATTAAATCTATTTGTGAGGCATCAATTTTATGAAAATTCGGAGCTTTAAAAACTATTGATGGAGGTTGTAAATCTTGTTGTGTAATTTTAGTTGATGATGATGAAAGAGAGTTTACATTCAATCGGTTTGTTCTATTCAATAAATTTAGCATTGATTTTGTTCCTGATGATGGATCATTTTGAATAACATTCCGCTTTACAAAATCCCAACTGCTAGTCTGATTACCCCAATCCAATGCACAATCAAGCATCACAGTTGTATTTTTAAAGGTGAGTATGTGACATCCTTCACCAAGAGCATAAAGCTTCATTTTTTTGATATTTATTTTTAGGAATTTAAAATGAATGGAATAGTTTTTAATTATTATTTAATTCAAAAAAGACACCAATAATAAAATCACTAGATTCTCTGAAGAAGATTTTAGAGTTGGAAATTTATTATTGAGAAGAAAGAAATTGGTTAATGTTTTGGAATTTCTCATGTTTGGATGATAATTCTTGAGCAATGGAGAGTGGTGAGTTACCTCTTCTATTCTTTGCATTAATATCAGCACCAAGCGAGACGAGTAATTTGACAGCATCAAGGTGACAATTAATAACAGCAAGATAGAGTGGTGTATCTTCAGTAATGTCACAAACTTGATCAACTTTTTCCTTCTTTTCAGTTACAAAGAAGTTAATGAGATCACAATTACCAACTTCTGAGGCCATATGGAGAGCAGAAATTCCATTATTTCCAGAAAGTGAATAGTCAGCATCCAATTCATTAACTAAAAATTTAACCATTTCAGCAGATGCCTTCAAGGTCTCTGGTGTGACACCTTCCTCTTCTGAATGTGAGTTGGCAATAGCCAAAAGAAGTGGATTAATATGTATGTGATCGTTGGATAATCTTTCATAATATTTAACAGTGGAAACTTCGTGTTCCTTTGAGTGAATATGAACTAATGCCTTCAAAACTTCCACATTATTATTCAAAATAGCAGTGTGAATAGGAAGCATTCCTTCAGTGGTACAGGCAATATCCTTCTTTGCTCCGAGTTCATCGATCAAATAATAAACCATTTCCACTCTTCCATATTGTGCTGCAAGGTGCAATGGAGTAAATCCATAGATGTTCATTAAGCTATTTACATCAACATTCTTTTCACGAACAAGATATTCTACAACATTAGTATGACCATTCATAGCAGCAATATGAATTGGTGAATATAAATCATTTGATGAGTCTGTCAAGTCGTACAACTTTTTTACAATTTCCAAATGGCCTCTTTCACAGGCAATAGACAAGGCAGTCTTCTCATCACTACTTTTCAAATTACAAATTTCCTTCAATGTTGATTGATCCTTTACCGATTGTAAAATTCTATCAAACAATTCATTATTCACTCCTACAAAACTAGCCACGTGAAGAACAGAATGTCCGTGTAAATCTCTTTCGGACCAAATATTTGTCAAATCCTCTCCAATACTTCCCTTTGTCAAGAGTTGATCAATATTAGCATGATCAGCACTGCCACTACTACCAGCAGAGAGTTGTGTTTGTCTCTTCTTTGGTGCTTGATTAGGTGGGGTTGTGACTGCAGTTTGACGATCTGTTGGTGTACTCATTTTTTTCTAATAGAGTTCTTTTTTAGTGAATTTGATTGTTGGAGGCAAATTGGAAATTTTAAAAAATGTTGCAAGAAGATTAAGAAGTAGTTTTATTTCATGGTATGATGTATTTAATATTATAGTGAGGTTTCTTAATGGTGAGTTGATTGGGATTAAATAAGCTAAATTTAATTATATTAAAAAAAATGTCCACGAGTCAATTATTGTATCCCGATATGATTTATCAAATATTGCAATTTGTGGATGAGCAGGAGAGGATTGTACAATGTTCTACTGTATGTAGACAGTGGAGAGAAACATGTCAAATTATTCCCATTCACTATTCGATTCAATCAAAAACAAAATGCAAATTATTTAGATTAATTCCCTTTCGTATTAATTCAATCAATGTGCAACCTGAGAATTATTTGAATAGAATTGATGATTTGAAAGGTTTATTTTCTCATCATTCGAAAATTTGCTATTTGGAAAAAATTGAACTAGTAATTGGAGAATTTAAAGAATTGATTCTCCAAATAATTTCTTGTTCTGATCATTTGAGAAAGTTAGCCGAGTTGACTGCTTGTGATTGTGGAATTGATGATGAATGCATTGAAAAGATGCAACAATCCAAGTTGGCACTCTCATTGAAAACATTGAAATTGAGAGGAAATTCCATTACCAATATTGACTTGTCCAAGTTTCCAAATCTAACAAGTCTGTATTTGGGACAAAACAAGTTGAGTTTAGATTCGATAAGAAAAAACTTTTCAGAGATGAGATTGGATTACAAACTTGTCTATTTAGATGTCTCTGGTAATGGAATGTCGAATGAAGGACTATCAATGATATCTATGAGCAAGAATTTGAATTTATCAACTCTAAAAATTGGATTCAATCGTGCCATTTCGAATAGCAGTACAGATCATTTCTATTTCAATGGAATGAAATCTTCACATCTCACTCACTTGGATTTAGAAAATCTTCATCTCAACTCGGATTGTATTCAATCTCTCTGTTCAAATCCTCTCTCAAATCTTACTGAACTCAACTTAGCGCGGAATCTGATTGGAAATGAAGGTGTTAGGCATTTATCCAATTGCAATCAACTCAAATCTCTTCATACACTCTTGTTAGATTATAACAAGATTGGAAATGAGGGTGTAAAGCACTTGGCACATAGTCAAAACCTTTCCAATTTGAAATTGCTGTTCCTTTCACAGAATTACATCAACGACGAAGGTGCTAACATGTTGGCAAAAAGCAATTGCCTTAGAAACATTGTGTTTTTGGATTTGAGTGAGAATGGACATATTTCAATTCGAGAAGCACTACCACCATCATTTTCATTCGAGTGAAAGGAATTATAATGGAATGCAAAGCATACAATATTAGAATTGTGCTAAAAAGATCCAAAGGGGGTGACCCTTGAATTAAATTGGCAACAGATACTCCAAAAACAGTGCCGCTCTAAAAATGTTAATTACAAGATATCATTCTCAAAGATTCTTAATATGAAGCTGAAATTTCTGACTCTTTTGAGGCAAATTGATTTCCATATGCTTGGATTCTTAAAGTGCACACCTTAATATTCTCATTGTATAAAATCACTTTCATCTTTTTCATCTTAAATCATTGAACTATTTTCCAGATTGACCATCACAAATCCATCAACATACGATAAAAGGAATGTTGCTGAATTTTCCACTTTTATTTGAAGCGTTTATTTGTTAAAATTAAGGACTGAGAGATATCTACATGAATTAAGGCAAAGTTATCCAAATGATGGTGCCTCAACAAACAATTAGTATCAGACTTCCAAACAAGGGACCATTAACGCACGAACTTTGGACCTAACTCCCTCGAAAGACATTCAAATTTCCTCTTTTATCACAGCTGAAAACAATTTTTCCAAGAATGATAGTTGTTTTCACACCCCATCTCCTCTTCCTTAATACACCCAAGCAGCACGCGTTAGATTAAGAGGCTCTCCCCAAAATTTGATTTCTTTGAGTGGTGTGAGTGAACACATTAAATTAAAATGGGAGCTGGATGTAGTTCTCACTTTGAGGTACTACTACACAGTGAGCCAAGCTCTTATCGTCGTCATCAGAGCAATACCACCAGCACAACTTTAAACACCAATGGTAATGGCATGGTCGGTTCTCAAAGGGGAGGTGTGGAAAATGTATATCATCAGAATGATAATTCTCTTGCAAATTCTGCCAGGTTTCAATTCGGAAAGAAGCAATCACGAGAGAATTCTGTGTCATCTGAAATTGAAACTTTGGATCTGAGGGCAAAGAAGGTATCATCATTTAGAATTCCTGGCCTTCGTGTGAGCTGGATTGGTTTTCCCCAAACTCCACAAGGAAAATCTCAAGAGGAAGTGAATTTGGAATTGTGTTGTTCTTACCTCCCACAACATTTGCTCTTCTGTTTGAGATATATTTATTATGGAGGTGAGGGGAAGCAATATAAGAAAAAGCTAGCCACTCCTCTTCCACAAAGTTTTTCACACAACGATGGAAGTTGTCTTGTAGATAATGAAAGCAAGTGGTCTGCCTTTGTCTCTGTAAATACCGACTACTCTTCTCACTATCAAGATTCCCATGCACATAATAATGGGAAAATAGCTTCAATCTTCAAGAGAAGACTCTCCACATCAACAACCAACACGATGAGAACCAACCGTTCAGGTGGTAATAGGAATAATAAGACAAAAGCTGCAAAACCAGTAGTCTCTGCAGCACAACAGGAAGAGGATAGGATCAAGCAAGTACTTCCATTGAGTGAATTTGGGAATGAGACTTGCATCCTGGTGATTGAAATGAAGGGATTTTCAAAAGTTGTGGACTCTTTCTATGATTGTTCAACAAATTGTGATGTTGCGGAAATTTCCAGATATATTTATTACATGTACACTACGTTAATTGCGATCATTCATGACATGGGGGGTGATATTGAGAAATTTGAGGCTGATCTTTTGGTGTGTCAATTCTTTTCACCTAGAGTGGATCGCTCATTCACTGATTCAATTCTTTCTGCCATTCAATGTGCATTCAGGATTCAATCATTGGCCAATTTAAAGACCTACAAGTGTATTAGTGAAAGTGCACCTTTGGAAATTAAATGTTTGATAGGTGTTGGAGATTCCTTATCGTATCATTTGGGTGGTTTTGGAAATCATTGGATGAGAATGTTTGGAGGCCAAGTTGTTTATCAAACAAGGAAACGTCTGAAGGATTGTAAGGAAGGATTAGTCTTCATTACCAAGGATGCCTATAACAAGTGTAAACAATCCTTAGTGGCGAGTGAGGAACCAGGGAATCTCTTTTTAGTAACTCACGTTACTAAAGATATTGATCATCATCCACTTGCTTCGATAACATTTCATTGTTCCTTCTCACAGGCAATTCTTCTCTTTTTGAATAAGAATTTACTTTATGGAATTGAAACTAAAACAATCGAGTCAATGAATTCAGTTGTGGAATTGGTGGTGTGTACACATTCAATTAAGGCATCTCTATTTGGGTCGAGCATTCCAGAACATGATTTAACCGTTAAGAATAAGATTGTAACCTCAGTACAAGAAATTATAGAGCAATATAATGCCACGTTCCATGACTTGTTCTACGAGAAGGATTGTGTCATGTTTGTGTATACCTTCGAGAGACATATTGCTGAGGAAAATCCATCGCTAGTGATTCAATGTATGAGAGAAATTGTGGAAAGAGAACAATTACAATTTACAGGAATTGGATATGCAACTGGATACAGTTTTAGAGGAAGTGTTGGATCTGACTTTCGAAGAGAATATGGACTATTTGGAGAGTTGATAAAGCGTTCCATTTCATTCTGTAACTATGCCAATGACCATTTGAAAGGGTCCATTGTTTGTGATGGTAATACAGCCACCATCTTGGAAGAAGTGTGTACTATTAAGCCATTAGGAACGTGTCACTTGGAAGGAGTCAGAAATCAAAAATTGCATTCAGTCCTGTTAGATGTTCCTCCAACAGCAGAAGACTTTTTCTTTCCAAAAGGATACAATGAGCATAAAAGAGCATCAGAAGGAAACGTTTTCTTGAATCTTGATTCTCACCATTTATCAAAGTTGACTCATATGCTATTACAACAAAAGGATTAACGAATGGAAACATAATACTAATAATTGAAAGAATCGTCACCTTACAGATGAATACAGAAAATGTAACAGCACAATCAAATTGAATCAATCAAAATTCATTCATTTTCCAAAAACTAACCATCTTTACAATATCGAAAAAGCACATTCAAAAATAGATTTTCCAAGAATTTTGATTGTGTTTCCTTCATATCATCCACCCAATGCATGTTAGAAAACCCGATCGAAGAATCTCACAACACTCTTGTGGAGAACCTTTTTGCTTACTGTACTCATTCTCAATAAATCTACAATAAAAGGCCTGTGCTATGAACCAAAATAAAATAAAACATTAAAAAAAATATTTAGAGAAATTCGAAAAAAAAATGTCTGAACCAACTGAAACACCAGTCGCTGCCTCTACCGAAGAAACTAAAAAGCTTACACCTGAGGAAAAGAAGGCTCTCAAGGAACAAGCCAAGAGGGAACAAGATGAAAAGAAGAGACAAAGACAATTGAAGAGAGAAGAACAACAAAAGGCTGCTCTCAAGGCTCAAGTTGTCGAACTTACCGAAGAAGAATTTTTGCAACAATCTAAAAACTTTGGTCACGTTCCAATTATTAGATCTACTTTCAAGACTGAAATTACTTTTGATAGAATTAGAGATTTGGATGCTTCAAAGGAAGGAAGTGTCGTTACCGTTAGATCTAGAATTCACAACGTTACCGGTAAGGGTAAAGCTTGCTTCATCACTTTGAGAGAAGGATGTTTCTCTGTTCAAGCTACTCTCTTTGCCGAAAACGAAGAGGAAGCTGCTATGGCTAAATATGCTCAAAAACTCAGCAAGGAATCTGTTATTCAACTCGTCGGTACTATTGTTAAAGTTGAACAAAAGGTTGAAAAGGCTACTCAACAAGATGTTGAAATCAAGATTAAAAAGATCTATTGTATTTCATCGGCTGCTGGTTTGCCAATTCAAATTGAAGACTGTATGAGAGTTGAAACCAAGGAAGAACAAATGAAGGCTAACATGGCTGAATTGGAAGAAGAAAAGGAAGGTGATGAAAATGCACCAAAGGCTGTTGGTCAAAAGCATCGTTTGGATAACCGTGTTATTGATATGAGAGCTCCTGCACAATTGGCTATTTTCAAGATTCAATCTGCTATGGGTAGATACTTTAGAGAATTCCTCTACACTTTGGACTTTACTGAAATTCACACTCCAAAGTTGATCGCTACTGCCTCCGAAGGTGGTGCTGACGTTTTCAAGGTCGGATACTTCAACGGAGCTGCTTATTTGGCTCAATCACCACAATTGTACAAGCAAATGGCTATCATTGGTGATTTGGAAAGAGTTTTCGAAATTGGTCCAGTTTTCAGAGCTGAAAAGAGTTTCACCCATCGTCACTTGACTGAATTCGTTGGTTTGGATCTTGAAATGGCTATCAAGTCTCACTACACTGAAGCTTTGGAAGTTATTGACAAGATGTTCATTTACATTTTCAATCGTCTTGAAACTGAATTTGCTAAGGAATTGGAAATTATCAGAGCTCAATATCCATTCGAATCTATCACTTATAACCAAAAAACTAACCTCAGAATGCCATATTCCGAAGCTATTGCTTTGCTTAACGAAAAGCACAATTTAGGACTTGCTAGCGATGAAGATATTAACTCATCCCAAGAAAGAATGTTGGGTGAAATTATCAAGGAAAAGTATAACACTGACTTCTTCATGGTTGATAAATTCCCAATGAAATTGCGTCCATTCTACACAATGCCATGTCCAGAAGACCCAACTTTGTCCAACTCTTACGATATTTATTTGCGTGGTGAAGAAATCTCATCAGGTGCTCAACGTATCCACGATCCAGAACTTTTGCAAAAGGTTGCTAATGAAAAGGGTGTCGATTTGACTCCAATTCAACCTTATGTTGATGCTTTCAAATACGGAGCTTGGCCACACGCTGGTTGCGGTATTGGTTTGGAAAGAATTGTCATGTTGTATCTTGGTTTGGGTAACGTTAGAAAGACATCAATGTTCCCAAGAGATCCAAACAGAGTTACTCCTTAAATTTTTTTTCCATTTATTAAAATTTCAAAAAATTATTTATTCAAATTATTTGATTAGTATTATTCATTTTAAGCTTATTTAAAGTATTATCAAATATAATATCATACATGATTATTTAATAGTATTATTTTACAAGTTAGTTCAATATTTACAAAGTTAGCATAAAATTACATCCCAAAATGGGGCTTGTTGGCAATTGAGTGGATTAATATCTGAATAGTAAGGGAGATATCTATTAAAGCAAGATTCTGATGACTTGTAGAGGAAAGTATGGGCTACACCGCATACTATGTCCTCAATTCCATCGTCCACATAGAGTGGTTCAAATTTGCAAACCTTTTCCACAGGATGGGTTGGTGTGTTTTTCAATCCAATTTGGCCAAGTTTGTTATTTCCACTCCTGAAACACATACCATTGGTAGCCATGATAATTGTAAAATCCTCACCACATGATAAGTGTTTGATTTTGAATGGAATGGAAATTCTGGTGAAAAAGTTAATTCTCTCACTAGATCCAATTCCAAGCGATCCACTCACACCATTTCCACATCCAAACAAAAGATTTCCCTCCGTTAATACAAATGTAAAATCAGCTCCACAAGCCACTTGTTCAATTCTCTTTCCATTGAAAGGAATATTCTTTGGCTTTACAAAATGGATTTGTTTTCCACATGATGTCTGAAAACCCAATTGATAATTCATATTAGATCCAGAACTATAATGAGATGATTAAATACATATTCAATATATTCCAATACACATACCAATAAAACTCATTTTTCTCAGTTACAATAATTGAATGTTGGGATCCAAGGGCAACAATTTTTGGTTTTGATTGAGTGTTAGGAAGTGTCACACGATGGAATTTACCTCTTGTATAATCAACATTTCCAACACCCAACATTCCAGAATTGAATGCATTCTGTGATCCACTCACATAAATATTACCTTCTCTCGATACAAGTACAAAACAGCTAGTAAAGCAACTCGTTACAAAAATGTCAACTTTCTGATTAAGATCATTCCAAGATTTCAAAGGATTAATCATTGAAATTTCTTGACAAGTATTTACAGCAAACGGATCCCTTACAGGTTGACTTCCTCCACAATAATAAATTTCATCATCCCTTGTGACTAGAAATGTCTGATCACTCGAACAAGCAATCTTTTTAATCTTCTTTCCGAAGGATACTCTTTTAAAATCTCGAATATATGAATTTGAAACTATGGATTGTCCAGAATTTGGTGAAACAACTTCAATCGACTCATCAATATCATTTGGTATTCCCAATTGATGATTGACATTTCTTCCGCTTACATACAAATCATTCCTCTCTGTCAATATTACTGTATGGTGTGATCCGCAAGCAATTTGTGTAATTGGTAATGTTTTAATCAAATCATCAACAAGTAAACTCGAATAATTCGATCCATTATTATTTGATAATCGATGATTGGCACATGATCCCAATTGTCCTTGTAAATTACTCCCAAAAAAGTAGTGATTATTTCGATGATGGTGGTGATTATTGGCGTTACCTATTGGTATTATTGAATTCAATGATGGTGATGATGAAAACGATAATCGTTTATCTACCATTGTTGAGTTGTTTTGCATTTTTTTCCTTTGTATTCTTAAAAGATTGAAAATGGAGGGAGAGATGAATAACGTTTCAAAATAGATTTCATTTACAAAAAATCTAAGGAGCTATAATACAATGCAGATACAGTGGCTACATGTGATTGCTTTGTAATATGAGAGTTGTTGGTTCATATGGTTTATTTGAAGGATGCTACTTTGAAACTCAAATTGTTAACCCATTTGGGAGTTACTGAAATAACCTTAACATTCGACCATTCTACACCATCAATGACTGCTCTTGCTGTTTGCTTCTTTTTTTCTACTTTACAAATTACTTTGGTAAGATTGCATTTTCTTTCAATTTCCTCGTTTGGTTGTTTCTTTTTCTTTTTAGGTTTGCTGGTGGAAAGAGTAAAGGTTTCTGGTTTTGGTTGGAATTCATCAGGAAGGTCTGTGGATGGCAACTTGAATATTTCGACGTGAGAGAAGGAATGTTTGGTTGTGCATTTGCTTTTATCTTCGAGACTAGCATCCCAATAGTCAATTTTAACTTCCAGAGATGGAACTTTTTCAAGTTTACCATCCTCTCCTTCATCTGATGAATCTTCATCATTTTCCACACTCAATCTCTTTTGTAAATTAGAAATTTGGGGACTTGTAGATAAAACTTGAGCAGCTGAAGGTGGATTGTTGGACTTATCAATAATCTCCTTCTTGTGGGATTTTTCTTTTGGATCCTTTTCATCTTCCTTATTGAGATTTTGAACTAGTTTTAGGAGAATATTCTTCTTTTTTTGTTCATGGTGTTCATTCATGATGTGAATATTATTTAGTAATGGTACAATACACTGTTGGTTGAGAATCAATTCAGATGGAGAAGATGGTGCTGTCTCTGAATCAATTACTCGACTGGTGTGAGGATAAAGATAGGCGTTTGGGGTCGACAAATCGCTCATTAAAATTACTTGTGAAATTTCTATCGTAACAAAACGACTAGCATTCTCCAAATACTCAAATAAAACATGTTCTACATAATCCTCTACATCAACTGAATAGCAGAGAGCTCTTCTCCAGTCATCTGTTGAGAAAAGTTGGGCATATTTGGTGCATTTAGCATACAGGTAATTAGAAACTTCATTCCTTGATCGGTGGAGAACCTCCTCTCCTTTCTTAGAAGGTATTGGAACCAGGTAGAAGAGAATTTGATTCCAAACCTTTTCATCTGTTGTCAATGTAAGACATGCTCTTAAAACATCATTTACATAGGCATCGTTACCAAGAATAACAATTTTTGTTTCATTATTTTCTTGGTCACTGACATACCTTCTCTCTGCATTGCTTTCAAATATCTTGTTAATAGCCAAAGCTACATCTTCACATGAATATGTACATAAAATATCTTTTGAATATAATCCACCAGTTCGTTTCAAAAAGCTCCAAATCCTTTGTCCTCTTCTAAAACTGCCATTAATTAATATAATTTTCTTTACAATTGTCTTGTTGGATAAAAGCTCCTTGAGTTGTTCTTGTATTGGAATTCTATCAATTTTGATGGTAATTTGTGTTGGGTTTTCAGAGCTTGCAGCTGCACCTCTGGGTGATGTTGGTTCATGATCAGAGTCATTATGATGTCCTTTCTTTTTGAATGATTTCCACTTTTTCATAATATTGTCTTTGATTCCAATCACTGCTTTTAGAGTTTTATCCTCTTTCAGTATACTTGATTTATCGGCCATTGGAGAAGAAATTGGATTATTAATTGGTGATGCTGGAATATCAGTGCCTGGTTGTAAACCAGTTGCATACTCATACTCAATATCACTATCATCATCTGTTTCATCATCATCATCTGTAAAATCATATTCATACGATTCCATAACTGGCACAATACCATTTGGATTTGTGCTTTCCTTCTTTCCCAAGAATGGGAATTTCTTTTTCTTTTTTCTTTCCTCTGTCAATGATATTGGCAAAGTTTGAATAGAAACCTTTAGATTAGCAACAGGATCTAGATTTTGAGAAGTTTGATGTGTTTGGTGGTTGTGATATCTTTCTTTTTCTTCATCTTCATCGTCACTTGACAAGTAATGTAAAATGGCACTATTAGTATTGAAGAGTGTATGATTTGGGGTATTGTTTAAATTATTTTGATTGGGACTGTTTTCACCTCCTTCCTCTTTTCCTTGCTTCTTCTTTTTCTTTTTGATGAGGAAGGAAACAGTTTCATCAAAAGGTCTCTGCAAAACGTGTAATAAATTAATAGAAACTATTGAAATAGTTTTAAAAGAATCACCCTTTTTCTTGGCTGATTGTAGAGAAATTCTCAAAATGTCAATCTTCTTTTTAAAGTGATGTGAATATTTCAGTTTGAAGGAAATGTTATTCAGTGGCACTTGTAGTGATTGATCGGCAGCTATATTTGCCTGATTCTTCAAAGTTGGTACATCTATAATTGAGGATTTCAATGTCTTTCTTCTCTTATAAACTCTTTCCTTAATATATACACAAATTCTCAATTTACGATTCTTTAGTTTTTCTGAAATTACTTCCAAGTTTTGACAATTCACAATAGCTCTTCTAGGAGTACAATAGGCATGTTTGCTAGTGTCTGCACCAGGTGCAACACCTGAAACAGTATTATCATCGTCTAATTCGTCTAATTCCTGACCATCAACAGGAGTTGTTGTAATATCCCTCTTATTGCTAGGTTTAGTCAGAATGGTTGGTGGCACTATTGTAATTGGTGTTCCTCCAAAACTCTGACTCTTCCGATGATTGTTATTGGTGTGATGATGAGTTTCATTTAGTACTGGTTCATCTGTTGTTGTTGTTAATGCTCCTCCATGATGAGATGAAGCATTTTCATAATTACTTCCTGCAGGTATTCCTCCTGTGATGGAATTATTATCCAATACGACACTTCCTGCAGCTGTATTCATAATGATGAAAATGTTTTAATATATTCTCTCGAATTACGTTAATAGATGAAGTTGAATTTTGTTCCGTTATTATAGTTTTTGTCAATAATGCAATACAATATATTCAATGTATAAAATTCCAAAACAATGATTATTGTTGATGTGTATTGTTTAATAATCAATGCAAAACCATACAAAACACTTCCAAAGTGAGTGCCAATGGAAGACCAATCAATTTTGATACAACAATTGTCGTGGTTGTTGTTGCTGTAAAATTTTTGCAGATGAAATCAACAATCACACATGGTTTGCGCTCTTGGAAAATATTAACACAAATGGATTGCAAAGATCATAGATCATTTCAACAAAAGGTCAACTCATATTAAGGTTGTACAGAAGTTCAATAGTTTGTTTCAGTTTTTTACTACAAGAGGAGACTATAGAGAATAAGTATTCGTTGTTGAAATACTACAAACAGTTTCAATCTTCGTTGAAGGAAGCAACCTTATGGTTGGATTCAATCTTATGGTGTATCATTTCGAATAAATTAAATATGCTTTGACACAAACTAAAGATTTGAAATAGATTGAGATGAACAAATGGAACGTGTTGATGGCAAGGAATGAAACAATCTTTCAGTTTTTGCAATAATGATCCTTTCAGTTTAAACGGAAAGAAACATTCAGAGACAGTAAAAACTAGAGTTTGTTATTATGGTTATTTTAATTACATTAGAGTACAATTCTTATCCTTGATTTTTCCACTCTTAAGCATACTTTCCTTGACTCTTTCAGCAATAGAAATGAAACAAGCCTTAACTTGTTCTCCAGTCTTTGCACTGGTTTCAAAGAAGGTAATTCCATAATGTTTAGCCAGAGATTGTCCTTGTTCTGTAGTTGTTACTCTCTCTGATTCACAATCACACTTATTTCCGACTAACATAATTGGCACTTCCTCTCCACCTTTCTTTTTCTGGATCAATTCCATAAATCCAACAACTTCCTCAAAGGAACGTTTATCAATAATACTATATACAATCATAAAACCCTCTCCTTCCTCGATTGCATTCTCCAACACTTTGAAATAATTGTTAATTCCTCAAAGCACACAAATAAAACCTACATCCAATAAATTCAGGCTCTCCTGCTGTGTCTCTTATATTTAAACAGTATGTTCTTCCGTCAGCTAATTCTTCTTCCTTACGATGATTATCTTCTATTGTTGGATCATAGTCATGTTCCTCAAATATCGAATGTTGATATTGTACAGCCTATTTTCATTCATAACAATGTAACAGCAACCATCACTCAATGTTAAATAATTTATGCATACACTCTTGAATACATACCAAACAGCTTTTTCCAACTGCACCCGAACCCATCACAACAATAGGCAATTCAGGTGCTTTATCTTTCTTTGGGGGCATATTAAGGTAAATTTGGGGTTTGCGCTTACACAAGCAAATATGTGAGGTTATTTTTTTGAAACTCTATTGAGAGAGAGAAGATAATACACAGTTGTATTAATGTAGTATTAATTATTGAAGACATTGTTTACAACATTATGCTGTGAATGACTCTATTTTGGTGTGACCATATTGGTCTGGTGTTATTGAGAATATCTTGTGATATATTGGTGAAATACTATTCATTTATCGAAGCCACTTGAGGATTCTCCTCTCTTGTTTTTTAGAGTTTACAAATGTTATTACTTTCATCTTGTTTTCTCTAAAAAGGGCATATCTAATTCTTTTGATGAATATTTCTTCTGAGGATGGAAAATCAAATTGAAACACTGTATGGATTTCTCTTGTAAGCAACATGGCGTTACTGTTGATATCTGTTGTGGACAACACTTGACACGTCAATTCGTTAGCTTCCTTCCATACTAGCTCTCTATCCCGTTGCTCCATGTCAGAGTGTAGTATTGAAATTAATATGGATTGATTTCCATCAATATACCTTTCAATGGATCTTCTATTTCCAAACGCAACAAGTAATGGAATCTCATCCCCATTCTTTTTTAAGAGATCTAACTTGAGATTGTGGACCTCAGTATCACTCAAGTCTTCTACTGAAACAATTTCATGGTCTATAAAACCCCTCAATAGTGATAGTGGTTTCAAAAATGCAAACTTTTCCTCCTTATAGAAATATTCCAGATTTTGATTGAATGTAGTGTTCATCTTAAAGTACATTCTTTCTGTGAGAGTTTGACACAATACGATATTCATTAGTTTACAATTTGGATTGTACTCTTCAATTTCTCTCATAATATGTGTAAGTGAATCGTATTCTCCGCTCAGTAAGGTATCAGCTTCCTCATATATTATTGTATGGACTTTGTTTAGTTCAAACATTCCACTTCTTAAATCATCAAGTGCTAATCTACCTGGTGTTCCAATAAGAATACTAGGGTTGGGGGATGTCTCAGTTTTTCTACTGAAATCAACTTCCATTGGAGTACATGGCATGTACGTTTCATAATTATAAAAATATAACTTTTCAATGTGACCTCCATGGGCCGTTATGATATTAATATCATTCCACATTAATAAGCTGCTAAATAATCTGGCAACTTTGATAACAAGTTCTCTATTAGGGCATAGAATCAAGCAGTGAATTCCACTTCCCAATATAGATTTAAACTTTTGTATACGTTCCAAAGCTACAATTAATGAAGCCAATGTTTTACCGACAGAAGGTGCTTGGAATAGAATATTTTGAGCAGTGTTGTCCTCTCTCTGACATCTTTTGATCATATCAACTTGATATTGAGAAAAATATTCCAATCCAAATCCATAGATACATCTCAAAAGATAGTCATTGTTGGGGAATAAAGTTTCTATTTCACAGTTAGGATCTTGATTGAAGGAAAAGTATTTCAGGAATCTATCTGAAATTGTTTTTGAATCCTCCTTAGGTGATAGCAATGAATATTTAAGTGCATATTTGTTTTGTCTATATGCCATCTCCACAATATCCTTATTCATTCGTACAGACTTGGATGCAAACTTTAAGGCCAATCCATTTTGTGAGATAGCCTTTCGAACCATTTCCTCATTTCTGTGGTATTCCTTTCCAACAAACTCCAAATTCAATCCGTTGCATCTCACTGCCATATCGATTATTCTTGGATCTTTTCTAAGATTTTCCTTTAGTTGTTTCAAAGTTATTAGACCTTCTCTCAACAAGTCGATGCTATATTTCTCCATAAGCGCACCTGGAAAGACAAATTTGTAATTTTTGATCAAGTTGTAGATGTGTTGAGAGTTGAAACTTGATGTGGTATTCCTGGAAATTTGGAACAAATCCAAATGATTTCTTTGTAAGGAGTTATGGAAAGAGTAGTGAAAGATGTTCCTATTCACAAACCATCCAAATCCATAATTATTGAACCATCTCTTCAATGTACCAATCTCAACTCGTTTTTTGGTGGTGTAAGAAATAATCTGATCATATCCAAAATTGTTATTTTTTGTAATGGTCATGAATATTGAGCATTTTCCATTTTGCTTTTGATTCAAAGTAAATATGAAACTTTCTCTTCCACTTGAATTAGAAAACTCCCCAATCAAATATTCTTCCCCTTCCCTAATGACAATCCAATCGCTCAAAGGACACAAAACTGTCAATGGATGCATAAATACATATTCCTTCAGAATGTCCAAAATTAAATAGGGATCTAAATGAACTGACATTCTCAAATACTCTTTCAAATGAAATGGAATCTTGATATGCTTTCTCTCAAAAGCTTCAATTTCCATTTCAATATCTTCATTGAAAACTTCTTCTGCTGATGAAAAAACTCTTTTTGGAGACGAGGCAATTGATGATTTATCAAATTTCTCTCTGATCAAATTCAGTTCAACATTTTGCAATCGGTCCCTAAACTCCAATCTCTCCAAAGTATTACAAGCACGATGAAAATTAATAGAAACCTGTTCACAATTTCTTCGATCCGAATCATTCAGAAAACTCTGCACAATAAAAGCAACATCAACATTGAAAACAAGTTGTTCTCTATCTAGCATTTTTTCTTCCTTTTGAATTCTATCAATTCATTCCCCCTCTTTATCGACTTGAAATTCTATTCACAGCATCAATGACTATTCTGTGATCCCCAAAGAAACAATTAAACTGTACAGTACTTTATTGCAAGCAGTATGAATTTGGTGCCGAGAGTGATAGATTATTTGATGAAGATAATATTCTTCTTCTTGATGATGAATATTTTGAGTGTCATTCAATAATCAGCAAAAAATTTGAACAAAAATTTCTTGGTTCGTTTAAAAAAAAATGTCTTCAGCTCGTCCAACAAAAGTTCCACTCGCCAAACCACTCTCCACTAATCAACTCCACAAGGAACAAATTAAAGAGGCTTTGAAAGGAGCCAATGATGAACAAAAGCAAGATTTATTTCAAAAAAAGAAGAATCACATTGAAAACTATCACAGAATTTTGAATAAAATCAAGCCTAGTAAGAAACCATTCAACCAAAAATTAAATGTTCCACTTATTCCGAAGAAGGAAGATTTGGAAAAACTTGAAGATGAAGAAATTGGCTTTGACCAAGCAATGAAAGATTATATTGATAGTGAATTAACTTTTGATGATGAAAATAATACCGCAACATTCTTTTTAGATGATGCTGATCCTGATTTTAAACGAGCTGCTACTGGAAATGATGAAATTGAGGAAGATCCTGATTATGAATATGACCAAGAACCAATCGAGGATGAAATTTACTCTGCTAAACCATTGTCTAGACCACAAGCAATTAAAGCATTTACTGGAATGGATGATAAATTATTTGGTAAACAATTCAAATTTATTACAACAGGATATTACAAGGTTGCTATTGGTGAGTATTTATAATTTTATGGAATATTTAACAATTTAAAAGCTGAAGCAAGTAGACAATCATCTATTAAACATATACAATTGGAAAAGAGTGAAGTGATAGAAACCATCAAACAACTCAAGTCATATGATAGATCTATTACCGAACCAGGAGAAGGACTTTTGTTTGCTGACCAAGATCCTAGTCTTACATTCTTCATTTCAGTTTATCTTAAGAATCCATACTTGCATAATATTTCCTCACCAGTTGACGTTCCTCTCTTGAAACCAATTTTGAACTTCTCTAAGGAACAACTTCCATTCTCATCTCTTCAAATGTTGTTGATTGTACAAGACGACCAATATGAACAATATACAAATATCTTGAAAGAATCCGAATATATTGGAAAACTCAAAGTTATGAAACTCTCTGAAGTCATGCTTGATATTGGTACTACTTATCTTAACGGAAACACATTTGAAAATACTAGATACAACAGATTCAACGAAAAGAAGCACTTTTTGAATCAATATGATTTACTGTTTTGTGATACTACCCTTTCCAAGAAAGTTTCTGCATTGTTCAACTCATACAAGAAGAGAAAGCAAGGTTTCCGTCCAGTCACATCTGAAAATGTTCTTGATTGGGTTAAGAATGACTTGACTCACTCAAAGGCATTCATCACTCAAGGTAACTCACATTTCACAATCAGAATTGCTCGTACTGAATGGGAAGAAAAGGATATTTTTGCAAATATTTCACACTTTTTGGAAAATAAGTCAAATAATGCTGAAACTAAGGAAGCATTCTCTCAATTGTGTCAAACTGATATCAGAATGGTCATGTTGCACACTAACCGTTCAATTTATGTAAAGATTTACGAAAATGTTGATATTGATATGGAAAAGGCTAAAGTTTTCAAAGCTGAAAAGAGATGGAAGAATAAGGATGCTCCTGTTGAACCAGTTAAGGAAGTCCCATCAACACCAAAGAAGGGTACCAAGTCAACTGAAGCTGCTACTCCAAAGAAGGCCGAATCAACTCCAAAGAAGGCTGAAGCAACTCCAAAGAAATCAGCTCCAACTCCAAAGAAGGCTGAAGTTAAGGAAGTTGTTGAACAACCAACTACACCAAAGAAGACTGAAACTAAGGAAGAATCCAAGTCAGCTAAGAAGCAACAAACTCCAAAGAAGGTTGAAGAAAAGCAAGAAGCTCAACCTGTCACCCCAAAGAAAACACCAAAGAAGGTAGAATCAACCCCAAAGAAGACTGAAGCTGTTGTTGAAAAAGTTGCTGAACCAGTTGCCCAAGAAACTCCAAAGAAATCCCAAACTCCAAAGAAGGCTGCTACTCCAAGTGCTACTCCAAAACGTTCAGTAGAAGGTTTGAAGGCCAAACTCGGATCTGTGCAGAAAAAGAAATAAATTATAAAAAGAAATTTTAAATTTTTTAAATTTTACAAAAGCTTAGAAAAATAATTATTGAGAATAATTTAACGTTTTTGTTTCTTAGGATCTCCTCCTCTATTGCCACCACTGCTACTACTTGAGCTACCTCCATAAGAGCTTCCTCCTCGTCCACCACTGCTTGATCCACCTCTTCCTCTATCGCCACCATAGTAGCTATCTTTTCCTCCATAAGGCTTTGAGTCTCTTCCGTCTCTACTATCTCTACTGTCCCTACTATCCCTACTATCTCTGTTTGATGAAGAAGATTTTGGACTTTCCAAAGATGAAATAGGTCTCTTCTTATCATTGTAATCTGAATCTCTAGTTGGGGTATTATCTTTCTTAATGTCTCTCTTATCGTCTCTTGGCCTGTCGTCTCTTCTATCGTCTCTTCTGTCATCTCTTCTATCATATCTTCTTCCATATCTATCATCGTCTCTTCTATCATATCGTCTATCATCACTATTGCTACTAGTTGTACTGACAGGAGAGGCAGGTGGTCTTCCAGATCTATCGTCCTTTCCTGATGAACGAGGATCCCTAGAAGAACCTCTTTGATCCCTCGACTCATATTTACTTCTTTCGGAATTTGATGAATAAACTCCTCTCAATTCTCTTTGTTTTTGAATGTACAATTCCCATGTTTCCTCATTAAAACCATAATTAAAATAATCTGTAATATCTGCTCCAGGTTTTCTCCAAGGTTTATCTTCATAATTTTGTAAATCATTGAAGAAGACATTTTCATTCATCTTGAGTGGAAAAAGTTCTACATAACCACTTCCTTTAAATTGATCTCCATTAATTGATTGTGAATCCACAGATTTGTTAGCTTGACTTTTAACATTGTTTTTAGAATCACCGATAGCAATTTGTGTAACTTCTGTTGGTTTTGTTGTAGCTGCTTGTGCTGCAGTTTCTGTACTAGTCACAAAAGTAACTCCATCGTCATCATCATCAGATAAATCATCATCATCGTCATCATCTTCATCAGCCATATTATTATTATCACCACTTGTTGTTGTTGTTATTTTTGTTACACCACCATCATGATCTCCGAATAAATCCAAAGCAGCCATCGCTTTATCCTCCTGTTCACGAGAATTTGATGTTACTACTGTATTTTGTGGATCATCCTCCATTGATGTTGTTGTAGTTGTATGATCGGTGGGAGTAACAGAATCTGCTGGCGTGGACATTTTTTTTTTAATGAGAATTTTTTATTTTTAAATTTATTTTCTAATTTTTGTTTCAAATTATGATTTAAACGAGCAGTGAATGAAATTTAACATTAGAAATTGGGAGTGTGTTTACATGGCAATTAGATTGAGATTTGCAAACAATAAGAATCTTGTTAAAATATGTTGTCGAAAAGCACATAACATTCGAATATAATTTATAATGATTTCTTATCAGATTTGTTAACTGGTGGCAATCTGTGGAGTTTCATTTTACCTTGTTTTTCCAATATTTTAAAGTGTAGAGCTATTTGAGAGTAATTGTCTTGGGTGGTGTATTTTTCTTCATATCCAAAATCATTCTTTGCATTCAATGTCTTACACACCATATATCTATCCAAATAAGTAATATCAATGATAAATGCAGTAATGAATGGCATAAAGTACCACTTTTTGGCTTGTGGAACGAGTAAGGTTAATAAATAGACGAAGAAATTGACTACACAGAAATAGTACCAGATAGCATAGAGAATTTTTAAAGAAACTGCTTCAGATCTATCCTCGCTATAGGTTTCTGCATCTCCAGTTACGCATTTCATTATTCCTCTAACTGCTTCATTGTGTAATTGACCAACGTTGTTGTCATAAATCATGTAGGTCAATCCTCTCATTCTATTTGCCTTTTCCTGATCTTGCATTGCCTTGAATACCATTACGTGAGCATAGGCTGCATTTCCAGAATATAAATTATGTCCCTTTCCTCCTGATTTGTTCAAAATGTAAGGTTGTGTCACACTATTAGAGATTTGAATTTCAGATTCACCATAAATTGACATACACAAGGCCAGAGAAACAGTATTCAGATGCTTGGACTTGTCTCTGAATGTTCTCTCAACAACCATCTCATTCGCCAATTGTTTACTACGAACATAGCTGTAATCCATACTTGATGGTGGAGTTGAAAAGTGAAGTTTAACATTTTTCACATAACCCTTCTCATCTCTTTCAACAGTTTGGTATTCTTCCTCTCTGAGCTCCAATCGTTTGTTCTTTTCATTGAATTCTCTCCAAAATATCGATCCAGAACTAGTATAAATAAAATTCTTAATCGAATCATACTTGTAACTAATATCCAACAAGGTTTCTGTCAATTTCACATTAATCTTATCATAAATATCAAAGGTTGGAGACCACAACACTGTTGTTGACAAGACATGGAATATAGTACTCAAATTTGGGAAATTAGGAATCAATTCATTCTCAAAAAGTTCTTCCAATTTTTCCTTATTACTCAAATCAACAGAGTAAAATTTCACAATCTTTTCCTGTTCTAGTGTTGGATAGGGTCTCAACCGATCATGATCCCCTTGTGATCCCTCCAGTTCTTTATAATCATGCCAGAAAGGTCTCCAATTCGGTCTCACATCCAACAAAATTATATTCTCGACACCAAGTGCCATTTTCTCATTATTGATGATTAATTCCCTCACCAAATGTTGAGCAATACAACCACATCCACCAGTGATAACAACAGACATTTTTTTAATACTAAATAATGTTGAATTGTTGCTGCTTATGATGTGAAAATGCAAGGAATCGGATGTGAGTTTCTGACAACGTCGGGCTATGAGGAGGTGCTACATTCGAAGAGCGAAATCCAAAGGTTTAAAATATTCTTGTTTTTAATTTGTTTTTGAGAAGGTTTTTGTTGCATACTGGGAATGATCGATTGTGAAAACATGTGTCTTAATGGAAAGTCTTTTTGATTAGTTGAGAATAGTTAATTTGAAACTTCAATCAATAATTGATACCTAACAGAAGATTAGTAAGATTTTTGATTTTGAGAGTGAGGGAAGGATAATCACCTCTCGAAAGTTGAACTAAATCATTAACTGAAAATTCAGGTCTTTTTTCAAGAGGACACAATTCCAATTCATTGAGTAGATCCAAAATTTCATTTCTGAAAAGAGGAATGGTTTGAATTTCTCCATTTTCAAAGTATTGCAGAGAGAATCTATTTACAATGGTGGAACAGAATAGAACTTTTGGTTCAACCTTATTAGGGAATATATCTTTCAATAGCTTGAGAGAATCCTTCTTGAGTATCTGTTTGTGGAAATAGAAAAGCACCTTATATAATTGGAAAGGAATATTATTTTGAAGGTATTTAACTTTCTCTAAATGCATAAATTCTTCCAAAATTTCATTTTCCAACTTGACAAAATCAGATGCGGAAGTTGGAATACTTCTCAATTGCATCCACTTAATTAATTGTTTGGTGGCATGAATGATTGGAGATTGAGTAAATATGGCCAATAGTTCATTGATATCACTATGTGCTTCATCAAATGAACATTGCTGCGCTTTGAAAATAGCCCTGTTAAGATGGGAATTGAATTTCTGACGATCTATTCTGGAATATTTACAAGCCTTGTCGTAATTTTCTGTCGCTTTATGAGTTTCTCCTTCGAATTCATAAATATTGGCAAGATTGACTAGTGCACTAACATAAAAAGGATCGTTGTTGATAGCTTGCATCAAACCTGATTTGGCATCTGACAAATATTTCTTTGATTCCCCGTTTGCATCCAACTTGGAAAAAGCCATATCAACCAAGGCCTTATTATTAAATGCTGTGAAATCATGTGCATGAATATTCAACACGTTTTGGAAGATAGTCTTTGCCGTGTCAAACTTCTCATTGAATAACATATAAAACCCTTGAAATTTGTTAAAGTACACAGAATATTTCTTCAACTCATTACTGGATTCTCCTTCTTTTACATTGAAAACTCCCTTATTACCAAACATGGTGTTGAACACATTCTTAATGTATAGCTCTGTATTATTCATGTCTTTAGATTCCATTTTGAGAATTTCTTCAAACTTGTCCTCGTTTGTTGCTAAGTGTTGGAAAAAGTTCAACACGAAAAATTCCTTTGGTTTTTCCTTTCTTTCCTTTGTCAAAATCTTCTTTGTATTCGAAACATAAAAGTAAAATTGAGCAAGTATTTCCTCCATAATTGCAACAGAAGGAATCCTCTTTGCATGATTCTGAAAACAGGACCACAAGTATGGGACCATATAGCTATTCCTCAATCTTTTCTGATACAAACCATCTGTTACAACTTGATTCTCTTCATCAGTTCCATATAAATGCATTCTTAATTGGTGAGGTTGCAATAGACGAAACGTGGTTGTTAAATCACCAGTTATCATTTGATAAATAATAGCTCCCAACTCCCAAACATCATATGTTTCACTATATAATTCAGGAGGAGAAGTAACTTGAATTAAAAGATATTAATCATCCAAATATTGTAAAAATCAACAAGGTAATACCTTATGAAAAATACTTGATTTTTGAAATGCCAAAATATTTCAGTGATTTAGAACAACTAGTCTTGCAAAATGAGACATCCAGTGAAGAGACATGTCTTCCAACGGATCTGATCTTTATATTTATATTTTAGCAGCTTCATATTCCTTTTCGAACTCTACTAGTACTTCTGGATCGAGATTTTCAACCATTCGAATTACAACTTTCTCTTTGGAATTGAGGTCTTTAAGAATTTCAGCCTCAAAGAGAGTTATTTTTATGGTGTTTCTTTCGCCTCTATCAGTTAATTTCTTTGGGGAGGAATAACCCAAAGACTTGAGAAGCTTTGTCGCTTTGCATTCTTTGTTTTCACTTTCTAACATTTTTTCTAATAGCTTGTTGGAAACTTATTACAATCTACAAGTTTAAATAGTTTATTATTCATCTCTTAAAAGACGTTTATAAAATATCTCATATTTAAAAGTTTAGAGATTATTGTAAAAGTTATTCATGTTTTCCAATTCTAATTCAAAACTGTCAAATTATTTTCATTTGAAATGATTGCTTCCAAAATAATCTGGAAAAATTCTTCCACTTAAAAATAGACATTTAATTAAAAAATAAAATAAAAAAATGCAGCTAGCACCAGAGTTTCAAAGTCTCTTGTTTGGCTTCTCCTCATCGGAGATGGAATGTGACTCACAAATTAATAGTATTGTCGGAACGAGTACATCAAAGGAAACAAATTCTCTATTTCTTGATAATAAGGTTTATTCGGAGAATGCTTTAAGTTTTTTCAAGAGAAAAAGAACTGATGCACTGCAGACAGGTGTTGAACCGTTTGATCAAGTGATCGGAGAGATGAAATTGGGAGGAACTATTGTTGAATTGTATGGAAATGAAGGGCAGGGTATTACACAAACTTGTTATACTGCCATGTGTCATATTGCTATGCCTTCACATTTTAAAACTCTACAATTCTCTGGGGATGAAAAGACTAAACCAAGAGAAGGATGTCAAGTTCTGTATTTTGATTTGGATGATAAATTTGAAAAACCAAGATTTATAGAAATTGTAGAAATGAATATTTATAAGGCCTTCTATGATATGAAACGAAAATCTGGAGAGATGATTGATTTTAGTTCGATATCAGAGGAAATGATTGTGGAAGAAATCTTTGATGCATCAGAAATTAGTTATAATTCATTTGTGTTGGAAGTATTGAGCAGAATTCATATTTTTAGAGTTGACAATTCCTTTCAACTTGCCCTTGCCTTTGAAGCACTACACAGGAGACACAACGAGAGTAACATGATGAGAGAAAAGCAATTAATGGAAAATGAAGATTTATCAGCTGAAAGAGAATCCCTAAAGGATAATTTTCAAAACTTGGAACAATTGAATTCATACAAGTGTATAGTAGTTAACAGTCTATCTCAGTACTACAAGCCTCACAATGCATATGACAGAAAAAATTGGGAACGTTCTGTAGAATTATTAATCAAGCTCACAAACAGTAAGCAAGTGCTAACTCTTGCCTGTGTTTATGATATTTTCAGTAAGACATCCAGACAAAAATACCACCAAAAGAGAAATACCACATTTTACCAAGGTGCCAATAGAAATTTCAACGATGATAGACTGGCCACTGAACTAGTTCAACTTTACCGTGACGAGTTAAAGTTTGCTACCTGGTCTCAAAATGTACATTACAGATTACTGTTTGGAGGTGAACATCCTGATGGAAAGGAGGGTGTTAAATATTGTCATCTTCAAAACCTGAAAGCTAGTAACAGACAAACAGGCTATAATCCTTCTTTAGCTCCACATCAACAAAGCTACAAAGACTTGTACAAAATGCAGATCCTAGATTATGGAATTTTATTCTTCAAATAAACTAAACCTATAGGTTCACATATAAGGCAGTATTTTTGTTTTTTTATTGGAATGACCTTAATTTTTTTATGGACAACGAAGTAATAACGTCCATTACTTGGTTGTAAACATTGGGTTGGATTGAAATATGAAAGTAAGCTTCTTTGAGAAAGTTTCTGTGGTTGGTATCAATTCCATCTCTGCAAAAGATCTATGATATTATCAAAAATTGCTAAATTTAACTTTCAATAATACCAAAAGCAAAAGGCAATTGTTCGTAAATAAAATCCGAAAAATTAATCTTTAGTAATTGAAACTAATTGGGTTGGCAATCATCTTCTCTCTTAGCCGAAAATATCACAAGCTGTCGCGTGCAATTCTTCTTGGTATTTAAAATATTAATATTTTTTTTTAATCAAATTAAAAAAATACGTTGTGTGGTCGTGAAGCGTATTTACATTGAAATGAATTATTTTGACAAGAAATAATAATAGGACATTACTCAGAACACCACACACATATTTACTTTCCACAAATACGAATATAGTAGTAGAATTTAAATAACAAAAATCATCATCTAAACAATGATTCCAAACGATTATGAAGAAAACTCCAGAAGGAGAACAAATCAAGATGACGATAATGATGATATCGATAATGATGAACCAAACAATCAACAACAAAATGATGATGAAGAAAACTTTGAAAATGAGCCAAAATATGCTCAATCAGGAAGATCAACTCTAGGAGGGGATTATTATGATGATGGTTACTCTCAAAATAATCAAGGTCTTTCAACTCCGAGTATGAACAATGTTTCTCCTTCATCAAACACATCTATTTCTCCACCATTTGGTCAAAGTTCTGATGGTTTAGCTTCGTTTAGATTGACAAAATCTAGAAGAAGAAAATCTACTAACCTTCCAAACAAGCCTCTCTTTTTCACAAGTGATAGACATCAAGTTTTTACTCCAGTACCTAGAGAAGTTATAGATTGGAGAATGAAACAAAGAGTAAGTAGTAGAAATATATACCAATTTCATATTTAATAATTTTGAATTTAGTTAAAAACTGTTCACGTTGCACTTGTTGTTTGTTTGAATATTGGAGTTGATCCTCCAGATGTTGTCAAGGTTCAACCTTGTGCAAAGTTGGAGTGTTGGGTTGATCCTCAAACTCATCCACAAAAGGCTTTGGAAGCTATTGGTAGTAATTTGAAATTACAATATGAACGTTGGCAACCAAGAGCAAGATATAAGCAATGTCTTGATCCTACTGTTGAAGATGTTAAAAAAACTTGTGTACAGTTAAGAAAAAGTGCTAAAAAGGAGAGAATACTGTTCCATTACAATGGTCACGGTGTTCCAAAACCAACAACAAATGGTGAAATTTGGGTTTTCAATAAGACCTTTACTCAGTATATTCCATTGTCACTTTATGATCTGTATTGTTGGATGGATTCTCCTTCAATTTATGTTTTTGATTGCTCTAATGCCGGAATAATTTTGAATAGTTTTATTCAAATTATTGAACAAAAAGATGCTCCTCCAAGAGGAAGTGTCATGAAGAAGGAAAATATTATTTTAGCAGCTTGTGGAGTTAAAGAAAATTTACCAATGAATCCTGAATACCCAGCTGATTTATTCACATCATGTCTTACTACACCTATCAAAATTGCATTGAGATGGTTTAGACAACGTAATAAGCTCGTTTCTGGAGTTACTGATGACTTGATAGAAAATATTCCAGGTAGAATCAATGACAGAAGAACACCTCTTGGTGAATTGAATTGGATCTTTACTGCAGTTACTGATACTATTGCTTGGAATGTTTTACCAAGAGATTTATTCCACAAACTTTTCAGACAAGATCTTCTTGTTGCTAGTTTGTTTAGAAATTTCTTGTTGGCTGATAGAATTATGAGATCAGCTAATTGTACACCAGTAAGCTATCCTAAATTACCTGAAACACACAACCATCCAATGTGGGATGCATGGGATTTGGCTCTTGACCAATGTGTATCACAACTTCCTAACTTATTTAACAATCCAAGTGCTGAATATCAATATAACCCATTCTTCTCTGCACAACTTACAGATTTCCAAGTTTGGTTGGAATTTGGTCATAGAATTCAAAAACCACCAACACAACTCCCAATCTTACTTCAAGTTTTACTCAGTCAAAGCCATCGTTTGAGAGCTCTCACATTATTGGGAAGATTTTTGGATATGGGAAGCTGGGCTGTAAACTTGGCTCTCTCTGTTGGTATTTTCCCATACGTTCTCAAACTTCTCCAAAGTAACTCTGTAGAACTTCGAAGAATTTTAGTATTTATTTGGACTAAAATTTTGGCACTCGACAAACCATGCCAAATTGATCTTGTAAAGGATCATGGTCATAGCTATTTCATCAATGTACTAGTTGAAAGAAATAATGATACTGAATTGAGAGCAATGTCTTGCTTTGTTTTATCAGTTATTGCAGATAGATTTAATCCTGGCCAACAAGCATGTCTCAAATATAAGAACTTGTTTGATCTTTGCTCCTCTCAATTGACTGAACAAGATCCAATTCTTAGAAAGTGGGCATGTCTCTTGATTGCAAAGCTCGTTGAAGATTTTGATGAAGGTCAAGAATTGGCTATCAAATCTACTACTCATGAAAAAGTTTTAAGACTTTTAAATGATGATGTACCAGAAGTTAGAGCAGCAAGTATTTTCACTCTTCAAAAGTTTGTTGGAAATAAGCCAGAAAAATCCGAAGAAAGAGTACAAGGAGAAATCAAGATTTGCACTGCTCTTTATCAAACAATTTTGGATGGTTCTCCAATGGTTAGAAAGGAGCTAGTTTATGCTCTTGGTACATTTATTCAACAATATGGCGAATTTATTGCACCAGAACTTTTGAAATCCATAATTAAGGAAGAAACTCACTACCTCAACAATGCCCCAACACCAATTTTGGTTTCTGGTTCAAACTCATCATCACCTAATACTTTAATATTCCAACAAAAGAAGAAGAAAAAGAAGGAAAGAAAACCTGTTGATGAAGTTACCACTCAACCTTCCACTCCAAAGGATGCCCGAGTTCTCAAAGATATGAAGGATAGAGAGCTTGGTCAACTTTCATATTTTGCTCTTGACGTTTGTAGAGTGGCTATTATGTTGTGTTTTGATCCTGTTCGCGAAGTTGCCGAAGAAGCCCACAAGATTCTGAGCTTTATGAGGTATACTTACTCAAAATTGAACGATGAAGATTTCGAAAGAGAACTCTTCCTCATCAAAGAAAAGGCATTCAATAATACTCAAAATACTCCAAAGAGTCCAGCCAAGCCAATGCAAAAGAGATTGATTGACAAATTATCAATGAGAAGAAGCGCTAGTGATTCTGACTTTTTGAAAGCCGGATTTGTTAATCAACAAAGCAATTATTCTGATGAAGATACTGACTCTGACAGCTTGGATGTCACCTCTTCTTCTAACAGTAATATGATATTCATGAAATCAAACTTTTATGAAAGAAGTTGTGAATATTTTTCAAATCCAATTCTTACCGAGAATTCACCAAAGGATGACAGCTTTGTATCCCAACAAGTTCTTAAGAGAAGAAAGAGAAACGAGCATTTGGTTAAGGAAGCCAATACAATGCTCAAGGTTGCTGGTAAAAAGAAGTTGGAAGAACAAATTGGTTTCTTTGGAAATGAAAGTGAAATTTGTTCTCAAATGAAATTCCATGGATTTGAACCATATTTAGTAGTTTCTGATGAGAATGATGGTTTAAGTGTTTGGAATTGGGTTAGAGGTGCTATTGTGAATCAATTTAGATGTGGTGACATTCTCAAGAGTAGAATTACAGATTTCCATATCATTAACGAAGAGGCAGAGCAATCCATGTTGTTGGTTGCATCAGCAGCTGGTAATGTTGCAATCTATAAGAATTATGAAAAGAAAGAAGAGCCAGTATCTTCTTTCCGAGCTGCTCATGAAGCCCTCAGCAGTGATTCAGGTCTGGGAATTTTAACAGAATGGCAACAACACAATGGTACACTTTATGTCACTGGTGATATTGAAAAAGTCAAGATTTGGGATGTCGATAAGGAATATTGTGTTCAAAATATTCCTCTGGATGTTCCAGTTACGAGTATTGCGGCTGATCCAAATAATGGATATCTCTTTGCTGCTGGTTGTAGTGATGGTAAAGTTCTCTTATTCGACAAGAGAGAATCACCAAATAGTGGACCAGTACTTACTCACCAACTTATTTCAAATTATGAAGAAGTCAGTAAGAATTGGGTAGTAAGTGCCAAGATTCAAAATGTCAATAGCAATCAAGTTATCACTGGTTATTCTAGTGGTGATATCATGTTCTGGGATACTAGAGTTACTAACAAATGCACAAGACAATTCAACGCTCATAAGGGATCGATGACAGCATTAGCCATCCATAATTATGCTCCTGTATTGGCTTGTGGTAGCAATAACCAATTCATCAAAGTTTTCAACACATCAGGTGAAACATTAAGCATGATTTATTATCATGACGGATTTTTAGGTCAAAGAATTGGTCCAATTTCATGTCTTGCATTCCATCCTTTCAGAATGTGTTTAGCAGCTGGATCAACCGATTCTATCATCTCCCTCTATTCTGGTGATACTAAGAAATAATTGTACAAATTTTGTATATAAATTGATTGTATTATTGTAATAAGAAGACATCTATGAAAGGAAGAATTGGTCAACTAGTAAATTCACATAAAAAAAATGCTTCCATCAAACAATCAACAGCCACTCCCATCACAAGAGAATAACAATTCATCATCGGAATTTACACTTGAAGAACTCAATTTTCAACATCCATGGTCTGCCTCCGATTTCAAAAATCACCTAAATACAGTTGGTGATTATATTGTTAATTATCATGATCAATTAATTAATCCAAACAATACTTTAGAAGAAAACAAAATTCATCACCCAGTCTGTTCTCAAGTACAACCAGGTTATTTGCAAAAATTATTACCAAATGAAGCACCTCTTAATGGAGAATCATTTGATGATATTTTGAAAGATGTTTCTGAGAAGATTACTATGGGAGTAACTCATTGGCAACATCCTAATTTCTATTCTGTAGGTTTTTGGAATACATGTATTAGAATAATTGAAAATGATAGTTCTTTTCTGCCAATTTTTCATATCCTGCTCTCATTGGTGACATCTTGTCAGGAATGTTCAATGTCATTGGTTTTAGTTGGATTACTTCACCTGCATGCACAGAATTGGAAACTATTGTTATGGACTGGTTGGCCAAAGCTCTCCATTTACCAAAACACTTTTTAAGTGAAACAACAGGTGTAAGTTATTTTACAAAATTTGAAATCTCAACAACCACTTTCTGAAAAGGGAGGATCCATTCAAGATACAGCTTCATCAGCTGGTGTAGTTGCAATGTTAGCAGCTAAAGAAAAGAAACGTGTCCAAATGAAGAATGAAATGGGTGATTCATTCAATCAAGCTGATTTTCAAGGAAAGTTAGTGGCCTACGTTTCAAGTCAAACTCACAGCTCTATTGAGAAGGCATGCATGGTCACTGGTATTATTCATTTGAGGAAAATATCTGCCTATCCAGACACTTATAATATGAATGAAAATGAATTGGAAAAAACTATTCAACAGGATTTGGAAAATGGTTTAATTCCATTCTTTGTTTGTGGAACCATTGGAACAACAAGTAGCACTGCCATTGATGATTTATCCAAGATTGGAGCAATTTGTCAAAAGTTTTCATTATTCCTTCATGTTGATGCTGCATTCGTTGGATCATCACTCATGCTACCTGAATGTAGACAAGCTTTTGTTGGTGGTGATAATTGTGAATATTTGGAATTTGCTGATTCTTTCACATTCAATCCTCACAAGTGGATGTTGACAAACTTTGATTGTTGTGCATTTTGGGTCAAGGAGAGAAAACATTTGAAGAATGCTCTGTCTTTAGATCCTGAATATTTGAAAAATAAGGCATCCAGTAGTGGACTTGTTACTGATTACAGAGATTGGCAGTTGCCTCTTGGTAGACGTTTCAGATCTTTGAAATTGTGGCTTGTTATGAGAGTTTATGGTATTAGTGGACTTCAAAAGTATCTCAGACATCACATTAATCTTACAAAATATGCCGAAACTGAATTGAGAAAGCAATCATGCATTGAATTCCTAGCTCCAAGAGTTACCAGTCTTATCTGTTTCAGATATCACAATTCAGAATGGTCTCTCCAAAAGGAAAATCGTTTCAACGAGATTCTTATTGAAAGAATTAATGTAAATGGTATGATGTACATGAGTCATACTGTTTTGGGTGGAAAGTATTGTTTGAGATTGGCAATTTGTGGTTCCTTCACAAATCTCGAACATGTCCAATTTGCTCTCTCAACCATTGACAGTCAAATGAAGAATTTATTGGCAGACTTGGAAAATGGAACTGTTGAAATCAATATTTAATTGAGATCATAATTATCATTTAATACATGTTTATAAAATTACAAGAAAACTAATAAACAGACTTGCTGTACACATCATTAACAGAGTAAAGGTGTTAAAAATTGAAAATGCTCCATTCGATTTGGTTGTTAGTTCTGTAAAAGCTGAGAAGGTGCTAACATCTCCAAATAGTTTCACAAAACATGAAGTGCAATCTTTCATATTGTTCAATCGAAATTGATTAAGTCCAACTGCATCATCCACAACTGCATGGACAACCCCATCAGCAACCAATTGCATTTGAGCTCCATAGGAAGCATACACCTTTTGAGCTAATGGTAATGATTGATTCACATAGGTGTCAAAAATTGATCCCTTAACAACTGAAATTTTGACTGCTGGATTATTCAAATCATTTACATTTGAAATACTAATGGTTGAATTATCCAATGCTCCTCTTAAAAAACCATATGAGGTGCTTCCATAACCACAAGTAGTATATTTTACAAGCTTTGCTCTTTCTGCAGTATATACTGTCTCTGCAATGACAACATCACACACTGAGGAATCGACTGCAGTTTTCAATGAATTGAAATAAGAAACTGAAACATTGACCACTGCGTCATAATTTGCTGTGAGGGAAAGTTTGTATTGGGAGTTGATTGCACTAACAATTGCATTTCCCTAATTGAATATAGCAAATAATTTGGTTAATAAGAAACTTAAGAGCTGTAATTACTTACTAAAGTTTTGTAAAGGCCATAGTTGAGATTGCAGAATCGAATTTGAGAAACTGATGCAGGAATTGGATTGATGGCAGGGAAGGAAATTGAAGCATAACAAGTAGGAGCAGGAAACGTAAAAACTAATTTCGAATATATTTTCCATATAAAACTTAGTATACAACTACTTACAATCATTGATAGCACTTGTTATTTCTGACTTGTGCAAAATATTGGTCATGGCTGCATCAATCACTTGATTAAACTGAACAGATGCAATTGGATTTACTGTTGCACATCTGCCATTGTTAGCCAACAATGCAAGGAATAAAAAGATGAGAGCCATAAAGAGTTTCATTGTTAACACAGTGTTTTGTTTTTTTTGATTGTTGGATGCATTGGACTTGTATCACCAGTGGTATTTAAAGAAGTATCAACTGGCATGATTGGAAAGATAGATACAATGGTGGCAGATAACAATACAGAACTTTTGTTTGACATCATATTTGGAATGGTAACAAGGTTCCAAAAGTGATCACCCAAGATGTCTTTACGAAACCAAAACGTTCATCAATTCATCCAATGTCGATTGATATCATAGTCTATTCGGAGAGCAGAAAGTTGCTTTTCATGAACTGGTAAAATGAAATATTGATTGATTCAAACGGTTCGGCAAGTGGGTCCTTAATCAAAAGCATGTTGCCTGCTATGAAATTGAATTTCATGAATTGAATTGATAGACAATATTTATACTAATGATGATCTTATCCTTAACCAATTATGATAATCATCGTAATTGATTGCCTTATTCTTCCATTTTGGACATTGATTTAAAATGTGTAAAATAAGCTAATTCAAACAACTCTAATTTCCTTAACATTCATTCCTTGATGCAATTCATCTCTGAATTGATGTATTTTTTAATGTTCAATTTGAGTTATTGTAAATTCAAGCCCAGCTGCTTGAATTAGTCATCAAAAGAGAGAATCGCAACAAAGCATATCGCTAGCAAGGGACAACACAACTTAGAGTTGTCGGTCAAACACTCAAGCTGAATATCATTGTTATTGTCCCTTCTCTAATCCATTTCATACAGAACATCTGTCTTTTGCTGGGGAGTTTTAGGCTTCGGATGATTTTTGGCTGCAGCAGGCAAGAAAATAATTTTAAAAATATTTTGATAAAAAATATTCAGACTCAAAAAATGCTCAAGTCTTGCAGAAAGTTGAAGGGAGTCTCTGCTTTGAAGTCTTCAATCCAACAACAATTAAAAAACAACTCTGTTTTTTCATCTTCATCATCATTAATTAATTCTACTACTAAAACATCCACAACAACATCCAATACTAAAAGATGTTTTTCATCTAATACCAAAAATTTGGTTGTGCTAGGAAATAGTGCTGTTAGACAAGGAACAATGACCGATAAGGGACCACAACTCTCACAAGTTTATCCAGTAATTGACCATACTTATGATGCTGTTGTTGTAGGTGCTGGTGGTGCTGGTCTCGTTTGTGCTGCCAACTTGGCCAAAGCTGGATACAAGGTTGCCTGTATTTCCAAGTTGTTCCCAACAAGATCACACACTGTTGCTGCTCAAGGTGGTATTAACGCTGCTCTTGGAAATATGACAGAAGATCACTGGACTTATCACGCCTATGATACAGTCAAGGGTAGCGATTGGTTGGGTGATCAAGATGCTATTCACTACATGTGTAAAGAAGCTCCACAAGCCGTTATTGAAATGGAACATATGGGTCTTCCTTTCTCTCGTACTCCTGAAGGTAAAATTTATCAAAGAGCTTTCGGTGGTCAAAGTATCAAGTTTGGTAAAGGTGGTCAAGCTAGAAGATGTTGTGCTGCTGCTGATAGAACAGGTCACGCTCTTCTCCACACAAACTATGGTATGGCTTTGAAATATGACGTCCAATTCTTTATTGAATATTTCGCTTTGGACTTGTTGATGGAAGGAGATGAATGTAGAGGTGTTATGACTTATTGTCTTGAAGATAGTAGTATGCATCGTTTCCGTTCTCACTACACTATTTTGGCTACAGGAGGTTATGGTAGAGCTTATGGTTCATGTACTTCTGCTCACACTTGTACTGGTGACGGTACTGCCATGGTTTCTAGAGCTGGTTTACCAAATCAAGATTTGGAATTTGTTCAATTCCACCCTACTGGTATCTATGGTGCTGGTTGTTTAATTACAGAAGGCGCTCGTGGTGAAGGTGGTTTCTTGAGAAATAGTGAAGGTGAACGTTTTATGGAAAAGTATGCTCCTAGTGTCAAGGATTTGGCTTCAAGAGACGTTGTCAGTAGAGCTATGACTATGGAAATTTTGGAAGGTAGAGGATGCGGTCCAAAGAAGGATCACATTCACTTGCACTTGGATCACTTGCCAACTGATTTACTTCACGAAAGATTACCAGGTATTACTGAAACTGCCAAGATTTTCGCTGGTGTCGATTTGACTAAGGAACCAATTCCAGTCGTTCCAACTGTTCACTACAATATGGGTGGTGTTCCAACTCTTTACACTGGTCAAGTTGTCTATAAGAAGTCTGAAGATCAACCAGATTATCCAGTTAAGGGTTTGTTGGCTGCTGGTGAAGTTGCTTGTGCTTCTGTTCACGGTGCTAATCGTTTGGGTGCTAACTCACTTTTGGATCTTGTCGTCTTTGGTCGTGCTTGTGCTTTGTACGTCATGGAAAATTTGCCAAAGGATACTAAGCATAAGCCTCTTCCATCTGATGCTGGTATGCAATCAATTGTTCGTTTGGATAAGCTTTTCAATAGTGATAAGGGAACTATCAAATGTCACGAATTGAGAAAGGAAATGCAAAGTGTCATGCAAAACTATGCTGCTGTCTATCGTAAGCAAGAAACTTTGGAAACTGGTTGTAAACTCATTAAGGAAGCTTATGATAAGCTCCCATACCTTAAGTTGGGCGATAAGTCACCAATTTACAATGTTAACCTTTATGAAATTCTCGAATTACAAAACCTTTTGATCAATGCTGTACAAACTATGCTTTCAGCTGAAAACAGAAAGGAATCCAGAGGTGCTCACGCTCGTGACGACTTCCCAGACAGAGATGATGCTACATGGATGAAGCACACTCTTACCACAATGGATGTTGATACTGGTAAGGTCAATATTGAATATAGACCAGTCCACAGTTATACTCTCGATGAAAAGGAGTGGGGATATATTCCACCATTCAAGCGTGTCTATTAATTCACTTTAGAGCAGGAATCAAAACGAATTTTGTACAATTAACTTAATTTAAGGGTCATCAATAAGGGACCAAAAAATATTATAATTTAAATAATAAAATATTGTTAAACATATAAAGATAGGATCTTGAAATGTTTAGTCAATCTAGATTTCATTGACCTATTATTTATTTTGATGAGTTAACAAATCGAATAATTGTTTCATACTCTTTTCCATTCCTTCCATTCTACTTTGTAGAGATACCACAGTAGAGTTCAATTTGGATATTTCATCTTTAAGCTGAATATTCTCAATTCTAAGCAACATTTCAGTGTTTGATGATGCTTGGTTTGATTGTTGTGGTACAATTTGTTTTTGTTTTTCTTGATTAGTGATATTGCTACTTGAAAATAATCCACTTCCTCCTAAATGTTGAGGAGTAAACATGATATCTGGATCAGTAACTCTACTCTTCTCTGCCGTGGAGAAGGTAATCATTGGCGAAGAGGTATGTGAAGTCTTGGAAGAGCTATTCAAAATTGGAGAAAAAACACTATCATTGTGAGCTCCCAAACGATGTGATGATGTAGGTGGCTTGTTAGGTAAAATTGGTTGAGAATCATGTTCGTTCATTCTTTTAAATTTTGACATTGATTCAGTAACTAATCTGTTAGATTTTTTAACTGATTCATTGATAGGAGTGGAGGTATTGTACAGAGAGTATTCAGGTTCCTCTTCATATCCATCTGTCTCTTCGTCTTTATAAAGAGAGTCGTATTTGTAACTCTCTGGAGTATCATTTGAGTGATGAATACAGTTATCAATGTCCTTAACTTCATTTCGAAAATCCCTCATCAAAGCCTCAATGGGGTCAGACGGAGAATATTTAGAGGTTAGAGGCGTGGCCACAGATTGGACACTCTTAGTAGGGTTGTGGAGAGAATTGCTCCCCGATCCTGATGTTATACTTTGTTTTGCTTCCATAGAGACTGAATTTACCGATGGAGGCCTTGTTGTTGTGGTTGTTGGGACTGAGGTATAGTAATTAGCTGTAGGAGAGCTTTGCTTATTTGATGTTGTTGTAGTGGGTTTGATACTTTGTTGTTCTTTTTCAACTTTAGGGCTCGGAGCAAGATATTTAGAATATTGATTCAAGTGGTTGCTGACTTTCTTGCTTTGTTCTTGGATTTGCCTTATAGTTTCCTCAAAATCAAAACGGTTTGAGAAAGATATAGAATCGTCCAACATTAGAGAAGAATCATTAATACTTGAGTCTTGAGACATTTTTTAAGATGAAAAGTGTAGAATTTGGCGCCATTTGCAATAAACTCTTGTTCTTCCCGCCTTTTTAAATTATAGTCATAACAGCAAAGATTTAGAAAATAATTGATTCTTCATGAAATAATTGGCTTTATTAAATAACTAATAATTTATTCAAAGTTGGTATTCTGTACAACTATTAAAATATATTCCTTATCTGGGGCAATTAAAATTTCATGGAGTTTTGTTCTTACTCTCAAGAAGGTTAAATCGTTTTGAGGATTGAGATCTCTGACGACCGATCTAGCTTTGGCAACTAATTGTGTTATATTGGCAGCATATTTTACTTTTACATCATCATTCATAAAATCCGATCTAATAGGTATTCCTTCACTATTTACAATAACAATTCCTTCCACTCCCTTATGAGACTTAATTCTCTTCAATGTTTCATCGATTTCGCTCTATTTTTCATCATCATTAAAAAACCCGTTTGTATCAAACGACACGTACCATTGTATAGTTCCTTGTTGTTGAGGTATTTTATTTGTCTGTTGTTTTTGTTGTACATTAATGAAAATACAATGGCGGGAGAAATAGTTGGTTCAAACTTACGGAAATTGTATGCTTTCTTGAATAAAATAATCTTTTTCGTAAAACCACAACATTCATTTCTTGAGTATTTCCTGCCCGTTGCATTGTTTGAGTTATTTTAATAAAGTCAGCAATCATACTGCAAATAATTCATTGGGCGGAGAGATAACAATGGTTTGGTGTGCTTGATTGCTGTGAAAGGGTCACCATTCCAGTTGTCTTTTTTGTTGGTGACAATCAAGTCAATTTCAGTTTATTTCTAATCATTTTGTCTAATCCATTCTGTCAAATCATTAACAATTTCTTCAAGTTTGTCCTCTCTATTGTAAACAAATTTGTAATTGATGGTCTTGGTGTATTTCTCATCCAATCTGGTAAATTCTTGTTTTGTTTTATCATAATTTCTGCTCTGTTTTGCTGGATGACTATCTTTCATCTCCTCGATTGCTTCCTTACAATCTGATTCATCTCTTTCTACTTCAACACAATAAAAAGAAGCCAATTTTTTGATCTTTGACTCAACATTGATTAGTTGTTCATTGATTACTCTAGTCAATTTTTCACATGATACATGATCATCTGGTACTTGAGCTCCCGTATTGTTGGATGATTGAATGCCAGGTAAATCCATCGTTGTTGTGAGTTGAACAATTTCTTTAACAGTTTCGTCCTCCCCTTTTTCATCAACTCCAATACCTTTACAGAGTGTTTCAAAAGATTTAACAGATTCATTACTGTTTAAACACATGCCATCAACAAAAACATAGAGTACATCATCCTTGTTTTTCGAATTATTGTGGTGATGAAAGAAATACCTCACTGTCCTCTTGATCCACTCATCAATCATCATTTCTTCCTCTTGGCTGAAGGTCGGTGTGACAAAGTCTGGAAAGAGGTTGGCCCTTAAATCATCTCTTGAAAGTTTCATTACATTTCTGATGGAAGGAGAATCGACCTTATTATCTAAAAATCTCATCATTAACTGATCACAAATATGAGTTTTTCCTGTAAATATTAACCATGTGAATTTATTAATTTCTAATATAAATACCTGAACCAGAAATTCCTCTAAATATTATTAGACGATTTGTAGTGCTCATGTTTTTTTTGTTGTGTGTGAATTGGAAGCAAAGAGTTTGATTAGTATAATTTACTTTTTAAATAAACGAATTGGAATGACTATGAAAATACAATTTCCAAAATTATACTATTTATATATAATTATTAATGTTCCAGATAATCATCTTCTAATTAAAGAGTATCTAATTTTGATTTTTCACTTATTAAGGATTCGAAATATGTTGATTTTGTCTCAATCTTTTGATATCAGTAGAAACAGGAAACTCAAAATAGGCCGAATCGAAACAATGACAAGAGAGAAAAACCAATTTTTGTAAATTAATGTTGGTAATCAAGCAAATACCACTAAGTAATAATTGTTTTTTCCACAACAAAATCTTCCACTTCTGTCTGGAATAATTTTTTTAATTTTTCAAAATAAAAAAAAATGCCAGAACACGCCATCTTCCAATGTTTTAATTGCACAGCCTTTAGTATTAATCAGGTGACAAAGAATCGGAAGTGGAAATGTAAATTATGTGGCTCTCAACAATCGATCAGAAAAGTATTTGCCAACTCTAATCAACCGAAGGATCTTCGACCAATTGTTCAAGAATTAAATATGAAGAGAGGTGAAATTGAACAGGAAGTTTTGGAGGCTAGACAATTGGAGGAGGAAAATGAAGAACAAATTGTGGAGAAAAAACCAATTTACAAACAGGCATCGGCTAGTAAATGGAGTCAATTCAAGGAGGAAAAGAAAAGATATGTTCATGATGATGATGAGGATGAGGACGAGGGATTTGATGTTGTGACAAGTTTGGAAAAGGAGAAGAAATCAAGAAAGCCTGCAACTAAATCGCAAAGTAAAAAGAGGAAAAAAGCTGAGGATGATGGAGATGAAGGAGAATATGCTGAATATGATGAATATGACAGCTACAATTCAGGTAATAGCAGAAATACCAAGTCCACAAGTAATAAGAAAAATAATAGTGATTGGGATTCTTACAATGATGAAACAATTCCTCAAACAAGTGAAGATAATGACCACTTCTTTTTTGAGGAAGAGGATGAACAACCAAAAAAGAAGACTAAACCAACATTTGCAAATAATCCAACCATTAACAAATCATCTAATTCAAAGTGGTCAAAATTCGTATAATTATCCTTTATAGACATATATTGAAAGTGATTCAGGAGATAGTTGGCCAATATAAGTTCCCATAGGGCAGTTCAAACTGTCAAGACAGGATGCTGGCAGCAGATTGTCTGTCTTTATGGTTTGGAAATTATTTCCTGTTAAAGTATTAACAAATGTCAATTTTCTATTTCCTGTATATGCCATAAGTGATGTACCATTAAGATATGAGTATGATTGAGTATTAGTACTAGAATCCAAATCAATCAGTCCAGTAGTTGTTAAATTGAATAAACAAGTTGGTGCTTTGAACTTTCGGATAGGTGTAGGATGATGTTCAACTGTAAATATTAGAAAATCAAATTGATAAATCATTAAAATACATACATCTTTCAAATGAAGTAAACTGGAGTGGTGAAGAAAGGTCATCTTTTTCTTCTATTTTTATCATATCATCAGTAACTGGGAAAGCATTATTAGTTTCTTTCAAAATTAAGTGATCAATAGTTCTTTGAGGATTTCCAAAAGTAGAGTAAGAAAATAAAGTACGTTTTGAGTAGCTGTCATATTTCATATTGAATGGTTTGAGGGATTTTGGAATGAATGGAAAAGAAATATCTTGCACAGAGTCAGGTTGAATGGTGCTTGTATCTCCAATGTCTGCAATAACATCATTCGATTCAAAGTTCAGCTTGGCTTGATAATTTCCTGATAGGGTAGAATAAAGAATAGTGTCACTGGATGGTATGCAATCAATAGAAACCACAGAGTTTGCATGTGTTGTTATGCCACTGTGAGGTACTTGGTAATCAAAGGCAATACATCTAGGCAGTCTAATGTCTAAAACTGTAATATTTCCAGTCTCTGTACCACATATGAAGTAATTTTCATATTTTTCATTAATGCAGATACAATTTGCTCTACTAGATAGTCTCATATCGAATACTACACTATTTCTAGTCCTACCATCTACAATCTTAATATCATTATTTTCAAGAGATGCATAAATTAAGTTAGTTTTCGACGAGTAATTGAGGTCAATTACATCTATTGGTGAGGAAGGAGATGCACTAGAGCTTCTCCCAAAAAGTGGAATATCGATATACAAGTTCGCTATAGATGAGTAAATACTCAGAGCATTTCTTGGAGTGTCAAATGCTATTTGACCAGGATCATCCAAAAATTTAAATAACCTGTGTGAATAATCATTTCTCATGACTTTGTACTGTCCAAAGCACGAGTTCTGATTTGATGATTGAATCACAACATCAGGGTCTTCTGGTTGAAATTCCATATTTTCTGTATCTATTAGTTTGAGTTCAAAAGGACATGAATCAATTTCGGTATATATTTCTTTTAGAAATTGTTTTGGATTTTGAGATATCTGTACATCAGTATTTACATTAGTTTTAGGATTGGAGGAGCTTGAAATGTATCTCTTAATTTTTTCCCTTAATTTTAACATTCTCGATTCAAACATTCTTCTCTTTTTTCTTTCTTGTCTTAATTTCCTCCTCAAATGTTGTTTTTCTCTGTCACTAATTTTCTGAATCTTTTCTATGGCAAATCTATTAGCTGATGATTGAATGAAAATAGGTCTCAAATCAGATTCTTCGGCAGGTCTCTTACAGACAGGACAAATTCTTTTGGTTTGTAACCATTGAGAAATGCAAGAATGTCCAAATATGTGACCACAATTAAGAGCCACGACTTTGTGAGGATGATTTGATTCTGTTTTCCATTCATCTTGACAAATTAGACAAATATTATCTTTATCCTCATCATCTTCAGGTTCATCAATCAATACATCATCGTCATTCTCATCACCACCTTCATCACCACCACCAATATTTTCATTCGCAGGCAGTACACTCGATGAAGAGGATCCAACCATTACAGAAGAGGAAGGAACCAACGATGGAGGAGGTATGAAAACATTCCGATTAATATTATTATTATTATTCTGAATTAATGCTCCTCCATTGTTCATTCTCATCAATGGTGCATTACCAATATTGTTGGGACTGGTATTCGGATTGGAGATTGACACAACTTCATCGTCTTCATCTTCACCATCCGAAAGAGTAATCACGTTGTTGTTTTGCATTTTTTTTAAAGTTAATTTATCCTCCAGTTTCTGTCCATTGTAAGAATTCTTAATTTTTGGTTCGTGATATGAAAATGATTCGAGAGGATTAAATATTTAATGAGAGGTTTGGTTGTTAAGTTCTTGTTTGTACTTGTTACATAATTCTTTGATTTTCCAAGTTTTGATGGGCTGAGGATTGAACCAATTCATATTTAAATATTCCACTTGATTGGATTGAGGATTCCACGATGCAAAGAGTACAGTTTTGTGAACATTGTTGGCCAATCTTCCAATACTAATCATTTGGAATGATTCAATCGGTTTATCATACTCCTGAACATAGACCAGAAATTCTGCATGGTGGAGAACTGGATCTCCCTTATAGGCCAAGAAATCACATCCAAATTTATCACCACTCGTAAGGAAGAATCCACAATTCGAATGTAAATCCTTAAATACTTCATACTTATTTTTTTCAGAAGGAGTATAAGGATGCTTCCACAAATGAGTAATATCTTTAGGTTCTTGTGAGTATTTCTCAGTTGACTGATTGTAGGACATTGTAAATAAATAAATATTCTGGGAAAGACCAGCATTATGACCTGCTGGAACATTTGAAGGTAATTGAGTTGGTGTCTTGCTACTGTGTTTGTTGAGTAATATTTCATCCAAACTTGTCACATTAGATCTATTTAAATCCTCATAAACTCGAATAAATCCCTTCTCCACTCCCAAACTAACAGATTCAGGTGTTATCAAACAAGGTAAAGAGCTATATACATTTTGTTGAATATAATTGGGCAGTGATCCAAAAGGAATTGTTAAAATTCGATATTTATCCCTCAATATTTTCACAGCTTTCCAAACTAAATAATCAATTGTGATGATCATAAAACCTACATTTTTCATCATAAACCAAACATTTATAATTGTGAAAGTGATCATTCATTGAATTTGGCACATGATACACTCGTACAACTTCCGAAACATTTTCCACAATAGAATCCTGTTTAATATCATCAGTATCAGCCATCATTTGATGTGAATTTAATTCCTCTCCTCCACTACCTTGCAGTTTATCATCATCTAATTTCATCTTCAATAAATTTTGCAAGTTTTGCCTTCAAAAACTTGAGCTTTGTTTGTATTTTTTATTTTTAGCATTCAAAAAAAATTCTCAAAATCCCAACTCGCTTTGAGTAGACTTTGATTCATCATCAATTATTAATTCGGAAAGTGTGTGTGGAGGGAATTTGTTGCCTACTCAAAGAGTAATATTAGTAGAATCGCGTATCAATTTTGAATAATTATTGTAGTATAAAATTTTTGTAAATAGAAAATGAATAATTTAAGACCAAAAACGGAACAAAGATATGACAATTTTAATAGAAAGTATAAATGTTTGGGTGTAGTTGGTAAAGGTGCTTACGGAAGTGTGAGTTGTTATGAGGATATTAAAACAAAAAAGAAAGTTGCTGTCAAACAATTTTTTATGAGGAGTGGTAAGGATGATGGTATTCCAATTACACTTTGTAGAGAAATTAACTTGTTAAGAGAATTGGAACATGAAAATGTTCTCAAAGTACAGGATGTTGTGATTCATAATGATGGTAGTTTCAATATGATTTTGGATTATTGTAAATTGGATTTGGAAAGATTATTAGCATATCATAAAACATTAATGAGATTACCACAAGGTCCACCTCTCCCACCCAAACTTGACGATGGCATGATAAAATCAATTATGTACCAAATTTTAAAAGGAATTCAATATCTTCACAGCAAGTGGGTAATCCATAGAGATCTGAAACCTTCCAACATTTTAATCAATGATGATAGTCATGCTGATAGAGGTGTTGTTAAGGTTGCTGACTTTGGTTTGGCTCGTGTATTCAAAGCACCACTTAGAAGGTTCCATGATGATGGTCCTGTTGTGACAATTTGGTACAGAGCTCCAGAATTATTGATGGGAGCCAAGCATTACACTCCTGCTATTGACATTTGGAGTGTTGGATGTATTATGTATGAATTATTTGAGCTCAAGCCACTATTCAAAGGTGAAGAAGTTAAACAAAACAATAATCCAAATCCTTTCCAACGTGATCAATTGGATAAGATTTTCACAGTGTTAGGTAAACCAAATGACCAAATATGGCCTACAATCAATAGCCTACCTGAGAGCAAGCATCTTGCTTCATTTAGTGAAACTACGAATACATTAGAAAGTGTTTTCAAAATGCCAAAAGAATCATTAGAATATGACTTATTGAGACAATTATTGGAATATGATCCTGCTAAAAGAATTACTGCAAAGGAAGCTCTCCAACACAAGTACTTTAAAGACAAACCATCAAACAAGTAAGTCTACATTATTCAAATATTTCTTACACCATTAATAGCTGTTTTGAGCATAACAATTACAAATATCCAGAGACAAAACCAATGGCTGTCAAACCAAATGTACCACAGCAACAATATAACCAAAGTTATCAAATGCCTCAGCAACAATACAATCAAAACTATCAACCTCAAATTCCACAAGGTAATCCAATGATGGCCTCAAATTCGTCAATGCAACCAAAGCCACCAATCAATAATGCAGCTGCTAATGCAAACAATTTGAAGAGAAAGAAGAAAGATCCAACTCCAACCAATGGTACTATTCCACAAGTGGTAGGAAATCCATTACAGCAGCAACCAGTTAAGAAAAAGCAAAAGCAGTAAATAGTTGTTTATTGGATGACAACTATTTGAGTAGAATCATAAAGCTCATAAAATTGCTTTTCTAAAATATCATTACTCTTGCCCATGATTTTCAAATACTTTTCCAAATTGATACTTTCTTTCCAAACTACAGGTTTTGGTTTGAGATTCCATCTCTTTAATTGATAGGTAATATTATCGGATTCATTTCTCTTGTATTGAGCCAATAGTAAAGGGAGATCGGGATTATTAAATAATTTCTTCAAAAAGTGAACAGTGGAAAAGAATGGATCATAAAGTTTCTTATCATACAGACAATCAGTGGCAACAATCAAATCTATCTTTTTGCCTGAATTTTCTCTTGCAAATTTTGCAATTTCCATAAAATTGTTTCCCCAATCAATTGGAATAATATCATATTGATCTTGTGCCAGATCATTAATCTCACATTGAGTTGAGCACCTCTTTTCAAAATCTGGGGTTGATAAATCTGTTAGTATACATCTGTTTTTGGGATTGATTTTACAGGTGGCAATAGAGGGAAGTCCCAATCCACAACCCAATTCTATTATAGTAAATGGTCCATTGTTCAACTTTCCAAACAGTTCTTCTCCACCACTTTCCAATTGAGCTATCAAATAATTTGTCAGCAAGACTGAACAATTCCACAAATGAGTTCCCGTATGTCTTGCCTCTCTAGAAATTGAAGTTATCAACTGAATATTTACTTGCTTATTATTCTGTAAAGGAAAACAAAATTCTTCCTTATAATTTAATAATTCATCATGTGCCAATTTTTCATCTTTAGAAACATTATGATGAGTAGCAATTTCTACCATTGAATTTCCGTTATTCTCATCGTCATCACTATTCAATTCCTCATCCGAATCATCCCAAATATTTTCTTGATTTTTTAATTCCTGAAAATTATCATCATTACTTCTAAACCTTTTCATTTCATTTTTTTAATATTTAGATTTAATTTCAACATTAATATCACTATTACAAATTTACATTATATCAATTTAATGGAACTTTGTGTTCCAACAGTTAAATAAATAAATTTATTAAATCTATCAAAAAAAATGTTTTTAAAGCAAAAACGAGCATTACTGATGAATTATTGTCGTCTCACCAGTGTCAGACAAACATCATCATCAGTATTCATCGGAGGAAATTTATTGATGAAGAATAACTGCTCAATGATCAGCAAGTCTAATCAGTTTCATACCAATTTTAAATTAAATTCGGAAGAACAAAGCAAAAACCAAATTCCTTTTGGAAGTGGTGGGTTTAAAATTCAATGGTGGAAGTGGATATTGGGTGCTGGAGTGTTTTATTTAGGCTATGAAGGAGTTAATCAAGTTCTTTTACCAATTCTTGAAAGAGAGATGACTTTGCATTTATCTGTTGATCAAGATGATGAAGCTTATCATTGGTTAATGTCATATTTTGCTCAACATCCATATACCCAAAACTGTAGACATGTTTCTGTACTTTCATCAGATAATAGAGCTGTTTCGAATATGCTTGGAGGATTGTTTGGAGTTTTTGGATCAATGTTTGCTCCTCAGAATAACTCAGAAGAAACTGATAAGCAAATAATGTTCACTCCTGTTGATGGTGTGAGACACTTTTTCAATTACAAGGGGAAATTAACTTGGATTTATATTGAAAAAGTAATGCCAAAAGGAGAAGAAAAGAAGAATAGAGAAAAGCTAACAATTACAATCCTTGCTCGTGACAAGAAAATTCTTACTGATTTAGTTGAAGAGGCTAGATCTCTATTCAAGGAGCATAAAAAGGATAAAACAGTAATATATTCACCTAGCTTGGATTGTTATGATTGGGAGGAATTAACAAGAAAGCCAAAGAGACCATTGGATTCAATTATTTTGGGAGATAATATTCTTGAGGATATTGTAACAGATTTGAAATCATTTGTGGATGGATCTAAATTTTACTATACCAGAGGAATTCCATATAGAAGAGGAGTTTTGTTGAAAGGACCACCTGGAACTGGTAAATCATCAACAGTAATGGCAGTAGCTGGTGAATTAGGTTTAGATATCTATGTGCTCAATGTGAGTAGCAACAAATTGGATGATGAGAAAATGGCTAGACTTCTTCACAAGGTCCCACAAAAATCAATTGTTTTGATAGAAGATGTTGACTCATGTGAATCAGCCATTGAAAGCGCCAATATGAAATTCGATTCTGACCAACATATATCAGTGAGTGGACTTTTGAACTCGATCGATGGTCTGGGAGCTCAAGAGGGCAGAATCATTTTCCTCACCACCAATCATCCAGAGAAACTTAATGAAGCTCTCATTAGACCTGGTAGAATTGACAGAAAATTCCACATTGGATTCGCCAACAAGAATCAAATCAAAATGCTCTTCCTCAACTTTTACCAAGGAGAAGAAAATATTGAACAACTTGCTGACAACTTTACTGAAAAACTTTCCAATGCTCAAATTACTCCAGCCAAATTGCAAGGATATTTTATGAAGTACAAGTCGAATCCAAAGAAGGCATTTGAAAATGTTGGTGAATTGAGCAACGAAAGTGAATTTTAAATACAAGAATCTTTCTCTCACTTTGTGGTTGACCTTTCAAATCAAAAAAAATGGCCAACCATCAGCTTATCAGTTCTGATCTTTCTCAACGTCTGACCAGCAAATTATTTGTGTCAATCGTTGAACAACCACTGATCAGAGTGCTTTTGGCTCAACAAACCAGAGATGTTCCAGGGAATGCATTTCATGTAGCATCCGTTCTGGCTAATCAAAATGTTTTACAATTGTGGAAAGGTTTGGATGCATCTTTAATGCTCCAAGCTGCCAATCTCTTCATTGAATCAAACCGATCTTTCGGATGGCAATATATAGCTCTATCACTTCTTGCATTACCGTTTGAAACTGTTCTCACCAGATTGTCAACTGATCCACAAATGAAAGAGAAGAATTTCTTTTCTGTTTTGTGGACCATTGTAGATCATGAAGGTGTCAGTGGATTGATGAAAGGAAGTTTAGTTAGAGTTTTTGATACACTTTCCACAACTTTTCTCACATCAACCATTAGACCTTCAATTGAAACAGCTCTCGGTCAATCAAGCAATTTAATAGAACCTTCCTGTATCGTTACCTCAAGTATTCTTCTCTATCCTTTACGAATTCTAGTCAGACGTTTACAATCTCAAACAGCTCTCGATGAAAAGCAATCACCACTTGCAAAGTTTTCCTTAATTCTCAAAAAGGAAGGTCCTTCTTCTTTCTATTCTGGATTTCCATTCTTCATTCTCTTGACCTTCATTCATCATTTGACCCAGCTCTCTATTCAAAATACTTTACAATAAACTCTACCGTAAATCCTATTTCCCATTAATTGTCCGAAATTTTCTACAACAAGTATGTCAATTTCAATATTTGTTAAAAACTTTACAAAAAAAAAATGAGAAAGTCGTCATCTTTGTTATCATCGCTTGCCAAGTTGCACACCAAGTACCAACCACAACAATTTGGTCTCCTCCGAACCTCATCACACATTGAAAATGTTATTTTGCATAAGAAGAACATTATTTGCAATAATAATAATAATAGAAAGAACTTTTCTCTCAACCTGATAAATAGTAAGTAGATGGATAATGAATCATCATCGGATATGAATTTTACATTTTTGGATATTGGATCACATTGATGATGATGAATGAATTGATGAAATTAATTATATTAATTCAATATTACATATATAAAAAAAGGAGAACCAACTGCAGAGGAAACTTCATCAGCTGTTGAATCAATAATGTATTCCGAAGCCATGAAACAAAATCCAATCGACACTTCAACAGTGATAAATAATGGAAAATACAGAAGACCTGTCGATCATCGTATATTTGTGAATCGTACTGTAAATTTAAATAATATTGAATATTTTGGATTTGATATGGATTATACACTGTAAGTTGTGTTGAATGTTTGATTCATAATATTTAATGTGATATAGTGCTGTAAGTTATCAAATATTTGAATGAATTTTCAAACATTTCAAGAATTACATTTCACCAGTATTCGAATCCATGTGTACAAAATTAATTTTACAAAGACTTGTTGATTCTAAGGGTTATCCACCTGAGATTCTTCAAATTACCTATGATCCATCATTTGCAGTGAGAGGAACATTCCTCGATAAGAGACATGGTAATATTTTGAAAGTTGACCATTATGGATTTATTTTACAATGTGTACATGGAAAGAAGGTTGTTAAAAGATCTGATTATGTGCATTGTTATCCTGATTTTTTGATTCATCCAGAAGCTGAAATTGGAGATAGATATTTCTGTTATGATACTTTATTTGGAATTCCAGAAGCATCACTTTATGCATCAATGGTTGACTATTTTGAAAAGAGTAATTTTATTGCATGTAAAGAAAGTGGACAAGTTACAAGTGATTCAGATGAACAAGTAGATCAAGATGCTAGACTTTCCTATTGGTCACTCTTTGATGATATTAGAGAATGTGTTCAAGCCATTCACAGTGATAGCAGTCTCAAGACAACTGTCATGGCTGATTTGGATAAATATATTAAGAAGGACGAAAGATTACCTCTCTTGTTTGATAGAATGAGAAAAGCAGGTAAAAAGATATTCCTCCTCACCAATTCTGAATACTTTTACACTAATGCTGTGATGGCCTATTTATTGGACAAATCAATTGATGGATATGAAAAGTGGACTGATTTCTTTGATATTATCATTACAAATGGGCAAAAACCTAAATTTTTCAAGGAAGGAACAACTCTCAGAGAAGTAGATCAAGCAACTGGTAGTTTGAAATTATCAGCAGTTAAGGGATTCAAGAAGGGAAGTGTTTATACTGGAGGTTCATTTAGTTTATTCAAGAAATTCACCAAAACAAAGGGATCTGAGGTTCTCTATGTTGGAGATAATATTTTCCATGACATTATTGTCACCAAACAAAATAGATGCCTGTGGAGAACATTACTCATTGTGAGAGAAGTCGAAGAGGAAACTAATAACTGGATGACAAAAAGATCAACTGAAATGTGGGCTAAAGTAAATACATTGGAATATTTACGTGCTGAGAGCTTCAAGGGACTTGACTCTTCATATCCAATCACAACAAAGAGGGATGAAGTACCAGTGAAACAACAAATTGTTAAGGCGCAAGAAGAATTGAATGCTCACTTTAACTCATACTTTGGTAGTACATTCAGATCTGGCACAAGAGAATCATACTTTAGCACTCAGGTTCAAAGATTTGCCGACTTGTATTGTAGTGATGCTGTTCTTTTGTTATACTATCCATTCAATTATTACTTCTCGACAATACCAACCTTATTACCACATGAAAGAGCTGCTCTTCGTCAATTTGAGAAGGGCACTACTGTAGCTTAATTTGTACAAGAGTTTTTATAGAGTTTAGTAAATCATTGTTAATTTATTCTTCGAAAGGATCTTCAATTCTTGCTGAAGTCAATCTCAGTAATTCAAACAAGTTATTCTTGAGCTCAGTTGTCTTCTTTTCATCAAGCTCACTATCTGTATTAAACCAACCAGCAAAAGTATATTTTCTTGGCAACAGTCTTCCTCTTCTCCACTTGGTGGTTCCGAAAAGTCTAACTCTTGGGTGGTTGCATGATTTTAAGTCAATTACATCCTCAAAACTCCAATCTTCAGGTTGATTTTCATATGAACCCACAACATTCAACATGTGATAAGAAAGTTGATAGGTAAAATCACAGAATTTGTCGTAATCAACAACTATACTTGGGAAAAAGAGTCTGTATCCTGATTTGTACTTGGCTGTCTTGTTGGTCTTATCGTGCCAATTTGAGTGACATTCAGTCACTAACATTGAAACATCTTGTGATCCTTGGAAATATTCCTTTGCAAAATCTTGAATGAGTTTGATCCAACCATGTTCAATAATATTGTAAGGTGAGTTTGGAACTGTTAATTTGATATCAATATCCACATAGAGTTTGAATGCATGTTTTGTTCTCATTTCTTCAATGTAACAAATTTGGTTCTTTTCAATTGAGCTCTTCCAGGCATTAATATACTCATTATATTTCTTTTGTGAATCGAAAATGATATGGTAGTGACCTCCTCTTTGTGAAATCATGGTTGGGAACTGCAAAACGAGTGCCTCATTGGTTTCATTATTTTCCAATAACCATTTTTCCAAATCATCCTCAGGTTCATATTGTTCTTGAGCTTTTCTAGTCTTATTCTTTGAGAACATGACCTTTTTAACTCTTTTAGTCTTGTATTGAGCTGCATAGGCAGAGAGAATATCTTCAGTATTTGGCTCTAATGGTTCAGAGATGACTTGTTCAGTGATTTGTTGTTCTCCATCATCTTCAGAAGAGCTACCACCTTCTTCACTACTGCCTTCTTCATCTGATGAATGTCGTTGAGATTCTTGTTCAGTTGGTTGACTTGATGATTCTGAGCTAGCAGAAGCAACAGGTTGCCTTTTCTTCTTTTTCTTTTTACTTTCCTTCTCAAGTTCAGCTCTTTTTCTTTCCTCTTCCTTTTGCTTATTTATGAAATATTCTGAAATAATCACTTCCAACTTTCCTTTAGAAACATTATCAATTCTCTTCTCTCTATCCCAAATGATAATTCCATTGAAATAGACAAACCAAATTCTATGATATGGAATTTCACCAGAATCTTCAAATTCTTGCACTGAACATTTCATCAAGCCTTCAAATCTATCCAAATATCCAATTGTAAAATCATCAAGAAAGGTTGAGAACTTTTCATCCCATTTAATTCTACTAATAATCTCCTGTGATGTAATAAACGATTTATCCTTCTCTTCCTGTGTCTTTTTAGGTTTAATTTCCTTCTCTGCTTGTGGTTTAGTCTTCATTGCTCTCTTTGCTGCGTTATTGTTATTATTTGTATTATTTGTATTATTGTTATTAGTATTGGATGATGCTGAGGAATTGCTATTGTTGTTATTACTCGATGATGATGACGACATGATGTTCTAATGTATAATCGCTGTTAAGTAAAATTTCTTAGATTTGATGATCAACTCGGAAAATGTTCTTTGTTTTTTTTTGTTGGAATTTGAATATTTTTCTCATCTTTGCTTTTTATTTCAATTTCAGAGTTGATTTAAAAATAGATTCACATTTGAATTTGAGGTTGAAAATGTGTTACGCAATGTTCGTGTTGCTTTACAATCTTTACAATAAATTTATTTGTCGTTTCATTGAACTTGTAAGGAATTAATAAGAATTATGTGTTTGAAAAAAACTAATCAAAATTATCTTCAAATCGATTTCCTTTCTGGTCAATTCCACCACTCGATTCAATTCTATAAGTTCCATACAGCTCCTGATTCAATCCATGATCAGTAATTGACAAAGTTTGCTTCTCTCTATCCAAACTCACTTGATTATTCCCTCCATGATATTTAAAAACCATGAGTGGTGATATATCTCTATCCTTCTCACTCAATGTTGCTATGATAAAGTGATTATTATTCACACCTTGCATTTGCAATACTCCATTATCGAGAAATCCCTTATAAATGATGAAATTCTTGTTGGTTCCTTGCATGGTAGCTTCAAATTTGAAAGAGTTCAGAAATTGAGTTTGGTTGATGGAAGAAAGTGGTGTGACCATTAGTTTGAGTTGTTATTATGTTGTTTGGATTATTTCGTTTTTTTGTTATGGAATTTTAGGTTGTATTTGCATTAAAGTGAGTGTTAAATCGAGATCAATTCCATCTCTATTGTCTTTCCCAATATGGAATTGGATATATTTGTTAAGTTACCTCATAAATAATTAGTGGCGTTTTCAATAGAAAATCAATCAACAATTAAATAGATCTTTTCAATTTCATATTTAAATATTATTCCACTCAATTGAGGTTTTCGGATCAACTTTATTCGAGAACCTTAAACGAAACTCAACGCACTTATTGGACAAAAAACCTGCACCACCTTAATTTCCTATCTTCCAATTTCGGCAAGTGTTTACAAAAATTGCAAACATAAAAACCAAACCAAAAAAAATGATTCAAGATAAACCAGTCGGAATTTATGCTTCAGCTCTCCTTGCAGGTGCAAATTTTGTATTAGGATCTGTTGTGAGTTCTCGTAGAATGTCGTCCAGAAAATCAATAGGATGTGATGAAAATGATCCAAACAGTGCTTTGACTAAGGCCGTTCGGGCACATGCCAATCATGCTGAATATACTCCAACTATTATTGCATTGATGTTATTTATTGAATCAAAGGCAATGTATGCACCACAGGGAAGTGTAGATATCAATGTTTTGCATTGGTTGAGATTTGGAATGATTGGATATGTGTTGGGAAGAATTTCAATTACTTGTGGATTAATGTCGAAAAATTCATTGAATCAAGTTTCGCCATTCAGAAGATTGGGAGCTATGATGAATTATCTTTTTGGAATTTTATTGGCTGGTGGCATTATTTATGTGCAAAATTTTTCTTATTAGTTTATAGTAGTAACAGATTCGTATTGTCAAACAAGTTTTCCTACAAGGCTATACCCTACTTGAATAAATACTCTAATCTTTCAAAAAACAAAATGTAGATTGATAATAAATTCCTAAAGAATTATGTTCAGAAACTACTTTGTAGAGTGGTCTGTTGTGATAAATTCCCTAATTTCATTCTTGATAGTATTTGGACTCGATCTCCTATTGGTCATTTTGATGGTGATAAGATTCAATTCTTCCATTAAAAGTTTGGCAGAGTAGCTCAATATAGTTGTTGGCGATAAAACTAAACCACCACCTTCAGCTCGAAATGCATGAATATCTCTGTACAATTTTACAACCTCGTAAATGCTTACTTCATTCTTTTTCACTTTGGATTCATCACTTCCCATAATTACTTTCCCAATAAGAGGCGATTTTCTCACACTCTTAGAATTATAGTGCTTTGAATCAAATATGAATTTCCTTCCATCAATTTCAATTTTTAAATCAGGTCTGACAGTATCTGTCTTGATAATCTTGTCATAAAACTGAACCGAGGTTGTATCGACTTTGTATCTGAATTTTTCTCGTATTGAGCTCTTTTCCTCGGCTGTAAGAGGCATTGAGGGCTCAGCCTGTAATGAAATGGAACCAACAGCCTGTTTCTTTACCTTACATCTTCCATCATTTCATTCAACAAACCAAGAACAAAATTTTGAAAATAAATAGCTGTCAAATCATTCCATTCCCTTCTCTTTTCAATCATACTCATCTTAACATCCATATTTTGTGTAATACATTCTTTACGTTCATTCTCCTCCTGAATTGCTTTTTTCATCAATTTAATTTGCCTTTTAAAAATCAAATCAGCTTTATCCTCTTCAGACTTTCTCCTCTTCAATTCCTGTTGCTTTACAAAGGATAATAAACTGAAACTCTGCTTTGGATCGGAAGCTCTCCCTATCAAATCAATAGAAAATGAAGAATTATTAGTATTGCGACTACATCTATTGATCACCAACGTATTTACACATTTGTTATTTACATAATCCGATGACGATGGAGAATATTTACAATAATTGGATGAAAACAGTTTGCCCACCAATCGATTCATTTTTTTTTGATTGAACTTCTAGTAAACTCGAGTTTTGAAACTTCAACCTCTATTTTCAACCTAATATTCACTAGTTTGTTCAAAGAGAGCTTTATCGAAAATTGATACAACGCAAATCTAAGAAATATTTAATTCTTTTACAAAACCTCAATAGCCATCCTCAATAAAATGCCTCTCCATGAACAATACATCAAAGGTAATAATAATTTGATTTTTATTCAAGTAGTAATGATTTAATGTTGGTGATGATGATAAAAGCCATAGTAATTGGAAATAGTGGAGTGGGAAAGAGTTGTATAGCTCGGAGTATGGTTGGAGACGAATTAAAGACTAAGAGTGCTCCGACAATTGGAGTTGAATTTTTTAATCGTCAAGTGAACATGGATGGGAATACAATTAAAGTTTCAATATATGATACAGGTAAGGAATTCTCAATAGTAGATAGATTCATTGTGGATTAAATTGTTGTCAATATATTGGAAAATAGCTGGTCAGGAAAAATTTAGTGCCCTAGTGAGGAGTTATTATTTGAAATCGAAAATTGCGTACATTGTATATGATATAACCAGTAGAGAATCGTTTGAATCCTGTGACAGGTGGCTAAGGTATCTCTATGAATCAGTTTCACCCTCTCAGATAATTGTCGTCCTGTTGGGAAATAAGCTTGATTCGGAACAACATCGAAAAGTAAGCACCTCGGAGGGAGAAGAATATGCAAAGAATAATAATATACTCTTCTTTGAGACGTGTGCCTATTCCAAACATAATATTGAGCAAGCTTTTTTCCAGGCGGTACGAGAGGCCTATGTCATGCAAGGACTTCAATCTGAGAGTTTTGACAATTCAACCATTAAATTTAATTCTAAAGTGGTTGTTGATAATTCAATTAGAGAGAGGAAATCATGTGGTTGTTAGAATGAATGTTGAACAAAGCAAATTTACTCAGCTTGAAAATTTACAACCTTAAATAAACTGATATACAATAAATTTTAATTCAGCAGAAATAGCCATCAATAGTAGTAATATACCCTGATTGATATTAATCTTGAAGAACGAATGATATGTCCTTAAGGATGAAGATGACAATCTTGCTTGAGAGATATTAAAGACAATTATTGATGATGATGTTCAATGAAAATAACAAATTTAAAAGAAAATGGGAAGTAGTTGCTCCTCAACTCAGAAAGTAGACGCTACTGCGCCAGAAATATTCGAATCCAAAACAGCTACAGTCATTTCTGTCAAAAAGCCACCAGCAAACAAACCACAAGAAACTGTAAATATTGATGAAAGCACAAATCCAGATGCAGTCTACACTACAACATATATTGAAAATATTGTCACGGAGGAATATTTATGAGCTTCTCAAATCGCAAATAAACCACTTGATTACTTATGTAAAAAGTTATACCCTGTGGGACTCGAACCCACAACCCCCGGCTCCGTAGGCCGATGCTCTTCCAATTGAGCCAAGGGTACTTATATCAATTAATAAATTATAAAATTCATATTCATAATAGGCTCTCAATAATGCCGTATTTGGACATCTTGCTACTTTTCTTGATTAAATCTCACCTTACATTGGCAGTTGAATATTTCGAAATTTGCTCACATCACCCTATTTGCAACCCAAAAAGAAACTGCATAACAAGAAATTCGAGCAATTACTTTTTCTCTGTTTTCTAGCCGCCTGTTCCCTTCTTCAACAATTATTCGTTATCATTCAAGTACTATTCTTGATATTCTTGTTGCCAACTTGTTAACTACTAACACAGCTCAAAAAACACTCTTCAACAACCAAATATCACCAAGAAAACATTTTTCTCTTCAAAACATCATCTTTTCGGAAATAGTGTTGGCCAGAGTTTTCTAATCAGAGAGAAAATTAAAGAACAATTTTAATGCAAAGTGGTTCAAGATTGGACAATACAAATTAATACAATTTTTGAGATACAAAAAAAGAGAGAAAGCACGCTGTGTAAAGAGGCTGTTTCAAATACTGTTCTATCACAACAGAATAACAGCAATAAGAGCAAATCTGAAAATTGTCAGCTTCAAAAGAATAACTTGTCTCTTGGTTTTTATCATTCAATATGAGAGCAACAACAAACAATGAATCTGCAAATAACAAACCCTCTCCCAGGCTTCAGAATAGTTTGCAGCAAGTGGAAGACAATCAACAACAAGAACAACAACATGCAACGATGAACCCAAATGATTATTTGGTTCCATTAACGAATAATAGTAGCACAACCTTTGGATCTAATCATTCAAAATCGACCACTGAATATCGTTATCATCCCTATGCAAGAAATCCAAACAATGATCATTACCCTTCAACTCATTCCACACCAATTCATAATAATTACGAGAATCAATATGCTAGAACAATTCATAACAATCAAAACATGCAATCTGTTAATTTTTCAAATAACAATACTCTGTATGATGTGAGAATGCAAAATAATGATAACATTCGAAACATTCCTCGACCACAATTTACCTCAACCACTCTGTTAGAACCCTCTGTTCAGGTGGAACCACATTTTGACAGCAATATTTTCACAATACTGAGAAAGAGACATGTAGTTGGCTCTTCATCCTCACCCTCTTCACTTTCTTCTTCAGAAATGTCATCAGCACCTTCAACGAGAGTGGCAAATTATGGAACTGGCATTTCAAGATCCTCTTCAACCTCATTGAGTAGTTTAGAATCACCCAATATTGACCCATCTCCAAATCCTTCCATCTCTCTACGAACCATCTCGACTGATTCTGTGTCATTTAGAAGTTCAAATAGAGGAGACTCCAAAACAAATCCCTATTTTCACCAAGAATCAGCCACTCATCCTCCATCCACTCTCATTCCACTTGGAGATAATTTCAAGAATAATAAGAGTCAACATGTTAACGAGCAACCAGGTATCAATTCTCCTCTCATAACCCAAAATTACTCCCTCACTCCTCTTAATTTATTACAGAAATCCAATCCAACCTTAGCAAGTTCATCCTCGGCCAATAATAGTATAGAACTGGTTAGTAGTTCTGGTCAATATTTAGAGCCGAGTAATCCTTCTTCGTATTTAAGACCTCTCAAATCATCAAACCCATCCTCATCCAATGATCTTTCCAATTTATCTAGCTCAGCACCTCCATTTTCAGATCCAATAGTATTAGATCTTTCCAAAATACCCTCAACTTTTGATGAATCTTCCAATTTTAATTATTCCAAAACTAAAAGGATAAAGAATTTTGTCAATGATGGACCTTGGACAAGTGAAGAACACGAAAGATTACTCCAAGGTTTACAACAATGTGGAACCAATTGGAAAGAACTTAGTGAGGTTTATGTAAAATCAAGAACTCGAGTCCAAGTGCATGCCTATGCAACCAAAGTTTTGAAAATCAAATCTCCCAACAATGATCCATAAATTTGTGAATTCAATAATTATTTACAACAACTTTGAGTGATAGAGTGAGGAGATCAATTTTCCTGACTCTACCAACACATAATCAATTCACAATAATTTAAAATTTTTCTCAGATTAAAAAAAAAATGAAAATTTCCAGCCTTTTATTGTTGGTCTGTTTAATGACCATTTTTGCTGTATCCTCAACTTTGGCTGATGAAGTTGAATTGGAAAATAACAAGCCAATTAACTATAGAAATAGAGTATTGGTTGTTGTTGAAAGTACACAAATTAAGACTACCCACTCCAGATTGTTCGATGAATTGAAGAAGGCTGGTTTCTCTGTTGAAATCAAGTTGGCTTTTGACTCCATCTCCTTGATAAAGTATGGCGAAAATGTTTATGATCATTTGCTCATCATGGCTCCAAAGGCTAAGAGTAAGTATTATTGTTCATCATCATCCGATTTATCAAAATATTCTTCATCTTTATGTGAATATTAATATTGTATTATCATTACACTATGATTTAAATACTATTCTATATTTTATTATTGAACAATATTAAAGGACTTGGTGGTGATTTGGATGACCCAAGAAAGATTTTGGAATTTATTGATAGAGGACACAATGTTTTCATTGTTGCAAGCGAAGATGGTTTGACTCAAAACCTCAGAAAGGTTGCCATTGAAAGTGGTATTGAATTGGATGATGATGGTACCAATGTTATTGATCACTTTAACTATGATGTTAAACTTGATTCTGACAAGCACACCACCATTGTTATCAAGGATGAAAAGCAATTTGCTTGTAAGAAGACAAACATTTTGGGAAGTGCTCTCTCCAAGTTCTCCACACAACCAGTTTTGTTCAGAGGTTTGGGTATGCTCCTTAAGCCACAAAACAAGTTATTGGTTCCAATCTTGTCTGGTGCTTCTACCTCTTATTCTTACTCTACTTCCGATGAAAGAGTCCAAACTGAACCTTTGGTTAAGGGAAGAGAAACTGTTCTCATTGGTGCTAATCAAGCTCGTAATGGTGCTAGATTGACTATCTGTGGTTCTATGGATTTGCTCTCAAATCAATTCTTTGATGCTTCCATCACTCAATTCAGTTTGGATGGTAATGCCAAGACTTTTGCTGCTTCTGGTAATGCTCTCTTCTCTATTGAACTTATTAGATGGGCTTTCCAAAGCAGAGGCTTGTTGAGACATACTAAGGTTCATCACTATTTGGCTGATGACGTAACTAAGACTCAACCAACTGCTTACAGAGTTGGTCAAGAATTGACTTATACTGTTTCCATTGAAGAATGGAATGGTAGAGATTGGGTTCCATATGTTACTGATGATATTCAACTTGATTTCATCATGCTCCACCCATATCAAAGAGTTTTCTTGAAGTTTGACGAAAAGGCTCAAAAGTACAGCGCTACTCTTAAGGCTCCTGATACTTATGGTGTATTCAAGTTTGTTGTTGATCATAGAAGACATGGTTTCAACCAATTGATCTTTGCTGATCAAGTTACTGTTAGACCAATGCACATTAACGAATTTGAACGTTTCGTTCCAGCTGCTTACCCATATTATACTTCAGTTTTCGTCATGATGGGTGCTTTCGTCGTTTTTGTCATTGTTTTGACTTTCACTGCCGAACCAAAAGATAAGCAAAAGACTGAATAAATCATTTTAAGATTTTACTCTTCAGGAATTTCAATTTCTTGAGTAAAAACATTTGGATAAATCAATAAATCCTTGACAACCTTATGAACTAGTTCCTTAACAAAATTACTAATTTCTGTCTTATCTTCAAGAATTTTGTCTTCACCTTCACTTGGAAGTGATTCCCTAGATAGAGACGCACCCACTTTCACTGTAATATTGAATTCTTTCAATGGTGAATATTCACCTGTGGATTTGATAATATAATTGGCCATCAACTTTTGATCATTGAATTGGGTAGGAACTTTAGCTTCATCCACATCAAATGATGGAAGAACAGGATTTTCAAAGTATACTAACACCTTATTTTCCTTTGATGAACCATTGTGATAAAAGATGACTGTAAGATCGCCATCAAAAATAAATCTAGTAAGCTCAATTTCAATAGGAATGGTAATGAAACCAGGTATTGGTAGGTTAATTCTTATCTCAGAGGCAATCTTTATCGATGCATTTCCACTGTATGAAAGGTGACACGACACTTTAACACCACCCTTACCATTTCTCTTACCACTTAATAAAAATCCAAGATCAAATAATTTTTCCTTCATCAAATTTGCATCCTTTAGATCTACAGGATTTAATGCAAGTTTATCCGATCCATTATTCAATATTTGTACAGGAGGAATAAAGTTATTGACCTCTCTTCTATTTTCCATATTTGTAACTCTGTCCTTCCACCATGCTGATCTACGTTTGGTTTGCACTAATTGTTCCTTCTTTTGTCTTAGATCAGATTTTGGAGCAACTTTGTAAATAGTTCCGATAGAGCAGAGATGAGTTTTAAGAGGAGCCTTTCTTAAACTATTCAAGTTACTTGAAGTGATTGGTTTTCCTCCAACATGTTCAATTCCAGTTGTTACTGAATAAACATCACTCATAGCTCCACCCACAGACATTGGATAATATGGATTACCTGAGGCCATCAATAAACTATTTTGAGCCAAAGGTGAGAAGGATGTTGTCGTAGAACTTAATCCTAATCTCTTTCTGTGTTGCATACTAGCCATAAACATCGGAGATGGTACAAGCAATGAACTTATAGTGGATTGTTGTATAGATGCCACACTAACATTATCATCATTATTTCCTCTCATTGTTTTTGATACATCCACATTAGAAACCTTTTCCGGCTTCTTTTGATTGTTATTAGCTGGATAAAGTTTTGAATAAATCTTATTCTCGTAATATTTTGCTCTTTGTAAAAACAATTTTTCATCAGGAGCCTGTTGAATATCTTTAATCTGAATATTCGGACCCGATGCTCCCAAATCCAAGCTTTCAACAATTAAATAACTCAAAGCTTGATTAGGAGAAATTTCCAATCCATTAATATTTGATCTTGTTACAGAAGAATATACAGTAGCTGATCCATCATCTTGTTCCGCGCCATTTGGATGTGATTTAAATATTGCTTGCTCAATTTTACTATTCAACTGTTCTCGGAGTGATTTTGTTAATTCTGGTGTGAGGGCATTCCAATCAAATTTGAGAGACATTTTTTTTTGTTAATTAAAATTTTCAAATAATTTAATTTTTGAGATTTCTGAAAGAAAATTGATTAGATAAAAATAGCTGGAAATTTAAATAATGATTAACATTTATGGGAATCATACATGAGATTTCAATTTTTTACATCAATTTTTATGTGGAAATGTTAAGAGTTTGTGGAATACCTTATATATTATTGTTCAGGAAATATCAGATTTGTTAACAATAAATGCGTTCAATACTTTTTAAAGAATTATATAGAAAATTCAACACCAAGTTCACGTTTAACTCTTCAACTTGGAAACTGTTTACAAAAGCTTCTAATATTGGAATTTTCAAAACGTGAAAAAATGTCTCAACGTCACAAATCAATTCTCTATGGTTTATGTTTATTTTGTTCCATTCTGCTTGTCTTTCAATTTTCATCAGTTATTGGATTCTCTCCAAGATTTAATAACTCCATCATTGACATGCACTCACCAAAACGATTCTATTCGAAACACTTTCACAATTGTACCAATACCTCCCCAATCATGCTCTATTCCATCTTTAATTCATACCTTCCACAACAAAAGTACATCTTCTCAGATATTCCAGATGATTTCTATTGTGATAATGTAACCCTATGGAACGATTACTCAGTCGACGCTCATTTCCACAAATATAACAATTCAATCATGTATTCAATGTTTCACACCTCATCAAAACCATCAGAGTGGTATGATATTTGTGGTAGAGTGAGAAAGTGGGAGAATATTCTTGGGAGGGATTGTGCTTCCTTTCTCTGTGATTACAATGAAACTTATTACTTACCTGAATATTTGAAACAAGTTACAAATCAGGAAACTACAATTTTTGATTGGATGAATTATTGTGTCTATTGTAAACCTGGTAATAAGACATATGATTGTAATCCTAGAGATTTCTATACTCAAGTAATGGTTTATAATTTTCCAACTTCAGCTCTATATTGTGGTTCAGTAGAATTTGGAATTCCATTCGTTGTAAACAAATCAATTGTTTCACCAATTTTGAATCAGTCATTTCACTTCAATGCAGCAGGTCTCGATTTTAATTATATTTGCTATTGTGTCGATGGAAACCAAGGTTACTTTTCATTCAAATGTAACGGAAATAGATATAATTATTGGATTGACTTGATCATTCGATATTTTGTAATTGTTTCACATACACTTTCCATTCCATTGATGATTTTTCTTGTAATTATTCCAAAATTTATTGATTTTAGAAGGAGAAAAAGTTTATATATAGTATGCCCTTGCTTGGGTGCACTCATTTCAGAACTAATCTTAACCATTGAGTTGTATCTAGCTCAATTATATGGCCCTGGAAATTATCGAATGATTATGGATTATTCCAGTTTCTCATTTGCACTAATCGGTTTATTTTCATGGATTTTCAATTGGTTGAGATTAATTGGTAAGATGGTCAACCAAAAATATGGAGTTGTCATTAATTGGGTTCATTTAGGAATTTCAATTTTTATTCTAATCTCTGCAATTTCTGTAATTATTGCCCATCTCTATACTGATTATCAGTATACATTTGCCATTGTTTACGCATTATTGGCATTTTTCATTGGATTATTCTTCCTTACATTTGGAATTGTTGGATTTAGATTATTGAAAAAAGTGTCAGATGTCAATTTACTCAATTCTTCAATTGTTTACTACTTGATATTTATCATTTCAGTTCATTTTCTTATTCCAATCTCATCTGTGTTGGATTTTTCATTCATGATGAGATCAATGGCAATTGCGTTCAGATATTACTTTATTTTAATTGTAAATGTTTCTGTTCTATTTATGGATTCAAGAAGAGAGGAGATTAAGGACATGTACATGAAATGTTTCGGTAAGGCTGAAAGGATTAGAAAGCAATCACTTACTAGTGCCTCAGCAGCATTGAAAGAAAATTTACTTTCGGATAACCTTAACGAAACTGAATTAAACACATCCTCCTACTATGATTCTGTAGAGAAATAAAAACAAGTTTGATTGCTTGATGCGGGAAATTCACTCTCTGGGTAAATGTTTTTTGTAAGGTTTGAAGGATTCGTTTAAAACTATTGGAAGCTAAAACCTAAACAAATAAATGTTCACAACCATTGTTTTGAGTTTGCCTTTTTGAGGAGCTACAACATTTCACCCGTAAACATTAATTTTCTTTCTCTCCACTTGTTGAAAGAAACTATTCGAAATCACATCTTCACTGAGTTAACTGTTTTCACCTCGTACTTTATCACATCTCTAAAAAAAAGAAACCAATCTTCCTTGCCATCAAATAACCATTCCAGTGTCAACACAACAATAAACTGACATTTGGCATGCAAGAAATTGTTTCAAAACAACACAAAAATCTCACAATCATTTAAATCACACCCTTTGATCCTATCAATATAATAGCAACCAACACTTTCAAAAATGTCTTCTTCCGTTGTTGGTCAACAAAGCTCTCCAAATAACAATTCAAATCCATCAACCCCTTCCAATAACAACCTTTCCGCCACCACTACCAATATTATTTCTAGTAGTAGTAACAATAATAATAACAATATCAATAATAGTACTACCACGACCAGTAATGATTTATTACTTTCCTTACTCTCCTCCGCAACGAATAATTCCCAACAACAACAACACAACTCAATTCCTTTCAACCACCACCGATAATGATGCATGGCAATATTAATCAGGCAGCGGCATCAAATCATCATCTTCATCAAACACCACAACAACAACAACGCATGTACAACAACAATCAACAAGGCTTGTTGGGCGGTCAACAACAACAACCATATGAAGTCAATCAACAGCAGCAGCAACAATTGTACATGCACATGATGAATCAACAACAACCACTTAGTATGAGCCATGCACTGATTTCATCTCTCACACCTCAACAACAGCAACAATTGTTATTATTCTACGCTTCTCAATATGATCTGCCCTCTCAACAAGTATTGTTCAATTTGATGAATCAATCATCTTCATCATCCAATAATGTACATCATCATCATTCAACCACTACAAATACAAATAATAATAATATGAATATGAATATGAATATGAATAATAATATGATGAATTCATATGGTTCCTCCTCAACCAATCAACAACAGCAGCAGAATAATACAATGAAAACAACAACTTCATCTTCCAATTCTCCTTCCTCTCCTCCAAATTCAAATTCAAATCATCAAAATTATCTATTGAATAATTTACCAATTCAAACCAATAATAATAACAATGCTGCCTCTATTCATCAAACACCTACTATTTTCTTAACTAACAATAATTCTGGTTTTATTCATAATAATAATAATAGTAATAATAACAATAATATATTGAGTCAATTGCATTATCAACAACAACAGAATGTAAACAATAATGTATTCATGCCAGGAACATTTACTTTCAATTCCACACATCAAACTCCTTTTGGTCAATCAATCAATGGTCAACAAGTAATGACACAGTCACTCAATGAGAATAATTATCAACTTCATCAACAACAACAAGGAGGTTTCTTGTATCCTTCTTCTCCTAGTATTGTAGATGATCATGTTGTTAATGGACCAAATTTGCAATTGGATGTGAATGATTTTCATGAATTTATCTCAACAACACCATCAACACCACGTATTGAAGGTATTTTGAGTATTAGTGAAGATTTTGAAACTGGCACATTGACAGAACATGGAATTGACATGTCTATGGCAACAAGTGAAGATACAGTTCAAACAATTATTGAACAAACACTTATTGGAAAGGGAAAGAGAAAGTATGATGCCATTTCTGAAAGCTCAGATCCAATTATTTCAAGTCCTCATTCAAATTCTTCTCCACTCATTTCAGTTCCTTCAGGATTATCAATTTTAACAAAATTACCAACCAATCAACAACGTTCCATTTTCAAATATGTTAAAGATTCATTGAAAGATGATGGTCTTGAAGATATTTTCAATACAGCTGACAGTACAAGTGGGGGAAGTAGTGAAGGATTTACTGGATCTAGTTTTTTCAATTCTGAAGAGTCGCCAAGTGATTTCACACTATTCAATGCACTCAATGTGAAGGAAGCAGGTGGAATTGGAATTGGTGGAGGAGATGAATCTTCCTTAATTTCACTATCAACACATGACATGCCACAAAAGAAGAGACTCGTTTCTAGCCCACTCGATGGTTTACCATTGAGTTCTTCACCATCTCCCTATCAACAGAGTTTCAGAGCCATGCTTCAAGGAAATGCCTCACCTCCATCGACCCTAATTTCAATTGAAACAAATCCTATAACAAACACTCCAACAAATTATCATCGTAGAGATAGTGGAGCTACCCAGAAACCATACGTTAATTCTCCAGGTACAGCAAAGAGGCAACCAGGAATGCACAGAAGAAAGGAACAAGGATTCTTCCAAGGTTTAACAGCTCCTCCAAATAGTCCATTGCCTTCGAGGTCTGGATCTCAAAATAATTCATTACCTAACTCGTTACCTAATTCATTACCAAACTCATTGCCTAATTCTCGACCTGGCTCTCCGACAAAAGAAATGCACAATCACTCAACTGAAAATATGAATGAGTTTATGACTCAATTACAACGAAGCTTGATGAATCAGACAAATATTTCCAATCCATTTTCAGTATCAACAGGTCAGAATGTTGGTCAACAACAAACAATGAATCAGTCAATGGGTTATTCACAAATGGTTTTATCATCAAGCCCTCAAGGACAAATGACATTTGATGATAAGCGAGCAAATGAAAGAAAACACTTTTTACCTTCAAATGCCACAGATGTGTTGAGAGATTGGTTTTTGGATCACATAGAACATCCATATCCAAGTTCTAAAGAAAAACAAGATTTATCTGAACAAACAGGTCTTACCTATGTTCAAGTTGCCAACTGGTTCACAAATACAAGAAAAAGAAATTGGCAGCAAATGAAAAAGGAAGCTGAAAAAAGGAAAAATGGAGAATCTTCTGGAATAGTACCTGAGGAGTCTTCTGAATTGAATAATCAAGATTTTGATTTAATTTTGAAAGAAGAAATAAACTAAATTTTGAAATTATTATCAAACAGTATGTCCAAAACATCCAGCTAATCTTATCAAATCAACTCTTACTTCCCAATTACAATTGATGGATCTGTTGGTTCTATTGTTCACCTTAAAGGTCAATTTTCTAAATCGTACCATTGACAAAAATTTGAAACACTTCACAAAGAAATTAAAGTTCGAAACCAAGTATAATAATTTATAATAAATTACACATTAGCTCCCTTGAAGAAGAGAGAAGGTCTCAAATCTTGAACCTTATTAACATTGGATTTAGCAATCACATTGGTTGTCTTGAGTGAACAATTAACAGCAATTTCAAATCCTCTAATTGATATTCCACTTGGTGAAAGTAAATCGTTTGAAGCAGGAGAAACTGAGATACTTTCCTTGCTCTTGTGTCTCTTAAGTGTTGGTTGGGCCTGAGAACCTTGATTGGATAATTGTGCACTCTTTTCTGATGGAGGTGATCCAACATCCTTATCTTTGGTTGCAAACACTAAAAATCCACAATATTTACACTTGTTAACTTTCCAAATTGGTTCTTGATAGTCTCCAACAGATTGATTGTCCGGTACTGGTTCTGAGTGTTGGTGAACCTCAAATGGATCGAGAAGTACTCTGTCCTTTGTAGTGAATCCCATATTAACGAGATTAGCATTATAGAAGTATAATAATTTCATCTCTTGCAAGAAGGATGGCCAACATCTGATTGGACTGTGTTCGTGAGTAATATTTCCAGCATGGAATGAATGTACAGAGAATGGAGACATGACACCAACAACACAAGCACCACAAATACATCTATACCAATGGACAGTTTCTTCTTGTTTTCCTTTCTTTGTAGGAGTGCTGGCAGAGTTGGAAGATGATTCATTGTTAGTAGCTTCTTGCTTTTCTTTCAATTTCTTCATTTCGAGCATCTTGGAAACACTTTGATGAATCTTATTCAACTTCTTGTGGCTGTGTTGAGGAGGAGATTGGAGAAGAGCTTGGACTGGAGATTTGTTCTTGAAGAGAGATCCAGAAGTAGAAAGTGTTTTGAGCTCGCTAAGTGCCTTCTTCTTTTGTGATTCAACTGATTGCATCTGCTTAACTTTGAGCAAGAAATGCAAAAAGTGTGTAAGAATTTCTGGTCTCAATGCAGGTCTTCTGCTCTTAACAAAGAGGTAGGATTCATAGCTAGAGAGGTTGTATGTATCCATGAGGAAAAGAACAACAAAAAGACCACTTCTACTCAATCCCTTACCGCTGTAAACTAATACTCTACCTCTCTTCTTGATAGCATCTCTAACAAATTCAAATGCCTTTATATATTCCGAGTATGCCTTAAGAGAGCTTTCAGATAAATGTTCCTTGAGATTAAAATAGAAGAAGTTTTCTGGGAATTGAGATTTTGAGGTAGAAATACAGCAATTGACAATGTGAGTAATACCAAGCTTATTCAAAACAGGCTTGTTATATGCCAAATCGTCAGATACCAAATATAATCTATTCTTCATAATAAATGTTGCCTTCTTAATGTAAAATTCAACGTCTTCCTTAGTCCAATTGTAAACAGAAAGATAATTAGCGAGAGCATCTTGATTTGATCCACCCTTTGGCTTAGTCTTGTCAGATCCACTAGATGATGGTTCCTTTGCAGCCTCATTTCTATTAGATGTCTTTGAGGTGTGTGGAGTTTCCAAAGGATGAAGTAAATAATCATCATATTGATAGGAGAGAGTAGGTTTTGCTGGTGTGATACCTCTACTGGTCAAGGTTGTTCTGGCACTGTTAAACTCGTTTTCAATGTCTTCTGGTGTCATTTCTCTGAGTTTTTGCCAAGAAGGCATTACGTTAACAAAGAAAGAGAAACGTTGCAACAAGTCATTGATGGATGGTCTTCTGAGTGGATCTCTCACTAAAATATAGCTCAAAATATCCATAAGGAAGTGATTATAATGGATCTTTAAGAATCTTTCTTGAGAAATTAAAGTCTTCTTATTGTCAGTCAATAACATGAAGAAAGTAGTAAATTCAGAGGCATCAAAAAGGAAATCACCTGCCAACAATTCATAGAAAAGACATCCCAAAGACCAGATATCACTGGCACTGTTAGCACCAACCTTTCTTCTTCTGTCATAATTCTTACTCTTGGTGTCCATCATTTCAATCTTTAACATTTCTGGACTCTTAATACATTCAGTACCTCTGTGTCTAGTGGTGTAACCATCCTCTTCATCGTTTGAATAGATAAAGCTTTCACCAAAATCACCAACAACAAGTTCAAAGTGTGGCATGTCAGATTGATGATTAAAGAACTTGGTATCATCCACTCCATCAAACGGTTCCAAGAAAATATTGTCACACTTTAAATCAAAGTGGTTAATGTTGTTATCATACAAAAACTTGTAAGATTCCAAAATTCTCTTGAAAATATTCATGTACAATGGAATATTTTGTAAAAAGTGAGTTGTTTGCTTCAATCTCCAAGTCTTCAAGCTACACTTGTATTCCTTCATAACAATATAGTAATTGTCCTTTGTAACACCGTAGTCATACATACGACAAATTCTTGGGTCAGCTTTGAACTTTTCCATGATAAGAATTTCATTGAAAATAGTGTATAAGATACAAGCATCTTCAATCATCTTTGGAACTTTGAGAAGCTTGGCAGCCACTGTTTTCACAGAAGAGTGAGTAAACTTGAGTTTACATCTCCAAACATCACCAAAGGCACCAACACCCAATCTTTCCTCCTTTACACTATAAAGGTTTGGTTCAAAGAGCTTTTCACATAATAGTCTGAGTAAAATATTCAAGCCTATCAAATTATCATTCATACTACAGTAAGAAACAATTGTATCATGGAGCAGTGGAATGATTTGCTCGTTGTAAAGATCATTAATGTGGTAGTGAAGCATGAAAGGAATATTTGGAAGGTTCTTATTGAGAGGGAACTGATCACAGTATCTAGAATCAAGAGTAGAGTTAGCAGTAATCATGAGTGACATCAACAAGGTCAAAATTGCTACGTGTAACTCATCATTTCTGTATAATTTTCTGTTCTTTCTCTCCTTTTCATAGAATTGCAATTCGTCAGATTCCAAACCCTTCATAGCTTCATGTCTTTCAACGAATTGAACAGTAGATTCGATCAAGCTGGAAAGAATCTCGTCATCACTAAGATCATCCTCATAAAGGAATTCATTTTCGGATCTTTCAGATCTTGTAGAGAATCCTTCTTTGGACTTGTTCAATTTCAGTTTTTCTAAGAAGCTCTTGGATCCCATTGATACGTTCAATGGATTGGATGCTTCAACAGTGGTATTTGGTACTGGCTCAGTAGGTTGAGTAGTAGGAACAGGTGTTGGTGTATTAGATGGAGTTTTGGTCTTGAGAGCTCCAAGATTCAAACCTAAAGCCAAGCCAGGAGGTTTAGCAACTGTTGTAGTAGTGGTAGTGTTGCTACTATCATTGTTTGTAGTGGCAGCAGCATTTCCATTTGTTTGGGCGTTGGCATCATAGTTGGATCCACCAAGTAAAAAATTGAGCTTTGGAATAGCAGTATGAGATTTAGGAGCCGAAGGAGTGTTAATAAAATCAGCATCATCATCTGAATCTTCTGTTGTTTCCTCCTTCTTACTTGATCTAGCAGAGTCTTTGTTCTTTCTGCCCGAATTGATAATAAGGGAACCATTGTTCTCCATAACTCCTTGATTCTTGGATGCCAATGAAAGTGGTGGAATAGTTGGCTTGCTTTCCTGGCCATTAGAACCTGAGGAACCTCCAAGTGCCAATTTTGGCATAGTAATTGGTAATTTAAAACCAGTAGTGGCAGGAACAGTAGTGGTAGGTTCTGGTTGAGCAATTTCTTTTGGTTGTTGACCAACACTAGGAAGCTTGAATCCACCAAGTCCCAAAGATGGAATAACAGGCTTTTTAACTGGTTCAGGTTCTGAATCGCTTTCATCTGAGTCAGATGTTAAATCTGAAGTGTCTGTTGCTGGGGTCTCTGCAGATGGTTTATGTTCCTCTTTTGGAGTAGAAGTAGAGTTTGTTTTTGGAAGTGGCAGTGCCTTGATGATAGGTGGCGATGCTGTATTTGTGGATGTTTTCAAGTTTAGACCAGGAATAAGGTTAACAGGAGGTTTTTGAGCATTGGTGTTTGGGGAATCAAAATCGCTATCATCCTCAGAAATGTCTTCAGCAGTGGCTGTTTCTTCTTCCTCTTCCTCACTATTATCATCAGTGTCTGAGTGATCATCTGAGGTGTAAGTATCTGTATGCTCATTATTATAGTCGTAATTAATGTTAATTTTGGCATTAGCATCAATTTTCTGTTGGTTTTGATGTCTCTTTTCATGAATTTTGTGTTCCAAGTTGATTTCTCTTGCCAAAAATCGTACAACTTTCATAGTGAAAAATCTGTTGACGATTTGAGGTGTCTTATTCATTGAAAATGCAATCAAGACGCTAATGTGTAATTTACAGGCTTCCAAAGTAATAGGATCAATACTTGGATCAATATAGAGTTTGACAAAATTCAAATAGTGATATCTAATGTAGGTATTAACATAGGACTCGATTCTTAAAAATGGAAGATATGGCAACCTGAACATCTTTTCCAGAAGAGTTAACATTTGTTTTTTGACTGTATAATTTTCAGTGATAGGACCCTTTGTCAGGAATCCCAAAACTAAGCCATCAACTGGGTTAACTAAAAAGTCAAATTGTTTCATGACACCACTATCGTCTTCAATGTTGAAAGTTTCTTCTCCATTTCTACTTGAATTCATAGAGCCATTAGATACACCACTGGTTTCGTTCATCATCATATAATTCAACAAATTCTTTTGCTTTACGCTGTGGGTATTTTCTTCCTTCTTTGAGAAAAATTCCTCTCCCAAGTCTTGGAACAAGTCCATAAGAACTTGGTAGTGTTTCAATACTCTTACCCTTCTATCCTCAAGAGTAATTGGGAATGATTTGGTATTTACATTAGAATGAACTTCCTCCCTAAGAGTAAAGATGGCATATTCTCTCAACCAAGAGAAAGTCTCCAAATTCTCAATCAAATTAAAGTAGAAGAATTCCATCAACAAAGGATGTCTTTCAGGACTACCACAAATAAAATCGAAAATTTCGAGTAATAAATGTACAATGTTAAGCATGATTGGATATTTCTCGATCAAATCTCTAAAATTATAAGAGCCTTGGAAATCTCTGCTCTTTCTACGACAAGCAACCTGAACTTTCAGGAGAGTTTCCAAGCAAACAGCTGTGCATTGAGAGGCTTGAACTCTTGACACACATGAATAAAGGTATTTAGAGAGTGTCTGTAATTGGTAGTGTACTTCTTCCCAGTCATCATTTTCAATACTTTGCTCGGCAATACCAGTCCATCTCCACAAGAAAATATCGAACTTTTTCAATGTTCTATCTCTAGTTGGATCAGAACTCTTATTAGAGTTATTCATTCTCCAAAGTCTAAAGTATTTAGCTTCCACATCAGCAGCGTATTGTGAAAGAATATCATAAATTATTGAAATATTATTCTTTTCAACACTATTGATAAACTTTTCATTTTCCAATAAATTAATCTTGTAACTAAGACAACTCAAATCATGCATGAACATATTTACAGGATTTCTAGCAAATTGTCTAATAATTTGGAATTTAGATACAGCCTGTAACATTTTCAAAATGAAATGTCTGTGAACGGAAATGTCATTAGACAGCTTGGAAAATATCATTTCTTCAAGTGACGTTGAATCTTCGACATGGGTTACAAGTGAAACTTGTTGAATGTCAGTTTCTAGTTTAGTTTCATCTGGGGAAAGTTGCATATCGAGATCTCTCTTAATAGGGATCAAATAGGTAAGATCGTTGGCAATATATAATTCACCAAGCTTTACAGCTAATGAATCAAAATGCTCAACACTTGATTTTGGCTTCAATTCCTGTACATTTTCAATACTATTGCCATTGTTTGACTGAGTACGGAGTGTATCAATACTAAGTCTCAATCCTTCCAAGTTGACCAAATTAGGATCCAATCTTCTTCGAATTCTTGTTGCTGATGCATTTGTCTGACTCTTTGATGGTAATTTAAGTGGTGGTACTTTAAACATCATTGAGGAGTCCCTAGGGGTCATACTAGGAGAACTTTTTTCTTCTTGAATGTTTGATGGAGAAGTATTTCTTTCTGTACCTGGAGTATGATTAATCAAATTACTGTCGCTAGTTGTAGGTGATGTAAAAATTGATCCAAAATCTGTTGTTGATTTTCTATTCTTAATATTCTTTTCAATCTCTGCATTAATACTATTATTAAATGAAGCTGTATATAATTTTGGTGGTTTGATAAGAGAAGTAGATGCACTCTTTCTTGGAGTTGGAGCAACTGGTCGAGGAGATTTAATAAAATGTTGAGTGACATTTTGTTTTACCATTGGCTTTCTGGCATGACTATACTTTGAAGTTGTTTCCGTGTTTTTTACAAGTCTCTTTCTGTAAATGTCTAATAAAAAGTTTCCACCAGATCTATTGACAAACAACTATTTCACATTCAATTAAAAAACAAAAAAAGTTGATAACAAACCTGCATAATAGTATCTTCCTTTTGGAAGAGAATTCTATAAAGTAAATATAACAAATTTGTTATATTTTGTTCCTCATACACAAAATCGTTAAACACATCCATAAATAATGAAAAGTTTTGTGGTTCTGTCAAATTTGTACACATGACAACCTTCTTGACAAGATTGATTGTCTCTAAACTAACTTTGTTAGCACTACATAAATATTGAAAAAGACAAGGATACAATCCTAATTCCAACCATTCGCCCTCACACTTCTCCGTTATGATACTTTGAAGAATCGATTCTAGAGCCTAATTTTTAATTGATGATGATGTAAATCCAATAATTAAATTAATTTGCTTACCTTTAGTTGTTTCTCTGCATGATAGGAAATATCAAATCTAGAACTATTATCACATAAAAGTGATAGTATTTGTAACTTTTTGCTTCTTCTTGCCATCTCTTCTCTTGTCATGATGGTATGATCAGACACAATAGGAGATGATACCATAGAAGATACCACATTGTTGGCATTGGTATCAATAGATAATTCATCACCCGAAAGTGGAGATACAGTTTGTTCTATCGTAATATCGGAGGACTGTCTCATATTATCCACAATCTATTATAAACTACTACTAATAAATTAATAAATTAAAATGTTGTTGTTGTTGCTATGTATTTGTACACCAAATGATGATGGAGTGATGGTGGAGGTGAAAATTTTCTTCAGTCCAACACACCTCTTCTTGATGATGATGTTTTTCAATAACAATTATATCGATAGGACAACCACAAAGGCTCTCGAGAGATTTATTTGGCCTCTTTTTGTGATGATGGTTTGAAGTTGTTCTCAGCGCCAAAAATGCGAGTTTTGCTGCTTTGAAATCAACTTTGGTGACTGTGATGTTTTTTTAAAGATGATGGACAGCTTGAACGACACCGTTCTGTTACTGACTCGGAACGGATTTCGAAAATTATTGAGGAGTTGACATGTGACATAAGGTAACAAAGGAACAAATCGGTTGTTTTAAGGTTTATAGTTTTAATGTTAACAATTTTAGAGTCTGGTTGGATCTGTTTGGATGTGTACCAAGCTCTGTTGCAATAAATATCTCTGAATTAAACAATACCATATAACTGAAATTGGTTGTTTGATATCTGTGTTGGATAGTTCAAAATAGAGCGAACCATCGAATTGTTTAAAGGCCAATCCTAATGCTTCATTATATGAAACAACTCTCAAAGATTCATCAAGATCTGTTTTCGTTCCAATTATCATAATTTCAGGGTGCTCATTTTTCTCTCTTAATTGCTCCACATAATTTTTTGAGATTTGAGAAATCCTCTCAAATGAAGATTTCAAAGTTACATCAAATATTAGGAGCAATACTGAAGAATTCCTAAAGAACATGTGTGGTATTCGAGTGTAAACTTGAGGATTGGGCGTATCAAATAATTGAACTTGTGCCTTGAATACATCTTTCAGATAGTATTCCTTGATTGAAAAATTTGGAGACATTGTTCGATCATCATTGAGCATTGAAACAGGATTACCTCTAACACATTGAATAAAAGAGGATTTTCCAACATCTGACTGTCCTTCTCTGAATTGTCGCAAGAAGTGTCATCTTTTGTTATGAAAATTGTGATAGAAGGACTGAATAATCGTTCAATTCTTTCTAATAAGTTGGACAGAATTGTTTCATTTCTTGGTTCTGAATGAAAACTCCTAGAAAAACATTGAACTAGTTTCTGAAAACTCTCCATTCCTAACCATTCGTCTACATCACAAATCATTTTCTCATCGTTAATTATCAAATATTGAAATATATTCCGAGAATATTCAAACACTAAACTTTTCAATTTAAATCTGAGAAATCTTCTGCCATATTTTGTTGTAAACAAACAATTAAAACTACTCAAATTCTCCTCCATTTCACCATTAATTTCCATCATCAAATTCCTATAGCATTCTGCAATGATCGGAAATGCAATTTCCTGCCTCCAATACTCACAAACAAATGTAATATTAAAATACAAATCCTCATCACCCAGAAAGCATGCAATTTCTCTCGCCAATTCAATAGGTAACAAAGAAAGTGGATCACATTTCTGTTCCATTTTTTGAATTTGATTTCCATAGTGTAATGTAGTGATGAAACACTTTATTGCTTTTTGAAAAGAGGCACAAATGGAAATAATAGAGACATTGAAACATTTCTGCCTTATTAATATAATAATACACAATGAAATGGTTGATTGAGGAAATTGTTCGGAAGGTTTGTTGAATTTTCACTGTTTCACCAATTATTGAGTGCTACACACTTATTTGTGCAACCTTCTATTTCATCCTCACATTGCTGGAAAGGACAGAAAATAACAACACAGTAAAAAAAACAACCTCTCTTCTCCAACTAGTCTTTTCCAATTCTCTTTCTTGGAAACAATTGATAGTAATCAAACAATAATCTTCACATATTTCCCATATTTTCAATATGTTCAAGAGCGGTTCTCAGTCATCTTCACTTGCCAGTGTTGGACTCAGTGATTATGAAACCATCTATGAAAAGGTTTCGAAGAGTATTGTAATGAGGAAGTGGATGAACAAATTAAATAATCTACAGACAAGAATTAGTGAAGGGGACGATCACGATTTTGAAGTTGTTGAAAATAACGATTATTACTATTCCAACTTTGCAAAATTCTTTCTCTCCGATGTGAAAACACACCTGTTGAATTGCACAGATGATGTCTCGTCGGAGCAATTTATCGATTTAGAACTGATACTGTTAGATGTTGATGATTTTGATAATTGGAAAATAGTACTACCAGCAAGGCCAATTCCTGAAGTGTTATCAGATGAAGTTATTACCTCTTCATCAAATTTGAATTATCAAGATAATAGATTGTCTGTCTCCTTGAACAGTGGCAATTTTAAACGTGCATCAGTGAGATTGGCAGATCATGATGATCTCATCAAAATAACAGAAGTAACCAATTTAAAAACTGATTACTTTTCACATGTAAGATTTGCTGTGAGAATATTTGGTCTAGTATTATGCTTCTTTGAGGATTCATTGGTTTATCTCATTGAAAAAACTGCATCCTCTGCACATGAGTCCAAATCCAGTTTAGCATCTAAGAGATTTAAAATTCCTGTCGATAGAAAACTCACTACCAAGGTAATGATAGAAGGAATTGTGCGAGTGGTGTCACAATATAATTCATCTCGATATTTTGATTTAATATCTATCAATAGTATACGATTCGTAATGGATATATTTTCACTTTTAGGATCAAAAAAGATTTTTAAAGAATTCCCAACAATAATACCCTCAATTGAAGAGTTTTGGAATGTATATTATTACTATAGAAGTAAATATTTAGGTGGGGATTACAGTGATGCAGAGCTGCAGAAAGAAAAAGAAGAGCAAACTAAGAAGAAGAAATATATCGATATTGATGAAATGCCAGAATGGGAAATCCCACTTTTTAAATATACGGTTCCGAAAGATGTTTTTAAAAAGTTAAAAAAAGAGAAGAATTGGAAATCTGACTCACTGCTCATAGTTTCATACAAGCAGTTACACTTGATTTTGTCCAACATTTTGGAAGTAATTCCAGATTTTAAGGATACATATCCTTTTGATTATGTATTTTTGAAGAACTTGGATAGAAAGTGTTGGTTTAATCACTACTATCAATTAGAATTAGATCCTATTATGAAATTGTCATCTTATATCATTAATGAAAATTCTGTGGGTTGTATACCAGAGCCTGTATTTTTGAAAAACAATCCATTCATTTCATACCATATTACAAAGCCACCTTTAACTGACTATAACCAAATCCGATCACTTAAACCAAAAGACAAAGCAATTAATGTTCTAATTTTGGATGGAGGTGGTATCAAAGGATTGAATTTGATTTCAATTTGTGAGGAAATGGAAAAGAGATTGCAAAAGAAAATGTGTGAAATATTTGATTTGATTTGTGGTACTTCGACAGGTGCAATTCTTGCCAAACTTTTCCAAATTGGGTTAACTTGTGAGGAATGTAAAAAGATTTATCATCAACTCGGAAAACAAATTTTCAAAATGGAAGGAAATATTAGTGTAACAAAAACTCTTATGACCATGAAGGGAAAGGCATGGTATGATGAAAAGCAATTGGAAATGTTTTTCAAAAAGTTTGTGGGTACAAAATACATTAATAATAGCCCAGATAGAATACCAATGTGGTTTGCCCTATCAACACTCACACCTTTGAGTGAAGATACTAAGAAAGTCGTTATGAGAACTCATACCAATAATCCTGTGGAAGGTGTTGAACAAGAATTTTATAATGACTTGTTAATGCATGCTGAATCTACACCTTTCATATTTAGATCCTATTCAGATCCTTGGAGATTCCCAGACAATAAGAGGAAACATCCAGATTTTTACCTTGGAACAATTCACGGAAATTTCATTCATGATTACAAAGCTCTCAGATGTACATCAGCAGCTCCATTATATTTTAAGGAAATGAATATGGGTGAGAGAGCTTTCGTTGATGGTGCTTGTGTAAATAATAATCCTTCTGTAGTATCGGCATTCGAAGCCAAGCAGATATGGCCGGACCATTCGAAATTCATCTTTGTATCTATTGGTACAGGTTTAAAGAAAAGTCAAGAGAATGCAACAACTCCTCAAGCATCAATGGAAGAAGAATTGAATTTCGTCAATGATTCAAGTCCAAAGAATAAGCCAAAACAATCGACAGGTATTTTAGGAAATGTAAAGAAGAATCTGGCACAAATTTATGGACTCGTTGATTTGCAACTAAGTTCAGAAAAACAACACAAGCAAATGTTAACACAAGTGGAATTAATGAAAGAAACAAGAGATATTTACTACTATCGATTTAATACTCCAGGTTTAGGAGATTTTGATTTGGATATTGTCGAAGACGCAACATTAAAGGACTGGGAAGAAAAAAGTAAGGCCTACATTTCAGAGTTGAAAGAAATGGAAGAGGCTTGCAAAGTCCTCAGTGAATAAAAAAAAACAATTTATTTCACTTGTACCACATTGGCCAAATTTTCTTGTTGTTTATTGTTGAATTCAACAAGTTGAGTAACAATTTTTTTGTAACTGCTCTTGATTTTATTTATCTTCTAAAAAAATGACGAAGCCATCATCAAAGAAATCCTACTCATCAAATAATGAGAGCAAGACAACAAGAGAGGAGAAGAAGGATAAGGCATCGGAAATTGCCGATAGGATTTTAGAGAAGAGAAATACTGAAAAAGTACAAAAGATAGCTAAGATGGTTAGTATTTGATACTTTGATTTCATAGTTTTGCTTATTCACAAATAATTTATTGAAACAATAGAATCACATCAAACAACAGATAAAACAAAAGAAGGACAAGAAAACAATACGGAAAGAAAGATTAAAACAAAGTTTTATCATTGCCAATAAGGATCTAGAGCAGAGAGAAGCTAGGAAAAAACAAATCCTCTCCGCAGATGAAGTCTTCAGAAAGAAGCTAAAACAACAACGACAACAGCAACAGAAAAAACCACCGTCGACTTCAACTAATACTCCAAATCCACCACCAACTCCAAGAACAATTCAAAGACCATCATCCACAAACCAAAATAAGAAATCATCATCCTCAACCTCTCCTAACAAGAATAATTCCTCTAGATCCAAGTAAATGACTGCTGCTGCTATTCAACATCCACTACAACAACAACTTCAACACGACTTAATTTATTCCCAAAAGTGCCTTTGTGAACGGTAGAGAATTTTACTCTCCTTGTTTGCTCTTGTTACTTTTCCTATTTGAAGAAGAATATGTAGTGAACAACAAACTTTCTCTGCACCTTCAATAATTATAAAATATTAAATAATACAAAAATAAAAATTTAAAAAATGTCTATTAATGATCGTGATGGTAAAGAGGAAGGAACACTGAAGGCGCTCCAGGCTAGGATTAATCTTCGATCGGAGCAAGCACAGAAATTATTTGGAAATTATGATTCATCGATAGTGGATTCTTTATATCCTACAGTTGATCCAATGTCAATTAGGATGAGAATGTATAATTTCTGTACTTCTAAAAGGACTGATCATCAATCAAATAATTTATTGAGTAGGAAAATTAACAAGGTTATCAAGACTTTGGAACCTCAAAAGGAGCAAACACTTTTAAACAAGAGAAAACATGAACAAGTTTCTAATAATTCAACATCCGATAATTCATCATCTAGGGCACTCCAATTATACGACGATAGTAATGAACGTCAAATTAGTACATTAAATAATACAATTATGAATCAAAGTCAACGAGTTGAGGATTCACAAACAGCAGTTGTTGCTTTTGATAATCCATATTATTCACTTGAAGGAAAGGACGAACTTACCAAGTCATTAATTTTACAAGAAAAACGAAGAAGAAAAGAAATTGAACAAAAACCTCAGTGGCATCCAAACTGGAAGCTCACCAAGGTCATTACTGGCCATCATGGTTGGGTTAGAACTCTTGCTGTGGATGTTAGTAATGAATGGTTTGTGACAGGATCTAATGATAGAACTATCAAAATATTTGATTTAGCATCAGGTGAATTGAAATTAACATTATCTGGTCATGCATCTACTGTTAGAGGTTTGGCTGTTTCAGCAAGATCACCTTATTTATTTTCTGTAGGAGAAGATAAGAGTGTTAAATGTTGGGATTTGGAAACAAACAAATGTATTAGACAATATAGAGGTCACTTGAGTGGTATTTACAGCTGTGCATTGCACCCATCATTGGATATTTTGGCAACAGGAGGAAGAGACAGCAGTTGCCGTATCTGGGATATCAGAACAACTAGAGAAATATTCCTTTTAACTGGACACAATAATACAGTAACTTCAATTCTTGGGCAAGAACATGAACCACAAATAATAACTGGTTCCAGTGATGCAACAATTAGATTGTGGGATTTAAAGAAGGGAACTACTCGTACCACACTGACACACCACAAGAAATCAGTAAGAAGTCTTGCACTTCACCCAACAGAATATACATTTGCAAGTGCTTCCCCAGATAGTGTAAGAAAATGGAAATGTCCAGAAGGTAAATTTATGCTCTCCTATGAGGGTAATGAGGAGGATGTTATTGTTCACTCTATGGATGTAAATAGTGATGGTGTAATGGTTTGTGCAGATGATAATGGTCACCTCGATTTCTGGGATTGGAAGACCGGTCACCATTTTAGTAGAACTAAGAATATTCCTCAAGCTGGTTCTCTTGATTCTGAATCAGCAGTATTGTCATGTAAATTTGATAGAAGTGGATCGAGATTAATTACAGGTTGTGCCGATAAGTCAATTAAGATTTACAAAGAAGATGATACACAAGTGCCACCTGAAGATGAAGAAGGAACAAAATTCTACATTTCCAATCTCTTTGGAAAGAAAAAGTACTAAGTGTGTAATAAATTATTTCTCTTTATAGATGTAATTAAACTCAAATTTGCTTATTACTTGAGGCAAACTACTAATGATAGATCCAAATTTCTTAGAGTTTTCATAAAGATCAAAGAATGGCATTGGAATAAAATCGTAATTTCTTGGGTATGCTATGGTACCTATTAACATTGAGAATTAGTTAATTTTTCGATAAATTTTCATGATTGACTTACATTCTGGAATAGTGACTAGATAAATTAATTTTCTTTCTTTAGGTTTTGTTATGTGGGCTGGTAAATATGGATACTATAACAAGTGAATGAAAATTGGGATTTAATTTCAAATTATTACAATAACATACAAATGAATTTTCAAAATTAGGTCTATACCAAACAGAAACAACTCCATGAACTATCCATTCTGGCATTATTTCGTTCGGATCTTCTGGTGCAAGTCTTTTAGTTAATTTTCTCTTCAAACATTCTTCTTCAGTTTCATCTCTTCTACATCTTCCTCCAGGCAATTTATGAAAACCTTTTTGACTATTTCCTATCCTCAATAACATAATATGAGGATGACCATGTATATTAACAGCAATAGCTGCCTCCACTGTTCTCTTCATTCCGTGCGTAAGATAATTATTTTCCAATCTTTTCAATCTTTCAGGAACAGATTTATCCTTCTCTACTTGTGGATTCTTCTTTGTCCACTTTATAAAAGTATAATCATAGATATCAACAACTTTTAACTCTTCCATACATTGATTTTTTTCCGTGGTAGTACTACGAGAATTTCCATCATGATGATCAATCGCCGATGATGACGAGTTGGTGAGTGATGATCGCTGTGTTTGCATTTTTTTTGATTTTTTAATATTTTACAATATTGAAATTCTTGCTTGAATTTGAATTGTTTATTTTGTTATTATTACTAAGAGCGTTTGTAAATGATTAATTGACTGGATGAAATTGCCTTTCCAACCTTTAATTCACTAGAAGAGGAAGGTTCAAGAGAAATACCATTTGAACCCGAAACATAATATTCCATTCCTGGAATGAGTTGATCATTATCAAAGGTTCCTAATGGTGTCAATCCCTCACTCATAATATGCAATTTATCTCCTGACTTGGCATCTTGAAGAGCTAATCCAATAAAATTAACTGTACTCAATGAAGACATTTGACCTAATTGGAAATCTAAACTATTTGGATCGACAAGTAAAGAGATAATAAAGTTGTCTGATAAACTGGTTGGTGGTGCTCTAATTAACCAATCCAATGGTGAAATAGATTTCAAAGATAATTCAATTCCCTCAATTGGAGTTTCAATTAAATAGGTATTTCCACTTGATTGTTCCTTTTCATTGGTGAAGGTGACTTTCATGGACTTGTATTCATCATCTTGTTGGAAAATTAAATTGATATTTGAGGTATCAAAGTATGTGCCTTGAATATTCTTCATTGATTTGGAGAATGGAATAATTCTTGCAGTGTCGAACTCATTTCCGTTAAATGTTATTGGCATGACTTGACTGAAACCATTTGCTTCATTGGAATAGATGATAAAGAATTTGGAAGACCTTACTTGTCCCTTTTTAGGTTTCATATCATTTCCAATAAAGTTAATACTAATTTTACGTTGAAATTCTAAACCTCTATAAGAAGTGTAACTAAATCTGAGAGATTTTGTTGTGAGAGCACCACTTTGTGAGTTAACAGTAATGGCAGCCAATGAAAATGCAGATAAAATCAAAATGGTATTCGAATCGTAGGTGAAACTCTTCAAACCAGTATTACAACCAACATTTGTAGGACCTTGTTGTAAAGAATTGAGTGTATTTAACTTGTTATTTTGTACAGAGATGACAGATGCTTGGCATCCTTTTGAAACAGAGTTGAAATAAAGTGTAATTACTGGTGAATCACTGTCAGTCATTCCAATACTGAAATATTTCACATTAAATTCATCATCAACCTTCAAATTTGAGTCAATATTGAATCCAACAGTTGAATTATCAACATTAATGGTAGATTTCAACTGATTTTGATTGATTGTAAGGAGAACTGTTTTAAATTGATGAAGGAATGTTCCCTCATTTGTTGGACTAGATCTAACAAATGTTACAACACTTCTAGAGGTTGCTTCATCATCATCTGCTTCGTAGTAAATAATTTTAGCACCCATCAGTTTGAAACTTTCGTTGACTTCCAATGGTTTCTCTCCAATTGCTTGTAAAATGTCAACCGATTCAATAGAATAGTAAACTATTGGAAAGTTTGAAACAATTCCATTGAAAATAATCTTTTGAGAATTTCCTTGTTTGATGTGTTGAATCAAAATTGATAATGACATGGAAACATCGCTAACATGTGAAATCAATTCAGAATTGGATTGGGTTGTCTTCAAGGTTTGTAAAATAGAGTCAAGTACTCTGCGCAACTCAATTGGACAAACTTTACCAAGATCATAAGAACAAGTACCAACAGGTTGTCCCTTTTTGATTAATTCAGAAGCTACATGTTGGACAGTCAGGGAAGGAAACTCTGTAGAATTATAGGAAATTACTTGATGAGAATTTGATCCGTTCAACATGTTGAAAATGATCGAATTTAACACCAAAGAACTAATGACACACAACAAGACTCCAACAGCTGAAAAGGTGAAGAAGACACATTTTCCCTTTGCAAACGGAGTGGATAAAGAGTTGGCCTTTCTATTGCCATTGATTAGAACTGTTTCTTCCATTTTTTTTTGGGTGTTGATCTCTCCACTAACTTTGTGAATTTAACTGTTCGCAACGTTGCCATTTTGTAATGCCACGAATTATTGTGCATTCCAGAAATGATTGGATATAACCACACTCCAAAACATTTCTAATTCAAATGTTGTAATCAAGGATTCAATAATTAAATTGATTGAAAAACAAATCAAAAAGATTTTACCAGCGGAGTGAAATGGTCTAGGCCAAAGTCCATCAATACAGTATTCCAACTTCAATAAATGGTTGATCACAATGACCTTTAGATATCTATGGAAAAATCCGGATCAAATCCATTCACATTATCCAACTCTACACGATATCCAAGTTGATTACTAACTACCTGTGTTAGATGACATTGAATTGAATTAGTGTAATGTGAATGTCCATATCCCCAAACCCTAATTTGAGGATTTTCCTTAATTATTGATTCCAAATGAGTTGAAAAGGCATAGCTATAAATGGATGAATCATGCTTTGGATGAGATGTCCCTTGTGTGAGGGGAGCATGATGTGTCAATACTACAGCTATTTCATTGTTCTCCTTAGTCATTTCCAACTGAGATTTTATCCATTCCACATCTTCCTTGTGGAATCTATTGGTATCTTCAACTGTGAGAACTCGAGGTGCTTTATCACCATCCTTAATATTAATAACCTTATAATCATTAATAGCACTTGAAATGTCTCTTTCATATCTCGAAGGAACATTAGACCACAGGGTGCATCCTAAAATTCTAATCTTTTTATCTTGTTCCTCAATTAATAAACTATCTCTATCCAATAAATATACCTTTTCAGATGGATAACTATTTACAATTTCCTTAATTTCCTTCTTTCTCTCAAAATATTCACTAATTTCATTTATCACTTGACCCATTTCAAATATTAAACTACTACTAACCCTCCATAATATTCATGATTTCCAATAATTATCAACACCTTATCAAACTTGTACTCCTGAACACATTGTTCAATAAAGTTTTCATAACTCTTAGTGGGTAATCCAGGCTTGCCAATATCACCCAACAAGGCAATTATCTTTCCCTCTCCACAATTATTACTACTCGGACACAGTGGTGGCACACGAGCCAATTTAAATTCCAAATGTAAATCGGAACACAACACTAATTTCATTTTCTATTCTTCTTCTTTCCTATTCACCAATGCCAACAACAACAACAGCTAACAGTTTGTTATTTTTTTCTAATTGATCATCTTGTTCCAACTTCTCAATATATGTTCATCGTTTTTTATCAAATTAATTATATTATATTGAGAAATTATTGATTCTTAGATGTGATGATTCTTCAACAACATCAAATATCCATTCAGAACAAAGTGATTCTGTTGCATGTGCGATAAGTCATCAACATAATCATCATTACAAAAAAAACAATTGATGATCAACAACATGAATAGGATTGTTATTAGTGGTTCAATTTACTTGTTGTTGGTTATTTTCATGATTTTCTTGTTGGAAAATGTTCAATCAGCTTCACCAATAATTAAAATCAATAGTGGTTCTTCATCAAATAGTGGATTCTTTTGGCATGTGACGGATCCACATTTAGACTCTGATTATTCACAGGGATCTAGTGTTGAGTGTGGAGAGTTGATTTGTTGTAGAAAATCATCGCCTGGTAATTCTACAAAGGCTGGAAGATTTGGAAGTTATGGTCCGTGTGATATTCCATTGGAAACTTTTATGAGTGCTTTGGATTTTATAAAGACTTATCCATTGGAGGCTAGTTTTGTGTTTTATGGAGGGTTAGTAGTTGCTAATATTGTTGTTTTTGATATATTGAAATGATAATTCGTATATTTATTAATAATTATTGATATAACTCTTATTGTAATTTTATTGTAATAGTGATAATTTGGCTCATGATGATTGGAATTACAATCAGGAATATAATTTGAATTATGGATTGTTGGTTGCTAATGCTCTTAGATCAGGACTTTCTGGATCTAAATTCCAAAATAGAATTATTCCATCAATGGGCAATCATGACATGGCACCGATTAATTTAACACCATTGGATCCATCAAAGAATGCTTGGTATTTACATCCTGTTGGTGATGCATTCCAATTCAGTTTTAATTCATTCCCAGATGGACCTGCAGCCCTCAATTCCTTCAAAGAAATGGGTTATTATACAGTCTTGTTGGAACCTGGATTTAGAGCTGTTGTTATTAATACTCAATTTTGTAATCCTCTCAATTTCTGGCTCCTTTCCACAACTGATAAAGATCCAGGTCAACAACTTGCATGGCTTAATACTACTTTGGCTGCTGCTCAAGCTGCCAATGAAAAGGTTGTTATCCTCGGTCACATTCCACCAGGAATTTCTACAAGTAGCTCATTGGAGGAAAGTACTGGAGAATTCAATTTGGGCATGTCAAAAATTGTTGAAAGATATAGCTCCATTCTTGTTGGTCAATTCTATGGTCACACTCACAATGATCACCTCAAGGTTTTCAAAGATGTTGCTACCTCAACCAAGCCAACTGGAGTTGCCTACGTAACACCTGCTGTCACTCAATGGGAAGAACATAATCCTTCATTCAGACTTGTTCAGTACAATAAGCAAACTTTCCAACTCGAAAATATCTTTACCTTTGTTGCAAACTTGACTAAAGCCAATCTCGATGGTAAAATTACTTGGTCAATGGAATATGATTTTATTAATGGATATGGCCTTACTGATCTATCTCCTGCCTCAATTAACGGCTTAATTTTCAATCAATTGAATCCAGTTAAGGAGCAATGGGACAAGTTTGCTCTCAGATTTGGAGCTGGTTATCCAAAAAATGTATGTCATTTTGACAAACCTTGTAAATTGAAAAAGATTTGTGCCATGGGTAATGTTCTCTACTCTGGGTATGATATTTGCATCAAATCAAATGGCAAACAATAAAACAAGTATTCCATTTTCAATTCTGGAAAGATTATACATCTCTCCCCAATAGTTCTCTAGTAAATTGATAAACTCTGTTCATTGTTCTGAAAATTCATGTTTTTTTCATTTTGCTATTTTTGAGATTCTCAAAGTTGGAAAGATGAATTTTTAGAAAAAATTTCAACAACTTGGAAAAGAAACAACTTGAAGAGTTTTTGTTTTTTCACCAACACCAACACCATCATCATCATTACTTAAATTTTTTGTAGTAGTATTAATAACAACAGCAATAATAATACGGAATTGGTGTTTTTTGTATTTCATCACCATTTGTACAATAACATCATAATTAATTATATAATAATCAACAATCAACAAATAATAATAATAACAATATCAACAACAACACAAGATGGGAATAAATCCGAGTCGACCAAGTACCAACACTACCAATAATGATTTAAATACTTTTAATCAGGCTGATGAAGATAGTGGAAAGAAGGTCGTTATTCAAAAATTACAAACTCTCTACGGAGATAAATTACAAGGAGAAAGTCTTGATAAATTTGCAACAATATTATCTGATAAGAATCGATTAAAGGAAATTTATTTACATACAAATTTTGAAAAGGCAAAGGAACTGCAAAGGTCAATTAAAGATTTAAAGATGATTAAACCAACTGGTATTCAAAGAGCAACAATGAAATATAGTTCACAAGCTTCTGCTTCACCTATTGGTGGTTCAGAACTTTCTGTTGAAGGTAATGCTAGTGCCAGTGCTAGTAGTAGTAGACCTCGTAGAAGTAGTGGTGCTAACGGAGAAAATGATCACGAATTTGATGACGATGACGAAGATGATACTAGTGAATTGACGGATTCTGGATTACCTTTCCAAAATCCTTATACTGAGCTCGATAATAACAAAATTAGAATCAAACTTATTGTTGCTGAAACTAGCAAAAATTCATTGGAAAAGAATTTGAAAAAGATGATTTCACCATTTGTAGATATGGAAAAGAGAAAGGCACCATTTGGATTTTTCCATATTGCTTTATCTGTTGGATGTTGGAAGGTATGTTTATAGTTATTGGGAATTTCAAGTCATAATTATTTTATTAGATTGAATGGAATAATTCATCATTATGTATTCCACGTACTGTTACTGGTAATTATGCCCTAGTTTGTGCTGATATTGAAAGTATTGCTAGTTTGGATGAATTGGATTTCGTAAGAGATAAACTTGCCGAAACTATTGTGAAGTGGAATACTGGTGTTTTCTATAAACAACAAAAGGGAGAACCAGAGGGTGGTGTAAGTATTTAGACAATCATAATTTCTGACATGCATCTTTAGACTGGTAATTGCCAACAATTCATAGATGAAATTTTACAAAATTTGGGATTATCAGATTCATTAAATTCATTCCCTCTTCCTCTTGCAAACTATGTTAAAACTTTGAGAGAAGACGGTTGTGGAGAAATGGAATTTGAATTGGATGATGCTTTCAAACAAAAGTTCTTTAGTGAAAATAATGAAACAAGCAAGTATCTCAAAAAGAAGAGTGTGCTGTTCAAGACACATAAGGAACTAGATTTATTTGCTAAGGGATTATTTGAGGTGGATCCAGATTTCCAAATCAATCACAGATATGAATACTATTTATTGAAAGCGTATGACAGAGCTTTTTGGATGAGACATTTGAAACCTGCTGATGAACGAACAACTGATAAAGAAAAATATGAACCTTTAGAAGAAGAGGATGGAACTTTAGGTTGTATATTTGGTGATCCAACAGTGAATAGTTTTCTTGCTTTCAATCTTGGAAAGAAGAAACATTAAGAATTCTCAATTGTAAAATATGTCAACTTGTAGTATTAAATTATTTAATTTATTTTTCAATTGCATTGTTTTGTTCTGTTGGTTCAGAGAATAAAGGTTCACTATTACATTTTTCAAAGAGAGGTGTATCTATTGATGCTCTTACTGAATGAGGAAGCAGAGATTCCAATTCTTGAACTTGTAAAATTATTAAATCTACATATTTTCTTGTTTGTTCCACATATCTATTCAATCTTTCAGCTAAAATCAATTGTTAAAATGTGAAATCAAAGTGAACATACCATCTCTTAATTCTGATGCAACATTCTGCAATTCAGCATTCTTCCTTTCCAATAATTTGTGTGTATTGTTAGATTTTATACAGGTGGCTGTCAATAACTTTAAAACTTCCTCTTGTCTGAAGGCCACAGCTCGATCTATAATAAACCAGAATGTTACATTCTTCCACTACTATTTTAAACACTTACTTTGATGCATAGCATTTGTTTGGAACTCTGCACAAATATCCACTAGAGGTTTAGCATCTATACAATCTAATTCTTTAAGTGATGGATCAGTAAATACATTTGGATTATTATTAGATGTAGAAAAATAATCCTTTGCATTAAATTTCAAAATACTAGATAAAGTTGACGATTTTTGTTCCACTTTTGATCGTATCAAAGGATAAAATTCTGCCAATTGTTTTAATTCTCTTAATAAATCATCCTTTTCATTATTATTTCTACTATCAATTACATCATTAATTCCATCTGGAAATGTTTCATCCACTTTTGCTTCTCCCTGTCCATCAAGAGTCACCACAGCTATAATATCATCATCTCCGGTTTTTTGTGTTTTTTGATCACCTGTTGGTGTTGTTGAGGATTTTGTTGGTGTTCCCAAGATTGAAAGTTTTCTCAAGGCACTAGATGAAGCTCCCTGAATTTTAGGAACAGAAAACGATGTATAGGGAATATTAATTGATGAAGGAGTTGATGGAGTTGAAGGCTCCGATGATGTTGGCTTTGTTTGTTCTTGTCCCATTTTTTTTTCTATTGTTTTTGAAAAGATATTTTAATTTTCCTCTTTTATACAACCATCTACTCTTTTAATATGAAATTAAATAGTATACTTTAATATTTAGTAATATTCAATAATTAATGAATTTAATTTTATTAAAAAAATGAATCAAAGTTTTGCTTTGAAATTATTTCTCTTCAACGTGAAGGAACAACAAGAAGCCTTGGACAAACAATTCAAACACCTCTCCGATGAATATTTAAATCATCAGGAGCAAATAAAGATCGGAAGGTTTTATCAGGTTTTGGATCGTTACCGATCACTTATCGGAAAAGCCTTGTGTCGATACTATTTAAAAAAGGATATTACAAATTTATTAAATATCGAACAATGTAAATACGGAAAGCCATATCTTAAGAAAATTAGAAATGAATCATCTTCTATTGATTTTAATATTTCTCATTCGGGACAGTGGGTTTTGTTTGGTTATTATCATGGAAAGGATAATGAAAAAGTGTTAGGATTGGATATTGAAGAAGTTCATGTGAGAGATACCAAGCTTGATGATAAGTGGAATTTGGCATTGACTGAGTTTTATGATTTGATGAGATCATGTTTTACTGATAGGGAGTGGAATACAATATTATATCCTCTGCATACCTCTCAAGAAAATAATAATAATTTTGAACTATTACTGAAACAACTTGATGTTTGTACAGACGAAACTATTAAAAAGGAAACAATGGAGAGATTTTTCATACATTGGACTTTGAAGGAATCATTCATAAAAGCATTAGGAATGGGTCTGAGTTTTGGAGAATTAACAAGAATTGAATTCAGATTTAATAAGCCAAGTACAGTGTTAGAGGAGTGTATTAATTGTGAAAGAATGGATCAAATTTCGCTTCCAAGTGAGCATTTCGAAAATAAGCAAGATAAAATTAAGATATTTGTGGATGGACAAGATAATTCAGCAGAGTGGGATTTTGTAGTGATACGAAATTATACAAGAGACCACATGATGAGTGTTGCATTGGGAAGTTTGACCTCGAAACATATCCCATTAGAACTCAAATTAAATGTTTCCAGAAATACAGACAAAAGTCCTCACGGTAAAGAATTTACAGTGAAAGATTGTAAAATAGATGAACTTTTATAAATTGAAAGATTAGTTTACAACCATGGAATCCAACCCTTATACATCTTTGAGAGGTTTTCCTCACTGCTTGCCAAATCGATTTGCTTGGAAATGATGGCCTTGACCTTTTCCTCTGAGTCAGCTTCATTAAGTCTCTTTCCAACTAGATTGACAATGAAATTACCATCATAATTATTGTTAGTATTCTTTTGTTGAGGAGGAAGTAAATCATCATGAACACTTTCAATATATGATTGTTCTTCGATTTGTTTAGAAATTTCATTGATTTGTTCAATGGTATAGTCAAACATTTCATCAACAGAATTCTTAAGCTCTCTTGTTCTTGTCGTGAGACGAGCATGATGTTGATAATGGAATAAAGAGTCAGTTGAGTCTTTCTTAAACTCAAGCGAATCATTACAATCTATAAAGTATTGATTCACAACTTCATAATGATTTGTAAGTTTGGCTTCAATCATTTGCAAGTATTGTCTAAAGACTTTGTGGAAGCTACTCAGTTCGATCATAGATTGCAATACACTAATCAATTGAGAAATCATATTCATGTAGGAGGAAATTGTCTTAGCTAATTGCTTGTATGGGGCAATGAATTTGGATCTGACAAGATCTGAATAATTCATTTGGTTAGATTGAACGTTGACGAGTTCAGGTTCCTTCAACTTTTCAACTAAAACAGCAATATCATTTTGAAGTTCATCATATCTTTCCTTTTGGTTTGTCAAATCTGTGTATTCCTTGTTATATTGAATTTCCTTTTCATGTGTGCTCAATAAGCGCTTAATTACACCATAACATTCACTACCATAGATTGATTCCATATCGCTAGTATCAAATGGAAGTTGTCTATCTTTCTTTTCTACAGTAAGAATTGACTTAGCCAATAGGATTTCGCTATGAATAGTCTTGAGCATAATATCATAGTTCATATTTCTGGAAGCAATATTTGTAAGGAGGCCATTGAATTGTGACTCATTGAGGAGAGGTTTGCAAATTGCAAGATACTTGGTGCTTTCTAAGTTTTGCAAATCAACCAAATCTTGGTAGAGTTCGTCCTTTGTGGTGGCATATTGCTTGATAGACTTTTCAAGCTTTTCTAGCATTAATTCCTTCCAGTGTACAATATCCTTATTCTTGATGCTCAATTGACCACTAAATTGATTGTTCCAAATCAAATGTTGCAAACGAATGAAACATTCCTTTGTTCTTGGTGCACATAGCTTTTGAACCATATTATTACCGAATTCTTCAAAGTTTGCATAAAGCTTTTGAATAGTGTGCACAAGAACTTCGTTGCTATTAAAGGTATTGGTAACATAAGGGTCATAGATATTCCATTGTTGCAATGTTTGAGTCAAGGTAGGGACTGTAATCTTTTCAACAAAGGTGTCGATGTGATCCTTCATAATATTGAGGATGTTGAACAGAGATTGGTTGTAAGATGGATTATAGTTCAACAATTCAACAAAAATATCATTAAGAGTATCCAACTTGGTGGCAATGATTAAATCAGAAACACCTGGAATTAAACTCAATTCTTTGAATGGAATTTCTAGTTGGGAGAATTGTGAATCAAATGCTAAACACAAGACATTAGCACTAGATCCTTTGTTGCTAATATTGAGTTGATAGGCCAACATTTTTTGTTGTGGGCTCATATCAGCAGTTTGGAAAAGTGTAGTAACAGAAGCCAAAAGTTGACGAACAGCATCAGATTGGGAAAGTGCTGTAATAAACTCTGGAATAATAACAAACATTAAGTTGTCCAAAAATTGTCTAACAGCATTGGTAATGTTGCTAATACCAGTTGAGAGGAGTGCTAATTGATCCTTTGTTGGAGTAAGTTGTTGAATGGTTGGAATACTGTCGTAACAGAAAGTGATACATCCTTCAATTTTAAGGAGATTTCTAAAACCACACCAATCACAAAGATCATAGACTTGTGGTTCAGAAGGTTGCATAGTGTTTGAGCTTTCAACAACTTCAACAATAAGTTGGTTCAATAATAAAGAACAATCTACAGTTTGTTGACCATATTGAGTCATAGGTGGATGGTTGACTTGCTTATTTTCAAGATAAACCAAATCCCTGTTCATCTTTTCGAGTTCGTCATCAACTTCTCTAATAATTTCAACAAGCTCTTGCTCTGGTTCAGAGATAGACCTGATAATTGAATCAAATTGGCTTGCATCTTTACAGATCAGTAAACGATGCAATACGTTGGAAATTACATATTTGATATCATGACTAATGTATTCCATGTCAGTATAACTCTTGTAAATAAGTTGAATTTCTCTTAGGGAGTTAGTGAGATCTAAATTGATATTTCTGAGTTTCATTTGCTTCTCTTCTATGGCAGCTTCTCTCAACTTGTAATCAGTAAAGTCAATGGAAAGATAAGGAAGAACATGACGTAAAAGAGGTTCTGGTTTAGAAATGGAAATAGCAAGATGGTTATTGTTAAATTCTCTAGATTTCAAAGTATTGAACAAGTTGAAGTGAGCATGTGATTCGTCGCTGAATTTCTTCAATTGATCTTCTAACAAAGTGTTCAAATTAGACTTTTCACCAGAAATTCTTGAGTGTTCCTGTTCTAACTTTTCTTTCAACATTGGAATGTTTTCAAAGGAGCTAACACTTAAGTGTTCAAGCTCTTGTTGTAACTTTTTCTTATTATCAAGAATGAGACAATATTCTTCGATTTGAGTTTGATCTGATGATGGTACTTCATCAAGTATATCAAGAGAAGCAATACCTTCTGCAGTAGCCTTGAATTCATCACAAATACTTTCCTTCTTTTCAATGACTTGTTCCAAGAATAGAGAGTCCAATTGCTTGTCAAAGATGGAATAGAGTTGTTGATCAGAAGTTTGGTCAATAAGTGGATCACTAATAAAGGTCATCAATAATTTCAAAAGCAAATTCTTTTCCTTATGAAGAGAAGAAAGTGTCTTTTCACAAACACTAGAGAATTTTGTTCTCATTACACCATCTCCAATAGCCATTGCAATGCAAGGAGTCAAACGGAAAGGAACAATTTCTGGAACAGGAAGGTTTGATCCTTGATTAAAACAAATTTGGTAATCGATGTGAATAACTTCGTTGGTGTAAGAGTCCATCAAAATATTATCCAAGTGTCTGTCACCCAAACCAACAAGATAACCAATTGTAGACATACAAGCTGTAGACAATACAAAGTTTCTTTGTGATTCAAAGCTGCTATTAATGGAGGTTTGAGCAGGATTAAAGAGAATGTGTCTTTGTAAAGTATCTACACTATTAATTCCTTCTTCCTTATCAATGGTGGATTTACATTTAGCGTAAACCTTCTTTAAAACTGAAGTTGGGTAAGGCTGCTTAGTAATATTTTCAGATTTGATAATTGGTAACAAGCACTTGTAGTAGTGATCCATTGGCTTGTAGATACTGTCTTTCTTCTTGTAAAGACTAAAGATAGTTTGCGTATTATCTATCCACTCAATCAAACCACAATTTTTACCAAGTGGTGTAACATCATAGGCTCTGTTTCTCAAATGTGGATTGTCACTATACTTGAAAATCATATTGGTAATACCGATAAATTGTTGCATACGTTGATCAAGTCTGAGATCTTCTTTACCTTTAAGTAAGAATTTAAAGTATTTGCCGTTATTGCCCATAAAAACAATTTTCTTTGGTTTGGTCTTTGATCCTAATACTTTAACCTTACTACTAATTGACTCAATAGTGACCAAACTATCTTCATTAGAGGTACCGTGCAAGTGCAAGCCTGGAATTGGAATATTCTTCAGAACTTCATAGTTGAGAAGCTTTGGAACTACATCCTCAGCATTGAATTCTCTAAAGATGGAGCTTCTTGATATTTGGTGAGTCAAATCTAATAATTTTTGTTTGGTGATATCAATTTCATCATCAGTAATTTCACCAGTACGATAACTTAATTCCAATAAACTATGATAAATCATGTTAAGAATGGACTGATATTGAATTTGGAACATTTGTTCTACCTTGCTTTCTGGCTCAGCGTTCATGGTAACGTTGTATGTCTGTTCGAGCAATATTTGAAATTTTTGGCTCTTTATACCAGTCTTGGTAAGATACTTTCTGCAACCAGTTAAGGTTTGTAACCATAAATCGAACCATGTGTGAGTCATCCTCTTACACTCTAAAACAAAGGAAACAACGCTGTTCACCATCTCTGGATTAATTTTTCTAAGTTCAGCAATTATATCAGTACCATTTTTTGCGTGCTCAAGGTACCTAACAACAGATGGATAAATAATACTTTGAAGTCTGTGCTTCCCTAACTTGAGAATAACAGACTTGATGTAAGGATAGTATTCTCCAAACAAGCTGAAAATTTGAGGAATGAGAGGAATCCAAATTCTATAGTCAATATCTTCAACAAATTGGCTAAATTCATTTTCATCAAAATGTTCAAGATCATCAAGGAGTTTAGCAACAATTTTGATGACTTCAAGTCTGCTGAGATTGTTCTGATATTGGAGTATATTCTTGTAAATTTGCAGTCTATTCTTATTTTCTGTATCATATTTTTCGAGATAATCAAGAGCAATATGAAGATGGTCTTGTGATAGGGATACAGAATTCTCAGAAACTGTTACAATAGCCTTGAGAACAGATGGAATAGATGGAGTTTCTGACAATTCAGCACCTAAGTTTTTACCAATCTTGGTTATTGTTTCGCTATCCAAAAGTTTTTGATTTTGATCAATCCAAGTATAAAGTTTGAAGGGCATGTTTTGTGTTAGCTCCTTATTTCCAATAGTAATTTGTGAAGAAAGCTTGAGAATAGCCTCCTTATGATCAATAGCATATAACTCATCAATCTTTAAAACCGACTTTTCATCCTTAACACCCAAGTTATCAATGATATTATGTGCTGTTTGTATATTTAGGCAGGTTAAATGATCTTGAATGAGTGGTGAATCAATTTCATTTTGATCCACTCTGACTATGATTCCATTCTTAGGAGAGATCTTTACCTTATTCAAGTTTTGAATAGGAATCATTTTAGAAACGAATGGAATAACATTTTGGTGGAGGTATCTTCTAATACAATATTCTTTGAAACGACTGTTTGAGTCTTCTGACTTGCTAACAATAAGTTCTTCATGTCTGTTAGAGTGTTTAACAACTGTATCAACATCTTTAGATTTTCTATTTGATTCTATGTACTTGTTCATAACTGGTGTAAAATCTAAACCATTGGCAAGCTTTAAAATATCAAAGTTATCTGAGGTTTTAAGATAGAATTGGCACAATAAAATTCTATCGTTAATTTTAAGTTTGTTCTTCTCATCAAAGAAGCTAGTGACACTTTGGTAATGTTGGAGAGCTTGCTCAAATCTTCCTTGACTTTCTTCCATAAATGCCTTTGCAAGTTGAATGAATGATGGTATCTTGGAGAATTCTGTTTCCATTACAGACAAAACGCCATTCAAAACCTCGCTATCACAATACTCTTCACATAATGTGGTACAGATGGCAATCAATAATGACTCAATTCTTTCAGGTCTTTCCTTTTCCGTAATGAGTGACTTTAATCCATTGTGGATAATTCTTCCAGACATTTGGGATTGGAGCCTGTTGAACCAGTCGTTACAAACTTTTTGGTTGCCTGTAAAGAAAGAAAGTATTTGCGCATTAAATAAATTGTTATGTACACCAAGAGAGATTGCATTAACGTGTCTTTGGAGTTCACTAATAAAATAGTGCAAATTTTCATTCTCTGGGAATGATTGTAATAATTTTTCAAACCCTTCAAATGTTGCCATAGCACCACCGAATGGAGTTTTAAGTCTATTCACAACACAATACAAAACGGCAAATGGAACACTCTTATAAATAAAAGGATCTTGAGAAACCTTATCGAAAGAACTAATAAGCTTTTCGAAATGATAATTCAAAGTTGAGATATCAGGAAGTTCTTCAAATAAAGGTGATGAGTAGTATCTGAACCACTTGAATTCTGATGATGCAGATTCATCAACTAATATATGACCACATCTTTTGATGCTTTCAACTGCTTCATTGAATATTTGGTCATTTCCACTCTCTAAACACTTATAGAAACAATTTAAAAGTTGAGTTGTTCCGTACATGCTGTACTTGTCTGTATCAATCTTGCTTAGACATTCTACCACAATCTTTAACACAGTGAGTTTGTTTTCAACAGAGCAATCACTTTCTAAGATAGAATGCAAAGTATCAAGCACTACTTCAGTTGGACTTTTTTCTTCGAATGAATAAATAAGATGAAGCCATAACAAAATCTCCTTTTGAATATCTCTCGAAGCCATGTATTCATTTAGAATAGTGACTAATAATTTGAGAACATTGTCCACATCTAGATCTTGTTTAAATTTAGGGAAAAGTGCTCTTAATTTCTTGATCATTTCAATAAAAGTCATTTCGTCTTGTTTTACCATATCATTTATCCAATTACCGTTATCAAGCAACTCTTTGTATAAGCTCGAGTTACCTTTATCAATAGAATAACCAATCATTCCAAAAATAAAGAGTCTGTCAAAGTTCGCTTCCCCAACCCATTTCAAAATCTCCAAACAATTAGCTTTGAAAAATTTGTTGAAAATAATGTCAAATATTTTGGCCAACTCTAAATAGACAAATATATCAATATTTGTGAGAGCAGCAGCAAACTTGGACAAGTCCAAAACAAACTTTTTGATAACTGGCTTTGAAAGGAATGCTTCATGCTCTTTAACAATTGTTTGAATGAATGTAAAATATTCAGGAATGATTTCTTCATGAGGAGTGAGTAATAAAAGGTTTCCAATATATGACATTGCTTTTTCCACAACTTCTGATTCCATAGTTTTAGTAGATGAACTATTATCACCAGACTTTCTGTGTGATACTACTTTTTGAGAGAACACTAATACACAGTCAGAAATAGACTTCCAAACTTGTTTCTTCTTGTCAGTAAATTTAGACAAAGATGTAACAAATAGATTGTCTAATAATGCTGAAATAATAGTCTTGTTTCTATTTAGAATTGAATAAAATGTAGTAGTACTAAGAGATGAAACTAGATATCTCAAGCAAATAACAAATGTTTGATACTGTCTTTCATCACTTAATGATGACATGTCATTTACAAATCTTTGGATAAGATTACCAGTAAAATCCAAGTGTTTACCTTCCCAAAGTGCAGAAGGGATTTTTTCCAAAGACTCTCCTATTCTAATCTTTTGTTTGTAAATTGTGTTACGATCCAAGAACCAACCAACAATTATATCTATTACATCTCTAAAGCCATTTTGCATGGCCATAACAACATAATTAATAATTCCGTTGCTGCTACAATCGAGCTGAGCAAGTTCAGATATAACATCAAATACATCTAGTACCATGAAAATGTTTTGAATATTATCCACACTTGTAATAAACTTTTGACAATCCTTGATGATGAATTGATAGGCATATTGGATTGTTGTTTGATCGAGTGCGAATCTTTTTGTGCGATCATTATCAATGAGCAAGCTTAACAATTGATGATAAACCAAAAGAAAGTGGTTTTTAGCTTGAAGTTGTTGTATTTGTGAAAGTACAAGAGTGAAGAAGTGAATATCAGTACTCTTCTTGATTTCCAACAAGGTATTATTGATAGATTCACTATCACTTCCACAACTAATAGATTCAATAGATAGAATATAACAAATAATTCCTAGCATACATATTCCGAATACAATATCTTGAGGAGTGGATCTAAACAAATATTAATATTAAAAACTTTAGTATATTCTACATACTTTGATTGTTGAATTTGTTGAACAAAATAATTAATAAATTCATTATAATTAGATTTTAACATTAAAATATATTTTGTCTTGAATTGTTTCGACTCTTCATCAATAAAAATTAAATTTAATATTTTCAAAGTCGAAGAAGAAATAGATTCAATAGTAACTACCGATGGTAATTCGATTCTATTTCTACTCATCATAAGACTTTCGATTTCTTGTTGAATATTGGTATCTTCCGATGATGTTTTCGAGGAGTTCATTTTCTCTACATCTTGGCTCATTTTTTTAATATTGATTAATATTTAAATTTACAATCGAGATAATACTAATTTAAAGCAGCAATCTGATTCATATGCATTAATATTAAATTTATAAAAGAATATGACCATTGGCGCTCATCACGTGACGAATATGGTATAAATATCTATTAAAAAAAGTATTTTTATTAACAAGATTCAACAGTAAAAAATGATTCCATCATCTTCCTCGTCAAATGCATTGGGCACTGGCACACCACTGCCAGTATCATCCAATCACCTTTATACATCTAATAGTGGAAAGTCATTCGAGGAAATAATGGCTGAACAGATGAGCACACAACAGATCGAATTGGATAGATTGGAAAATACAAAAGATGAAAAGTTGAAGAGTACACTTCCCGAAGAGACAAGAAATAGAATTGGTGTATTACCTCCACCAAAGAATCCACAACAATTACCAGTTGCTTGTGGCCGTCCAAAGATTGATTATTCTAAATTGGGTGTTGATGATTTTCAAAAATTAAAGTTAATTGGAAAAGGTGATGTTGGAAGAGTTTATTTAGTGTTACTGAAAGGAACAGATCTTTATTTTGCAATGAAAATACTGAACAAGGAGGAAATGATAAGTAGAAACAAAGTGAAACGAGTCTTGACAGGTATGTCTTTATGTTGGCATGATGATTTAATGATTTTTAGAGAGAGAAATATTAGCAACGGTTGACCACCCTTTTATTACAACACTATTTTGTTCTTTCCAAACAAAAGAGAATTTATATTTCATTTTGGAATATTGTGCAGGAGGAGAGTTTTTCAAGTAAGTTGTTAAGAGAATTATCTAATAATCTTTGATAGAGTTTTGAAAAAGCAGCCAAACAAATGTTTGCCTGAACCAACAGTTCGATTTTATGCAGCTGAAGTTGTATTGGCATTGGAATATTTGCATATGAAGGGATTTCTTTATAGAGATCTCAAACCAGAAAATTTACTTCTTCACCATTCTGGTCATATTCGATTGACCGATTTTGATTTATCAAAACAATCAGTTCAACAAGTTACACCAACTCTTGTAAAGTCCTTCTTTTCCTCCCAGAAACAAAGTATTGTCGAATTGAAACAGATACAGGAATTTGATTCATTTATTGGTACCGGTAAGTTTCAGTTTTAACTTTAGAATGCCTAATCTTTGGAATAGAGGAATATCTCTCTCCAGAAATTTTGTCAGGCAAAAAGCATAATTCTTGTGTTGATTTTTGGACATTGGGTATTCTATTATATGAGGTATGTTTAGAGGAGAAATTTTTTCTAATTCTGTATTGAAATAGATGCTATTTGGTTTTACACCATTTAAGGGGTCAACCCAGAGAGAAACATTCTTTAATATTTTGAATAATCCAGTCACTTTTCCATCTAAAACAGCATATCCTGTGAGTAAACAGGCCAAAGACTTGATGACACAATTACTGATAACAGATAAAGATAAAAGATTGGGAGCTCAGCATGGTATTTCAGATATCAAAACCCATGCATTCTTTAAGGATATCAGTTGGGCTCTTATTAGAAATGAAGTTCCTCCAATCATTCCTAAATTGCAATCCAAACTGGATACCTCCTATTTTAATCAATATAAAATGCCAGAGGACCAAGATGAAGAAGAGGAAAAGACTGGTCAAGAAAATGAGGAAGAGGCTGCAGACAATCCATTTAAGAACTTTAAATTCCAAACTAAGAAGGATATTGAAATATTTAATGGAGGCACAACCAATAATAGTAAATAGTTTTCACAAATTACCTTTCTGAACTGAAATTAATTGAGATTCAACTTTACCCAGCTTTTAAACCCCTTCCCTTCATCACCATTTCCGTTTGTCTTTAAGTTTTTGATGAATTTTGTGGAGAATAATTTGGCAACCATTTTTTTAAATTTTGTCAATCTCTATAATGGGAAGGTCGTTTTCATCGCTGTACAATGGCATTGCATGACATTTAAGAAAGGGTCTAGCATAAGCTTTTCATTGATATCCTTGACAAGCACAGCAGGACCAAGTACTTCACTAGGAGAAATGGAGTGGCTGTCACACCATTCCTAACTGGCCTCACATGAATGTACAACTTATCTTGCTTTTCAAGGACCTTGACAATGACAGCAAAACTATACTGATGAATTACTTGTTTTAAACAAACAAAAAACATACCTAAATGAATTCCGTTATACGAGTTGAACAATGTTATTGGTGAGTGGAGAGTTTTCTCCATATCACAATACCAAGAACAATCTTATCCTTTGAGTGTAAACGCTGATACAGTTGAATGATACATTAAAGTAATACGTACATGCTGTTCGATTAGTTCCAGCGCTTTGGTCCATTTCCTTCTTGTAATGAACAGGCTTGTTTAGACTTTCATCAGTATAAGCATGAAAATTAGGAATGTTTCAAAAGCTCGATCAAAACCTCCAATATCATCAAACAACTCACCAACTGATGTCGATCTGTTAAGATTTGCACCCTCTTCTTGTTGATCCATTATGAATTGCTCCTCATGATCTGATTCCGAGGATCAGAACCAAGCTCTCAATCCACCATTAAATCTTCCTCATCAACTCTGCATTCAACTTCATAGCCATCACTCCTTGTTTGATAAGGAATTTATTTCCTAATTTTTGATATATTTTCAAACGTATTGAGCGTTCCTTTGTGTTGGTGTTTTCCCTTTGAAATAAGGCACTAAGATCCAAGAACCAGCAGAGGAAGAAGCTGATGATCGCAATGAGGTAGATGAAGATGGATCAAAGAAGCTCATTGATGAATCATCACCTAGTCATCATGATGATCACAACATTCGGTTTGACAGCTGTTTATGTGTAAATAACATCATTATAACGATTCATCTATTGTTAGTGTTAATACTGAATTCATATCCATTCATATCATGTGATTAGATGATAACCATTAAGAACCGTGTGGTCCCATTCTTGCTCTGAATTTAAAATTAAAAATCGATCAAAGTTGGTGGCAAGAATGAAAAATTTACAAAATCGAGCACAATTCTTACAGATTTTTCGTGTTTTGGTCGTTTTCTCTGAACATTCACACGGATCTTCGAATAGTAATGGAGGACACTCACATAAAGGAGAGGAAGAACATTTAACTGTAAATTCTGGAAAGACATGAAATGTATTGGAACATAAAGAAAATAAGGAACGTCACAAGTTCCACTATTCCTTCCTTGTCAAATCCTTGCTTTTTATATCATGGATGTCAGATATTTAATATTTAAAATGAAATAGAAAAAAAATAGAGAATGAACGTGGCTACTGCATGTTATTTTAATAATTAAAGAAGGAATTACAATTAATCAAGAAAAATCCTATGGAACATTGAATGTTGTCCTTTGTTTGGAAAACAATATTTGAGTGGCATTTTACTTCCGTATGATCCATATAAGAGATTTTGTTTATAATTATTATTCCATTGATGATTGGAAATCAAATAATAATATTGATGATTGGAATTGAAATGATTACACCCAAATGGAAGATTTAAACTAACACACCAACTTGTATGGGTAATAGTAATTTTCATAAGGAGAGTTGGAATCCATTGTGGAATATTGATTCGATATTAAAAGGATTCCTTTTTGGAAAATGATTCAATCTATGGAAGTATGCTAGGACAGCGTGTGATGCATTCAAGAGACCTTTTACATTTGTGTCAAACATTTGATTTTGATAGGAAAACTAATCTAGGATAATGGTTGAGTGAAGAAAAGAAGAAATTGGCACTGATGAGATATGAAGTTAATAACTAAAATCACATCTTTACTAAATTATTCCCAGACATGGTTGATTTAGCCAAGAAAACCATTAAGGAGCAAGAGGAAAAGATTGTTCATATCAAGGAAGCAGAAACTTCAACAAGTGTGGAATCTAGTGGTAAATCGGTTTGGGATGACTTCTATCTTAGGTGCTCATCCTCGTTTTAATCATTGTACTTTATGTAGTCATGTAAATCACATATATTTTGTAAATATATTAGAAAGTTTGGTTATATTAAGAGGTTCCTCTTTCATTGGATAGGTTGCGTTCGTTACGAATATTCAATTCTCCTTCCTTGAAGTCAAAATAATTCATCTTCCTTACATTTCAAATAGTTCATCTTGATCTAATTGCTAAATCTCAAGAGGAATAGCTAATTGATATCCAACCATAGGAGAAGCATACAATTTCAAGAATTTCGTTAACCGAGAGCAAACTTGGGAGTCTTGTATCATCGAAAGATGTTATTATTTTGATGAATTAAAACGTTTGTTCAATAGAATCACCAATTTTACCATTCATTGTAAAATGCAGCATGTTCTGTTCTTCCAGCCTTGATTTGAAACGCAATAACAAAACAAAAAAAACAGCTCAAAATCAATCCTTAACGAATCCAGATGAAACTCACAACTGAAAACACCGCTATGCTTTCGACTTGTATCAACAAGTTATATGATAATAGTAACACTCGTAAGATTGTATTCAGTATCATTCATAGGTTGTTAGGAATCACTCAAGAGTTAGAGTTTGATTTTTCTTCTGCAAAGGAATTAAGTAAGGCTTTGAAAGAAGTTTTATATTCCGAAACTAACCACAAAGTAGCCTTACTAGTCATCCTCCATTACTGGGAAGTTTACGTCCTCTCACAATGGTATTACCAATAGTCAAATTGAGAAGGCTGCTTTGGAATATTTAGAAACCAACCTGAAGTCTGCTCACACATTTCTCTACTTCAAAGAGCAAAGTTGGAAAAAATTGTTCAATTGTCTCCTTCAAATTGTGCAACAACACCAAAATTCATTACCAGCAAACTTTATGAACACTAACAACGGTGAACCTACAAAAGAAACAAAGGAAGAGGTAGCAACTTCCCCAACTCCTATTAATGATAGTACTAATGATGCTATGGAAACAAAGGAAGAGTTAGAAACTACCCCTAGTAATGAAAGCACCAATGTTACTAATGAGACAAAGGAAGAGTTAGCAAGTGTTTTTCAAGCTACCATACCAAACGCTCATCATAACTCTCAAGCAAATATGGAGGTTTTCATCAGTCTTCTTGATCAATTTAGAATTGACAACATTAAGGAGAGGAACAGATATCAAGAAGAAATGAAGACACTTCAAGGTGAAATGAAGTTAATGGCAAAGCAGCAACAGGATCAAACAGAGAAGACAGAAAAGAAGCATCAAGAAGAAATGAAGACACTCCAAGGTGAAATGAAGTTAATGGCAAAGAAGTATCAAGAAGAAATTAAGACACTTCAAGGTGAAATGAAGTTAATGGCAAAGAAGCATCAAGAAGAAATGAAGACACTCCAAGATGAAATGAAGTTAATGGCAAAGAAGTATCAAGAAGAAATTAAGACACTTCAAGGTGAAATGAAGTTAATGGCAAAGAAGCAACAGGATCAAACAGAGAAGACAGAAAAGAAGCATCAAGAAGAAATTAAGACCCTCCGAGGTGAAATGATATCTTTGAAAAAGGATCACAAAGGAGAAATCAGCAATCTTACTGAATTTGTGAAGCACCTTGAAGATGAAGTGAAGTACCTTAAGGATCTTATTGACAAGAATGAAAAGGAACAACAAATTGTTACTAATAATTGGAAGGATTTGATTGCCGAAAAAGATAAGAAAATCTTACATCTTCAATGTAACGAACCTTTTAGCAAAGGAGTTTGTGGATGCAAATGTGGTGTTTGTCGTCAATGTATGGGACATTCCTCAATTAGCCAATGATTTAACTTGATATGAATTATCCTCTACTAATAAACCCGTGGTTAATTTACCTAAACTACTAAGAACAATTTTCAAACCACTTTTTTAAGCGCCTTTTTGCCGCTTTTTGATTTTTAGGCTATCATTGAACAGGAACTTCAAGTAAATGGCTGATGTGGAATTGAGAACAGAAACCTCCTTTTGACTATATTAATTTTAAAAAATGTCGACAAGCAAAAGGGGAGAATTATCGTCAACTAGGAAATTTTCAACACCTTCATCACTACTTAGTTTAGCACATTATGAGCAGGAGGATGTTGTGCTTCGATCGAAAGACGGAAAGATCATACTTTCCGAAGAGGAATATATAAAAAAAGTTGATTATATAATTAAACGAGATTACTATCCGAATTTATTGAGTGATTCGGAAAGAAAAGAAAACAAAATGTCACTCGATCAATTTTTAAACAAATATACTAGTGAGGATAATGCCTCATTCTCGGAAATCATGGAAGAATGGAAGATACGAAATAAGAAATTAATTGAAAAGATTTATGATAAGAATGCTCAATCAAATGTAAATCGTTTGGTATTACCAATTGAAAATGTAAATAACAGTATTAAATCGATAACGAGTGCCAAGGATGAAAAACTCATGTTGGAACACATCGATGATTATGATAATCACATTATAGCTTACTCGGATGAAACAACATTAGAAAAACGACTGCAAATTGATGAAGATGAGGAAGTTGAAAAATACAAGAATTCTCTAATGTTCTATCCAGCAGGAATCAAGAGAAGTTCAGAACCCTCAAACAAAATTATCAAACACAATGGTACACGTGTATCTGCTCAAGTTATTACTAAAAATGAAAGTTTAAGAACTATTCAAGAACAGAAGCATTTTGACCTTGATGAAGATCCTAAATCGGTGTTAGAAAAAATTAGTCAACAAATTAACAACTCTATGACTGTAAATGGTCACATGTTGGAACAGACACCTATTATTCATCCATCAGAGTCAGCTGAAATAATGACATGGGGTACAATTGAATCATCTCCATTCAGAGTTCCAGAAACTCCCCAAAGAGAAGCTATTTCTCAAAAGCTAGCAGCCACTGCCAGTAAGAATATTCGTAAACGAGAAAGTATGACACCAAATCAAACATATAACTACTCCAGAACTCCAACTTCTACCAGATCTTTTTCCACACCAAACACACCATTATCTTCACCTTTCCAAAAACCACTAACTCAACAATATCAATCATTATCAGAGGCAGCTCAGAAACTTGCCAAGCGTCACATCAGCACTCGTTTCGTAGCTCCACAAAGCTCATCAACAGTTTCAAATAAGGCCAACAATGAAGAAATTGTTCAAATCAATAAGAAGAAGAAAGTCTAGATACAGAAAACAAATTCTGAAACTGGAGAAGATGGAAAATTATTTTCAAATAATAGTGATTGTTGTAATGACTGACAGTAATATTACAATTTTAATAATTTAATAATTAAAAAAAATGAGAAAATCAACAAGCATTACGATCAACCTAAGCTCGATTCTTTCACCCTCTTCACCACAACAACCAGCAACACTACAAACTTCTGCTTCTTCTTCATCTATTCATTCCGATCCTTCTAGTGTTGTTTCATCATCGGCATCACCAATTATTAATAGTAGTAGACTTGAATCACCAACGACTCCGAACAAGGCTGACAAGTTACCAATCATACAACCATGTAATCATTTACATCCACCATTTAGGTTTAGATGTATTGCTCAGAATATATTTGTTGGAGGTTATCCAACTCTGAGAAATTTAAGATATCTAAAGAGGTTAAAATTAAAAACCATTATATCACTGATACCGGAAAAACCAATAACAGATTTAAAGGAATTTTGTGAATATGAAAATATTAAAATTCATCACATCTATACACAAAAGTATAAGGAACAGGTTTCATTGTCATTTAGTGAAGTTTCTTCCATTATTGAAATGTTTTTAAATTCAAAATATCATCCTATTTATTGTCACTGTTTGGATGGAACTCAAGTTTCAAGTGTATTGGTGATGTGTTTTAGAAAATTACAAAATTGGAGTAAAGGAGCAATGAAGAATGAATTATCGAGATATACATCAGAATTGAGTACAGAAGATTTTGATTTTGTAAAACAATGGAAAGGTCCTATTAAAATTGATAAAAGATATTTACCAGAGTGGGTAAAGACATCGAGTGCAATAGTTCAACTCTTGGTAACAGATGAGAAAAAGAAAAAAAAGCATGGAAAATCAGCTGCTTCACAAGAGGATGATGAACATGTTCTTAAACACGCCTCTGGTATTAAAATTGTTGTGGAGGGTTATGAAGAGATTACCAAACATGATTCTATCAATGTTGCAAATTCTCCATCTCATACCAGTATCAGTATTAATTCTAAAGGAATTCTCACACCAAAGAAATCTGTCACACCAACTGTAGATATTGTAAAAGCTATTAATTCTAAAACAAGCAAGCCAAAGGAAGCCAAAAGTGCTGATAGTGTTACTTCACCTTTGGGAGATGAAGCTGATTTCCTGATGAGAGAAAACATTCAAGAGGATAATATTCCGCCATTTGTAGAAACACAACACATATTAACCAAGAAGGAAAAGCCTTCACTATGCATAAGAGGTCTTGATCTGGGATACACATCTGAAAGACAACGACAACAATTGATTGTTTGGAAAAACAAGAAACTTACCTTTAGAGATTTGGATCTACCAGAGGATGTAGAGGAATATTTGGACGATATGGATGACCCTTTCATTTATGACGAATTTCTTTCATTCTTAACAGATCAAAAAGATTAAAATTATTTATTCAAATACTTCAATTCCTTCGTATTTCTCACCTTTTCCAAGCTCTTCAGGCAATTCCAAAACTCCAGTTGGAGAATCAAGCAAAACTACACCATTATCATCAAAAATTGTAAGATAGGTCTCAACTATTTCTTCTGGATGAGAAACCTCAATAACTCTTGTGGCCAAGTAGTGGTTATTACCAGCTGTCTTGGTCAATCTGACAATGTCAGTAAAACCAAATCTCTTATCCAAAAAGTTATCATAAAATTCTTCTGGATTTTCGCTCTTTCTGCCAACTCTAACAACCTTCTTAACTTGTTGTAAATCAATGTCAGTTCTGATCATGATATTTGCACCCAAATACTCATCGGATTTTTCATTATATTTTACATCTTCAGAATGTCTTCTTGGAAGGAAAATCCATTCTTTCAAAAATTTGTCATAAAATACAGATTCGTGAATAAGATAACCTGGTTCAGTAGCATTAACAGATTGCCTTAATCTCATATAGACTTCTCCCCAATCAACTGAAATCTCCTTGTATGATTTTCTATCAATAACCTTAACCCATTCACAATGTCTATTGAGTGCTTCTCCATTAGCAACCCATTCCTTTCCAATAGATCCAATATAAAGTCTATCATCAGGACCAACAGTGGACCATTCTGCCTTTAATGGAATCTTGGTATTTCCATCTCCAGAATATAAAACATGTCTTGGATAAGCTCTTTCTTGTTCCATATCAATTTCATAAACAATTCCAGTATAATCACAAGTAGCATAAAACTTTCCTCTCCACAAAGATAAAGTACTCAATTCCATACTTCTATTTCTTCTTGCTAATAAGGATTGAATTTCAAATTTAGAATTATCCTTTCCAAACTCTATGGAATATTTTCCATTTGCTTTTCTTTTCACTATTCCTTTCTATAATTTATATTCCAATAATGGATTAATCATCATCAATATTGTCATCATTAAAACTTACAATCACAAAACTCCTCCACTTGAAATCATTCTTATATTTTGAATCCTTGTCCAAATCAGCAATCATTGCAAATCTATATTCATTTGGTTCACTTGTATAAATCTTTGGTTTGTAATTATCAATATTTGACCATGATGATCCTCCACTCTGTTCCTGAATAGTCCTCAAGGATAACAAGTGATGATAGAAAATGGCTGATAAGACAGCCCCCATAGCCATCATGAATATTCCTATTGATGAAGTACAATCAGAGGTCATATTATTTCCTAATTCAATTCCGATACAAAAGTGTGTTGGTTTTTAAAATCAAAAGGTGCAACCGTGAGTGCTTCTTTGTCTATTTTTTTCTTGATTTTTATGTTTGTCAATTAAGAAGAGTGGATACTTTGAGTAACAAGGAAAATGTCCGTTTTGATAGGAAGGTGGCGGTCCCTACCTATTTTCAAATGTCCTCTTATCGGAAATTGAGTAAAACAAACAAATTGTAATGCAGAGATTGATTTCCTTAGTGTGTATGGTACGATAAACGACTTGAACATTGGATCTTTTTGAGAAGAAATAAAAAATCAAATATTAAATAAATAAAAATGGATGAATCATTGCAACGATTGCCTCAGCAAATGTAAGTGATGATTGCATAATAGAAAAGGTGGAGGTGATTTTTAATATTATAAAAATCGTTATGATTTATTGGAAAATTATTGTGTGGATTTAGATCATCACAAGAGGAAGAAGTTTTAGGATATTGTTGTGTAGATAATAATGGATTTTGTATTAAAGCCTTCGGAACGTTGGAAAATAATTGTGAAAAGACATCGGGTTTTGTCAGAGGAGTTTTGAAAAGAGCTGAAAGATTAGGAAATTCACCAATAGTAACAATTGAATGTGAATCAACAAAATATCTTCTTCAATCATCTCAAGATAAATCAACAAATGTCTGTATTGTTAAAAAGATTTCTGTACCAACAAATGTGGAACAAACTACTGAAGAAGAACAAGAACCAGAGGAAGAATAAATTGTAAATAATTAATTTATAGAGTATCAGCTGCCACTAAATCAACTATTACAGATTCCAATAATTTAGTTTCTAATTCCTTTTGTTTAGGTATTCCAATTTCTTCATCAATATTATACATATACACACTTCCAGATAGTGATCCTGTCACTAATCTCTTGCCATCTCTTGACCATTCTAACTTATTCAATGCTGATGAACAAACAGATGTTTTGTAAATAGGCATTTCTTGATCAATATTAATATTCCAAAGACTCAAAATACCAGCTCCATCAACTGCTGCAAATAAGGATGGATTTTGAGGTGACCATTTCACATCGTACACATAATCTTCAAATTCATCAAATGAAATTAGGGATGTTTGCTTTCTTTGACACCACAATTTACAAGTCCAATCCATACTCGATGAAATTAGCAAATCTGAGAATTCCATCGTTGGATGTGAATCAAGTGAGGTAATAGGAGCCAAGTGACCTTGATATTTGTCAGTATTGAGTCCTTTCTTACTTCCAAACCTATCTGCAGAGTAGATTATTCCATTCTCGCTACCAACATAGAATCTATTAATTTCTCCCTTTGGGAATTTCATTACTTGGGACAAAATTGAGGTTGGTGCATATACTGAATTACGTTCTAATCCTTGAATCAATTCTACTGGATTGGTTGGTGTTGAATTTTCTTGCTGCTCGTATTTAGTTATGGTTAGATCAACAACTTCTGGTGGTGTGTCCAACTTGTTCATCGACCAAGTGCAAATTCTTCCATCAGTACTCATTGTCACAAGATTGTGACCTGCTTCAGAACTTCCAACAATTTCCATACCAAAGATTGGCTCAGTATGGCTTCTTGAGCTAATGGCAGTTCTAATAACAGGAGCTGAGGTTTTTTCTCTAATATCCCAAACAACTATCTGACCAGTGTATGTTCCTCCTATCACCAAGCTTGGATTATATGAGTAAAATTGAGCTGTACTAATTGGAGTTTCACAATGAAGATGAAGCTCAGGTTTTCTTGCATAATGTTGATTCCAAACAAGTACCAAACCTTCATTTTCGTGCAAAACATCACTACTGCAATATGTTGCTAGGAACAACTCCTCAAATTTAGGGGACCACGATAAGCTAGTGACAGCTTTCTGTTGGCAAATATTTTGATCGAAAAATGTTGTTTCCAAATTAACTTTTTCAGATTTTGAAACTTGGAAGCTGTTGGTGAAATCATCTGCATAATCCAACAAAGGATCAAAGGGCTGTCTGACACACTTTTCAACAAATCTTGAAGCCTTGAAAAAGAATTCTTGGAATTCCTTAGTCGATGAAATTTCTTTGTACTTCTTTTCAATATCCTCTTGTTCCAATTTCTCTTCCTTGACTGTCTCAATACTAGTAAGGTATTCTGCTGGTATTGTAAAATCAGAATCGTCAGTGACAATCAAGTCGTCCACATTAATTCCTTGTTTTGTATTTGGTCCTACCTCAATTATTTTTGCAACTGTTTGTTCCTCGAATTCCCTATCGGTTTGTGACGATTTTTCATAAATCATTTTCGACTATTCCAATTCAAATTTTCTGTTATATTCGACAACTTACAATCGGAGGTAGATCAATTACATTAACTCTCGAAATTAATTTTAATTCCCTCACTCGTTTTACCTCTCCTCCAACTTCTGAAATTATCGTTCCATTATTCGTAATATCAAATAATTCGCCTCTTTGTATTGCTGCTGCTTTTTTAGTATCCACTAAGGGCACAACAGATTGTTTTGATATTTTAGAATCATCCACAGCAGTAGATATTTTCTCTTGTTTATCTTCCAATTCTGTTGGAGTTTGTTGAGGTTGTGCTGATCTCGGAGGCACTAATCCCTCAATGAAAGACACTTTTTGTCCTGAGGCAGATTTCTTATTCTTGTATGCCTCCAGAGCTTCCTTCTTCCTCCTTATTTCCTCTTTTCTTCGTTCAATCTCCAATTTAATATCATCACCTCCACCTTTTGAAGACATTTTTTAATTATTTGAAAATTAGATTGTATCGTTTTATTCCGCCCAATTTTTATACAAAATCCACTTATATTAAATATTTGAAACAATAATCAGTGTTTTGTTTAATGAGTAATATTCTTATTTGCTATTAAATAAAATAGAAAAATAATACTTTTAAAGAACAAAAAGAAGAATCTATTATTAGAGCAATTCCAAAAAAAAATGTCATCAAACTGGACAACTATTGAATCTGATCCTGGCGTATTCACTGAATTGATCGAAAAGTTTGGAGTTAAAGGAGTGCAAGTTGAAGAACTTTGGGCTTTAGATCATGAAACTCTTTCGGAATTAAAGTAAGTTGATGATGAGAAACAAGCCTAATTTTAGTATGGTGTGATCACAATATTTAATATTTATTTTGTTTGATTTTTCATCTAAAGACCAATTTATGGTTTAATCTTTCTTTTCAAGTGGATGTCGGAAAAAGATGAAAGACCAATTCTTGAACAAGCACCAGAAGGAATGTTTTATGCCCAACAAATTGTTACAAATGCTTGTGCAACACAAGCCATTTTGTCCATTCTCATGAATATTGATACAAATGAAGCCAAAGTTGAACTTGGAGATGAGCTTACACAATTTAAATCCTTTTCATTGGGTCTTCCATCCGATGTTATTGGAGAAAGTATTGGAAGTAGTGAATTGATAAAACAAGCACACAATGCTTTTGCTAGACCAGAACCATTCATTATTGAGGAGAGTAAGAAACCAAAGAAAGACGATGATGTATTCCACTTTATTGCATATTTGCCATTTAAAGGAAATTTATATGAATTAGATGGTTTGAAGGGTGGTCCAATTCTTTTGGGTGAATGTTCAAACGAAAATTGGGTTGAAAAGATTATTCCTGAAATTCAAAATAGAATTCAAAAGTATTCCGAACATGAAATTAAATTCAATTTGATGGCTGTTATTGGAAATAAGAAACAACAACTCGAACAAGAATTGGTACGTCTCCAAACAGAAGAACCAAACTCATTCGAAAAGATTAGTCTTGTTCAAGCAAACCTCCAAATGGAAGAAGAAAAACACAACCAATGGAAGCAAGAAAATGCCAGAAGAAGACACAATTATGTTCCTTTCCTTGTAAATTTATTGAAGATTTTGGCCGAAGAAAAAGAATTGTTACCTTTAATTGAAAAAGCTAAAGAACAAGCTGAAAAGAAAAAGTAAATTATTAAAAACAATATACTCTTGTAGATAGATTTATAATCCAAGAACTTTCTTCTTCTTTTCGGCAAATTCTTCTTGAGTAAGAATACCCGAGTCCAGTAATTCTTTCAACTTTTTGAGTTGTTCCATTTGAGTGTCAAAATCAGTTGAAGCCTTCTTTTCAATCTTTGGTTGTTCTTGTTCTACTAAAGGCTTGGTATTTTCAACAGCTTTTTGTTCTTCTTTTGGTTCTTCTTGAGATTTGAAGTTTTCTTCTCTCTCAGTATTTTCCTCAGTGGTTCTCTTGTAATCTTCCTCATCTTCATCAGCGACTGAAATAACTCTTGGGAATCTTCTCACATAGACAGAGTCACCACTCTCTTCATATTCTTGCTTGGTAATGTAACAACTCTCAAAAGAGCTCATTGAAGCCATCATTGAAAGACCCTTATAAGCCAAATATTTATCTTGAGCTTGAATAATATTCCAATTGATAGTGTCATCCTTAGCAAGCAAATCCAATTCCATGAATAATCTCTGTCTTAAACCGTTCAATGTCGAAACTCCACCCATCAATAGAATATTCTCTAACACTGATTTGTTGGTAGTTTGGTGTTTGAGAATCATTTGTGGAAGAGGAATGAATGATTCCTCAAGTGGTTTGTATGGATTAATAAAGTTTCTTGTTGGTTCGAATAAGCTTTTTAAAGTTAAAAATTCAATAATCAATTCAATTGAAACACATACCTTTCATAAGCTTCGTATCTTTCATTTTCCAAATGAATAATCTTTCCATCAGGTAATTGATAATCAATTGGAGGTACATTTTCAGAATCATAATTCAAAGAAATAAATGAATTTGCATCCTTAGCTTTTACAACACGAGCTCTATCACTACGTGTGTCAACATATTGTTCACGATCTGTCATCATCTTTACAAAAAGGTCTGAAAAGTAATTTCCATTCAATCCATGATTAATAATGTGAGATTTTGGACAACCATCTTCATAGGTAATTGAATAATTAGTTCCAAAACCAATATTTACAACTGTTCCATTTGTCAAACCTGAGGCAACTAGACCACATTTAGTTTGTTCCTGGAATGCAAATTTAGAACTTTTCAATTCTTCAAAAACAACTTGAGTCAACTTTGCCAATGCCTTATTTTGTCCATTTAAATATTCATAACCAGTCATTAAGAATGGTAAATTTTCAGTCTTGGATTTAAACTTTTCATCAACATTGCTAACAACTTCTTTAATCAATTTTGAAAAATCATTCAAATTACTGAACCATCCACCACTTTTAACAATTGGATATGGAATGAAAGAAGCAGATTCATGTGATTGTAATCCAAAATATAACTTGTTTTCATCTAATCCTTTAGCAAAACCACGTGTAAGATCATATCTATAAACCCATGAATGGAAATCTTTCACAAGTGGTACCACTTGATCTTGTCCATTCAATAAACCACCATGAAGACTAAAGGTTCCGATATCGAAGAGTAAACTTTGTGTGGAATTTTCTTGACTAGTTGATTCTTCTTGTGGTCTAAAACTCTTTGCTGCCTGTTGAAGCTTTTGGTTTCTGACAAGACTGTTGAGTGCTCCAAGTTTCATTTTTTTTGATTTGTTTTTCTATTCGAATGTCAACACAAACATTGAAAAGTGATGGGGAAGAGTTTATTATTGTAAACTTTCACTGAAAACAATTCTCATTATCAAATTAGTCTTCAATTACAAGTAAAAATGATTTTTCTGTTGTTTGTATTGTGAGGAATGAAATTTTGGCGCCAATTTCGTAATCACAAGTGAGTAATAATTTAAAACAACAAAAAAATGAGTTTATTGCCAGAGGAAGCCACTATCATCGATCCAGCAACACAAAACACCAGCAACAATACAATGATGAGCAAGACCACTTCCGATGATGAACAAATTGAAAAAATCAACAAAGGGATTGCTGAAGCTATTGAATTGGCGGAAACAGAACCAGAGGATGAGGAACAGCCGTACTCTAACAAGTATAAGGCCAGAGATGATTTGGTAAGTGGGATTTGGAGAAATATATTAACTTGGAATAGGAAGCAATGGCAAAAGAATTAGTAGGAAATGAAAAATTAAAATGTTTATTTGGAAAAGTATTGTTGAATATAGCAAAAATTTGTTATGACACAGATGAAGTTTCTTCTGCTGAAAATCATTTAATTAAGGCTATTAATTGTATAGGAGATCATACGAAAGGAAATGTTTGTGAAACTAAAAAGACTGGCACTACAAACGAACCAGTTTCTTCATTGGTTTCTATTCATGAATGTTTGATTTCCGATACCACTACTCCAACCCAACTAAAATATATCCATAATATGACAGAATCATACAACTATTTGGGTGCAATTTGGTCGAAAAGAAATGATTTTGAGAAAGCCAGAGAATATTTAAAAAGGGCTGAGGATATTTACTCATTCTTCAAACAAAATGAACAAGAAGTAGATCAACAAGTTGCAAAGAATATGGAAGGAGCATTCACATTAACAGCCTACTATCTTGCTCAAGTTTCAACTGAACCAAAATTAGCAGCAAGATATTGCTATCTCACTCTTCAAAGACAATTGGATAGTGGGCTTGAATTCAACAAGATAGACTGGGCTGAAAATTGTTTACAATTATCAGCATTCTTTTTAGATGCCTTGGATTATAAGACTGCTCTTCACTTTATAAAAGCAGCTGAGTACGTGCTCTTACAAAATCCATCCGGTTCAACAATTGAACAAGAAGTTGTTGCTAAGGTAGCAATGGCCAAAGGAAAATTATGTCTCGACAAGTTAATTTATAGCAAATCGTGGGTTGAATTAAATGAAAGCAATAGAATTTCAGAGGGTATCCTAGCAGTTGCTGAAGATGGAAAGAAGGAAATTATTCAAAAGAGACACGATTTTGATACATTCTATTTCAATAACATTCCAATTGAACACAATGAAGCTGACTCGTATGTTTGCAGAAACTTTAGTGAGGCTCTCGAAATTTTCAGAGAAGGAAAGAAGTGTTTTGAAAAATCAATGGAATACTATGTAATTGACGGATTTGTTACCGATCATATTAAGTTACAACAAGATCTCAGCTCTCTCTACAAATTGATAATATTTTTCGAAGAAAATCTCGATAGAAAAATGTAAGTTTATCACATGCTCAAATTATTTGCTTAATTTCAAAAAGTGGAATGCATGAAAGACGTCTCGATTTGTTGGAGAAAAATATTGATGAATTGAATGTGGCTCATTATAGATCCATCCTTAAACAAATTGCATTTGAAGTGGGAGAAACTTATGTATCCATTTTTGAGTTATTATTGTTGAAGAACAAGTTGAAGGACAAATATAAGGAAGCAAGTATGAAGAAAATTAACACAATGTAAGTACCATGTTTGAGCTATTTAATTTTAACGAATGAAAGTATTTCCAAAACTATAACAATATTTGGAAAGTTTTCTGAATTATTTGTAGAGTCTTCCAAAGTTAATATTGAAGATGAAAACAAACCAGCATACTTTAGATCCCGTTTAATTGTTGCAAGAATGTACTATAATTATATTTCATCCGATCCAACTAAGACAATTGAGTATATGGCAAAAAGTTTGAAAGAATATGAATTTTGTGTTAAATTCTTCAAGGCTAATAATACTATTCTAGACGATTCGAAAACAGAGTACGAGTTGGCACAACAAATGGTCTCGCTTCTCCCAGTGAAAATTAATGAGATTAATGCTCTTTTACAAAAATAAATTTATAATACATGTTAAATTCCAGTACCAAATACATGGGCTGGTGATGTTCCAATTGTACTTCCAAGAGAATATTGGCCAGGTCCTGGAACACCTTCCATCGACCTGTTAGCTAGACTCGTTCTTCCTGAAAGTGAATAACCTTTTGGAGATCTCATTGACCCCTCAAAGTCTGATTTGTTTTGATAAGCTCCAGGTCCAGGTACTACACTGGTTGGGGATAAATCTCTGTGTCTAGACGACAGAGAAAATCCTTTCTTTGGACTATTATTGAAATCTGTTGGCAAGTTGTAACTTCCAGGTCCAACAGATGTGTTATTTGGTGACATATCTCTGTGTCTTCCAGAGAATGAAAATCTAGGTGATCCATAATGAGATTCGAAATCTGATTTGTTTTGATAAGCACCTGGCCCAGGAGAAAAAGAATTTGGTGAATTATCTCTATGTCTTCCAGAAAGGCTGAATCCCTTCTTTCCTAGTTCAAAATCGGATTTAGATTGATAAGCTCCAGGACCTGGATTATCAAATTTGCCATTCATTTCTTTCGTCCTTCCCTTAAAACTTGCACTTTGTGAACCATTAAATGATGTAGGAACAGTATATGCACCAGGTCCAGGTACTACACTTGTTGGGGATAATTCCTTATGACGATAGGAAAGAGAAAATCCCTTCTTTCCTTCTGTATTGAAATCAGTGCCTAGAGAATATTGACCTGGCCCAGGAACAAATGATTTTGTGTTTGATTTAGTTCTTCCTGAAATTGAAAATCCCTTTGAAGAGATCTCAAAATCTGATTTTGACTTGTATGATCCTGGTCCTACTACTGGATTAATTGCTGATGAAATGGAGTGTCTTCCCGATAATGAATACTTTGGTGATTGATTATTTAGAAAACTATTTTCCTTAAAGTAGCTTCCTGGTCCTGGATTATTGATTTTGGATGCAGATGATGTTCTTCCAGAAATTGAAAATCCCTTTCTTGGTGATTGTTCAAACTCTGAAGGTAAAGTATAAGCACCAGGACCTACTGGATTTGCACCAGAGGCTATTTCCTTATGTCTAGAACTTAAACTGAATCCTTTTCTTGATCGAACGCTTTGATCCATCTCAAAGTCTCCTCGGGTTGTATAAGAACCAGGTCCTGGTCCTGCTCTTCTCTCAACTATTAAATATTTTCAATTTTGTGCTGAAAAGAAAATACTTACTCACATCGCCATATCTTCCATGAAGGGAAACTTTTGTTCCTTCTCCAATCGATGATTTTATATTATAATTTCCTGGTCCGGGTACTTCCATCTCTATTTAATGGGGGAAAAAGAAATGATGAAGTTGATCATTTTAATAATGAAAATAATCGACAACTTACGAGCCTTAGTAGTGAGGGGTCTGCCATCCCTCTCTCTCACCGGAGTTAAACGAACACTACTTGATGAAGTCTTATTCAATGCAGAGGAAGGCCGCATTGCTGTTGTACTTTGAGCTAAATTTTTTTTTAAGGATTTATGTAACGGATAGCCTTTGAGTAAAACTACAGTTCGCTTGCAAGACAGCAACAGTCTTTCTCATGGTTATTTATTAATAATTGCGCGCTTCATCTCTCTATCGATAAGTGTCAACAAATGTAACGATTATTCCATCAATCCAATAAGATGTTGTAATTCTTGAACTTGGTTTTTTGATGAGAGGTTATTACTGTTTGTCCGAATATCAACCATCATCTATTTAATTCCTGGAACACGGATTTCAATTGCTTTTTTAAACAACATTTATTTTGAATCTTATTACTTGTTGTGCTGACCTTGATTAAGGTCAATCTGAAATGAAGAAAAAAGTTGTAAAAGATTAATAACAAGTCAGGTTTGATCAGAGTTTAATATTTAAAAAAAACATTGGGCCTTTCTGTTGCACAAATGATATCAAATTAATTTCCACAATGGCCAATATTAGAAACTTTCCACAAACAATTCCAAGGAAACGAAAAGATTAGCGTAAATGATAACCGTACAAACACCATAAACAATTCATCACACAAAAAAATGCACAGAACAAGAATCACTGAAAGACCATCATGGTTTGTGGTCTGTATGATTCTTTTAACGATGATTGGATCGATCGGTAGGTTGATAACAATTATCTTATTAATATTTAACTTCGGATGATGATCACAGTTGCTCAAACATATAAAATTAAGTTGATGCAGCCAATGGAAGCTGTTACACTCGAAGCCTCAACAAAATACTCCAAATCATTGGTTGTTCAGGTTCTTGGTGAATTGGGTAATCCTGTTCCGAATGTAACTGTGTATTTTTACGCAACCCCAAAATCAAATTATAAGATGAAACCATACTTTTCCCCATCAATTGCAAAATCGGGAATCGATGGAAGAGTATTTACTTCCCTCACAGCTGGTAACACACCAGGTGTTGGCTCAATTTCAGCATCTCTTAATAGCAAACTTAAATATACAAATGATACAACAGCAGTTTCATTTTCATATACTGTTACAGCACCTGTTTACGGTGAAGCTTGGGGACAAATTTCATTTGTGATTGTCTCTTGTTTGCTTTCAATGGTAGGAGCTTTCTTTATTGCTGTTTATGTGATGAGAAAAAATAGAGGTACTAGTGCAATGATTGCTGTAGCTGATCCTATTAAGGAAGGAGCCAGTGGATTCTTAAAAACTCAATATTTGGCAATAGGTGGTATTACTATCCCAGTTGCTTTCTTATTATTTGGTCTTTATTTATTAAGGTCAAAAAGTTCTACAGACCCTGATATTCATATTGCAGCCATTGCTGCTATAGTTACTATTAGTTTCTTGATTGGAGTTTTATTTTCTGGATTATCTGGATTTGTTGGAATGTTTGTATCAGTTAATGCAAACTCGAGAGTAACCAATGCTGCTACAAGAAGCTACAGAGAAGCTTTAAATATTGCAATGAGATCTGGAGCTTTTGTTGGATTTTTAGTAGTTTCTTTATCTGTATTGGGAGTTATTGTACTTTTCTCTATTTTATATCTTGCCATTCCAAAGGAAATGATTACTCCTACTCAAATTGTTGGAATGATTGTCGGATTTTCTTTTGGTTGCAGCTTATCAGCATTATTTGCTCAACTTGGAGGAGGTATCTTTACCAAGGCTGCAGATGTTGGTGCTGATCTTGTCGGAAAGGTTGAACAAAATATTCCAGAAGATGACATTAGAAATCCTGCTGTTATTGCTGATCTTGTTGGAGATAACGTTGGTGATTGTGCAGGAAGAGGTTCTGATTTATTCGAAAGTATTTCTGCTGAAAATATAGGTGTAATGATTTTAGCAGGTACCCTTACTTCCAATGCATTCCCTCAAATTTCAACCCCACTTTCATATATTATTTTCCCACTTGTTGTTCACGTTTGTGGTATGATTGGAACTTGGGTAGGAATGTTCTTTGTTCGTGTTAGAGATGTCACAGAGATGGGAAGTGCTGGAGACGATAGCTATTCTCTCATTCGTAATACTGAGTTGTCAGAAACAACCTTAATGGAAAATGAAGAAAATGAAGAATCATCTATCAGACAAGAGTTCCTTGATGATCCAATGAAGGCCCTCAACCGTGGTTTTTATGTCAGCGTTCTGGTCACAACTTGCCTCTTTGTAGTTTGTTCATATTGGTTATTGAGATCTGATGTTTATCCAAATGCTTGGTGGAAGTTTATGCTTTGTGGATTGATTGGTGTTCTTACCTCTTTTGCATTTGTCTTTATCACCATTTATTATACTGACTTTAATTGGAGACCTGTGAAGGAAATTATTGAATCGTCTAAGAGTGGACCTGCTACTAACATTATTTCAGGTATTGCTGTAGGTTTAGAATCAACTGGTGCCCCTGTTTTTGTTATTTGTGTTGCTATTCTTTCATCTTACTACCTCGGCAAAAGTAGTGGAATTACTGATGAAAATGGATTACCAATTGGTGGATTATTTGGTACAGCTGTCGCTACCATTGGTATGCTTAGTTCTTCTAGTTATATTTTAGCTATGGATACTCTTGGACCAATTGTTGATAATGCAGGTGGTATTGCTGAAATGTCCCAATTACCAGCTAATGTAAGAATGATTACTGACAGATTAGATGCTGTCGGTAACACTACTAAGGCTCTTACAAAGGGTTATGCTATTGGATCTGCTGCCCTTGCTGCTTTCCTTTTATTCTCTGCTTTCCTTGATACTGTTGAAGCATACATTGGAACTAGCTTTAAGGTTGTTAATCTTGCAGTTCCAGAAGTCTTTGTTGGAGGTCTCATTGGTGCTTGCTTAGTCTTTGTTTTCAGCTCTTTGACAATGAGAGCTGTTGGTACAACAGCCCAAACTGTTATTGAAGAAGTTAGAAAACAATTCCAAGAAATGCCAGGTATTCTCGAATTCAGAGAAAAGCCAAACTATGAAAGATGTGTTGCCATTGTTACTCGTGCATCTCTCATACAAATGATCTTCCCAGGTCTTTTGTCTGTTTTAGTTCCAGTCTTGGTTGGGTTTATATTTAAGGGTGTTGGTGCTGCTGTGGGGCAACCAAATCTAGGAGCAGAAGTTAGTGCTGGTTTCTTGATGGTTGCTACTATTACTTGTATCTTAATGGCTCTCTTCTTCAATAATGCTGGTGGAGCTTGGGATAATGCTAAGAAGTTGACTGAAATGGACAAGGTTCTCGGAGGTAAAGGATCTGCCATTCACAAAGCAGCTGTTATTGGTGATACTATTGGAGATCCTTTCAAAGACACAACTGGTCCAAGTATTCACGTTCTTTGTAAATTATTAGCCACCATCACTCTTGTTGTTGGTCCTCTCTATCTCAATTACACTGGTACAAATTTATTCAACACAACAACCACTGCCTAATCTGCTAACAATATAATAACAAAACCTAATGTAACAATTTAAAACCTCTCTGTTATTATTACTGCAATCTCTTTCTTTTGGATCCTCCAACAAACTTTGTGCAAGAAATCGCTTCAAAGACAATTTTCAACATTAAATTTGAAATTAATTTGATTAAAAAAAAACAAATGACATCACAACAAGCTTCATCAACAGAATCGATTACGGACAAGAATTCAGCAGGCATCACTTCTTCGACGACAGAAAACAATGAACAATTATCAAACAATATTCATCAATTTTTAAATTGTAAGTTGATTTGTTAATTGTTTACTAAATGATTTTTTTCAGTCTTTTCCATGTTTTCTACCAATAATACTGTAGTTACTACAGCAGGCCCAGAAGACTCGGATGATGAAGATGAATTACTTAAACAATATGTAGTCAAGAAACAAAAGGAAAAGTTTGAAAAATCTAAAATGTCTAAGAAAGCACAAAAGAGATACAACAAAAAATTGGGAATTGAAGGATCCGATGATGAAGATGATGAACCTATTTTCGAAGATGAAGAAATGGACGGAAAGAAGAGAAAACGAAAAGAAACTGATACATCCTCTATGAAATTCTCTAAAGTTATCGACTCTTTGCAAGATGATACTGATGTTCATACCACAAGTGGTGATAGTTTGAAGAGTTCAAGGAGTATCAAAAAAGCACTCTCGGAAAAACGTAAACATCAAACCAAGTTGAGTCATATGAAGCATGGTGATAAGATTGCTAAGGAAGAAAAGTTACAGTCTGCCATGACTAAAATTGTTAAAGGAAGAGATGACTCTGATGTTAAAGTTTTACAATCTAAATTGAAGAGACAACAAGATATGAAGAAGAAGAAACAAAAACCAAATTCAACAAAGAAGAGAGCAGGTTTTGAAGGAAAGAGCAGCGGAAAAATTAATGATTTGCAAAATCTTCAAAAATTGAAACAAAAAGTACGATAAATAAAGTATTAATTTTAATACTTATTCATATATTAATCTTTAATATGTTGATCATTAAATTTGATAACAATAATAATGATAAATAAATATTAGAAAATTAAAATATTAAGTCATATAAAAAATGATAAGACGTAAACTGAATCATTCTTCGAAAATTAGCATTCAACTCTATCATCATTTCAAAATTGGAAATATACGGAAATGTTGTTATTCTACAATTAATGATAGTAAAATTAATGCTTCGGAATTAACAGAAAAAAAGGAACAAAATAATATTGTAAATACAGAAATTGAATCAGACAATGAAAAATCATTCTTACACGGACTAACAGATACTTTGGGTAGTATTCAAACTACCTTCTCACAGTGGCGTCACAGATTGCAAGTTACAAATGACCAACTTGAAAAGATTGAAAAATCAAGGTCAGGAAGAGGGAAATGGCATAGAGGTCTATTCTTTTTTGCTGTCTGTCTATTTCATATTATTTTCTTTTTAAATTTCAACCTTTTAGCAATCAGTGATTGGACTGAACAACATGTCAAACAAGAAATTGCCAAAACACTTAGTGATGAAGGAAGTTTCACAATGTATATGCTTTCACTTTATTCTCAAAAACCAACCAAAGATATCAGAGAAACACAAGCCCTAAATCGTGAAAAGTTCTATTCGAATAGAGAATTGGCAAGATTGAGTTTTGAAAAAGTTTCACTAGAACAAAAAGTACAAGAAACCAAATCATAATTTACGGAGTAAAAAACCCTAATTTTTATGATACTTGAATTTACAAAGATTTGGCAGTTTCTTGGCACCAAGTCAAAATCTTTTCAGCTCTTTCCTTCTTGATTTTAAGATATTCTTCATGATTCAATTGAAGATATCTATCCATAGCTCTTTGGGAGAGGACAGGCTTCAATTCAAAGAATTCATTCAAAATATCTTTGTAATCTTCACCGTAGAAGGAAATCAATGTATGTTCGTCCAATTCAATAGTATCAACACCATCCATAGCTCTAGCAAATTCAAGATTCTTTTCCTTTGGAATGAGATCTTCAGTCTTGTATTGTTTGTTAAGAGCTTCATTGGCAGCAGCAATGAATTCTGGGGTAATTTTATATGGACGGATAGCAGTCAACAAAGAAATTAATCTATCCTCATAGGCACCATTGTTCCAGAGAGATTGGAGTGGAGAAGCGGCCTTGAAAGCTTCCTTTGAAGTATCGTAGGCACGTGGAGTTTGAGCAACGACAGCGTATGATCTCTTGGAGTTGTTGTTGCAGAGAATCTTGCTTGTTGCCTTCTATTAAAATTTTAGTAATATAACACATTGTTGTTAATTTATAATAACAATTTGCAATAATAATAATTCATCATGATGTTGTTGTTTTTGTTGTACAAAAAGTGTGCGAAATTGAAGAGTGGTAAGCAAGAGCTGTTTAAAAAATAACGTACAGTGGTGGCTAATCTGTTGAGCATTTTTTTAAATTTGTCGTCCTTGCCTAGTTTACAAAAATTTGAAACCAGCCCGCTTTAAAAAAAACTTAGAATTAAATCATTAAAGAATGAAGCCTTCGGAAACTCACGCTGATTCTTGGACACTTGAAGAAATTGTTGAGGAAATATCAACGATAAAGTCTCGTCCTCTTGAAGAGAAAATTAAAGATATTCTTCAATACGCAGACTCTTTGCAACAAGTTGAGGACTTGGAATTTACAGAGTGTGGAAGATTACAAATATTTGAAATTATTAACCAACAATTTCCGTTACAACAACAACAGCAACAACAACACAGTGACAATAATTCAGACAATAGTCAATAGTGTTATTGACGATTTTTCCTCAGACTTTCATAGGCCTTTTCACGATTTTCTGTATTTCCGGTTGGATTCAGAATAGGATCTAATTTACTCTCATGCTCCATAATCCATAATTTAATACGGAAGAAGGTTCTAGAAATTAATCCAACAGGTTCTCTATTCTCATGTAATTCTTCCATTGAACCTTTATATCCAGGAGGTCTTGTTTGATACTTTTGATAATAGGCATTATTGGCTAAAAACTTGTCTCGTTTTCTTTGTGCTGACTTGTATTGATCCCATTCCCATTCGATATATTCTTTATTATAACCTAGAATAAAAGTACATATTGAAATTGGTATAATGTATTTCAATTTAGAATATTGAAAGTATTTGATGAAGGTTTTGTTAGTGTTCGGAGAGGTTATTGATGATTTAATTTGATTGGGCGTTTTGTGATGGAAATAGGATGGATCTTTCATTTTTATTTCAATGTTGTTTGAATTATAAGTTTACAAGGTGTTTCATTAATTAGGAATGTTAATAATAATCAATTAAGATTACCAATCCTCAGTAAAAGTTCCAGAAGCTGAAGGACAGAATGAATCTGTTGACATTTCAGCATTTGCAAATTTGAATTTTTCTTTCAAAACACTGAACACATCAAATGACTGCTTTGCAGCTGGTTTTTCAGCAAGAACACGTTCTGATGCTTTGGAAAGTTTGATTCCGTTTCTTATTCCTTCCAGAAGATCAGCAACAGCATCATTTTTAGCTGTCTGTTCTCTTGGTGATGTTGGTTTCAACATTGCCTTTCCAGATATTGCTGTTGCAGAGTTGACCAAACTTTGAGAAAGAGAAATGTTAATAGAAGGAGGCACTGGTTGAGTTTTTGGAACTGGTGGAACGATTGGCTTAAGATCAACAGGTTTAGCGACTGGTACGATATTCACAGGTGGAGGAGGAATATTAGGAACTGGTGGAATGATGCTGACAGGTTGGTTAACTTGCTCAGAAGAGGGAGCAATTTCTATTACCTTAGATTCTGGTGAGTAATCAGGTGTTAAGGTGTTTTGGTTCGGCTGTATTTCTGGCAGTTTTTGAGTAGTTACAGCTTCTAGGGTGTTGTTTTGACTTCTTGTTTTCTTTAACAACGTCTTCATCTTTTCTTCCATTGGTGATTTTATCTTTGGCTCCTCTGGGGAAAGAACAGAATTGTCAATCTTCTTTTGACTTCCAGCGCTTCTCAAAACAGAGCTTCTTGTTCTTGAAAGAGATTGATTTTGATTCTCAGAAATTGTAATTTGTTGAATATTTTCGAATATTGTTCCTTCTTGCTGTAGCGTTACCTTAGATCCATTGTTCTTATCATATTTCTTCCACACAGGTATCACTTTCTTCACTCTCTTTTCTGGAACTATTACATCACCAACGGAATGTTTCTTCTTCAGAAAGATTATTGATTGAGTTTGGGATGATTGTGTTTGATTATGCAGCTCTCGTTCTTTCTGCTGCTCGTTCCTCAAATGCCTAACAAAGGTATCTTTCCATGTCGAGAATAAACCATCAGGATTCGAATAGTTCTTGTAATAAGACTGTAAATAGGGAGGTTTCAATAAATACTCATCAACTATCCTAAAGTTTGGCATATCCTCACATTTCTGATATTGTTCAAACCAACCATAGGGTATAGTCTCACTATTAAATCTTCCTTGTTCTGGTTCCTTATAATCCACTCGTTGAATAACTTGCTTTCTCTGAATTTCTTCAAATTGAGAGTTGTCATAAAACTCCTTAATTCTATTTACTTTCTCCGTTAGAATGATAACTTTTTCATGTACCTGATAGACTCTTTCGAATGTTTTATCGGCCTCTCTAGTTATACTCTCAATAGCCACCTGAGAGGTCAGTGAGAGCTTTTTTAAATTTTCCAACATTCCTAATAATGATGATGTTTGAGCAACTTGAGTACATGTTCTTAAATCCAATACGGTTGATTTGGTTCTATCCTCATTATTTCCACTATTCGTTTTTTCATCATTAGTATTATTTAAAGTCTTTTCAAAGATTTGATGTTTCTTCTCTGAAACCGCTTGACTATTCTCAAGCCGATAGACAACAAGAGACATTTTTTGAAGGCTTTGAAATTTGTAATTTTACCTCAACAAACATTCCAGGGTAAATCGATTCGGAAGGTTTTCATTTGATGTCTAGAGATTTGGCGCCAAATTTTTAATCAAAAATCTTAAGGGCTTTCCTTATCAATTTTATTTGAATGATAAATAGTTTGCCTTCATTCTGTTCTATGGAGTAATCTTATCAAAAATTGATGATTTTGATTGGAATTCTAGAGATTACTCGATCCTCTAAGAATGAGTTTCTAATGATTTGATGAACATTAATTGATTGGAAAACAAAGTCAAAAAAAATGCTCACCAACACTAAACGATTGTCTTCGACAATCCGATTGCAATCTTGTTGGAAAGTTTGTGCTTCTTCCCATGATCATCACTCCTTCGGAGCAGTTTCTTTTAATTTTACAAATTCTGTGATGATGAATGAAAGGAACAATTATCAAACAACTTGTAGAAGTTTTAGTTCTCATTTCGGAAAGAATTTAAAATCAGGATGGGATTGGAAAAAGAGAGTGGCAGTGCAAAAGATGACTGATCACAAAATAGAGGAGAAGGAAAGATCAAAGAGGATACAATTGGAAATTGCAACTTTTAGAAATAAGAAAGAATTGGGATTACACTCAATAACTGATAAATTGAGTATTAAAATGTCATTTCCAAGTAAAAAGGTTTATGATAGATTGGCTGAATCTCTGAAATCTACTTTCCACATAGAGCATGAAGTTCTTCCAAAAGATGAAGAACAAGAAAAGGACGAATATTTACAAGATGAACCAATAGAGAAAAAGGACAATTCTAAGGCACCACCAGTTTTATACTTTTCATATTATGATTATGATGAAATTTTAAGATTTTTCACTGAGGAACATGAGGATGTTTCTTTTGAACCTATACCACCATTCGTTTTTCAAGTTTTGGATCACTACGAAAACCAAATCAAATCTTTTAAAAACAAATCGAAGAAATCACCTAAAGATTACGACCTTTCACTGAGACTTCCATCTAATTTATATAATAACATTTTACCTTTTCAAAAAGAGGGCATTGAGTATGCCATTTCAAGAGATGGAAGAGTTATGCTGTGGTAAGTTTAACTGTTTCTTACAACAGATGTAATAATTATTGAAATTAGTGACGAAATGGGTCTGGGAAAGACACTACAGGCCTTGGGAATTGCCTCTTTTTATCCGAAAGAATGGCCTATGTTAATTATTGGACCTTGTAGTCTTCACAATAACTGGAGAAGGGAGCTTAATACATGGATAGATGCTGAATGGCTGAAAAAGCACATGGGAAAGGAGTTTAATTTTACTGGAGATTCTTTAGATCCTTATATTTGTATTGTTGATAGTTCACAAGGACTTGCCAAAGTGATTGAAGAAACTAGGGAAAACCCAAAGAAATATCTTGTATATATTATCTCGTATGATTTGGCTTCAAAGAATGCTGAAGATGAAAATTCTGATGCTGTGAAATGGTTACTAGATTTTTCAATTATTATCACAGATGAATCTCACATGCTCAAGAATGATGGATCTAAGAGAACCCAGAATATTATTCCACTATTGAGAAGCGCAAAGAGATTAGTTCTCATATCAGGAACAGCAAGTCCTTCCAGACCAATTGAGTTGTTCACACAAATGAAGGCTCTTTTATGTGGTCCAAAATCTAAAAAGACATTACTCAAAAAGACTGAATTTGGATATAGATATTGTGATCTCAAAACTAATTTCTTTACGGGTGCAGACTATAGAGGCAATAGATTCCTTTCAGAACTTAACTTGTTGCTTAGTCGTTCGATAATGATTAGAAGACTGAAAAGAGATGTCTTAACTCAATTACCTCCAAAGAGACGTTATTTGACATATTTGAGTCTTCCAGATGAGGATATAGGTCCTCACAGATTAACATTTGAGAATTTCAATCAAAGAAAGGGTAAAAATTTGAGGTTTGATCCAAATGATATTGAAATTCTTCAAAAATTCAATTTGACTGCTATTGCTAAGCAAAAAACTGTAGCAAGATATGCCAGATATACTTTCAAGAAAGGAGAAAAGTTTATCATTTTTGCTCATCACAGATCTGTAATGAATGCCATCGAAGAAGAAATTAAAAAAGAGATTGAGGAGGTTGAAAAGAATGAGGGAAAAAAACTAAAGTTTGTAAGAATTGATGGAGAAACTCCAGTTGAACAAAGACATGCAATCTCTCAAGAATTTAGAGAGGATCCAGATGTTAAAGTTGCTATTTTGAGTATTGCAGTAGCAGGTATGTAATTTATTGTTAGGCTTGTATTGATGAACCTATTTATCTTCGGAATACAATAATTAAGGTGTTGGACTCAATTTTGTGCCATGTTCAACCGTGGTGTTTGGTGAATTGACTTGGAACAGTGGGTTTTTAGCTCAAGCAGAAGATAGAGCTCACCGTATTGGACAGAAATCAACAGTGAATGTTCACTACTTGGTAGCAAGAAATACCTTAGATGAGTATTTGTGGGATCTATTAGGAACCAAGATTGATGTAGTTTCTGAAACACTTGATGGAGAAAAGGAAAAGGAAGAAGAACACCATATCACAAAAGGATCAAAGGAAATAATAGGCCACGAAGATCATTAATTTATTAAAAGTCAGTTCTAAATTCAAATATCGAGGTAGTTTCTGAAAAATAGCTGTTGTTATCATAAATTGTTTCCAAATGTTCAGATATTGATTTGACAACTTCTTCAAACATTGTAGCACTTCTCCAGAACAAATGACCATGATCTGCCACAGTATGAAGATTGACATTTGTGTATCTGTAATTATTGTTTGAGGACTCTTCAGTTTTTGTTTTTGTCTCAACAGTTACAGAGGTTGTCATCGTCTCAATTGTTTCTGTAGAACCTATTCTGTGAAGACCTTGGGAAGTATTTGAGTTTGATGACTTTTTTGATTGTTTTTGAGAGTTGATCTTGTTTTCTGTTACTCTAAACTCATTGTACCTATCACTAATTAAACTTGGAATGGCAGATTTAAGCAAAGGTAGTGGTAGTATCAGAGAATGTTCTCCATGCCACATATGAACAGGTATTGATACATCTTTAAGTGAAAAGTTCCAATCTTCTCTCTCCATTTTAAGCTCTCTGATTACTTCTGTAACTCCAAAAGCATTCATTCCTTCTCTCATGCTCAATACGCAATTACTGCAAAAGTTTTGCAAATCTTCAATATTTTCTTTTGAAAAGTAAGAACTTTGTCTCACATATCCTGAAAATCTTTCAGGCTCACTAAATACAGTACTTTTGAGTGCAGTATTCAATAATCCTTTAAATATAAATTTCGGTAAATAATTTACAAGTAATGAAGTATCTTTTAGAAACCTAGAGGTTTGAGACGGAGGTATATACAAGTATGGTAGTTCTCCACTTAATATACTGCAAGAAACTACCTTATTATCAATATTTAAATAGGCACAAGCCCATGCATAACAGCTTCCAGAAGACACTCCAATAACTGAATACTGTTCAATGTCTAATATATTTGACATTTGTGCAATGTCTCTCGCAAATGATAAAAAACTTCTTGATTTTTGTTGACTTGATTGACCATATCCTGGTCTATCAACATGAATAAATCTAATTCCATATCTTTTACCAATACTATCATGTTCATTGGTTGGAGTTTCCAATCTAGATTGACCAATAGAATGGAAAAAGAAGACAACTCTTGTTTTAGTTGAAGTGTTTCCATATTCTTCATATGATAACCATCTTCCTGAATTGAGCATTACACCCTTAACACCATTAATTGTTTTCTCATTAAATGAATAACTAGATGAAATAGGAAATGCATATTCCGAGTTAGTTTGTACAGATTTTGAATCATCCACAATTACATTTTTACTATACATTGAGTTTTCCTCATCAGATTGGTCCATAATATCTTGACTAGAAGCCTTTGTATTCTTCTTCCAAAGTTTTCGTAAGGATATTCTATACTTATTATTCGGATTTGAAATATCCTTTGATTTATCTCTTAAATACTTATATTTTACATATTTAATTAATTTATATATACAATATAATAATACAGCAGTAATCGGAATTCCATATTTAAGTATTTGTCCAAGAGTTAAACTAATATTAAATTGTAAATGAAATCTAATTTGATTACTTGATTGAGAAATCTTTTTAATCCAGCCTTTTACTCTTTCTGAAACCGAAGCAATTTCGCTTTTTGCAATTACACTTCCTGCATTAGATAGGAAAAGTAAAATACTTGTAGCATTATCACTATTATTTGGTGTTATTGAAGATGATGATGTTGGAAATGTATTGTTAGTATTATCGGTAAATAATTGATCCAAAGAATGATCCGATGAAGATTGAAGAGCAGCCATCATAACTGATGATAAATCACCACCATTCAATTGTCTATTACTTGAAGAAGATGATGACAGAGAGTTATTTGAGAGAAGAGATGGTGTTGCCACTGCTGCTGGTAGCAGTTGAGATTCTCCACCACTCATTTTTTTCCTAAATACCGAAATGATTGAGTTTGTGAAGGAATGAATAATTGAGAACAGTAACACCATCATATGTGATTAAAAATTGAATAATTGGAAAGAAATAAGGTATTCCTTGAGTATCCATGTACATTCAAGTTGTTAATTGTAATGTTGAGAAAACCGATGTAAGCCGTCATAGCTCAGTTGGATAGAGCACAGGACTTCTAATCCTGGGGTCGTGGGTTCGAGCCCCATTGTCGGTATCTAATTTTTTAGCTTTTTTAACAGAATTTTTGTCCTCTTGCTGCATGTTCAAGCAATTGGTAAACTCATCAAAATAAAACAATACCACAAGAACCTACATTCCTATCTTTATAACAACAGCACTATTTATACTCTGTGCTTTTCTCAATTCTTCATAGTATCTTTCTCGCCAATTGGCTTTGATCGAGTGTAGTATCAGTTCTTTTCAGTGTAATAGCTGAAAGCATCCTACGGGGTGCAATACTATTATCTCAATTTTTTGTTGGGTTCAGAGTAGTGCTTAATTGCACACTTTGGCTGGCTTCAATAAGACATTGCACTGTCCGTCAGATTTGGAGCTATCCCACTCTGTTATTAATTGAATTTGATATTCATCTCAAAGATTTATTAGCTCAATAAATTAATCTATCATTGAGTTTTCAAGTTGATAACAAGCTTCACAAATTTTTGATTCTATGAGCTGAAGGATGGTTTCTTGCATTCTTTCGTGGTGCTCGATATCCTCTCTTGTAATTTGGTTGTAGTTTTGGATATCTTCAAGATTTTTTTGAAGTTGAGTGCTCTCAGTTATAAATTGTTGAATGGCCAACTCTGCCTGTTCAGTAGAAATAACATCATTTACCAATGAACAATTTCCCTTCGCCTTCTCGATATCATTACGCATCTGTGCAATTTTGTCATCTAAAGACTTGATGAAAGAGTCCATCTCATTCGATTGCTCCTTCTTCATCTTGATTTGAGCCTCCAAACTTTTAATTCTCTTCAATTTTTCCTCATACACACTCTCATCAGCCCTTAGTCCTGAAACAATTATCACTATTGAACATTGACTACTTACTTCCTTCATATTCTTCAACTTGAGATTTCAACATTTGCATTTCTCTAACATTTTGTCGATTGTTCCACATTTCACAAGCCTTCTCAAAGTTCTTCTCTGCATCCTCAAGTTCCTTTTTCAAATCACAACTTTTCATCACAACTAGGTTATACAATTAATATTCTCAACTTACATTACTTGATTACTTTCCACCTCAAATCTTGCCAAATGAGTTTGAAAAACCTCCTCCTCTTGCTTGCAGTATTTGGCAGATTGCTTGAGTTGTTCACCAGTCTTGATTTCATGCATCAAATCAGCTTCCAAATGAGTAATCTTTTCCTTCAATAATGTTTCATTAGCGAGCAGCTTTTGATGCTTCAAGTTGACTGAAAAAGTTAGCCTTTGAGAAATCTGTTGACAATCATCGATACTTACATTCCTCCAATTCCTTAAGAGTCTTAGCGTGTCTTGTCCTCTCTTCCACCAGCTTGCATTCCTGAAGCCTTCTCGAATTTTCCAATTCATTAATTTGATCCAATAAAGGCTTGTAATGAGCAGTAACGTGATTCATATCGTCTGATTCTCTGTGTGGTAGTGTGTTGAGTTTTTTTTGTGGTATTTTTAAATAAAATGCTCTCAATAGCTTCTGGTGAGTTTTCTCAAAGCCTTGTTGAAAATGTGACTAAGGTGTGATCATGATGCTTGTGTTGTATTGATGTAATAAATAGCCTTGCCAGTATCAAACGCAACAAAGTTTAAGCTCGCAAAGAAGTTTATACAGAACAAACTTGGGGCCATACCAAAGTTTGGTAAATTCTTATTTATTGCTGGGGCCATTGTTGCAATATGTAGGTTGAATAGATCTCTCCCTTTTGATCACTTATTACCACTCAAGTGAATGTTCTATGTGGAATCATTGCTGTATTGAAATTACTGTCGGAAGAAAGATGGTATATGGGAATTTATTGTATTATAATTGGAGCTTGTCTATTTGCTTTTGAGTTTCCTTGTCCTTGTTATAGAGAAATTCCAGGAGTGAGTAAGATTTGGTGTAATTATCTATTCAGAGGAGGAATTTACTTTATTCTTGCAATACCTTGTTATGCAGTTGGAATTGGAATAATTTCAGGGTTTGCATTTTCCTTACTTTCCATTGTTTATATGTTTTGCTGGTTGAAAGGGGAATCTGCAGAAGATCCAAAAGATGTGATTGAATATTCAAATATGCATGAACAATTAGTTGAATCATTTAAAGGTGAAGAAGAGGGAGATGAGGATACTGATAGTGAAGATTTGGATTAATTTAATCAAATTCTTTAAGCAATTCCGTTACAAGTGCTGGACTGAGTACAGTAGTATGAGGATATCTTTCATCATCAACAGTTAACTTCATCCGAATAGAATCTGTATTATTTCTCAAAAAGTCAATTTGCTCTTGTGAGAAAGGAACTGTAAAAAAGTGAACAGCAGATGTCATTCCAGAATTTGTAGTTCTTCCCTCTTCAGTTGGAACACAAGAATTTGTATAAATTATTTCACCAGTTGCCTTTTTACAAACTTGAATTTTGAAATTATTTTCAATATCACCAAACTTTTTAAGGGTGGCTCTTCTAATAACTTCATTTTCAATTTCAAACATAAATGTAATAGTAATATCCTTTCCTTTTGGAATGAGTGGATCATAAGCTTTACCTTCGTCCACAAATTGACTATTTAATCCCTTTTCAACTAGAACCATTTCATGACATTGAATCCTATTTAAATATATCAATTTAAAAATTATTAGAATATTAATTTGCTAATTTACATACCAATTAATGTCATAATTCTCAAAGGTGGCCGATCCGATTGGTCCGAGGTCAACCCTTCTCAATTTCTTGATGTTTTTTCTCCACAACAAGGCATTTTGTCTAATATTTTGTTTATAATATGAGTCACCAACATTTTGTTCATTCACTGCTATCATATCTTGAGGAAGAAGTGTTCTATTAGATGATGTAACTTGTGATGGCAACACATCAATAAAATCAATCTTGTTTAATCCTTCGGTTTTTCCTTCAAAAGGATCAAAGCTACTTGTAGAGTAATTATACAATTTATGTTGGGTAAAGTTTGGCAAAACAGAGCAGTTTTTGCTTACTCGGATAGATTTGTTAGGAAGGGATTTGAATGTGGCTTGAATGGAAGTTAACATTTTTTATTGTTGATTTTAAAATCAATTAATCGGAAACCAACTTCGAATATGAGGAATTTTGATTGAATAGGCATAAATCGGCTTTATTGCGGAAGAAATGGTATATGAATCATATGAATCATCATTTTGTCCTAAATACAATGTTCAATAAGCCGACATAGCTCAGTTGGGAGAGCGTAAGACTGAAGATCTTAAGGTCCCTGGTTCGATCCCTGGTGTCGGCATAATTTTAACTTTTTCTAAAACAAATTTATCACACCCAGTTTTTAATGTCATACTATTATTTTTCTTTCTGTCCGTTCATTAGAAAAGGCTTGATTTAACGTATTGGGAACACTATTCAAGAAACTAATCTCGTTCATTAATGGTTCAAGGGTTTGTAATTGAGTTTCAGTAACTATTCATTACATGCACAAGCAATTAAGCAAAGCTCAACCCATCTCTGGGAATTTTTTATGTGAACCCCATACAGTTTGTCATTGAATTGAATAAACAACATGCCAACAACACCAGAATCCAACGAGATAGATTCCCTGGAGACTTGGCCAATTTTTTGAATTCAAATTAATCAAAAATTAAACTGAACTTAACAATAAGCAGCATCCAATTATCCAAATACTTCTAAGTACTCAACTCATAATCCAATAAATCATAATCCATCGCTCAGAACCTTTTTTATATATTTTAAAAAACAGCCGTTCTCTGTACTAATGGGATTATGTTAGAGGACAAATGGAAATCAAAGAATCATAAAAAAAGTTTTATTCAACATTTCAATTAAAAAATAACAATACAACACTAATGAAACTGTTCCACAGACTAAGAACTGTCAAACCAAAGACTTTTGACATTGTGTTATCCCTAGGTCTAACCTGTGCTGTTGGCACAGGTGTTTATCAATACTACAAATACCAATGTGATAGTTTACTTGAAGCACAAGAAACACCAAAGAAACATAGTTTGTTTCCTGAAAATATGATGAAGAAATTCAAGAAAGCTCCTGAATTAAATTTGGAGTTGCCAGTTGTTGAAGCAATTTTAACAAAAGCTCCTGGAATTCCTCCACCAATTGACCGTGATTATCCAGTTCAATTAGTTGTTAATCTAGATACCACAATTGAAGTGAAGCCAATCAGCAAACAGTACAAGTATCCATATTGGACATTTAATGGAACAGTTCCTGGACCATTTATCAGAGCAAGAGTTGGAGATGTCATGCAAGTCAATTACCTAAACTTGGACGAAACCGGTATGGCTCACAATATTGATTTTCACTGTGTGACAGGACCAGGAGGAGGTGCAGAAATGTTATTGGCAGAAAAAGATGAAGAAAAAACAGGATTTTTCAAATTATTAACTTCAGGTTTATTTATCTATCACTGTGCTGCAGGTCCAGTACCTTCACACATAAGTAATGGCATGTATGGATTAATGTTAGTTGAACCAGAAGAGGGATTGCCAAAAGTAGATAAGGAATTCTATGTCATGCAAAGTGAATTCTATTGTGAACCATCAGATGATGATCCAAAATTAATGGAACATTCGTATGCCAATGGATTAGATGAGAAACCAACCTATGTCGTCTTTAATGGAAGAGAAGGTTCTCTCATTGATACTCCTCTCCTTGCCAACACTGGAGAACGTATTCGATTCTACTTTGGAAATGCAGGTCCAAATCTTTCCTCCTCATTTCATGTCATTGGTGCAATTTTTGATAAGGTTTTCAGAGAGGGAGATTTAGTGAGTCCTCCAGAGAGAAATGTACAAGTGACACAAGTTCCACCAGGTGGTGCAACAATGATTGAGTTTGAGGCAATTGTGCCAGGAACTTATTCATTTGTGGATCATGCTATCTTTCGAATAGAGAAGGGAGCTGTTGGGTTTTTAAAGATTGCAGGTGCACCTCGACCTGATATTTATCATGGAATGGATAGACCAAAGAGGTGTCCTGGATGTAAATTACATCAATAAAGTTTCGTTTAGTTTCGATTGTTAAAAATTGGATATGTACAGTTTTGAAGTATCAGAAACCGAACTACTTTTTTGTCTTTAAAAGAAACTTGAACAAATAAGAAGAGTCAACAAAATATCTATTCATTTCGAATAGTTTACAAGTTAACATTACAATAAGGTTGGATAATCAAACCAATGTTACAAAGTATACAAACATAAATGATCCATGTCTAAAAGGAAGAAAGGGAAACGATTGTCTCACCTCTCTTTCAATGTCAAGGAAAAATTTCACCTGATTTATCAAGTAGAAAGACAAGGCTATTAAATGTCACTCATCAAATCATCACAAAAAAAAACCAAACAACAAATTTCCACAACACCCAAACAAACAAAAGATGGGTGCTCTTAGCAATTGTTGTGATTTCTTCTTTTACGGCTGTTTCGCCAATGGTTTCTCATCCGAATCTATTTCGTCCGTTCGTAAATTCCTTCTCAAGTGGAAGAAACGTTTCACCAATCGACATGAATTTATGAATTATTGGTCAGCAGAGGGTCAAAAACTAGTGGTTGTTTTAATTTGGGTCATTTTGAATCTATTCCTTTTCACAGAAGCTTTCGTCAGATATTATTATGCTCTTCTGTTGGTTAATATTACTGGTGTTACGGTGGTTCCTTTCTATGTGGCTTTGGCGAGAGGTTTCGGCCAATTGTTGAATTTTAATTGTGCCCTATTGATTTTACCAACTATGAGAACATTGTTGAATGTTTTTAGAAGTTTGAAATTTGGTTCGATTTTCCCATTAGATAAGAATTTGGTTTTTCATCGTTATTTGGCCTATTGGTATGTTTTATTGTTTAGTTTAGTTTAGTTTTTAATGATGTGATGGTTGAAATTTTATTCGAATCTCATGATGATGATACACAAAAAAAACGATGAAATGTATCAATATTTAATGATAATAATAATATAATAACATAATAATAATATATAGGATTGTAGTATGTGTAATTGGTCACACATTAGGACACTATCTCAATTATGCTTGTTGTTGGCAATTATATAATAGTGCTAGAACTCCTTTGGAAGCTTGTTGGTGGAACAAATACGGAACTACAGGAAATGTTCTCTGCATTGTCATGTTTAGTATGTGTTTAGTAATATTATTTAATGTTTAGTTTAATATATTTTAATTAGTCATGTATGCTGCCTCTGCCAAGTCCTATCGTCGTACAAAGAATTTTACAGTCTTTTGGTATGCTCATCACTTGTTTGTGGTATTTTTCGTATTGTTGTTGGTTCATGGAAAGCAATTTTGGGCTTGGTTCTTTATTCCAATGGTAAGTTTCTAATAATTTGATTTTATACGAAACTGATCTTACATAGGCATTGTATGCTCTTGAAAGAGTTATGAGAAATTTGCGTGGTTCTGAAATGACCATTGTTAAACGTGTTCACTGTTTGGCATCACGTGTTATTCACTTGGAATTGGAAAAGCCAAGTTTCAGATATGAATCAGGTCAATATTGTTTCTTGAATTGTCCAATGATTTCTCAACACGAATGGCATCCTTTCACTATTTCTTCTGCTCCTGAGGAAGAATTCTTACAATTCCACATTAGATGTGTTGGTGATTGGACCAATACTTTGATGGATGTTTTCAATCCAGCTCAAAGACCAACAGTTGAAATTAACAAACCAACTACTCCTGATGGAACTGATTATTTAATTCGTGTTGATGGTCCATTTGGTACTTGTGCTGAATATTGTTTCGATTTTGAATATGTCATGTTGATTGCTGCTGGTATTGGTGTTACTCCATACAGTTCACTTTTAAAACATTTCAAATTTAGATTGGATGCTGCTGCTTCTGGGCAAGCTCCTCCTCTCAAGATTCGTCGTGCTAGTTTCTACTGGATTAATCGTGATGAAGGAAGTTGGGAATGGTTCTCTGATATTTTGAATCAACTTGAAACTGAAAATCCAGAATTCTTTGATATTCACACATACATGACAGGTATGCTTAAGGCAGATGATGTTAAAAAGATTATGTTTACTTCCTCTGAATATCAAACTCAATCAAACACTGCTGGTAATGTTCAACAATCTGGTAAGGTTGATTTTATGGTTCGTGCTTTGCACAAATATGATGCTCAAAGCTCAGATGAAATTAGTTTGGATAGAAATGATATCGTTGTTGTATCTGAACAAGATGAATCTGGTTGGTGGACTGGTACCAACACTACAACCAAACAAACAGGTCTCTTCCCTGGCAATTTTGTTGTCAAGGTTGACCATGTGACAAAGATGGCTGACTCTTCAAAGAGAAACTTTGGTAGACCTAATTGGGATGCTGAATTCTCAGATATTAGAAGATATGTTGAAAAGAATAGTTCAGGAGCTAAGAAACCAAATGTGGGTGTCTTTGTTTGTGGGCCAGGAGGTCTTTCAAAGCAGGTGTACTCGTACGCTGTTGATAAGAGCAAGAACTCAACTGTTCAATTTGTTTTCCACAAGGAAAACTTTTAAATACCTTAATAAATTGTATATTATCTTCAATTTGCTTTATTTCATTCAATAAAAAAAAGTAATCTTATGTATATATGTTAATTATGCCAATATAAAATGTTGGCAAGTTGCAGGAGATTCTCCAACATTAACTCTCTTTCCATTCTTTACATAAAATTCATGTTTAACTCTTATAAACTTTGTTGTAAAAGGAGGCCCTCCACGAGGTCCATCACCACTCTTACGTTTACTCCAATAAGCAATTCTAACAACTTTGTCTCCATTATATTCAATAATACTCTTCTCCAATGGATGATAGATAGCAGTTGATGGCTCAGGTTCTTCAACAGGTACAGAACTGAGAAGACTAAACGACATGGTTTTTTCATTCTTGGTTGCTTTAGAAATTTCTTCACTTGTCCACGGTTTATCCAATAGATTATTAATACCATATTCCATCTTTACAAAATCATAGGCAACTTGTTTAACAATATCATCGGTACTTTTCCCATCCTGTGACCACCCATTTCTGTGATCAATAATATGGGAGAGAATTTCATATCGATCGGAAATTGTCTTTCCACCAACTCTAATTTCATTAACAGTGATCATGTCGCCAAAATCATGAACAAAACAAGTGGATAAATCTTTTTCTAGCTCTGGGAATGTTGGCCCATAGTTTCTTAAACGTCCTAACATTTTTTTCTGATGAATTTTCAATGATATGTTTTGATTAGTTCTAAAGTTCACACATTGTTCCTCCTCATTCTCCTTTTCAATAATAAATATTGATTGCACAAATATCAAGTTTTGCATTACTGAACTTTCGTAAGATTAAATCATCTCTAGAAATAAAAACTGAAATAGTTTTTCCCACATTAAATGTTGCTGAAAGTAGTACAATATTGTCCTCTTGATAGGATTCACCCCTTTCTTCATGTGCAGTGTTGTTGAAAAAAACACTTGGAGCCAAATATGAAATACCTGACAATTCTCCCTCTGCCTGTTGTAAATAAAAGAGTGGGCAACAATTTGACTGATTGACCACAACTTGTTCATTACAGACCTGGAATGGATTCACTGGTTCTGGTTCTGTAAATGTATCGTCATTAGTTTCAAATATAATAACATCATCAGATTCGAAAGAATAATTTTCAAAGTAGAGAAATTCACCTTGACCTGAAGTGAAATCTCCAAAGCAATATAATAGTCCACTCTTTGGGAATAAGCGGCATGAAATGAAGGTGGAGAATTTTGTAAAGTCAACCACCCCTATCAATGAATAATTACTTCCCAATTTCTTAAATTCAGAAATAGCATCTCTAGGAATGTAAATCTCAGAATCATCATGTGATGAGGGATTTTTTGTAAGATTCGTATAATTTAGCAAACCTGTTGTAACTCCTATTTGAAGTTGTTTTTTGGAATTATTATATTCCTCTATTGAAGAGCTGACTTGGAAATGCTTGTTAAAAAATTCTCTTGATTTCATTTCGTCCAAGTCTCTGATAAATGTTAAATGTCTTCGTACGAGAGTGAAATACAGAGATTTCCAATCATTCTTTTCATAAAAGTAATTAATCACTTGCTGACTGAAATGAAGAGGTATTTGATTTCTTCCTCTACCCAAAATAGTTTCCAATTCTTCAACAGTAAAGGAAGAATCACAGAATCTGAATAAATCTTCTGAAATCATATTGTTACAAATCAATCGTTTCCAAACATTGCTATCGTTCATGATGAAATAATTCCATTGTTTGCATACCAATCTCATAGCCAAAAGTTCTTCCAAAGAAGAGAGATTTTTTAGTATGATAGTGTAGTGTAAATCAGATGGAATTAGAGTAAAATTATATTCTCCACTACTGGGTTTCTCATTCACTGTAATGGGAGGTAATACTACTTGATTTGTTCCATAAAAATAATTAAAATCAACAATTGGTAAATGACTCATGTGAAATAACACTGTTCTATTCAATTCACCATCTGCTACAACGTTAATTTCAAAACCAGATGGAATAATAAATTCCAATCCCATTCCTCTTAGTGTATTTCCTCCCAGTTCTATCAACTCAGATGTGAAATATTCCAATAATGCCGCCACTCCAACAAAATACAAATTAATGTCTTGATCTTCAATGGGAAAAATTGAAGGATTATATTCAAAATATTTCAATACCATATTTCTTAGCTCCTCATATCTAATAGTAAGTGGTTCCTTATTTGTTTTTGTTAAAAAATCATTAATCGTTGTAATTCCCATTTTTGCCAACTCTCCAATCAAGTACTTGCTAACAATTGTATTGAAATAATTTGAAAGTGAGTAAACTTTCTTTCGTGATTCACTATCTAATTTAATTCTCTTCTCCTCTCGTTCATATTCTTCATTTTCTTCACCTTCTCTAACCTGTGTCATGTCATCAAACAATTCCACATTTGTATCTTCAAACAAATGATTTGGATAGCAAACTTTCCTATCAAACTCTTCAATTCTATCAAAGCAAAATTTCTCCAATATTTTAACTTGTTCCACATATTCATCTCTGACTCGGAACAACATGGGACTCTTCAATACAAATCTCCACATGATGATCAATAAATAGTGCCCTAATTTTCTTGCAGCTTCAATTGTTAAGTGTAATCCTGGCTGAATTTCTTGAGTGAATTTATGAAATTTAAATATATCAACATGTTGATCAGCACTACCCTCATCGGCCGATGCATTGATAGAAGTTGTGTGAGGGAAACAGTGAGTAAATACTTCAGACATTTTTTTTTTGTCAAGTTCACAATTTTAACCTTATTTACTATGGAACTTTGCAAAGTTTAAAAATTACAAAAAAATATTGATTCAACAATTGAGAGATTACAAACTGATTTAATAATGAATGAACAATAATTTATTCATTTTCTAATTTTTGTAATTGTTTTAACAATTCTTCTTTTTGCAATTCGTGATAACACATTTGCTTTGTATGGTACAATATTTGGTTTTGAATATGATCTATTAAACCTTTCTTATAAACAGCCATTTTTAAACTATCCTTTTCACTTGATGAGTTTTCAAGTTCTTCAGCAGACGAAACTGATTTACTTGGAGTTTGAGCAGACGAAACTGGAATAGTTGGAACTGAAACAATACATCTCTGAAGTAAATTATAAGTTGATTGTAAATCTGCAACAGTTGAAAATATTAATCCAATAAATTGAATCTTTTCACTTCTCTTATCAACATATTTAACAACCAAATAAGAAGAACTAATTTCCTTATTTGAATCATCATTAACACTCTTCAATATTTGAAATTGAACATTTTCATTCAATTTTAAGAATAAATATAAATCGAAACCTTTCTTTTTTTGAGATTCTTTCCAAAGTGCCATTTCAGTTGGTATTTCAACTTCACTTGTCAATGCTTGTTTTCTCTCAGATGAATATAAACTCAAAAGTGAAGAATTTGAAACAACTCTCCATCCATTATTTGATGGTTTAATAACTGTTACTTCAACTGTTAAAATTGTTCTGACTTGATCTTGATTTTTTGATTCTTCTTCTTCTTCATCTTGATCATCATCTGAATCTTTATCCAAATTAACTAATCTACTTTGTGATCTAGGTCTTGGTTTTGAATTATTGATTAGATTAGAATTAATTGTAGAACGTTTTGGTGAAGAAAGTTCTTCTTCAATTTCTTGTGTTAAATTCTTTACTTCTGAAGCATCTAACTTGGGTATTGTGGTGATTCTACGATTAGTTTCACTTGTTGGTGTTGCAGCTGTGGTGGTTGTATTTGTTGTGGTAGAGGTTGACGTGGACGAATTACTATTCGAAACTGTCGGTGTTATTGTTGTGGAAGAAGAAACTGGTGTTTTAGATGTTGGTGAGGTAACGGATGATGGTGTTGTTCTACTTGGAGTTGTTGCTTGTTTATTAGCAAAAACAAAGTTTGGATTGCTGTAGGGATTGAAATTCATTTTTTTTTGATTTAGACTTTTGGTGGTTGTCATTCATCATATTTACGAAAGGCAAGTGACGTTCGAAGAGATGGAGTTCTATTTGGCTTTGAATGAAGTGATCCGTGTGTGAATCTCTTTAAAAATTTCTATTAAATTGTTAAACAATTTACAAAAGTTAATGGTCAATGTATTATTGCAGAGTGGCTTTGAAAGTGGCGCCAAAAAAATTACGGCAAAACAAATTTAAAAACAATTCAGTTGAAAAAAATAACCCATCCATCAACTTACTCCCTTAAATAATAGGAATGAACAAACAACGAATGATGTCTCAATCCTCTGATATCTACAGGATGGATAGGAAAAAGATTGTTCAAGAAGCCAAATCATCGGATATGGGTGATCATTTTCTTGAGGCTAATATGAATCCGGTTGGTCCAGAGTTGGGCAAGTCGGATTTGAATGCTAGCAAGTTTGGCTCTGGGTTCAGAAGGAAACAACAAACAATTATTCAACAGGATAAAGAGAGAAAGGAGAATGAACAAATGTTGGAGCAAAGAAGGGAGAATAGAAGAGAATTGAGAAAAAACTTTTTAGAACAAACAAAATTCCAAACAAGAGTAAACATTATTACTGGAGAGAATTTGCCTGAAGAATCATCAAAGACCTCGAAACGAGTTTATGATCACCATAATAGAGATGAAATTACTAAACCTTTAGCAGAGAAGAGAAATGCTCAAAAAGAGCAGCGAATTGCCAACGATGGACTAATCAAAAAGAAGGAATATTCAGTTAAGGATTATTTTCAATCCTATTCTTCATACGAGTGAATCAATTACATTTTAGTATTATACAAGTTTATTAATTCAGGTTGATTGCTGGTATATCAGTATCACTTCGCTTGGAGAAGGCAGTAGCAATCTTTTGTCTGGTTGCTAGAGAAAGCTGAGGTGGTGATCCTAAACGAGCAATAACTTTTCTCAGTTGATCATATTTATCAGCCAGTTCTTCTGCACTCTCATTATTGAGATCAAAGTAGGAGAATGGTGCTGTGGTTCCTTTCTTTTTAGATTCTTGTAATAATGGGAATAAAATAGAATCATTATCATAGAAAAGTACATGAATATTGTAGAGAGACCACAATAATCTATCATTATTTTCCTCACTTTCAGTTCCGTCAGTACTCTTACGAAGTGTGAAACCACTCTTATTAACATCGCAAACATCATCAAGGAAACTTCTCAAAATTGATTTTTGTTCTCTCAAGAATTCATTGGCAGGAACCATAAAAGCTTCCTTCTTTTCACTGAATTCTGTTTCATTGGCAAGTTGTTGTAAAATTTTAGAAACCAACATTAAAGTACGTTGAGCATTCTTCTGAGGAATTGTTTGTACAAGTTGGAACAAATGAGGAGCAGTGATACAAGGTGTAATAAATCGAAGGAATAATAGTGAAGTTGCTGCAATAGTACCCATACTAGCACTATCCAATTGATTTGTTTCAGTACTCTCGCTAACAGCAACAACATTTTCATACTTTTTCATTACTTGTTCTCTCAAATGAGAAGTTATTTGTCTAATATCTGGTGGCATATTTGAAACTGAATTCTTGATTAATTGCATGTACTGTCTTGCATAGGCAATAATTTCATTCAAATTTTCTTTTGCCTTTGCATCTGGATCGACTGAACTATCTTCCTTTCTGATAGTATCAGGGGAGCATTCCAAAAATCTATCTTCTTCACAAATCTTTTGAGTGAGTTCTTGAAGAGTCTTTTTAAGATATCCCTGTCCAAAAATCTTCAGATACATTCCAACTAGTTTGGTACTAATGGTGTTAGATCTCAATAATTGAGATATTCTAATGGTCTTTTCCACTTCTAAACGAATGATATATTTCATCACTGAAACATTAAATGCGTCAGATATCGTATTCTTATTATCTCCATAAGTTGTTAAATAAATGAGTGATTTGAAAATCTTATCATCTACATTTAACTTGTTATTGTCAAATAATCCAATAAAAACAGAAGGTGAAGTATTAACCAAAAACTCTTTCAAAGTATCATAAAAATTCAAATTTGTAATCTTCTTCAAGTAGCCCATACTACCACTTTCAGAACTGGTAAAAATACATTTGAGATGAATACGTCCAGCAAATGTGTTGGAATCCTTATTCTTCAAATCAAGCCAAATATCATGTTTAACTTCATCTGCCAATTCTTGACAATTGAAATCAACAACACCAATCAATTCTGCCTTTGAAAGTCTATTTTCATCATAAACTGTTAATTGTAAATTGGAGGAAATATTCTTCACAATGAATGTGAAACGTTCATTCCATTTTGGATTCAATTCCTTCCAAATAACTTCAGTTTTAACTTCTTGTCCTTCAAATTTGAGTACAACAAAACCATCTGAAGTATCATTGGTATTCTTTGCATCCAAATTACATGCTTCGATCACCTCCACAAGAAGTGTTGAAATCTTATTTGGTTCAATAGCATAAATTGCCTTTTCACTATCAGTGGCTGAACTATTCGAATCTAATGAAGTGTTTAACATGTTTGGACCCAAGTTACTGTTATGTGACTGGATCTGGTCATTTGGTGCCATCACTGAAGCTGAACGTCTTCGAATTAAATTGAAATCTTCTGCCCTCAATGAATCATTACGTTTGTGTCCATTTCTCTTTTTAGGTTGTTTATCTTCTGAGCTTGCAGATAAATCATTGGCGCTATTATTATTAGAATTGGAACTTGTACTTGGATTTGATGAAGATTCTCCAGATTTCTTTTGGTTATGCTTTTCCTTCTTTTTACTTTTCAAATACTTTTCAACATCAATACCAGTTGACCTAAAATAAAAGAATAGAATTTCACAAATTTCAATTAATGTTCGATCAGTTCAATTGAAGTAGGGAATAAACTTACTTTTCAATCCAAGGAATCATTGGTTCTAATTCCTTTTCATTAAGCAATCTAAATTCCATAGCAAAGAATAGAAAATGTTTAAATGCAAACAAAAAGTTTGGTTCCATTTTTCTATCTGTCACTTCATTGTAATGATGATGAAAGACGTGAGCATAGACACGAAATATTTTCTTACACATGTCTTTAACTGTTTTACGAAATTCTTTTGGAAAATCTCCACTTGTTGAAAAGATTGATGTGTCATTGAGAAGTGATTCAATCTTGTCAATTGATAATGCAATATATTCAGGTGCTGACACTTCTGTTGCTTTCTTATACTTTTTAGAGCTTGAATCTCTCCATAAATACATATATCCAGGACTAGACATCATTTTAGGACAACTTTCATCAGTACAACATTCTTGCATTTGTCCAAAAATTCCATTAATTTTGTTATACTAATTTTGGAGAATGAGAGAATTTCATTCATTGTGAAAACTTACAAATTCAATCATGTGAAATGAAATCCACTCATTAACAGTTTCTGTTATCATCAAAGTTGAAGAAGAAGAATAATTGATCAATTATATATACATTGTAATATAGTGTTATCATCGACACGATAATTAATAAATTGTCGGATAAATCTTCTTTGAATAATAATATAACAATATAAAAAACATACCAGTTGGTGGTAATTTTACACTTTCTTGTATTAACATATCAGTATAACTGTCCTTGTTTAAAGTTGCTTCCAATTTTTTATGAAGTTCTTGATGATGAGATGATTGAACATTTTTTACAGGTTTAAAAGTTTTGTTCCTATCAAAAGCACTACTATATATTCCGTTATGAATGATCAGTCAGTAATCAATTCAACTCTTCAATAATAAATGATGATTTGTTACGTACAAGATGCTTGGCATTTTTTTGTTTGGTGAGAGGCAAATAATTGTCTCCTGTCAAGTGTCTTGAACGATTGAAAAGTGAAAAATTATTGCTTTGGATTTCATCTAGTTTACAGTAACTTTCAATCTTATGATGGTTTTATTTTGACTAGAGAATTGACTTAGGTGTTGAAATAAATTATTTGGGCACTGACATTACATATTTAAAGTTGACTTTTCTGAGTGGTGTCTTTCCATCTTCTTCATCATCTTCAAATTTCAAACTATAATTCTTAGATGTTTTTGTTGGTACTGAGTCTACAATAGCAGGATAAAATGTTGTAGTATCTGGAAAAACAGCAAACACCTTATCTCCCTTTTTGAAAAGTTTGTGTTGTGACATATCTGTTGGTAACTGTACAATGTGATTCTTATTAAGTTTGTATGTTTTTCTATCAGTTGATGTTGATTCTTCATCATCACTATTATCTTCATCAATAACATCATATCTATTCTTATCTGGATAGTATTTCAATATAGAAGCCAAAATCCAGAATCCGGAATCTCCACTTTCTTCAGTTGCACCACTAATTCTAGCAGCAACTTTAGATTTAACTGGAATACCTTCCTCGAGTTGAAGATATTTGTCTGATGTAATTGGTTGAGATGCTTCAACTTTACGTTCCGAAGAACTTGCTGGTTCTTTGACTGATTTTCCTCCTTTTTTGTTTCTTCCACCTTTTGAACCAGCAGCTGTTCTTGCTTTTGTTGTTTGTTTTTCAGAATCTGATGTATTTTGTGCATTAGAGCTACTTGCTTGTGAGTTGATCGTTTCTTCATCTTCATCTACTTGCATTGGATCTTTTACAGGAACGCTTGAAGAGCTGCTTGGTGAACTTACAACACTTGCTGGTACACTTGTTTCTGATGAAGGTACTGTTGGTGGTGTTGTTTGTACTTGTGTTTCTGTTTGTAGCTGTTGTTGTTGTGCCAAACTATTAGTTTCCTCTTTTTGTCTTTCTTCGGCTTTTTCTACAAGCTGAGAAAGATTAGCTAAAATTGCAATGATCAAACTAGTTTCAATTATTAGTAAATTGCAAAGATTGCAAATACTTACTCTTGTTCTCTTTTAGAATTTTCGAAAAACTCTGCATACAATTGTCTCAATTCTTCATTAATTTCCAACTCTTCTTCTCCGTGTCGTATTTTTCTATGCTTTTCATTGATCTTGAGTTGAAGTTCGTTCAGCCTTTTTCTTGTTTGTTTAAACGTAGTCATGTCATTAACAATGCCCTTGTTTAATCGGACTGATTTAGTGTATGGATGAGTTAATTCAGCATGGTGATTTTGCGAAGATGATTTTGGAATTTTCATTGTGTATCGCAAGTAGTAATTGATTATAAATTATTGTGCAGAATGTATGATTAAATAATGCACCAATTAATATAGGTTACAGGTAAAATATATACAAAGATGATGATGGGTAATGTGTTGATGATGGATTATACCACAGATTCAACAAGGGAGGAGTTTTGTTATGGAGTTAATTTTTTTGAGAGTTATGTCGAGCCCAAAGTTGGTTATCGCAATGAGCACAACAAATATTATTGATGAGAACGAATCACGAGATGAACATGTCGGTAGTTATTGAATAATAGTGGTCATATGTTGTAATAATATGATGGTGTTATAAATTGTCAAGAGTTTCGTTCCGATCATCATCAACGTTGAACCATCACGTGATGATTTAAAAAAAATTAAAAATTAAAATGATCCGATAAAATTAATTCATCCAAAAACATCACATTAAATAATTAATTAATATTAATACACATATTCACATGTTCCAACCAATATTTAATACAAAACAACAATCAAATTCATTAACTCACAACAAAAAACACCTACCATTCTTAATAATACTATTCCTACTACTGTTGCTCTTCTTCATTTTTTCAATTTCCAAAAAAAAAACTTGAGCGCGGGAAATTTTTTTCTTATCAGCCTAGAATCGATCGTCGCTTGCTGATGAAAAGAAAAAGTTAAAATTTTGTTCTAGTGAGTGGAAATGAATGTTGGATATCATATGTGATTCATAGACCCAAAATAATGCAAATATTGGTTCTTTCCGTTATGGGTGTCGACACTTGGTATTTCAAATGTCTCAATTTAAAAAAAAAGAGTGTTGACATTTTACCACGCTAATGACATTGTCGAGTGAATCTTCTTTTCCCTCTCTTTCGGGATATTTACAGCAGAAAGCAGGCTTTTTTGGTCGTTGGAAAAAGTTTGTATTATATAATACTCTATATTAATAATCGATTCGAACATTGTATACGAAACAGATTTTGGTTTGTGCTTTCAGATGGAATTCTATACAAATTCAAAACTAAAGAAAGTGTTCAACCTATGGAAGAGTTTGATTTATGCGGAAGAAGAAATTCACATAAATTTTCATCATCATTTAATTCATCTTCGAGTAGTTTAGGTGAAATTTCGAATAATTCATCTTCATCATCTTCTCTATCCAGTAATCATCAACAACAGCAACCAGCAAGAGTATTACACAATGGAAAACACGTCTGTGGAAAAGATTTTTCCATAGCTCTATTTCAAGAAGGAAGTGAAACTCTAATTTTACTAGCAGAAGATCAACAATTACATTCTCAATGGATGAATGCTTTAAATTTATCACTTCCAAAAGCATTACGTATCTCACCAAGTCAGAGTATTTTAAATGATTCGAATCATCATATAACCAATTCAGGTTCAAATTCTTCATTGAGTGGAATGATTGGTGGAGCAACGAGTGGTGGTAATGCAATTGGACATAGTGTATTGGGTAGTAGTGGAAGTGGAAGTGGTTTTGGATTGGATTCTTCATTAGAACAATCAATTCCAATTAAACAATCAAGAATGGAATCAATGCTGCATGTTTTAGAGGCAGTTTTGGATCCAACTGTTATTTCAGATGAGAAGGGTGTCATTGTTGGATTTAACAAATCAGCTGAGGAATTATTTGGATGGAGAAGAGATGAAATTTTATCTAAAAATGTTTCAATTTTAATGCCGTCAATGTATGCCAGATTTCATGATGGTTATTTAGAAAGATTTAAAAAGAATAATGATAAGAGATTAATTGGTAAACCTAGAAGAATGTTGGCTAAACATAAACAAGGTCATAATTTTCCAATTGAATTATCGTTGGGAGAGATTCCATCAGATGAAGGATCCAATGATAATTTGGCATTTGTTGCTGTATTTAGACCTTCCTATGAAGATAATATAATGAAAAGTACTAGTGCAAGTAGTATTGGTAGTGATTTATCAGAAAATTCATCAGATACTAGTCCAATCTCTCAAAATTCTGAATCAAGAGATGAATTTTCAGTAAGGAGCAGAGGAAGTAATCCAAGTATTTCATCCTATTCATTGGATCACGATATTGAAAAATCCATTCACACCAATAGAGAAAAATTAGATCAGAGATTGACTGGATTTTTAAAATCAATGAAAGGAGTGATTGATAATGAATATGGAGTTTTGGAAAAAAAGTTTATAGTTCTTCAACAAAAAGTCAATGTTTTAGAGCAGGAAAATGAACGTTTATTCCAACAAACTGAAAAACAACATGAACATATCAAATTATTAGAAGAAGAACTTGGAGTTTTACAAAAAGCAAGTGACAAGTTTAGTCTAGTTCAATTACTGAAAAATGAATCAACATTTAAAATATTTGTGGAATATTGTGCAAGGAATGATACACAAGATTTGTGCATGTTCTACAAGGAGGCAGAAGATTACAAAAACAAATATTCACATATTGAAGGTGTTGTGAGTAGCATGGAAGAGGAAGCAAAGAATATTTACGAAAAATATTTATCAGATACATCTGGAAAGAATGTTAATATACCCTATGATTCAAAGAGTCATGTCAAATATCATTTATTAACACCAGCATCTGACATGTTTGATTTGGCTTTAAATGATACTTTAGCTCAATTGAAAGAGTTATCTTTTGAAAAGTTTTGTGAAAGCGGTGCTGGAAAAGCAACACTTCAACAATTATTATTGTAATAAAATAGATTTTTTGTAAAACCTGAGGTAAGTTTGAATAAGTTAGTGTTTTCTTTTGGGTGTTCTTGCTAGTGTTATAAATTTTTGTAATATCTTGTCCTTGATTTTTTCATCCACTTTAGAATAATTTTCTTCGTCTGCAAACAGCCTTTTAGCATTAATAAATCCAAATTCAATAATCTTTTGGTTAAGCAGATCATTTTCAATAGAAGAAAATTGTTGAACAATTTCAAAATAATTATTCTCATTAAGGACTATTTTTTCTACACATGCATCTGCCAATTTTTGCATTCCATAAAAAGTTGCACATTTAAAAATTCTTGTATCAAGTTCTATATTGCCACTAATAGAATAACAATATTTCAAAATAATTTCGTGAGCGTTTTCATCAAATTCTTCTGTAGTCACTTCATAGTCATTATTATTAATATCCTGGAAATTATTGCTGAATAATGATTCAAAATAGGTACTATGACTTGAAAGTATGGTCTTGTGGCAATGATATTTAGTATTGTTAATTTTGATTCTAATGTCACTTGTCTTTTCGTCATTGAATAGACTTTCAATGGAAGATATTTTCCTTGAAATTGGTGAATGTTGAATAATTATGGGAGAAGGTTGACCGTTATGAACCTTATTAAACTTTCCAGAAATTAATAGGATATTTTGTTGAATAATTTCATGATTGACCAATTCTGAAGAAGTAAATTTCATCAAATCAGCAATTTTCTCAATAGTAAATTCAAACATTTCTTGCATTAATTTTGAATTGTTTTTCATCTTGCTCACTTTTTCAAGAGTCTCAATACATGACTGATTATTAATTGAGGCCATAAACTTGTTAATTAAATATCTTTTCAATTTCATGAAATTGTTTCCTTCAATTTTACCCAATATATCAAGAATATCAATCAAATCATATTTATCGAACCATTGATCTTCCTCTTGATAAATAATTGAATTAATCAAATGTTGAATAATGTATTCTTGATTCTTATTCAATGATTTAATAACTATTTCATCATTAAATAGAAAATCATGAAAATGAGGAGCATATACATCTAATAAATATCTACAACAAACCAAACTGGTATTATCAATTTCATCTCTTTCATATTTCTTCAATAGGGACATTCTTACAATTTTGAAAATACTACTACCTGTTTGAATATGATAATAAATATCACCATTCGAATCCACATTCAAAAGCCAGAGAGTATCTTTGGATTTGGTTAAAGTAACTATTGAGTTATCTAGAGAATTCATTCTAACTATTCTCATCTCATTAAATCCTTCATCTACAAAGTAAACAAAGTCACTATTTGGATCCTTGATCATGTCTACAATATTTCTTAGCTTGTTTTGACTTTGGGTAACCAAAGACTCTTCGTCAAAATCACTTTTCAATAAAATTGTTATTCTCTTTGTTATTGGATCTAGCTTGCAATATTGTATGTATGACTTCACAAAGTACAATCTTTGATCATTAATGTCCCAATCAAGCGAGGTTATTTCATCTTTAGTACTGAACAGAATGTGCTGATTTTTTGTTGAAAGGTCTAAACCAACAATTCTATTTTTCTCTGCCAAATAGAGAATATTATTCTTTGGATCTAGTGTAAAATTATAAATTTGGTTTTGAGCTTTAGCAATTGTGGAAATTATTTGTGTTTTTGAATCAATTTTACGAATATATGCACCACCAAACACATAAATATCCAAAGTTATGGGATGAATCACAAGACCATAAGAGTATCTATAAAAGGATGCATCAATTGCCAATCCTCCATCTCCATTATTTTCATTTTCTGCTGAATCATAAATCTTTTTTGTACTACCTGCAATTGTGCTAATCACTTGCGTTGATGAATCAATTTTTCTAATTCTGCCACTGTCAGGAAATAGGATATCATCGGTGATGGGATGGAAGTAGAGGAAGAAAATTTCTTCCTCCAATTCCGCATTGATGGCTAAACCACCATCACCCTCACTGCCAATTCCATTACCTGCAATATGAACATTAATTTCCTCCATCACACTGTTGTACGAATTTTGTCCCGGGATAGCCGCGTGCAAAGGCTTGTGTGTGGATAAGGCTAGCCTTTGAGTTATTTTTTTTGTAAAATTTTTTTTCAAACAATAAATGGAAATTCATTTACAAAAGATGGAGTTGAACAGATACTGGTAGAATAATGATTGTTCAATTTAATGTTTATTGTAATTAGAAATTGTAAAGATTCGAATAAAAAAAATGGGACAATTAATATTTAAACCACTATTTCCATCCTATTCGGAAATGATCAAAGCAAAAGAAGGCGAAACGGAACAATTTAAAAGTGAAATATCATTCAATGGTAATAGAAAATCCAGACTAATCCTTTTCGGAACTACTTCACATCCACTACTTGATATTCTAAAGGAAGAATCAATTTCCATCCAATCAAAAAAAGGACGAATCCATATAATGACACAAGTAATAGAACATTTCGTTTCGGAATATAGTGGTGATTGTTCTAATTATTTATTAAATGTTGTGGAGAGAAGATTGGATCAATTGAGTAGAATGAAAATTTATGGATCAATTGATTTTGAAATGGAATTAATGTTATTATCTAATCAAATACGGAAAGATATTAAATTATTAAATGTGAATCGAGTTTTAAAGAAATTAGAAAGGAAATTAGCAGTGGAAGAAATGCAAAGTTCAGATTTTCACTTTTCAAAATATTTCAATTCAAAGGAATATGTTCTAGTTTATCATGACAAAATATTGGATCATTTTGATGCAGAATTAAAGAGTCTGAGAAATAGTGAAATATATATCATGAGTATTTCATTGAAAAGTGAACGATATAATTTAATACTGGTGATGGCTTTGAGTGAATTGGTAATACTGATCGGTTTAAATTATTCCACTAGAGTGGTTATTCTATTTACTGATGTGGAGCTAGTTTTAAAGCATTCAATGAGTGGAGAATTTTCCATTGAGGAACACTCAGCAATTCGCCCTGAACTTAGTGAGTTATATGAGTGGAATGGATTTAGAGAAAGGATTTCTTATATTGTTTCGAGAGTAGAAGAAATGTGTTTAGAAGAGAGGAACAAGCAATACTTTACAAAATTTGAATACCACTTGTTGAGTGGAAATGTTAGTAATAGTTCAGTTATGAATGCAATTATTGAAAATTTGGACAAATCAACGAGTTCAGAACTTGAAATATTTATTAGTTCAAATTTGTTAAAATCCAATTTTGTAAATAGAAAAATATCGTTGAGGAGTTTCTCAGATATTGTAATTCAGTTGGAATAATTATTAATTATGTGTTGGATCAAAAAATCACAAAAGAAATTGGATGCGAGAAGGAGAATCAAAACTACCTTTTCAATTCCAAAGTTATCAAATGAATCTACTAATAACGATCTCTTTTTGTAATCACTAAATAAGTATCATTTAGTTGTTTCTCAATTCATTTGGATAAATCTATTCACTTGTTGTAATTATATTAATATCAATAAAAGGATGTCTACTATTATCGACATATGAAAACATAATCTCCTGTTCCTCATAGGTATTAAATAGGTAGTATCTGAAAGGATAAATTGCTCTATTCAATCCTACATTCACGTAGAATACCTGTTCTTCATAATCACTACTAATAGTTGGGCAAAATGTTTTAAATTCTTTCGACCAAAAATCCTTATTCCAACAAGATACACCAACAGCAGTTCTACATACAACACCGTTTCGTGTGAATACAATATCTCCAGAGTCTAAACTCCACGATACACCAATGGTATCGCCAATCTTTGCTCTTCCTGCATAATTCTTTTCAGTATTCTCAGGTTGATTAAGATAAATTCTTCCACAATCAGTGTGATAACCAATTGAATTTTGATACCATCCAGTCATTCCATCTTCATATCTAAATTCTGATAATCCAACTCCTACCTCAGTAACTGCTTCATCACCATACTTTGAAGTAAACTTCGAATCCAATATTGTAATTTCAAAATAAAAGTAATATCCCTTATATTTGGTTGTCTTGCTGTGTGAAATGTTATAGTGTTGATTCTGTCTCAATTCAGAAGGTTTAACTTGTAAACATAAATATGGATGTAATTGAATAACTACTCTATGATTATAATAATAGGATATTGGTTGAGATCCTGGTAGTTTTTCAATTCCTATTAATGATGTTTAGTTTTATGAATAATATTTGAAATACTTACTAAAGACAGATGGTAAATTTTCCAAATATTCATGTGATTGAGTCTCTTGATTCGAAACAATCATTTCATTTTCTCTTTTTTGATTTTTTTCAATTTTTGCATGTTTATATTCCAATGATGTAGCTGATTTCCATCCAAATTTCATTCTATTAATATCCTTAATCAAATGAATCATTGGACAAAGGAGTGTCTGTTTCTCCCTTCCTGTATCCTTCATTATTGATTGTACATATTCTTCCACTTCGTTATTAACCATTTCATAATTCTCTTGATTAAACATGTATTCTTGTAGGAGATAGGATGGTAAATTTTCTGAAGTTAATTCTACTCTGGTTGGATTCTCTTGTTCATTCAAAATTAATCGGAGTGGAAAACCCAATTGTGTAGTCTTCTTTTGAAATAAAGCCAAACTGCCAAGTCTAAATCTAAAATAATCCGAAAGACAATCTTCATTTTGAATAATGTTATTAGGTACAGATTCAATTAATTGAACATTTTTACGTATTCTACTTGTTGAAGATCTAACAAATTCTCCTCCTTCTACAAGTTCCTCTTCATCGACCATGTAATGAATTTCCTCATCTACTGGTTGTTGATTTTCTTCATCATTGATGTAAACAATTCCAAATTCTTCTTCTTCCTCATTGTGACTTGAAGCGTTGCTTGTATTATCATCACCATTGTCATCACCACCTGCAAGTAATCTTCGGACAGGAATCATTTTTTGATTTTTTTTTAAAATTGATTTAAAAACTTGATGGAAAACCTAAAATGACAGGAAACCAACGCTTCAACTTAAAATGTAACAGTGCCCTAAATTATTAATACCTTAAAACAACAAACAAGCACCAACGCAAAAAGTTGGGGTCAGTGAGGATCGAACTCACGACCTTAGGATTATGAGACCTACGCGCTACCGACTGCGCCATGACCCCTTCACGTCTTTTCATAGAAAAGTATAGTATTTAAAAATTATAATTTTCTGAGTGTGTTAAGTGAGTGCCTCTAAGGAGTTTAAGTTTGAGCGAATAAAAGGTGGATCTTGAATGGCGTCTTGATTCTTTTCCATTTCAGCAACTTCCTTTTCTTGAACAGCAACAAGACAATAGGCACCATATCCAACAATTCATCATCCAACCCGAATACAGCACAGGATTCGACTCCAATGGAAACCAGGCTAATTATTATTTGATCGCAATCACCAAGCACTCTTCTTTTTTTTTAATTTCCAGAGTTGAATTGAATCACTAAATATTTATTGTAAAAAGTCGAACAGAATTGTTCCATGTGTAAAAATGGTTTATTTTCAATAAATTAGGAATTTGGAAAAATAATTATTTAGATATATTTATTTTCGAGGTGTCAATCATGAATTTAAAAACTGAAAATGGTGGACCAAATCTCAAAACTCCCAAAATTTCAAATCCAAGTTTGCTATACAATCTTCTGGCACCAACCTGAAGTGAACTTGTCTTGAGTATAATTCTATCCATTTCCAATTCTTTAGAATACTTAAAAACATGTTTTAATAGAGCAGTAGCAACACCTCCTCCACGATATGAGCTTTTCACACTCATTCTTCTAATTTCAAGCATTTTCAAAGAGGTATTCTGTACTCGGTCACATTCTTGAATAAATTCAGCATCTTCAAATGCATCTCCTGGATAAATCCACTTGTCAAGAGCAACATGTCCAACAATTTCTTCTCCATCTACAGCCAAAAAGAAGTTATTTTCAGGTTTTTCAGAGTTTTTCGAATAATAATTAAATAAATCTCCCAATTCATTTGAATTTCTACTTTTCGAAATGTATTCATTCATGTGCTTTACTATTTCTGGCACCACAAAAAGTTTTATAAATGAAAAACTTAATCCAATTAGAAAGAAAATAATTGAAATGAAAAGTAATATTTTGATTGCTGATACTTGAAATGTACCAACTTTCAAAATCATGCCAATCAACCACCAACAAATGCACAAAACAGACCAGACAGCAATATGAATTTTAAATCCAAAATAATCCTTAAACAGTGCCATCCAAGAATTAAATTTCACAGTATGTAATAATCCATCACCAAATAATAATCCAATAAATTCCGAATATTCATTAAAATAATATTTTGGAATTCCATCAATCATACCATTCGTGAAAATTTTATGAACTGTGGATTGAATTTCCGAGATGATTTTGTCATTTGAGGAATGCTGTAGTCTTTTTCCAATTTTCTTTTTATGCAAAGAGGATTGGTCCAATATCCCGAATAGTTTCACTAACGAAAATCTTCAACAAGATTCTAATAAGAACATGTTAGATTCAAGACACTTGGAGGTAGTCATATGATTAGTAAAGATCTTACTGATATAAAATGATATTACGAAGGTTTTGCTTTATTTCAATAATCGCTATCATATTCTATCACATCATCCTGAATCAAATCTAATTCTACATCCTTGTTCTTTTTTCGAGAATTGGTGTTGTTTGGAATGCAAAATGATAAAAATCTTAAAATGTTCATTACTCTTGGGTTTTCATCTAAAAAATTGTCAATTTGCTTCTTTCTCTTCTTTTTGCTCAATTTCTCATTATGTTCTCGCTCCCATTCTAAATCACTCTTATGTTCTTGAAGTGCTTCTTTAAAATCGAAATCATGTATAGATAAATAATACCTTGCTTCATCTTCACAAACATTACATAATCTCATGAATAAAGTTAAAGTCCATGCTTTCTTTCTCTCTTCATCTTTCGTTTTTCTTCTTCAGTTAACTCTTTCTTTTTGAAAGAATCTTCTGGTGGAAGTTGAGTTGGTTCTGGAATGAGTAGTTCAATCTTATTGTACAATGTTAAATCACTATCCATCATTCTATTTTTCAATTTAATTGCCTCTTCTGTAACTCCATATTTGATAGAAATTGAAATCAATGTTTCACCTTCTTGAATTTTGTGTATTACTAAAGGAGGTAAAATTGGTTCAGCTTTTTCCTTTTCTTCTTCCTTTTTTACAATTGGTGGTAAAATATATTCAAGTGTTTGATTAGATAAATCAGATAAATGGGGATATGATATCACTTGGTCCTGTTCATCTTCAATTAATGGAGGTGCAGAAGGTAAAACCATTGACATCCATGAATCATTATTACTTGCACTCAAAATATCGGATAAGCTTGGATATGAAATTCTTCCTCCTCCTTTAGAAATATCATCAACAGATAAAGGTTTAATATGTTTATATTCCTGAATCTTTTCTTCTCTATTATTTACAATTGATGATTGTGACAATTTTTCCGTACTTGTTGTTGATGAGGATGGTGTAAGAGTGGTGCTAGTCAACTTGTCCCTATTAGATTCAATAACAATTGGAGTTGATTTCTTATGTTTAGCCTCATGTTTGTGATGATTTGGTTTTACTTGAAGCTGATCTTCATCACTACTATACTCAGCAACATCCTCTCTTGTTGCTAACATTTTTTTTAATTAGATTTTCCATGTGTGCATCCTTAGAAACTGAATTGTGCGCTCTATTTTCTTCGAGGAGTTTAATTGAAAGAAGGTTGACTATTCAATTTGTAATGGTCATGAAGGATGTACATTGTTGATTGCAATTGAATTAATGGCCAATAATGGTGTTCATAAGAGTAGTCTCTTATTTGGTTGTTGTTGATTTGACAAAGAAAAAAAATGAAAACATTTAAAAGCCTTGCTAATATTCGATCATCATCATCCAGTGCTGTAAAGCAATTTATTTATTCTCTTCCGAGTAGAAGTGCCACTAATATTGGTATGGTTGGAAATAAAGTTCAGAACAACAGTTTCAATTTGTTGAGAAATGAAAATTTAAATTCAATGATGACACTCAATTATTTGGAAACTAGATCCGAACGTTTCTACACTACAACAACAAGTTTAAGAAATACTAATAACTCTGAAAGCAGCAAGAAGGAAAATATCAAATTAGGTGTTGTTTTTTCTTGGAGTGGATTACATGAAAGGATGAATAACAAATTTTCGGAAAAGTGTGAAAATATTTTGACTACTTCAGTTCTACCAACTTATAATGTAAATAGAGAACAAGTTTTGTCGATAACAAAGCAAAATAGACCTTCTGTAGAACAATTGAAAGAAATTTATCAGGATTGTAATGTTTTGTTGGTTTGCCCATTAACTGGAGGTACAGAGGAATTATTGAGAGATTTAGTCACATTGAAGAAACCAATTGTTTTATTGGGTGATTCATTTAATAATTCATTGGCAAGTGCTCTTGAATTGAGACAATATTTTAGAGGATACATGATTCCTTCATCACTTGTAAATAAGCCAGAACTCATTCATTCAAAGATTGAAGAATTTGCTTCAAAATATGAAAAACTCTGGAAATCATTCTTTAATATGAAATTGGGTTTGATTGGCGATATTTCTCCATGGCTGATCAATGAAAAGGATTTTGTTACAAAAGACATGATGGAAGGTAAAGAAATTGTCACTCCTTCATTCAGATTCCCATTCGTTAGAATTACAACAAAGGAATTGTATGAGATGTTCAAACAAGTTTCAACTGAAGATGCCAAAGAAATAGCCTCACTAGTTCAACAAATGCAAGAACAAAAACTCAACTCTTCCAAGTGTTGTAGCTCTAAATCTGCACCAAATGTTGAACCAAAAGTTGAGGAAAAGACCACATGTTGTGGTGGAGGAAAATGTGGTTCTTCAGAACAACATGAAGAAGATCATGCACATTCTTGTGCTGGAGAAATTAAAACTGATTCTTCTCTTCCAACAGTTCCAAAGGATAGTTTGATTGAAGCATCCAGAGTATACGTGGCAATTCAAAGAATATTATCCAAGTACAAATTGGATGGTTTTACAATTGGATGTTTTGATTTAATTTCTGATATTAACACTACACCATGTCTTGCCCTTGGATTATTGAATGGTATTCAATCACTCAAGTTGAGTGATGGTACTTTTTTGACAATGAAAGCATCAGCATGTGAAGGAGAATTGAATTCATTATTAGGAATGATTATTTGTCAAAAGTTTTTAAACAAATCCCCATTCATGGCCAATATTGTTGATTGGACTCCATCTGAAAATGGTCTTCATGATGAGCTCTTAATTGCTCACTGTACCTCACCAATTATTCCTGGATTACCTTTCGAAATTACCACTCATTTCGAATCTGGTCAAGGAGTTGCAGTTCGTGTAGATATGCCAGCTGTTAATCGTATTGCAAATATTAAGGCAAATAGCATGAATAGCAAGATGGTTGCTGGACTTGGTGCTAGTCAAGCTATGGCTACTCTCATCAAGATGAGAAATTCACATGATGTTATTATTGCTCCAGTTGTAGTATACGATAGAGAAACTTCTCCATTGAGATGTAGAACTCAATTACGTTTAAGAATGCAATCTGTTGAACAATTTGTTGATTCTACATTTGGAAACCATCATCTTTTAGTTTATGAAAACTTTTGGAATGTTAAAGAAATATTTACTGATCTTGGATTCAATGTCATTGAGCATTATTGAACCTACAACAACAAATTGAGAAGTGAATTGTATGACCGTTTTTCAACTAAAAATAAAATTTAAATTTTAAAAAAAATGGTATGTTTATATTATTTTATTAATTGCTGATCATCGTCATCTTGTGTGTGTGGATAATGTTAAATTCCAAATCGTGATCATCACATTGTAGAAATCACAACATACTGTACTCCTTGCTCAATTCGAAAAGTCTGCCCAAACCCGAACCTATTTTGATTATGAATCTGTTGGGGATATGGCTGATGGTGTTGTCAGACTTTTTGAAAGAAATCTTAAGAAGTTGAGTTCTCCAAAGGGTAAACTTATCTACAATGTTGCTGACTTGCAAAAGTGGGTTGACGGATTAACAGATCTTACTTGTTTAACGTAAGTTTCTTCTTCTTCATCAAATAATAATTTAGAGGTGGATTAATACTTTTTTGTATTGTGTGATTGATGGATAATATTATAATAGTTTTGATGATAAAACCAATACCTATGTTCCTCACGACAAGGAATGGATCAAGAAGAGAGTGTACACTCACTTGAAGAAGACTGTCGAACAATCCAATAATAAAAACTAGGCTAGGTGAATACCTAATGATAATTTCAAGTATGTGATGATGATGAATATTTTAATCTTGATGAAATTTAAGTCTGCATTGGACATTTAGTTGCAGTACATTCGAACGGACTATCAAAGCCTCATTAGAATGTGGTAGTGCCATACAATATGATAATTAGAAACCTTCAAATGAATTGTTTGGTTGTGTTGTGTTGAACCAAAGCCTGGCAATTTTTCGCATAAATCACAAAGATCATAATATTCCGCCAAGAGAACAAAAAAAATGCGCACAACCATACATTCAAAACAACCCTGCAGGAAAATTGTTGGATCCTCCAAATTTTTGTCGTTTTTTGTGTTTATCATGATAATCATCTATACTACTAGTGTATATGGAGCCAATTCAATGGTGCCTTCAAATGTTGTTGGAGCAGCTATAGCTACAAGTCCAAATGCTTTTGTATATTCAGGAGCAGGTTCAACATTTGATAGAATTTCTCAAATACACTATCAAGAATGTTTATTTATTATTGGAGATGATTTAAATACCATTAGTGGTACAGATGGACAAGAATGGATGAAAGTTAGTTTACCAATGCAATTAACCTATTCAAATACTACTCAAATGGGTACAGTGGGCTATTTGAAAAGATCCGATATTTATATTTTAAATACTGACAAGACAAAGATAACATCATCAAGTAATTTATTAGAAATTTGTCCAACTATGAGTGATTATTCTACACTTATCACTGTTGCAGATGGTGCTTCTAAATTAATTATTGTAAAATCTAAATCCTCTCAATTATTTAAAAAGAAATGTAATGACCAAACTAATGGAGGTTGTACAAAATCTGATATCATTTCCGAAGTTTCATTTGGTACAATTTTAAAAAGACAAAGTTCTGAAAGTTCTAATGATGGTTGGGTAGCTGTTTTTATTATTAGAGGAAATGGTTCATTGTCATCTTCTCAATCATATGATTCTCTTCAAGAATCTGCATATATCAATGAAAGTGAAACTAAAACTTTTGAAGAATCAATTCGTTCACTTATCTCTGTTACACTTAGACCATTGGCTGATGCTTCTGATTGGACTTTGCATGCTATTTCTCAATTTGGTTCTAGCATGATTGGAGGAAAATACTTGAAGGGTGGTAGAACATCTATGAATGTTGACTATATGGAATCTACAGGATTTGATGCTGCTGGTATAGTTCAATTACTTTATTTAGTTTCCTATTGTAAGAGAATACCTAGAACAATGACAGATATTTTCAATGCAGCTGACACTGAAATTTCTATTAATGGATTCCATGTTGGTGATCTCATTTTCCTTAAATCAAACACCATTGTTACAAACGTAATGGTTTATGCTGGTAAGGAAGCTTCAGGTAATGGCAATGAATTCATTATTGAGGCAACTGAATCTGGTATTAGATTGATGACTGTAAAGGATAGATTAGGATTATCTTCTGTGAGAGACATGACAAAGGGTGCAAGTGTTTTGAATAACCAATACACTATTTATTGGGGAAGCTATTTTGAAAGATCAGTTCAAGACCAAAAGCAAATTATTGAAATTTTGCTCTATGTCTTTGTTTTAGGCACAATTGCTTTGGCTTGTGGATTCTTTGCTGTTAAACATATTTACAAACGTATCAAGATTCATTTCAAGGGTTATAAGAAGCAAACTATTTAATCTAATAAATAATTTATTATCTATCATTACATCCAAGTGATAATATTTCCACTTCCTCTAAAAACATCCTTTTTGGTAGGAACTGATTGAGATCTTGAAGGAGATGTGGAAACATTTGTAACTGCTTTCTTGGAATCCCAGTTCAATAATTCTTTCAGTGAGGATTGTTGGTTTCTATTTTGTACAGCTAATTGAGATCTAGGAGACATTGGTGGAGAAGCATATCTTGGCTCTTGAGGTGTTGGTTCGATCTGTGAAGGTTTGATTACAGAAGCAAACTTTTCAAAGTTAATCTTTTCAGTGTTATCTTTAACTTCAAAAGTCTTCTTCAGTTCATCGCTTGGTATGTGTAAATTCATGTCCTTCAATGCTTTTTGCATTTCATTAATAGTAACAGAGGCAATGTTTTTACCACTGCTACTAATCTTTCTGAATGCATCTCGAGCAGTTTTATGATGTTCTTCTACTTTGCTTAAAATTGCTTGCTTTGTATCTTGAGGAGGTATGCTTTGGTTTCTTCTTCTAGGGCTAGCTGTTGTGGTATCAATTTCTCCTCTTTCAATATTAATTTCAGTTTGTCTTTTGATAATATTAGTTCAAAATGTTAAATATAATCACTTACTGTTTGATATCACTGTACAATTTCTTGGATGATCTCTTAACATCTGTTTGTGGTGTTTGTGACCTTATAACCTTCTTTGGACTTTCCAATCTTTCAGAAACAAATGAGGCTAAACCCTTATTCAAATTTTCCTTCTTATCATAGTTAGTTCTTAATTGTGAAGTGCTCACAATTGTTCCAGTTGGTACAAAACCAACCTTAATTCCAATTGGCTTTTGACTAGTGTTATTATCATCACCAAAAAGTGGATTTCTTTGAGGTGGAGTACTGGAATATCGTCCAGTTCTTGGACTTGATGGTTGAGGAGTGGATGGTTCTTGAGAAATGGACAGTCTTCTTGGTGATTGAGGTTCATTTTGTTGTGGTTCCATATCTGAAACATTGAATGTATCAGGTAGTGGTTTACCTGCACTCTTTCTACCGAGATGTTTCTCAAGAGGATAATCTCCTTTAACTGGTGTATTGTGTGAAATAATTTCTCCAGATCCTATTGTTACACTATTATTAGTTATTCTTCCAAAATTATTAATCTCCAAACACAACAAAGGATCACGAACATCACTCAAATCCAAAATTGTATCTCTTTTGTAATTTCTTACATTTGGAATATTTCTAAATTCAATCTCGTCGCTAGGTAAATCAAATCCAACATTATCAAAGAATTTGTTGTAATCACACTTCCCAGTGTCTATCAAACTTTGTCTAACTGCTCTATCAATCATCCATTCTGATAAATTTGGATTAATTACCTTGAGAGCTTTTTTAAACTTATCAGGAGGTAACCAAGAATTTCTCTCCTTATCAAATGTTCTCATTGATTCTCTAATTTGAGCAGGTCTAAGTGAACTATAGTCCATCAATTCTGATCTTATTTTCTTGTTTACAATTTCATCAGATCTATTAATTACTTTCTTTGGTGTTGATTTAGGACTTCTTTGTTTGCTTTCAGGAAATTTATCCCAGTAAGAATCTTCAACTAGTTTGGAGAAATTGGCATATGATAGTTTTGGATCAGATGAAACAAGTCCCATAATTTGTGATGCTTCTGATTTTGTTACAGTGAATCCCATGTTTGATAACCCATTTGAAAATTCCTCAGGTGTAATATTTCCATCTCTGTCCTTATCAAAATATTGGAAAGCTTGTTGCATTGTTTTTGAAATTTTGATTTTTTCAGAAATTTTCTTAACGAGAGCTCTGTCAACTTCCTTCACCTCTCTTACTTCCTTTGATGTGGATAGGATTTCTTTCTTCTTGATTGTTGATTGAGTTTTTGGTGTTTCTACAGTTTTAGATTTTGGTGTTTCAATAACTGGGGATTGTACAATTACATCTTTGAGTGAGTCGAATATATCAGTTAGATTGATTGGTGTTTGAATTGGTGTTTCCATTTCAGTTCTCTCTTTTAATTTTACAGGAGTTTTAAGATTTTCATCGATATCTGCAATAGCGTGTTGAATATGTTCAAGTGTTTTCATTGGATTTGGTTTCGAAGAATCAATCTTAAAGTCTGGGGATTGTATTTGAGCTTTGTTAAGTATTTTTCTCGGAGATGCTGGGGATTGTTCAAAACTTCCATCTTTCACAGATCCATTCAATGAAAGATGACTATCAAAAGCATTAACATGAGATGTATCGTGAAGTAAATTATTGGCAATATCAAAATAGTCCAACATTCCATCACCGTTTCTATCACATTTCTGCACCACAAAGGTTAATTGATCCTCTGATAAAGTTACTCCATTCTTTGATAAAAACTTATCCAAATCAGAAGGTTTTAATTGACCCATTCCTTTTTACAATTGTAATGAAACAACATTTTTAACATTTTACATACCATCAAGAGTTTCTGTAAGGGATGATGAAATATTCTTATTCTTTTTGAACACTTCCTTCACTTTCCTCAATCCTTCCCTCATATCATTGTTCTTCTTCTTAGTTTCCATTATTTTTTCATATGTTGTTTGAACAGAAGATATACTTAAAGGATTATCGTCAGATTCCTTTTCTGATCCACTAATTTGTCTCTTTCTAGGAGACTTTTCATCTCTTTCCAAAGGTTGACTTATTTTTTTCTAAATATGTTATAAAAAACATTTCAAAATAAAAACTTACACCTCTTTTTTTTGGTCCCTCTTCTGAACCATCATATTCTGAAAATTGTAAAACAATATCTTTTTGCTCGAATTCTCTAAATGGATCTGGAGGTGCAAAAATCCGTGAATAGTAAGTTGGAGATGGTTTAGTTATATCATTGATTGATTGTGTTGAAGGACTTGGTAAGTCTGTACTTAATAAAGTACCTAATGAATCTTTTCTCGGGAATGTTGCCAATCCTTTCAAGTTTGGATATGTGATATTGCTATCTAAAATACATGAAGGAGGTCTAGGGAAACACTTGATACCTCTTAATTCCTCCTCATCAGTGCTTAATTCTGCAAAATTGGTCATAAAAGCATTATAGTCCACTTTTCCATCAAAAGAATGATGAGCTACTTTTTCTTGAAACTTCTCTGCTTTAAATGGATCAACATATTTGGAAATTACATTGTTAAAGTAAGTCTCGTCAACAAGACCTGACCTTAAAGGATCCGAAGATTTGAAATGTTCCATCATTTTGGATCCATTATTAAACACTCTCTTATCAGACTTGCTACCTTGCTCTATTGTAGAAGAAACAATTTCTGATGAAGGTGGAGATGAAATTAAAGAGAGAAACAGCTCATAATTCACTAAGGAAATTGTTAAATTCTTCTGATCTGTTATACATACCTGTTTTACCATTTGAAACGCTTCCTACAATGGATTTAATAACATCTTGATTCTCGAAACACTTTCCAAGAACATTCTTGAAATTTTCAACAGGTACCGAACCACTATTATTCTTATCAATGTTTTTTAAATCCTTTTCAATATTGGTACGAAGAGTATATAGTTTTGATTCAATGTTTTCAACCTTTTTAACTTGAGGCTTTTGGCTAGGGCTTGGTTTTTCTATTGGTCGTGGAGAAGTTTGTTGAGGAGATGGTGTTATATCATTTTGTTTGATTGTCGCCTGCTTTCTTATTGTTCTTGATTCCTCAAAATATCCAAGAAAATCATTATAATTTACCAAGCCTTCATTACTAAATCGTTTAACAACATTATTAATTCCACTTGTAACACCAAATCTTGATAAAACTTTTTTAAATTGTGATGGATCGCATTTCCCATCTTTCCTAGAATCTAACTTTTGAAACTCCTTCCTCAATTGTTCCATTGGATAGAGAGTTTTGTCTTAGTAGATGATGATAATTTAGCCTTATTTTTTTCAAGTGTTTACGCTTGGAATAATAAACGTAACGATCGAAGTTTTACAGCCGTACATACACGATTGGTTCGAAAAGTCCAATTAAGACCATTTGATGCAAATTTTGGGGTTGGTGAATGTTTGGTTCGCAAATATCCTGTTCAAGAACATAGAAGAAGGACCATAGTTAATTTAATTGAAAATTGGATTCCAATCTAAAGACAAATATTGTTGATTTTGATAGCTAATCATCATTCCGATCCAACACTGTCTCCTTCATCAATTATTAATAGTAAATAATATTTTTTAATAAATGTCTGATGAAAAAGCCTGTGGAAGATGGTATTCAAAATTTAATTGGATTTTTCAAACAACAACAATAAAAACAATAAAAAATGCCACCACATAGAGAAGATGAGGATGAATATAGTGATGAATATCAATCTGATGAAAATAATAATATGGTAGATGATGATGAAGAAGAAGATGGAATTATTAGATTTGCTTTTCAAAAAGATGGACAATCATCGGGACAATTAAAAGAAATTCATATTGTCACTCCAGGAGAAATGATTGTAGAAAATGGTAGTAATGTATTGTGTGGACATGGAACATATAGAAATGAAAAGAATCAATTAATTAGTAGTGTTTGTGGTGTAGTTGAACAAGTAAACAAATTAATATCAGTTAGACCTGTTCGTGCTAGATATCATGCTGAAGTTGGTGATGTAATTGTTGGTAGAATTTCAAAGTTAGCAGGTAAAAAGTGGAAAGTTGATGTTCAAGCAAGACAAGATGCAATGTTAGATTTAAATTCTGTAAATATTCCAGGTGGTCAAAGAAGAAAAACCTATGAAGATCAATTAAATATGAGAAGTATTTATCAAGAAGATGATTTAATTACAGCTGAAGTACATAGAACTGATGGATCATCATTACAATTACAAACTAGAAGTTCTAGATATGGTAAATTAGTTAATGGTATAATGATTAGAGTACATCCATCTCTAGTTAAAAGATGTACACAACATTTTCATATATTCCCATTTGGTGTTAGAGTTATTTTAGGTAAAAATGGTTATTTATGGATTTCATCTTCTGGGAAATCAGATGGAGATGGTATGGATACATCTTCAGATTCTAAAAAATCATCAACAAATTTAGATGATTTATTAGCTGCAGCTGAAGGTGATGAAGAAGAAGTTACGAGACCAATTTCAAAATTATCAACAAAACCAGGTAATCCTTTTGAATCAAATAGTTTTATTGCATCAGGTGAAACAATAGATCAAATTTCTATTAAGGAAAGAGAAGCTATTTGTAGAACTAGAAATGCAATCATGGCTTTACAATATCAATTCCTTCCAATTTATCCAGAAACTATTCTTGATGTTTATGAAAGTTCTATTCAAATACCTGTTAAGGAAATGCTTTCAAGAGATAAGATACCTCTCATTACGCAAAATAGTATTGTTAGAGTTCAAAAACAACTTTTAGCTAATGAAAAACTTTTTTAAATTTTGTTTTTTTCATCTATGGAACTATCTAATATATTTTGAATTCTGAAATGTGAACGAAAAGGATATGGTGTCTTTTTCACTTGTCTTTGATATCTTTGTAATTCATAAATAACTTCGAATACCTTCTCAATTTTGTCCCATTTGATCATCTTTACTTCATCTTCTGATTGGAATAAGTAGGAAGATATGTCATTTTGTGGTACAATTTCTTTTAAACATTTAAAGTATGGTGTGCTGTATAATGTTAGAACATATTGAACTCAAAATACATACTAGAATGGAATTATTGGACTATCTAAAAATCTTGCCTTTACCATTTTAAATCTTGTCTTTTTCAAAGTATTTAATCTTTTCAAAAGAAAATCTGGAACAGTTCTAGTATCCTTTACAGATTCCAATGCGTTTGTAATTCCTTCAAGAACTGCGTATAAACTCCAATAATTATTGAATAATTTTAAATTCTTTGCGCGTCAATAATTAAAAACAGTTTCAATACAAACCTCCGCAATACTAATTATCTTTTCTAATTCTTTTGCATAAATATGAGTTTCATCTCCAACCATATCACATATCCATTGAGATAATTTTGAATATCGATTAATTACCGTTGTGGCTTCCCAACATGAATCAATAAGGTAGAGTTCATGGGGTTTCAAAGATAATAACATTGCTTGATCTTGTAATGTAATTTGTCTGGCAATTTCAACATTTGGAATATCATAAAAATCAATATTATTACTCAGAATGTCAAAAGTGTCTGGAGCATAGAATAGAATCTTACTAGTTCCTCCAACTGTTATCAAACCATTAAGCATCATTCGTATTGTTTCACACGATTCAAGATCTAATTTCCCAGTCTTCTCCAAACAATATAACAATTTTTCAAATTGATCCTTAATATTATGATCGAACAGCAAATCTTCATAACTTCCAATCCAATAACTTATTTTCATACCCAAATAAAAACACTTGTCTAGATTTGTTGAAATTTCCTCAATCAATTCATCATGTGAAATGAACAAGGTAAAACAGGAAACAAAACATCGTAAAAACAATTCATCACTACTCTTCATAAATTCTTCTAATAATTGAGAAATTGATTTAACTTTTGTATCTGAATTATCAACATGCTGAATTGGAATTGGTGGATTTTTAATATATTCCGAAATACCATCAAGAACATTGTTTAATTCCTTACTAAATACAGATGATGTTACAACTTGATTTTCTTCTTTTCCTATTTATTAATATTTCATATTATCAATATAAAACTATTAACATTAAACAACATACTCTTAATATTAGTTTCCTCTTCTATTGCCATTATAGTATGATTTAAATTCATCTTATCCAATTCTTGATATATAAATTGAATAACATATTCCGGATTTGAATTTTGAAAAA